GCCATTCTAATCATTGAGCCATTCTAATCATTGAGCCATTCTAATCATTGAGCCATTCTAATCATTGAGCCATTCTAATCATTGAGCCATTCTAATGATTGAGCCATTCTAATGATTGAGCCATTCTAATCATTGAGCCATTCTAATCATTGAGCCATTCTAATCATTGAGCCATTCTAATCATTGAGCCATTCTAATCATTGAGCCATTCTAATGATTGAATCTAAACCATATTTTCTTTAAAATGCCACAATTTCTGCTGACATTTCCATCGAAAATCCCATCAAGAATTGCGTTAATTTTTTGCGTCTGGTAAACAAATGGTTTTGTTTTTGGGGAAAAGTAAACTTTAAAAGAGAAGTTCTACTTGATGAAAAAACCCGATTTCATTTGAAGAAATTCGAGATCAAAATAACACCATTTGATTATTATTTTTGTTTATATAAAGAATTTTAAAATCTTAGTTTCAAAATTTCGTGAAATAAAGAAAAGATTTCTTCGTTAATCATATTTCGCTAATCAGTTTCTCTTATCTTGAAGCTTTAGCGCTTTTAAAAAAGCTTCCAATTTTTTCTGTTTTTTCTAGAGCTTCCAAATTTTTTATTATAATAGAACTTTGAAACCAATAAATTTTATTTTCTATTTGTTTTCGATTTTTTTTTCCTTAATTTTCTAGAAAGGTTTCTTTATTTGAGGTCAAATTCGTGAAAAGTTCCTTTCTTCATTCATTTAGATTCATTCATTTAGATTCATTCATTTAGATTCATTCTAATTTTATTTTTAAGCTTTCTTTTAGTGAAACCTTTCGAGAAACTTTTTGAACAGAAAACTGAAATACGAATATTTAATATTTAAAGGATTCCCTCAACTTTCATTTCAGTAAGATAAAAGGAGGATAAAACCAGGATTTAAAGTCCTTTGAAAAGGTTTTCTTCGTCCGTTTTTCAAGCTTATTTGGATCAACTAAGCTTAATTGTAGAGTTGATTTGGGGATCCCATTGATTGAGGATCCCATCCCATGATTGAGGATCCCAAACTCAATCAACAATCAATCCCAATCAACTCGACGATCATCATTCCAAAGCCAAATAGCAAATAGTCAAATATTCCGAAATTTCAATATAAAAGCACTGCTTCTGAAGCTTTTGCTACATTGGATTCGGGTTTTTTTCATCTTTCTATAGTAAACAAACGTTTGTACACCCTCAAACTCTTTAACTACAACGAAACATGTTCTATTTTGTTTGATTTGTTTGGTTTGTTTGTTTTGTTTGATTGGTTTGATTTGTTTGATCAAAAGCTTCAATTAAATCTAAAATGAAGTTCACCCCTCGTCACTTTCCCGTTACAAATCCATCAAAAAATTAATGAATTTGAAGAAATTTTCGAAAGAAATTGTACTTTCCCCGAAGTTTCCCATTAAATAAATCGTAATTCGAAGAAAAAATGAAAGATTTTCAAGGATTTACATTTGATTTTTTTAACCCGATAAACACTCCATTTGGATAATCCATAAAATGAATGTGTTTCAAAAAGTGACCCTTTTAAAGCGGAAACTTTTCACTTTTCCCTTAGCTAAACCGTTTTTCGGCTACGGTAGATTTGGGATTTGGGCTTTTTTTCAAAAGAAATATCTTTTTAAGATTGAATTGAAGCTTTTGATTGAATTGATTCAAAAAAGAGGCTCACGGATTGAATTGAATTCATTTAATCATTGAATTGATCAATGAATTCAATCAATCAATCAATTGAATGAATCGATTGAATGAATTGAAAACTCCATTGAATTGATTCAAAAAAGAGGCTCACGGATTGAATTGAATTCATTCATTCAAAAGCTTCTTTATCTTTTTAAGATTGAATTGAAGCTTTTGATTGAATGAATTCAATTCAATCCGTGAGCCTCTTTTTTGAATCAATTCAATGGAGTTTTCAATTCATTCATTGATTCAATTCATTGATCAATTCAATGATTGAATCAATTCAATTCAATCCGCCATCTCATTTACTGCAATTACCACCGCTTAATTAATTATTGTCTTTTTTAGCCTTTTATAATTAAGCAATTTGAAACACAGATATTTTTTTTAAGCTTATGAATCCTCTAGAAATTGTCCACTTTTTAGAAAAGCTTTATAGAAAATTAGAAATTAGAAAAAGACGTGCTCTAGTCTTCTTGCAGTATCCCAATCACCTGCGATTCATTACAGAAGAGCTGAGCTGTTAGAAAAGCTGAGTTGTTAGTTTTGAAACAGAACAGGATGGATAAGGATTCGGTTGGCTGAATATCTTTAGCCTTGATTGAGAAATTTGGAGGAATCTTAGTTGAATCGAATCTTAGTTCAATGCTTTATCGGTCTGCTGTAATGGGGAACGGGAGTTGGGCTTTGCAGAAAGCTAAATTTCAAGTTTCAACGGGTAAATGGGAGAATCTGAGCTCTAATAGAGGCCAACCATAAATGAATAAATGAATAAATAGAATAAATTCGACTTTCAATCCATTATTTTTAACTTTATCACCTTAAAGCCTAGAATTCGATCTTTAGTAGATAGTACTAGTGAAAAATTTTGCTTAGCAATGGTTTTTTTGCTTTTCAAGCTTTCAAGCAATGCAGCTTAGCAATGCTTAACAGAAATTCATTTCTTTGGCAAGCTATCATTGGAGAAAAGTTAGAAATTCATATTTAATCAAAAAGTTTTCGATTTTTTTCAACTTTCGAAAATTTTCGTAAAATTTTTTGGTTTAAAATTTTCTTGTTTCAAAGTTACGAATTATAAAATTCCCTTTTGAATGATAATAAAAAACGGGATTTTTGCATACGTAAAACTAGAGTATTTTCAAATGAAATGAAATCAAAAATATTTTATCCAAAATCACTCAAAATCTTTGCAATAATCACTCAAAAAATGACAAGGATTTACTTTATAAATCAAGAATTTACTTTATAAACGTCCAAAAGATTTACTTTATAAATAAGGATTTATTTTTTAAACGTGCAAAGTACGAACTGAAGTAAAAATAGAAAATCCGCCATTTTTTTTCAATCTCCATTAAAAGATTTGCATAGAATGAGAAGAGGGATTTCTTGAAACATTCTTTTTTTTTTTTTTTTTTTTTTTAAATAAAAACTTTTTTTACAAAAATATGCGGATTTCTGGGATTTATTGGGGATTATGAGAAGTCGGAGAGTCGCTTTATATGGGCAGAGACCACCGAATGGCCGGGGGAGGGGATGTTTTTGAAAAGTTGACCTCAGTAATAAGCTCTTCCTCCTCGGGCACTTACTCTCTTTTGTAGTCAAAGTGAATCGTGGTCTTCGTGCCATCATATTCTATCGAAAATTAGTACTTAATGGTTAAAGATCTTGACGACAACAATCAGATTTCATTTCTAACTTTCTTTTTTCCGAAGTTAGCTTTAAAAAGTGAAAAGTTTGCTTATTTTTAAAGATTTAGATTAGATTTTTTAGGATTTTTAAAGTTATTTTTTAAAAAATTGAAAAATGGTTGGAAATTTTGTTTGGGAATGGTTGAAATTCGTTTGGCACTGGATTGGTAAGCAGTTCGCAAGCAGTTCATGATTGGCAAGCAGTTCGCAAGCAGTTCAAGATTGGTAAGCAGTTCGCAAGCAGTTCAAGATTGGCAAGCAGTTCGCAAGCAGTTCACGAACTGGATTAGCAAGCAGTTCGCAGTTTGCAGTTCGAGAAAAGTTAGAAATTTATCTGGAAAATCGAGAATTCGATTCTGATTCTGATTTCTTCGCTTTTTCTATGTTAAAATCTCTTTTTATGGGAAAACCTAATAGAATCGAGTTAAAACAACTAATAGAAATTGGCAATAGCATATAAAAAGTTCTATAAACAATTTCCTCGATATTTTACCGTAAGATGAACCTAGCTGAATATCTTTCAAAATTAAGTCATCAAATTGACTTTTCTTTGCTTAGAGTCAAAAGAAAACAAAGCACCATTAACCTACCCAATTCAAAAATGATCTTGCACTACTTTGAAACATTGTTTCTCCCAAGCCAAAGATTTGACTTTTTCATGGATTTTGGCCTTTTCTTTATCATATAAACTTCACTGAATATCTTTCAGAATCAAAATTATAGTTTTATTGAAATATTAATTATAATTAAAATGAAATGATGTTGTTAGATTACCTTTCTTTCCTTACAGTACTATGAGAAAAACCCAAAACGTACGATGAGAGAAGCCCATTAATTTCATATCTTAAAAATTGTCTTCCTCAACTTTGAAACATTGATTCTCCCAAGCAAAGATTTTCATGGATTTCTCCCTTTTCTTCACTATAAACTTAACTAAATATCTTTCAGAATAAAAATTAGAGCTTAATTGAAATATTAATTATAATTAAAATCAAACTAGGTTGTTACTTTTCTTTCCTTACAGTCCTATACAAAAACCCAAAAGGCCCATTAATTCTATACCTCAAAAATTGGCTTACTCAACTTTGAAACATTTATTTTTTTCCAACTAAAACTCTCACTTTTACATGGATTTCCCCGTTTTCTGCACCAAAAAATGACAATTATCTCCTAAATTTTTCACAACCCCAAACAGGGAACTCTTGAAATTTTGATGTTTCTTTTGTATTGGGGAAATTTACGTCAAAATTCTCAATGACTCAATTTTCTCTGAGATTTCAAGTGCTTTTACGAAAATTTCTTTAAAACTTTACTCTAAACTACAAGGAAATCATTTACTCTAAAAATAGCCATTAAAAGTCATCTTCAAAGTCATTTTTGAGGGGAAATGGAGGCCGGATTTGTGTCAAATTTACGGATTTTCTGACATTTCGGATTTTCCCACTAAATCCGCCTTTAAAAATGATGTTAGAGTTGAAGTTTTGCTGAATTTTATATCCATACATTTGATATTAATATTTGATATGATCATGCTCATTTCTTCTTCCTTTTTTCTAATTATTTTCTAATTTTTAGAAAAATCAGCTCGTCAAACGAAGAAAACAACAAAAAAATGCTGTTGACGAGCGTCTTCTTGCTCTTGCATTTCTACCTCAGCGATTGTCTTGAGGTCGGCGGTGAAAAACAAAAGATTATGATAATAAATATACTATAAAAGTTTAACTTTACATATTTCTCAAAAAAAAATTTTCATGTTTCAACATTTGTTACTTAAAAGAGCTTGAAGCGGATTTAATGGACTTGAAGCGGTTCCTCGTCGTATCCTTAGCTAATCTTGGCTCCTTAGCTAACCCAATACCGAAATCCATTTTCTAAAATGCTCAATCTTGGCCAAAAAAACCTTGTTCTCTTAGGTAATCGCTCCACAACTCGATCCAAACGCTTTTCAAGGAGTGATCAATCGACTACCGGCATGGGTGAGTTTAAAAATCAATTTTCTTAAAGTTTTATCTTTTCCAGGTAGCCGACGAGTTTCCCGACATTCGGATAGGCAGCTCGAAAGTTTTGCGAAAAGGTGACGATGAAAAGAAAAAGAAAAGAAAAGGAAAAGAAAAAGAAAAGCCTTGCTTTGCTTTGCTCATAAAGTATAGAAAAGCCTTATAAAGCCTAATTCAAAAGACAAAATAAAACCTTGTAATTTCCCTTTTCCAGGCACAATCCGTATCTCGATGAACACGGACGGCCAAAAAGTGTTGATTGCCGAGAGTGCAGTCGATGCTTTGTACGGCATTCATGTCAGTTTCAAGCTCTCCCATTTGAAATAAAACCATTTTAGTACTATCTCCGAAACTATTGCGCGAGTTCAATCTCGTGGGATGGCTCATCTTTCTCAAATGGATGCGATCGAGTGGATGGTGATCTCTCGATCTTTCTCGAGTCACCGCCGTCAGTTTCAAAATATTCCCATTTCCTATTGTCGTTTAATTTCAAATCCTAAAAAAAATCTGTCTTTTGCAGAATTCGCTTCTTCGGCAATCCGGTCACCTATTCGTATAGTTTTGTCTGGTGGAAATGGGAGCAATGGGAGCCGTTCATTGATTGGCTTGCATTGAGTAAGGAAATCAATTCAAATTCAACTCAAATTCAATTCAATTCAATCATTCAACTCAATCATTCAATTCAATTCAATTCAAATCGAAATTCCCTCGATTTCCAGACGGTTTCAACATGTTCCTCACCCCGCTTGGCCAGGATTCCATCTGGAGAGACGTCTATTTAGAGTTGGGCATCCCGAAAGCCGCAATCGATCACTGGCTGGCTGGCCCGCCATTTCAGGCCTGGTCAGTGCGGAAATAAGCAATAATTTAATCTAATAACTCTCTGCAAAATCATCAACATTATCGAGAGCTTAACAACTAAAACTCGTAAAAATTGAAACACAAACTTCCATTAACCTTATTTGTCTTTCCAGGCAATGGATGGGCAATCTTCAATCGCTTGGCGGCTCGCCTTCAGAGCAATTCCTTCGAAAGCAATTGGATTTGAATCTCAAGGTCGATTTTGAGGGCTTCTACTACCATTAAGCTTTTAGAACACGATTTAATCTCCAAAATTTTGAAACTCAACTTTTTCTAGATCGTCAATCGATTGACCTCGCTCGGGATTGTGCCCGTTTTGCCGACTTTCGACGGAATTGTGCCCGACGCACTTTTTGAGTGAGTTGATAAATGTTCATTTTTGGATTCCGTTAGCATAAAGGGAATTAGAGTTGAAAACTTTGAAAGCGGCAGTTTTGAAATGTTGTTTTTTTCAAAATTTCAATTTTTTTAAAATGTAAGCCTTGGGATTTAAACAAAATAGTTTTTGATCTTTACGGCTTCAAGTTCTCTTTTTTTGAAACTAGATAATTTCAAAGGAATGCCAAAAATAAAGGGTTTCAAATTTGAATAAAAAGTAATGACTAAAAAATTAGCACGTGAAGTGTCTGTGGGTCAGTGGGTAGAGAGTCTGCTGCGAACGGGGGTCAAGGGTTCAACTTCCCTCGGCGCCTCTTTCTTTTAAATTCATTTTATAAAACGAAAAAGGTGAGGAGGGGGGAAGGGGTTTTTTTAACTTTGTAAACCTAAACCAGTTTTTTTTGTCATTTTTTAACGAAGCGGAATTACGCAAACTTTTTTTATGGAGACTTCAATAAATTTGAAACATGGAATTTGAATCAGCAATTTTCAAATGCTCTTGAGGCTGTCTAGATAAATCTAGATAAATCTAGATGTCTAGATAAATAAATTCAAAAGTGTCTAGCTAAATCGAGCGTTGAAATAAAACCAATCGAAACTACAAAAAAAAGTGAAATTTTAAGCACTTATAAAGCAATTCGGTTTTGAGAGCATAATGCTAAGATTTCAGCCTTTTCCCGAACGCGACTTTCCGCCGGAATCACAGCTGGAACAAGTTCAACGGGACTTTCGCGCTCTCGCCCACCGATCCACTATTCCAGAAAATCGCGCGACTTTACCACAAAAAAGTGAGTTTCAAAATTGAAGAGATTAATGGAAAAAGTTGAAAGTAATTGATTTGTGTAACATCACTGGCAATTTGTCAGTTTCAAAGTTAGCCATATGAAGGCGAAAACGTCGAGGTCAATTTTGCATGGTTTAGACGTTTTGACATTTTTTCGATTGCACTCTTTTCATTATTTCAAGACTATTTCAATATTTTGCTACAACTTCCCCCTTTCAGCAACAAGCCTTTTACGGCGGAGTGGTGTCGAATGTCTACTCAGCCGATCCGTTCATCGAGAATTTTCCAAAACAAAACGGAAAGTACGTGAAATGGGATGAGGGTTGTGTTGTTTTCAAAAAATGACTTTAAAATTATTTAAACGTATTTCGAACTTGAAAGTCTAGCCGTTAAGGAAAGATTATTAAAAGAAAAGGTATTATTGTTTGTTTAAATGTTAAATGTTTAAAAGGAAAAGTGTTTAAATGATCCTGTTAGAAGTGAAACATTACATTTCTAAGCTAACGATTTTTCTATTCAAATAGCACTTGACATTGAAATGTTTTTACAGACTCCATCACCATTCCGAGTCGATCTTTGCCCAGACAGCTCATGCCGTTTTCGATGGATGTCGACACTCGGATCCGAATTGTGTCTGGTAAGGGATAAAGATATTTCAAGTTTCAAGTTAGTCCAAATTCTAAGTACCCAATGTTAAATCAGGAAATTTCCAGGCTCGTCCAGGGTTGGATGTTCCAAAATGAGGCTTTTACTGCAAAAATGGCCAAAGATTTCCTCACCGCTGTGCCAAAGGGACGATTGTTGGTGGGTGAAAAAAAGCGAGTTTCAAAAATTGGGTGATGGCGTGATTGGGGAAGCATTAGTTCGGCCGTCAATTACGTGTCAATCACCAAAGGTCAAAGCCTTTCAAAGCCAAATGAAGCAATTAGACTTTTAGATCAATTCTAGGAAATCTTTGAAATAAATTCTAAGCTGTAATTTTTAATTTTCATTGGTTTGTAGGTTTATATGGATTTTTCGAAAAATTCAAAAATTTGAGTTTCAAAATAATTGATTATTAGCGATTTTTTTGAACATTAATATTTTTTCAAATTTAAACTTTCAAAATTCGTTTCAAATGGAATTTGTTTCAAGTTAATCAAAAATTGATATCGTTAAGTCGAGAGTCGTTAAATCGAGGTTTCACTGTATATTAGAAGTCAAATAAGAGATAATATTAGTTTAAACTTTAAACAATGCTGAAATGAGCTTTATTTTCAATTTTGTCAGAGTTCATCGTGCTCCTGCAAAGCCTTTCAAAGCCAAATGAAGCAATCAAGCTTTTAGATCAATTCTAGGGAAGCTTTGAAATAAATTGTAAGCTGTAATTTTCAATTTTCATTGGTTTTTAGGTTTATATTTGGATTTTTCGAAAAATTCAAAAATTTGAGTTTCAAAATAATTGATTACTAGTTCTTAACATTAATAGGTTTTTCAAATTTTAAAATTTTAAAAATTCGTTTTAAATAGAATTTGTTTCAAGTTTGAAAGGCTTTTGAAAGGTTTTTGGCATTATCGAGAGAATCGAGAATCGAGAGAGTGAATTGCCTATTAGAATCAAGAGAGTGAATTGCTTTCCAAAAAAAAAACCTAGTTTCAAAGAAATTCATAAACATTATGGTTTTAAAAAATGATTGTATACTTTTGAAATTCATGAATTTCTTTTCAATTTCTAGGTGCTAGACTCTTTCGGTGATCAAACTCCACTCTACGATCGTTTCAACAATTTCTGGGGTCATCAATTCATTTGGTGTTTTCTGCATAACTTTGGTGGTTCGCTGCAAATGCACGGCAATTTGAAGAGAATAGGAAAGGTCAGTGGTCAGGGGAAAGCACTGTTAGGCTCTTTTTGTTTAGGCATGGCAACAAGCTCGTTTATCAGCACCAAATTTGATTGGCGGTGGATTGGTGATGGAGGGAATCCACCAGAACTATGTCCTCTACCAGTTCGCCATCGACACTTTCTGGAGTCCCAATCGCTTGGATGTCTCCGAGTGGTGGGTTTTGTGGAGATTTTTTGGCAACATTTTCGACGTACTGATTTGGTTTAACGGCTTTGTTAGTGGAGGCCTTTGAAACAAGGAAATCTTCCAGGCTTTACACCTTCGGCCGATCGCGATACTCGGCTCCACGACGAGTGACCCCAGCTGTTCACAAGGTATTGTAAAAATTATCTAATATCTGAAAGGTTTTGGATAATTTTTGATATTTATTTGAAAATGAACTACCAAATTGGATAATTTCTTGAGTCTGAGTCATTTCTTGAGTTCTTGAGTCTGGGAGGAGGTCTCATGCGTTACTTAGCCCTGATTCTCATCTATTTATTTTTTTAGTTGAAGCCGGAGCTTATGCGAGCCAAGTAGCCAAAAGATTATTCGGTAGCCAAAAGGGGTAGCCAAAAGATTATTCGGTTTTTTCAAATTTTAACTTTAACAAATTTGAAACATGAAAAAAATTAAAATTCTTTTTATTGCTCTAAAAGCTTTAAAGTTATTTAATGTCTTTTTTACCGTAATCCAGCTTTTTGGGAAATTGTTTTGCGCTAGTTTTGATAAGGAAGTAGACTGGGATTCGTTTACACGTTCATTTTAGAGCTTCAAGTAGCTGGGTGAGCTGTGAGTGCATAGCTAATAGGTACAGCACTAAAAGTTTATCTGCAATCATGAAAATCAACAAACAAGTGAATATGTTCAGCTGTGGACTCTTCTATCAGAGACTTTCTACAATCAGCCACCAACCACCGACGAGCATGTGCCCGTTTTCCTCTACAATCGCCCGAATATGGATGGCCGAATAAAAGTAAGTGTTTCAAAGAAATCAAGTATCAGAAAAAAATTTTAATGTTTCAAAAATTGATGAATTCCTTTTTAAAAATCCCTTTTAGTATTGGTTCAGTACGTCATTATTCCCTCGAATGGTCACCGCTTTCACCTCTTTGAATGCAACACTTTGGGGAAACGAAATGTTCAGGTTAGCATTAATGAAAAGAAAATCTCTAAAACTCATTTCCAGACGAGACTACACAGATATTCTGAGGGAAACGATACAGTACACGCTAGGGAATCGACTTATTTTGAGGGTCTACGAGTCGTACGCGATTGGCGATGGAGAAGAGTTGGAGAAAGCCTGTCAGAAGATGGATGACACGTTTGAGGTCAGGCCAAAGGCTACTTTTTAAGCTTGGAATGGGTAATTTAGAATGGGTTTAAATTACGATATCATTAACCATCATTAACCATCTGAAATCGTTTAGTTGCTAGACGGCACATCGAACTTCGATTTGCGGCCGATTCTCCAAGCAGCCAGGAGTTGGGCTTCCAGCGAAGAGGAGGCGAATCGCTTCGAGCGGAACACGAAAATGTTGTTCACGCTGTGGGGACCGAAAGGGGAGATCAGGGATTACGGTGAGGCGAGAAAGAAACTTGAATATTGCATAGGTTTCGGCTCTTGCATAGGCTTTGAATTTCGGTATTGCTTTTGGAACTTATGAGTCTAAATTCATGAGCAGACCAGGCTTTGACTGAACCAGAGCCAAGTCCTTTTTCATTAGCTTAGAGCCAGCCAGCCAGCTAGCCAGCCAGCCAGCCAGACTTCACTCTTTCGATAAAAGCTAACCCAGGCCAGAAAGCCTTTTAATACTAGTTTAATACTACTACAAGTAGCTAGTTTCAACTTGAGTGTAATCAACGAATCAATTGGCATTCTATTGGCATAACTTTGAGCTGAAATTTCTTGGTGTTGGGTTATTCGATTGAAATATTGTTGTTGTCATTAAATGCATCAAATCTTTTTCTATTGATTGGTGGAAAAAGTATTTCAATTGAAAAGCCGAACACGAAGATATTTGAGTTTTAAAGTTTGCAGTTTGCAAAGAGGCGTTTGTAATGTCTTCAAATTCGAATGTCCAATGTTTCAGCGCATCGAGAGTACACGGGTTTGATCAGCGGTTATTATCGTCGACGATGGCGTTTCTTCTGCGAGTCTCTTCTCGATGCTCGATATCATTTTGATCAGAAAAAATATGATGAAGAAGTTTTTGAATTCATCGAGAAACCGTTCATTGAGAATCAGCTTGAAATTTTGATTCCATAAGCCTTCATTTGCATTCAAATTACAATAGTTTGACGTTAAATCATAGAAATTAAATAGACTTGGACAGGTAAGGGGAAAAATGAGTTCTGTTCTGTTCTTTTCTCTTCTCTACTCTTCTTTTCTCTTCTGTTCTCTTCTCTACTCTTCTCTCTCTCCTCTCCCTCTCCTCTCCTCTCCTCTCCTCTCCTCTCCTCTCTCTCTCTCTCCTCTTCTTTACATTTAAACCACCGTAAACAAAGTCGAGACGTTTTCTGTACAGTAGAGTCGCAAAATTAGTGCTTACCGTAAATACTGTAATAGTACCCCACCCCTCTCGTACAGTCGCGTAGTCGCAAAAGTTTTTTTAGTATTTCATTGTTTTACAAAGCACCCGTACTTCCAAAAAATACGTCTTTGGTATCAAAAAATAGCCCTGAATTTCAGGGCTATTTTTTGATACTTAAACGCACATTCTAGCATAAACCAGTGTCGAGAAAAACTCGTTCAAAGCTAGACTACACAACACTCCGCACCGCCATTATGGCGGTGGGGTACTATTTACAGTATTTACGGTAGTTTTCTATTGGTTTCTTGAAATACAAATCCCTACGCATTCCTTTGAATATCTTTGAATATCTTTGAATAACGGTTCTTTTTGAGGATCTCGAAATTTTGAAATTTATGCTTTTTTTTGTATATTTTGTCCTTTTTTCCCCCATAAAATTTCCCAAAAAATTTGATTTTTTTTGAAAATTTTCGAAATTTGTTTAAATTTTTCTATTTTTGATCTCTTTTTTTATCTCTTTTCCTTTTTCTTTGCTAGTTTTTCTTTTGTGCGTTTTTCTGTCCTTTCTGCGATTTTCTTCATGAATTCTGTGTTTTTTTCGCGGATTTTTGACTGACCCTGGCACTTCCTGACGATTTTTTTTCTTTTCTTTTCTTTCTTTCTTTTCTTGACTTGGGAGAATAAAGATATGAAGTTCTAAAGTATTTTTTTGAAAAAAAAAAAACTAAAATCTTATTTGACAACAAGCTGAACACTTTGAAATCTTTGTTTTTTTTGGATGAACAGTTCACAGATTGACAGTTGACAGAAGCCCATGTCTTGGCCATTGCTGTTGCATATTGAATTTGTTGAAACATCGAAATTTCAAACAAAACAAACTTTTGAAAACTCCGGTTACGAGCAACAGACCATTCTGCCTCCCTCCACAGGTGGCACTGTGAAACAAATAGTGGTTTTAATCTTACTTTGCAGGAAAATAATCGGCTTTTCTAATCAAACAAACCGTAGTTCAATTGGTGCATTTGTTGGTTTTAAACGAAAATACGAAAGAAGTTCTTGGAAGTTCTTTTGAACTAGAGAACTAGAGAACTAGAGAACTAGAGAACTAGAGAACTAGAGAACTAGAGTACAACCCACAAAACGTACATTAGATTTGGCGAGTGCTGCTGAAACTTAACTTCTTTGAAACATCAAAATTTTCATAGCAAACTTGAAAAAGCTGTGAACAACATAAATAAGGTGTTCTTCGCAAATAGTTATGTTCGTTTATGGGAATTTCAAGCAGAGTTCAATTTTTTGATGCTGCTATCCAAAATAAAACCCTTAGCTTAAAAGTAGTGCGTATTGGATTGAGACTTTAGTAGTAGGGTCATGGGCATGACGGTCTTTTCCTAGTGACTTTTGTTCTACGGGTTAGCCGTGGATTAAACTAAATAAATCAAATGTTAAAAACTTAGTTTCAACTGTAATTATTCAAAACTTAAAACAATTTCAATAATAAAACTATTTGGGTTCGATGAAAATTTCAATGTTTCAAATGATTTAATATTTAGCGTTAAAGGTTTATTCTAATAGATTTTTAGCACAAAGGAGCCTTAAAGCTGGGCATTGAGATGGGCATTCTTTCAAGAAACACACACATACACAGCTCAAAGAAAGAAAGAAAGAAAGAAAAATGAGCTGTCTATAAATGTCGAGTGAAAAAAAGGAGAAAATAGGTTGAAATTAAGTCAAAAAAGAGTTTTTTCATTCAAATCACCCATGGAAACGAAAAAGCGGAAATTTTTGATTGAAAATCGCCAATTTCACCCTCAATTTCCTTTCGATTCACCTAATATTTTCATGTTTTCAAATCATTTATTTTCATTTCCTTAAAAATAAACATTTTTCTTTTCGTTTGACTTTTAAGAAAATTCATACTTTTAAAGATTTTCAAATATTTTTTCACTCAGGTGTTCCTATTTGCGCAGATCACAACCTGCTTCCACACTTCTCTATTCCTTGCTATTGTCCCTTGCTATTGTCCCTTGCTATTGTCCCTTGCTATTGTCATCATATGGCATCCTTATGTCCCGTGATTAGATCTCTCGGCCTTTGCTTGATCCCTCGATGCCGGAGGAGAGCGGGGAGGCCGTGCGGGGGACTGAAGCAGAAGTGTAATTGTCGTAGCCGATGATACTCCGATGGCCGGGCTGGGGCGCTCGGAGGGGAACCCACGACTATCCCGCGCCGACGTTGCTTAACTTGGCAGATCGGACGGGATAGACCGCAGGCCCTTCCTCTTCTAGGCCCATTTTCAAATATTGAATATGCGAAGTTGGAATTGAAGTCGGAATTGAACAATTGCTATTGCTATTGCCGCTATTGCTCAGAGTTTAACTTGAATTTCATTTTTCCAACAATTCCTTATCCAATAAAACTAGATTTTTGTTTTTTTGATGATAAAAATGTTTGTTTCAAATTTCTTAATGAGAAAAAAACTTTCCAGCAACCAATCAACCAATCAAATTTTTCCCTAAATCGTCTTTAAGAAATTCTAATCTAAATAATCCTTTTTTTTGTATACAAACAATTTCTAAAGTGTTTTAATTTCCCTTTTATTGTTTAAAAAAAGATTTTTGCGTAAGAGCGTAAGAAATTGCACAAAGCTTTTTCCGGTTATCTTGACATTTCTATTAGGTTTTTCGGATATAAACAAGCGTTGCAAAAGTTTTTGTTGTGAGAGAAGCTTTTTAAAACTTGCATACAAACAATTTCCAAAGTGTTTTAATTTCTATTTATTGTTTTAAATATCCTATTTATTCCCTTTTATTGTTTAAAAAAAAGATTTTTGCTTAAAACACGCAAAGTTTTCTAAATTTAATGAAAGAAATTTTTTGAAGTTTCAATTTTTTTCAAGTACTAATAAAAATTTTATGTTTAATAGTGGTAATATTTTTTTAGTAGCAATATTTTTTAATAGCAATATTTAATAGTATCAATATTTTTTAATTAGTAGCAATATTTTTTAAAGAATATTAATCGAAGCTCTCTTTTCATTTTCCCAATTTTATGTCTTCTTTTGAGCGTTTTTAATCAAAGAAACCCCTGATTTTTCTTAATTTTCAAAGACAAAATTGAGAAAATTGCTTTTTAGCGGCTTTGAGTGAAGCGTTTTTTTGGTAAAAACAAAATTTTTATGATTTTTGAAGCCAATAGAGAAATTGGGAATTTTATTTTATTTCAAATTTCGTCTTTTTTAGCGAAGATTTTCAAGTTTTCCATTCATTTTCCTCTTTAAAATTTGAGTGTTTCAAAGTTACACAGTTTAAAATTTGTTTTTTTAGTTTTTTAGCAAAAATTCCCGCCCACCACATGATGATCCCCGATTTGAACAACTTTCACGATGATCCCAATATGGTTTGCTTTCGAGTATTTCGCTCTTTAAATCGACTCGACGAGATTGAAGATGGAAGCTTTGAATTATGACCTCCGGGTTTAGATCGTTAACAATATTAGGATAACAAGCTAGAACGGCTGATTTGACTGTCTGGGGAAGCTGTGTGGGGAAGCTGTGTGGGGAAGCTGGCAAAACGATCAATGTTTTGTTTTTTCCACAAAATTTCCAACAAAATCCTTTTCCTTCCTTCAAACTCAACGAAATTGAAAGTTTTTTTTTGTAAAAATGATCGTAATAAGTAAAAATGTGTAAAAATGACCTTTTCAAAGGTTAACCAAGTAATTTAAACAAATATATCCTCCTACCCAATCTAGAGCTTCACAAAGAAACATTCCCATAGTAAAATTAAAGAAAAATTCGAATCTAAAAAATCTGATCATGTCAATTTTCGGAATCACCCCTTTTTGGAGTTAAATAAGCTATCTAATACAAAAATCTGTCAGAGAATCCATTTTTTTGCCTTATTTTTACGATATGGGACGCATTTTAAGAAACAAATTGGCACACGCTAGTTTATAAACCATTTTTAGCTTTTTTTAGCTCTTTTGTTAACGTTAAAATTTGTAAGTTTCAATTTACTTAATGACACGACAAGTAACTGGCCGGTAGTTAAGAAGACGTTCGATTATTGCCTGCTTAAAGCGGATTTATCTGGATAGCTTGCCAAAACACAGTTGACAAGGCATGATCCATGGCTATGGATCATGCCTTGGCGATGGTCCATGGCACGATTATCGTCGATGATTATCCATGGCACAATCATCTACTATTATCTACAATCAAACCTCGATTTAACGATTCTCCATCGTTAAATCGAACGACTCTATAAAGTGAATAGCTATCAAGGGATCAAAAATTGATATCGTTAAGTCGAGAGTCGTTAAATCGAGGTTTCACTGTATATTAGAAGTCAAATAAGAGATAATATTAGTTTAAACTTTAAACAATGCTGAAATGAGCTCTATTTTCAATTTTGTCAGAGTTGATCGTGCTCCTGCAAGAATTACGGTATTCTTTTTACGTCCAGGCAATCATCTTTGTGGATCGGTTAGAGTACTTTTCAATTTAAACACCTTTAACCGCTTTATCCTTCAAAAAGGATAAAGGATAAAGCGGTTAAAGGTGTTTAAATTGAAAAGTACTCTAACCGATTCACAAAGATGATTGCCTGGACGGAAAAAAGTACCGTAATCCTTGCAGGAGCACGATAGTTACTTTCAAATGGATATTCAAAAGAATATAATACTTGATTGAGCACAAAAAAAAACGATGCCATTATTTTAGGTAAGGCTCAAATGATCTTAACAAATTTGAAACTCAAAAAAAAAAAAAATTCTGAAATCTTGCTCAAAAGTCGGCAAAATGGCAAAATAATGCTCGTTTCAAAGTTGTCAACGTAATTTTCGTTTTTTCTGGGTTAACCAATGAAAATTTTGTTTAAGAAAACAGTACGTGAAGAGGAGTTATAGACATTTCTTGATGTGACATGGCAAGACGATGATGGGCACAGTGCTTTGATGTTAGCCGCCAATGAGGACAGGCAGAATCACGTAAAAATGATATTGGCCATTGCGACGAGATCCGGCAAGTTGTCACAGGTCATTTTTCAGCACAAAAGTTATTCAAGCAAATAGTTATAGATTTGATTTTATTTTAAAAATGTGTCGTGAATTGCAATCGCCGAATCTCTCTCAACCTTCAATTCTTTGAAACTTGATTTTTTTGATCAGCTTTGAATTTGTTGAGCTTAGCTGTGAATCGAAATAAATACCGTATTTCTTCCAATAGAAGACCGGGGTAAAGTATGATCGCGTACTCCTGCGTAGCAGCCCTTTTTAAAATTTCTTTTCTGCATAAAAGCTTTCAATCAAGTGCTATAGAGCTGGAAAATGGCTCAAAAATCTGTTAGCTCATGTCGTATTTTTGAGTCATTTTTCAGCCCTATAGCACTTCATTGAAAGCTTTTATGCAGAAAAGAAATTTTAAAAAGGGCTGCTACGCAGGAGTACGTGATCATACGTGATCATTACCCGGTCTTCTATTCGAAGAAATACGGTAAGTCGAATGTTAAAAACTTAGTTTCAAGTTGAAAGGTAGGTGAAAGCCTTTTTGGAAATTAATAAATCAGGAATGAGGGTTAAGAAGTTGCTGAGTGATCGTTTTCAAATTAGATTTAATTTCGGGATAGAACTGAGCTTTGCTAAAGAATTTGTTCAAAATTAGAGCTAATTTCAAGAGAACTGAGGTTTGCTAAGTGATTTGTTCAAAATTGACTTATAGAATTAGAAAAATCACTAGTTGAAAGCCTTTTTGGAAATTAATAAATCAGGAAGTTAGCTAAGAAGTTAGTTAAGAAAAGTTGAGTTAAGAAGTTAAGAAAAGAAAAGCTGTGGCTTTCTTTAGTTTAAAAAAAAAGCCTTTAACTTTATAGCCTTTTTTATAAGAACCAGATTCTTATAAAAACTTCATTTCCTTTTAATTCTTTAAAATTCGTTTCATTTTAGGTATTGGACATGCGAAATAACGAGGGTTTAACAGCGATTGAGTTGGCGAGGAGCAATGGGAACACTGTTTGCGAGAAACTCATCGAAGCCTACTCCCAAATACAAACGAGAGATCGGAGACCGGTTCTTTTTGTTTTTTTGTTCTCTTTGAGCATCGCTTAGTAAATTTGGAACGGTTTAATCACTCTCGTCTAACGCTATAGTATTTCTCTTTCTTCTAAAACGTGTCACTCTTTAAAAACTACTGTAACGTTCTAAAAAGACTTGAAACTCTTTTGAAACTTCTTTTCTACTTCTCTAAACTAGCTTTAAAAGATTAAGTTCAAATTTTATTGAAAACTTTAGCGAGTTTAGCCTAGAGTCTTTTAGAGTATAGTAGCTGGGATACTGTGATTCTAGTGATTTGACTATGAAGGAACACTAGTTCTAAACTATATGTCAAATAGATTAGTCTCTAGACTTACCATCATACTCTTTTCCTCTTCAAAACTGATTCCAGAGCCGATCAAACTCGCGGACAAGTCTCGTCGGTCGGGCTGGCTCGTTAAATTTCGAGGATGAGGCCAATGAGAATGATATTCAAATTGAATTAGTGGTGAGTGGGTTGAGGAGTACTTTGTGCTCGAGAAACATAAACACACCTCTTCTCACGCACTCAACTTCTTCCATTTTCCCCTCATGACATCTGTTGCTGGACATCTGATGGGGAAATGAAAGAATTGAGTGCGCCAGAAAGGGGTTTATGGGGCACACAAACAAATGGATCTTCAGCCATCAACAGCTCCTCAAAATTTCCGCCTCACTCGTGACAAGATCTCGAATAATACGAGGAGAATGCCCCCGCATAGAGATATGAGAATGAGGAGGAGCCGGTCGGTCTTTCAACTCATTTCCTGAATTCCTAAACCCTGTCAACTTTCTCTACCGTAATCTTGACTGATTCTTGACTGACAGTCACAAATTCACAGTTTCAACTTGCTCAATTAAACCAGCTTTTTGTTGGCTTCATCAATAACTTCTCGTACTTTCAGCTAGCTATGTTTTTTCGTTTAAAAAAATCTCTAAGGTTTGAAAAATTTTAGTTTCAAATTTTTTAATATCAACCGGTAACATAAAAGCACAATATCAGACGTCACATTTTTGATTTTCATAATTTTTGACGTATCTCTCTATCTATCTCCTCCTATTTTTCACGTATCTCTCCTCCTAGCAGGGATATTCTAAATTCTATTCTAAATTCAAATTTTAGACCAGAAATCTCGAGTTTTTTGGCTTTTCAGCTGGCTTTTCAGTTTTTGAGCTTAAAAATGAAAAAATTGATAGAACAAGCCTTGGAAAATCCTTCCTTATTGTCCTTTCTTATTGGAAAACGATGCCAACTTTATTTTTTTTTTTTTCAAAACCATATAGCCTATCTTGTTCAGTTTTTCACGGCGATTCTGACTCCGCTTTTAGTTTTATTCGAATGACCCTGTAACGCGAGATATTTGGGCTTAAATTGTCGTCTTTCCATAAGATTGTCTTTCCAATTGTCTTTCCATAAGACACGCTAATCGGACATGTTCTTAATTCTGAAATTCTTGACATTCTAAAAATTTCCTTGTTTCAAACTATTCACTTAGGTGAAATGAATTCAAAAATCAATTGTTTATTGAAGCTTCAAGGTTTTTAAAAATTGCTTGTTTCAAGATTTTCGAGATAAAAAATCCCGGAAATTTTTTAATTCGGAAAATTTTTCCCCAAAAACTCGCCCACAATCCCTAATGAGTTTCGAGAATTTTCATTTCATTTCATTCAAAATTTTTTTTGCAACTGATATTTTCAAAATTCTAATGACTGATTAATTGGTTGTACCAAAGGGAATAGTCTATTGACATCTTCTCACTCTCGTGGGCTTAGAAACTTTGCAAAAAGTGACTAATTGGTTTTAAAAATCTTTCCCCTGACCTTTAAAAGTTTCAATTTTTCGACTACAATAGAAATTTCATTATTTTTTTTTCAAATTCTCATTTTTACCGAAAATGGAAGGGTTTGTTTTAAAGTTTTTCATTTTTAGCTTTAGTTTTTATCGTGATCGAGTTGAATTCAAGATTTTGTGCGAATTCAGTCCTGTACTTTCAACTTTGAAAGTTTGAAACAAGCAATTTGAAACAATTTTAAACGCTTTACTAAAGTATGCTAAAAAGAATACTCTTTCAGATCCTCGCAAAGCCGCCTTTTCATCAGCCATCAACGCACGATTTCCACTGATTCTTTACCAACACCGCCACCGGTTCAGGTTTGAAAAATGAAGAAAACAAGATGAGATGAAAAGATAGAAGAAATCGAGTATTCATTTGAAGTTAAGTCCCTCTGGAGTAGGGGACAACAGCTGCATCTTGGTGTAATGGTTAGCACATTTGCCCGTTAGGCGAAAGGTCCCGGGTTCGAGTCCCATCGGCACCAAACTTTTTGATTTGAAAAGAAAAAGCTCTGATTTGAGTTCCAACTTTGAAACTGTTAAAGAAATTTGTTCAGACTCCACCCATCGGACTAATCTCGACGATCAAAGAGGGTTTTATGAGTTTGGTCGGGAAAAAGGTGAGCTTTTAGATAAAATGTTAGATTCAAAGCGTCAAAAAGTACACAGAAATACTGAAATTGATCAATTATCAAAAAAGCACTAAGCTAGATTGATCATTATTTATCAAAATTTGCAAATAAGCAAATTCCAGGATGATCCAAAGCAAAAAGAACGAGAAGAGCTCGCTACAAGACTCCGCTATCCGATTGAGAAAGATCGAAAAGCTTTGAATGTTTGTTCAGAGATTTCTGACTGTAGTTAAATGGGACTTTTAGAAAGCTCATTTTCAGGAATCATTCGACGACTCAGCAACCTCATTCCTCCGCTCACAACCAGCCGGCGACACGTTGCCGTCATTCAGGAAAGATGAACAAGAAAAGGATAATGGTAAGTTTTAAAATTATCTAGTTTTTAGAAATCTTGTCATATATAAAAATTTTTCAGCTTTCCGCTCTTCACCGTGGGGCCAAGATGAGTCGGGACAACCCCAGCCGCAAAATATAGCTGGAGTTCGACTGCCGCCATTGCTTTCGATGAGACGGTACGATAACCAGATAATTAGAGCTTAGGACTACGGCAGTTGATCCTGACTGCCTGAATTGCGATAACTGCAGTAGTCGATCGATTAAATTATCTTTTAGCTATCGTAACATTTGCCGTTTTCAAATGATTAGTCTAAGAAGTGCAGGTTATGTCTTTTAGCCGTTTTCTGATTAAAAGCAAGAGGCAATCCTTCATTAAATTACCGTATTGAAATTTTCAGACGAGCTGGCAGTGATACAATGAAGACTAGCGTTGGTGTTGGGGCTTACCTCGAGAAAAGGCTTCCAGCAAAAGAGGAAGAGGTGCGGTTGTAAAAAAAAAAAGTTACAGTAATCCAGCTTCTTGTCTACGTGAGCAATCTGTTTTCGAAAAAGTGAATAATTTAGATAATTTACCGTAACGTTTCCATCAGATTTTATCCAATTCATTTTCCCATTTGATAAAGGATTAAACCGTCAATGAAATGAAATCAAAATTAAGTGAATCGGGCAAAATCTGAAGGAAAGATTACTTTCCCAAATTGGTCACCTTTTAAAACGTATTGAGAATACTTTTTGAAATGTATAGTGCTGAAAAAAAGTGAAACTATTTCAGGTTCAAGTTGAAGGAGAGATCCCAAAGCAAGTTCTCGAGAATTTGCGGGATGTCCTCTGGATGGCATGAACAAAGAAAATCGACAATTTTTGATTTGATAACTTTTTTTATGACTAAAATCTTTCCGAAACTCTTTACTTCTTTTTTCTTCGATCTCTCCACCGGTGATTTGTTCTTTTTGCATTTGTGAAACGATAAAATGGCTCGTTATTCGCAAACAAGCATTTGAAAATTAAAAGAAGCTTTAAAGCGGCTAAGATCTTTCTAAAATGTACCCAACGAATGAAAAGCTGGCGGGTGGATTACGGTTATTTGTCTAGAATGGATTCCCTTTAGAAAATGCCGAAAACACAAGCGCTGAAAGACACAATTGCGCATAAAATAAGAACAAAATACAACAAATGTGATAAGCAACAAATGCGTAAAAGCAAAACAAACAAATCACATCAAATAACAAAAAAACACAAAGCTTTCAGATGTTCAAACGGTGATTTTCCTAAGGGTCCATTTTTGCTCGCTAGCTTTCGTCGTTGATGAGCAGTTCGAATTTATGATGACTGTGGAGAGTTGGGGAAGAGTAGTGTAGTTCACCCGGCCTTTGCAGCCCGCTTTTGTGCACCTAAAGTAATCTATATTAACAATCTAACTTGCTAAAAATTAGCATAATGCCATTAAACTTTACCTGTAATATACATTTCCGCTCTTTAGTACTTTTATCCTTCCCATACTCGAACATTTCATCGTCATAAATCAATCCTTTCGCTCGTTGTGAAATTGCGACCATCTAAAGATAAAAAAATAATTGTTTGCAACAAAATAAACCAAAACAAATAACGAATAAAACTATTACTTCATCAAAAAAAACTTAAATACGAGCTAATCTAACAAATTTTTCCGCGCATTCGGTGCCTACTGCGGTGCCCTAGGACAAATGAGTGAAAAAAAAAGTGTAAAAACAGAAGCAAAACCCTAAAAAACATGCAAAAGCAGCGTAGAAAGTAAAAATATTAAAACCTAGTCGCGCTGAAATAAACGTTTTCCAGTCATTTTTGGCGCGGCGCTGTAATGAGCGCTCGCCGAATCGTCAATTTTTGGCGCTCATGTGACTCCCTCCCTCAGTTTGTGTATGTCTCTTGAGAGTCGACACTCCGACACTGAATACTTCTTTTAAAAAATGGAACTTGAAAATCTTCACGTATGTGATTGCGAACTTGATCGTGTGCTGAAAAATTCTTTGAAAGTGCCTTGCAAGCTCTTATTCATGATGACAAAACAAAAATCCGAGCGTAACCTAAGAGAATCGAAGCTAAACGAATACTAACCTATAGAAATAACAATCAACAATAACAATAGATGAATGAATATACCCGTAAAACGAATTAGGCAGCAAATTAAAGGTTAAAGACACAAAAGTATAGGGCTATGAACAAAATGGTACTTCAAAGATCCTATTTAAAGCGCGGCACACCGCTCGTCTCGTTCAACATGTAGGAGCGGTGGCTGTTCGTGCGAAATTTGTCGTCGTTGAGTAGAAAACTGAATGGAATATTGGAAGTTGAGATTTTGACAAGCAGTTATGGATCCGATATTGGATTAATTAATTGATGACAGTCTTATGGTGATCAGAGTTTACTTTTTTTTTCGGAAGTTTAGTTCTTTAACTAGGTACTCCTGGTAAACTGAACACCCACTTTCTATCCTTAAACCTCGTCGTTCCCATGTAGGTGGTGGTGATGAGTTGACGCCAAGCGTTCGGTCCTTCGTATGGTATCAGCGGAATGCACTCGCCTCGCGTGAAATTGTACTAAAAGTGATATAATGTGATAGTATTGGAATTGCTCTAAATACAGTAACAATCTACAATTCACAGCCATAAAAGTTCCAAGTTCATAGAATTTCAAAAGTTCAGGGCCATTTCAAGTTTAGCCCTCCATTTACAAAACTAACCTTCGCTTTAAAGCAGAACGATTTAGTGACGATGGCGTGGAAATTCTGCGGTGATTTTCTAAAGTGGAAAAATTTAGTGAGACAATACGGGCATCTTTGTCAAACACTCCTATAAACCTAGATCCTAAAAGTGGCATTATAATTATAATAAATAAAGTCGGTACTTGTCATTTACAACCTGCAACTAAGCCAGTATAACGAATTCAACTCACTTGTCCTGATATATCCGCATCACTCGCAATTGCTGAAAGCGAATCAACGTAGCCACAACTAAGAGAAATGTGATCCCAGGCACGATAGAGAAGTAGCCGATCTAAATTTTAAAATACAATATTGCGTTTGTATAGTCTGATGGTTTTAAATTTAAAACTAAACTTCAATGGTTTTAATCGATTTAGTGTTTTAGTTATTCCGGAAAAAGTTTAAATGATTGTTAAAAGGCTTAGGGTGCTAAAGTGCCGATTTCAGCCATAAACCAAACCTCTCGAATGTCTTTAGTCAGTTTTTTCGTCGACGCCATCCATTCGGCCTCCTCACTTAGCGCTAAGTCGAAGACGAGCAATGAAAAACCTAAAAAAATGATTTAAACATAGTGAAAAGTTACGTAATCTTACGAATGTGTTCTACATAATAGTACAACACAAAGTGCCTACAAACTACAAATTGACTAACAACAATTTGTTTATAAGTTGGATAATACCGTGAGCTTTAAACCCCAAAAATTACTCACCAAATATCGCCAATGGAGCCGCGATGGCCATGATGCCGTGTGAGTGAGCCGCACCTAAAAAAGATACGTTAGATAGGTGATAAGCTTAAGTTTTCAATTCATTATGGCAAGCTCTACTAAATTCGACTTGTTTGACACTGATAACCAACATAAGCTTCTCGTTTCCCCACGACTATAAAGTTGCAAGGCTTTTCAACCCAAAATTCTGCCGATAAAAATTTGACGTTTTTATCTTTTTTATGCTATTTATTTTTCATTTTATTTATTTGTATGTTATTTTTATGTTTGCCCTTCCATTGCCTCTTATTCATTTTAAACTTTCTTTTCTAAACTCACCAGGATCCCGATAGATGAGAAAATATCGCGCGGGGCTCATCTTGTCGATTTTGTGCATCTTCTCGATTAACTCGGGCGCAAACGAGTTCTCGGTTTCCTAAACAAGGCCAATAGAGTTTCTCGTGATGAAGCTAATTGAGTAAAGCCTAACGTTATCTGTTAGAATAACTAACAGGCGCATCGAGCATTTCTACAGCTTGTTTAACCTTGTTTCACGTTTACCCATCAAATTAAAGATTAGAATTATCAATTAGGTATAACTAACAGGTACCTCAGGCACCTTTCATAGTTCCTTACAATAGCGGCCGCGCTTTTGATCCACTCCAAAATCTTTGAGTGTCGTCGCGAGACATGAAACCGTCGGAGTTGCTCAAATCGTGCTATCCGAAATAACATCGACCCTTCGGCGTCTAAAATTAAATTTGATTAGAGATATGGATATCAAAGAAAAAATGCCGAAGAATTTGAACCAGATAACTTTAAGTTACTTTTTCATTAGACTTATCGTTCCTTGACCGATCCACTTTTGCGTTTTCATGGCCTAAGTAAAAGAATGGTAAAAGGTAAAAGACTTTGGTAAAAGACCTTTAAATTCCCTTTTAGCCAATGAAACTCGTTTTTATCTTAAAGGATTAAAATTTTCATCCAACAGCTACAAAGATGCAAAACTAGAAATACTGTCTCGACAAATACCTTAAAAACTTTCATTTACCGCTTTTTATAAAATATTTATTCATAATCGATGCCTAAAAGGTAAAAAATCACAACATTTCAAAACCGGATTTAAAATCAACAAAAGAGTGCAAAAACTTCGCTCCATTTCTTGCCTCATTGCTTTCCACGCTCGTCGGCGAACGCGTCCTCCTTGTGACCCTCCATGCTAAAAAGGAAATGTTTGGAAAGAGGAAAACACTCACAAATCTTGCAAGAAGAGGCGTTGGTGGTGCTCGCGATGGCTCAGCTTCTCGACTTCGTCCTGAAACATACAAAGATTTTACTGTTAGTAACAGATTTAACACAATCTACTATTGAATCTATAATACTAAATTAGAAGACAGATACAAATTTTACCTGTTCCAAGTGGAAATCGAAGAGCTCAAAATTTTGTTTGATTCGATCTCCATTCACCGATTTCGGAATCACCGCAACGCCAAGGTCCATCGCCCAACGAATGAGAATCTAAAACGCAAAATGTTAAAGTTTATCTCATTTTTTAAAATGTTCAGATTGCTTAGTGTTTAAACTCAGATTTTAAATATTCTTACCTGTGCCGGCGTCTTGTTGTACTTCTTTGCGAGCTCGATGACGAGTGGATTGTCGAGGGCACTCGGCGCTTCGGCCCAAACGAGCTTGCTAAATCGAGAAGTATAATACCTACTATTATGGAAACTTACGCCCCACTCTTCAGCCGAAAATTGACACGCCCTGGTGAACCGAGCGTCGCATAGGAGGTGACGACGATTCCGTGTTTTTTGCAGACTTCCAGCATCTTGTGTTGTGGCAAGTAGATATGCAGCTCGACCTAAGGTTCGTACATTTGCGAAGTTCCAAAGGTTGAGCCTACCTGAGAGCTAGCGATAGGCACCGTGGCAATTTTGGCGATGCGCTCAATCTAAAAAATCCGGTTATTTTGTTTTCAAGGGAACCCAATGTTTTTCAAGACTCAAACTTCACCTGTTCCTCGTTGAAGTTGGATACACCGATCGATCGTACTAAGCCCTTTTCAACGTGCTTTTCCAAAGCCTAAACCAAATATTTCCTGAATTGTGTTAACAACCACCTTCCAGATGTCCTCCACCGAGATGTCATTCTCGTGTTTCGACATGTCTTCCTTAAAACATTTCAATTACAAGATTTCAGCCGCACATTTACTCATGTAAGCTTGAAATGTTCGTTTTTAAAAGCACGAGTGTGCAAAACTAACCGAAGCGGCAGCTGGCATGTGCGCTAACACCAAATCGAGGTAGTCGGTGCGTAGTTTGCGAAGGCTCTCCTTTACAATAGCTTCCTGGCGCTCCGGGTTGAGATGAGTAGACCAAATCTATAAAATAAAAACTTTATGCTGAATTTTAGGTTTGTTGCAAATCGCTTACTGGTTCTTTTACTGTTGGTATGCAAAAAGATGTCATTCTTTGCCAAATTTCCAAATTTTTATCAGACTTTAATTCGAACAACATACAAAACTCACCTTTGTAGTGATGAAGACATCCTCTCGTTTGATGACGCCTTCATTGTAGAGTTCCTAAAATGAGAAATTTGTTGAAATCGTGAATTGAGCTTACCTGGAGAGCGTTCCCGATCTCCTCCTCATTTTCGTATCCCTGAGCGGTGTCAATCAATCGGTAGCCGTCTTTCACCGCCACCTTCACGGCCTTTTCCACCTCGCCGGGATTCGACTAAAGCATAATGACTTTCATTAGTTTGCCCATAAAGTTTTCAAGTTTAAATTCATTTTTTTATCCGTGGCTATGATATATAAAAGTTCTATCAATTCTAATTGTTGTTTTACTCTTATACTACCTGCCAAGTCCCGAGGCCGACTTGCGGCATTTTGTGCCCATCTGGAAGTGTGATTGTCGGTCCGCCAACGGTCATCTTCTCAGCTAAAATTAAACTCCATTCATAATTGTGGATGTATCGAAAAAACATTAAAATCTCAACATAGCAACATACTTAACAATAGTCTGGGCTTCGACCTAACAACAAGAAAGCTACAGCAACCCAGTTTTCTGTCTTTCATTAGGCAACAAAAGGTGGCTCAAATCCTGTTCTTTTTTCATTTTTGCAAGTTTAGAAAACGATTTATAAAACAAATAATACAACACATTAAAATACAATAACAACAGGCGCAACACCGCCAACTTGGCGTATCTGGAAAAGGAGAAATAACCAGCGAGAGAAAAGGAGACCAAATGACAATTTCCTCACAAAACACAAAAGGGTTAAGGGGACAAAGCCTTGGCACTTGATGGGGAAATGGGTCAGAATTTGACGTTTTTGATGGGAGATTACAAAGAAACAATAGGGGAATTGAGGGCTTAAGTTTTTCGCCCAGTAGATCGGTAACTTTTGCAACAAGCTGGCCTAGGCGACGTGTTGTTCTTCGGCGAGATAAGAGAGGACACAGCCTATTTCTAGTGCGGAGAAAAGTCTATCCCAGAGTTAATTGATAAGCGGAGAATTGAATACCTTAAAATTTCCTTGGCTTGTAGAAAATATTGTTGACTACAGGATTGAGAAAAACGAGGAAATCTAAATATTCAATTTTACGCCTACAAGTCACCACTGAACCTGATAAATGTGAATGATGGCACGGGGAAATGGAAAAAGCAAAAAACAAACACGCACACATAAATCGGTCAGTTCCATATAGCAACCTACTCTTAAAATCAAGGCAAAGAAACACGACACGCACTCGTCTCAAACCACCAAAAGAAATGTACCACGGAGCTATCTCCGACAAAAGACAAACCCTAGACTACGCTTTTTGCGATTGTTATGGGTGTTTCTAAATTCCGTGCAGAGCAGGTTCTTAAAGGTATTCAATTTGAAACGGACAATTCCAAAACCCATAAGAATTGCGTGGATGACTAGACAAAGCGACCAAGCGGTGATCGAGATTCGGTAGTGAAAGTGACGACATGATTTTCGGAAAACCAAATCCCAAACACGATGACCCTAAAATGTAAACGCAACAAATAGATTCTCGTGCGAACAAAAAAAACCGATAACGAGGGGAAAATATAGAAATCTATTCACAAAAGACAACAATAACTCGCGAGATAAACAAAAAAACAAGTGCCAAGTTTGATCTCTCGGTTCGGAAATTTTGAAAAAATTCACACAATTAACAATTTTGAAGAGGAAAGCTAAAGGTGAATCAAATCTTTAAGAAATTGTGACATCCGAAAAACAAATGAATCACGACACACGAAAAAAAAGAAACACCTTTCACAATAAACGTTTAAACGGTAACAATTTAATAAGATGCTTTCTCCTTTAAAAGAACACAAAAAATTGGGATGTTGCGCAGGCCGGCTGACATTTTTAACGACGAGAGCCAGATTGCAGAGGCACCGTCTCAATCTCACCCTAAATATACGCAATTGGAAGATTCATAAATAAAGCTAGCATATTTATTTACTTTTTAATTAACAAAATGATACCTTGTTGGTTCTGTTTGGATCGCCGGTGGGGGTGAATCCAAGACAACTTCCGTCAATAACCAACGTGCGACCTTTACCCTTCTTCTTTTTACCTAAAAATGAACATTGAAACAATAACTTTAAAATCAAATAAAGTACCCGTTTGCTGAGCCGTCCATTCAGAGTTAGTCGACGCAATTGTCTAAAGTTCAATAAATTAGCCTCGCTACTTAAACTCAACCTCGGTCTTTTTGCCACCCCTTGCATCGGAGCGTTTCTTTATGAACTCTTTCACGAATTCCTTGACGGCCTTTGATTCGCCCAAATAACCAATTAGATAATCTTCCACCTAAACGAATTTGTTTCTCTTAAAAGCGACAATTTTTACTTCAGCCGGACTATCAACATCGGCGACAAATGAATAAAGAACTTCGGCTTCAACGTCCTCGTTGAGTTGCTTCATTCTGGAGGTTGCCCATTGTTGAAGCGATGGTGGTTGAGCTTTCTGGAAAGAAGGCAATTTTAAGGGTTACTATGTAACCAAATACCGGAGTCGGCTTTGAGATAGATGGAGCTGGTGCTGCCTTCGTTGGTGGAGGCTTCGGCTTGGGTGTGACCTTATTAGCACTGGCAAGCGATGGACCGTCGAGAATTGGGTTTACCTAAAAGAAAGTGCAATGACATGACAACAGTAATTCTATCGTGACTTTAGTAGGCACAAATGTGCTATTTTAGTTGATCGACTGTCAAATAAATAAAACTTTCGACTCTGCGATCACTAGGGCATTTTGAAGAGTAGTCCTAACCCGAGCCGGTTCACTTGAAACTGCGCCCCAAGCACTTGACGATGATGCGCGAGCCTTTGGAGGGTTGTTTGCAAGCCGCGTTGCCGCATTGCTCCAGGTTCCGGCTGATTGAATCGATTGCTGAGTTCGAAGTTCCTAAAATAACAACGCTAAATATAGCTGATTGATACTCAAATTAGACTACATAATATTGCTGGGGCATACCTCTTTTCGCAAAGCCTCGTTTTGTCGTCGCTCGGCAGCGGCTTGCCTTTCCTCTTCTTTCATGATTTCAGCCATTGTCTTCTCTCGTGGAGCAGACGTTGAGCTCCATGGAGTAACTAAACAATTCTTACTTTGTGTTTGAAGCAAAAGTGCCACCTTTAGCTTTCTCCTTTGCTTCTTTCTTTGGCTTTCCTGCCGTTTCCCAATCTTCTGTCACTTGGAAACGGTTCCGCTCGACTTCGCGTTCTGCCATCAAACGAAGTTCTTCATTCTAAAATTATAAATGATGAAAAGCTACAACCCTAAATAATTAGAAAGCCACCGTGTACCCAAAGTATTGAAAGGAAATCTATTACAGAATTTATCATAAAGAAAAGCTATGTGCAAAAGCTAATAGGTGCAGTAACCTTTTTCAGTTGTTCTCGCTTCCGCTTTAACTCTTCTTCCTATAATTTTTAGAACCGAGTAGACATTGATTTTGATTATTCCGACCTTTTTCAACTTCTCAGCCTCCTCCCTTTGTTTCAGTTGAGCAACGGCCTCGCGGGAAGCTATCTCCAAACGGCGTCGCTCGTTCTCGGCTGCAAGCTCCGCTCGTTTCCTAAAGTTTATAGTTACACGATACCATTTTAAGACCAACTTTCTTTCCTCTTCCTCGAGCTTCTTTCGTTCTTGTTCTTCTTCCAAGCGGCGAAGTTCCAGTTCTCGTCGGATTCGATCCTCTTCCAACCGTTTCTAAAAAATGCTACACAATTGAACAGCCTGTTTAATGTATTATTATTTTTTGCATGCATTTGGTGAATTCTTCGTTTCTTGGTTTATAATTAGCCCTGGAAATGATTTAATACGAACTTTCTCCTCCTCTTCTCGTCTTGCTTCGGCTCTCTTTGCTTCCTCAATCGCAGCAACACGTTGGCGCTCCCTTGCGACTTCCTTGGCCTAGATTGAAGTGTAAAGCCTTTTATTTTTTATGTACTTTACCTTTTCTTCAATCTCGAGTCGTTCCATTTCCAATCTGGTTTCTAATTGCTTTGCCGTTTCTTTCATAGCCTGTTCTCGCCGTTGGATCTCCTCCTGGTACGCTCGCAATTGCTCTTCTCTTGCCTAAATTACAATGAATTGATTGTCTTTAAAAAATTTCCTACTTTGTATTCCATGCGCTGTTGCTCATCTTTTTTCTGTTGTTCGCGGAGGAGTTGCTGATATATTTCCTCTTGATGGATCAACAGTCGACGCTGTGTCTCTTGCTCAATTTGTTGCTAAAAGAATTGTATCAGTCCCACTAAGTTTAAACGTTCCTTACCCTAAGCACCGAAGCGCTTTGTTGATAAGTAGTATTCTGATTGGTCCCATAAAGATAGGCAAGCTCTCTCGGCATATTCCATCTAAAGTTGAATACAATACTTTGGCATAACAAGAAGTTTAACCACAAAAATTAAAACTTGTTGATATTCATCCAAATCAAAATTTAATGCACAAGGTCTTTAATGGTGAACAAACCATACCCAGGCATTTGTCCAAATTGAGCTGACGTCTGCGGAGGTGGCGGTGAAGGCGCTTTGAAATCAAATGGTGTTGCTGCTCCATTCATTGCTTGGAGTTCACCTAAACACACTTAATTATTAGATAGCTGACGGTCAATCACCCACCCAAAGATTTAAACTCCCGCTCAGTGTCTCTTCGAAGGAGAAGGCTCGTCTCAAAGTATCCAATCTGAAACTAGCTTTTCAGCGTGTTAAAATACTAATTTACCTTAAACCACTGCTCCATTTGATCCTTCTCAAAAGGTCCTCGTTCAACTTTTGTCGGATCCATGTAATAGAACTTGGATGGAGGAGCCTAGGTCGACTGACTACGGCCCTTGAAAGTTTAAACTAACTGGATCAGCTGGTTGTAAAGGAGTTGTAGAATATTCTGAAGGTATTCCCGAAAAGAGAGCTTGATCAAATGGATATCCAGATGTTGTTGGCGGTGGAGCGGAAGTTGTCGTCGGTTGAGCCCGTTGTTCCATAACAGCCTAAAAATAATTTAACGGAGCACTTTTATGCTTTATATCCTAGAATTTTACACCATTCTGAATATACGCACTCGTTCTTGAGCTGCAAGCACGCGATCAACATCTTGTGGATTTGAAGCAGCCATCCCAGTGGCAGAAACCTGTCGAGCCCAGGCTGGGCGTTGTTCACGATTCAGTTCTTCCTATAACGAAAGTCATTGCACATGATTGATAAATAATAAATACCCTGTTCTGTCTTGGCTCACTGCTTGAGTTCATCATTTGCGCGGCGGCTCCAGTATTGCGTTCATCGCTCGATTCTCTAAAAAAATACAATTTAACATTGTTTATTTTAGTGAGACCAATGCATTGAAACTCGTAGTTATCTTTAAGTAGTTAAATTTAATAGAGCAGCCTAAACCTCCAATAAGCACCTTGAAATGGAGATCGGCTTGTCAAGTGGCTCCTCGTCGTCGCTATTCATCCATTCAGGCAACAGGCCTCCATCTGTCGTATTCCGGCGTGGCCACCCATTTCCTCCACCGCCATTTTCCTCACTTCTTTGGTCAAGTCGCATCGGTTTCCAACTAAAAATGAACATCATAAGAAGTAAGAAGTCTATGACTAATTTGAGCCGTTTAAAATTTACCCAGACGAATTAGATCCACCATTCGTGTTTTGCACATCGTCTTCGCTGGTGCTTCGAAGCCTCGCGCGTGGACGATCTAAATGAGCATGGTAATATTAGGTTGTGCAATCAGAAATATCGTCGACCTTTGTTTTAAAACAAAGAAGCCTTCAAATAATTTATGGTTTGAATAATTAAAAAGCCTAAACATTTCCTTATAAAAAGACTATAAAGTGTCCAAATCACGATTTCCGCATAACGTCGTTTTAAGTACTGTCCTTCAAGTTGTTCAAAACTAGCTTTTCCAAAAAACCCAAAAGCCATTATGTAAAAAAAATCTTTAGGCTTTCAATTATTTAAAGTATTCTAATTCTATTCTAATTACACAACCTAATAAAACAAGTTTAAAAGCACAACCTTTTGGATCCTTTGGATTGTATAGGCCTTGAGCTCGTGTATTGAATGATGGCACCGCCGTTGAGCCTCCTCGACCATTTGGTGGAACTCCTCTTGCATTACGTGGCACTAAAATTAGACAATACATTTCACTTTTTCAATCGGCATTTTCTAAACATCATAGTTTAAGTTGTAGCATAACTTAAAGTTTACAAGATGTCTGAAACTTACTAAATACGTGAAAAATACTAATTTTATTAATTAATTATCTACTTAAACTCTTTATAGTTTAGCAGTTCACATTAATAAACCTACCATAACGTTGTCCATAAGGCGAATTTCCATCTTCATTCGGTGCAACGTTTCCTTGTTGACTCGTTGCCGAAGATCCTCCACCGCGTCCAGGGTAACCACCAGTCGTGAAGCCACCGCGACCCATTGTTCCACGATTTGTCGCATTTCCACGATCTAAAAAGTTAAATTAGTACCGTTTACATTCAAACGCTATACTTTATCTTTTCTCACTAACTTTTTATGAAACATAAAATACTAAGGAACTTACTCCAACTAGAGCTTTTCACTGGTGTCCAACCGCCGCCAGTTTGCGGTACGTTGGGTCGTTGAAAGCCTGTATTTGCCGTTCCACCTCCGCCACTTGCCAGCACCTAGATACAAAAAAATTTAAAGAATTTCCTCAAATTGCACTACCTGAGCGCGTTCGGCTGGCGACAGAGAGCTCATAGCCTTTGACGAGTTGATGTTGTTCTGTATCATGCTCTAAAATGAAAGGTCAATTTAGAAATACGTTTCTTGAAAACCTGCTCTCTTTCAGAAAGCGGGTAAATCGAAACGGGTTGTTGACATTGTTCCACGAAGAGCTCCTGACAACGTTCGAGTCCTTCAGGCGGACGACTATCTTTGCCGACGAGCGCCAGTAGATCCTCACGTCCATAACGATGCTCCACAAAGACAGGTGGTGCCAACGGATATTCCTAGAAAATAAAATGTAACTTGTTTAACGACCAGACTTGACATTAATCACTCATTCTCTTCCGGTAAGACTCCTAAGCCTTTTTAGCTAACCGCACTAACAAACAAACCTTATTGTCCGTTTCTCCGAGCACGCGTGAGATCACCGCGCCTCCTCGATCGCCGCCACCTAGGCTATTCCCGTGGCCGCCTCGATACGCGCTGCCAATCCTAAAACAGACATTAAAATAAAACACGATTTAATCCCTTACCAGCTAGGATTGAAGTTTTGGTTGGTCTCGACAGAAGACATTTAAACGATCCCTGGAAAAATGAAATTAAGAATGAAGTAAAGCAAGAATAAAAAAATAAGCAGGGGATGGTCAAGAGAACAAGTAAAAGACTGTAGAGAACGATAAAGTGGCAGTTCAATTCCTAACATCCTTGAATAAAACCGTAAGATACCAATAATATAAATAGCTCCAATTGAGCCTAAAAGATCATCAAGATCAAGGTCAATTTTAAAAATTCCCTTGCAAACAAGCTTCTTGATCAGCTATTGATCCATGTATTCAATAAATTTACACCTGCTTTAAACCTTGCGTCACCGTTGGCTTTTATGCCTAAAACTTTACTCGCGCTCTTAGTTTAATGCCACATGTCAAAGTGGCAGGCCAAGTTCGGGGCACTTTCTAGCATTTAGTAGCACCGTACAAAGAGAATCGCGCTGGGACCCACCGAAAAAGTCTTTCCCCTCTTTTATTGCCAGCTCTTACCAGTCAAAGCCGCACAAAGACAAAAAAAGGCCGGGTGACTGAGTGCTCAGGCAATAGATTCCCCAATCACACTGTGCACATGCGGAAAATACCCTTGTGGCGGCCGGCTGCGCCATAAATTGCTTCCTAGACCAAAAATTAGAGCAGTGATATCAAGAATTGGCAGCAAAACGCGCCCCTCCCGCACAAGATTGCACAACCAGGGGAAAACAAATAGCGGTATTACGCTACGATAAAAGAAAATACACTCTTTGACTATTTAAAAGCTATCAACTAACAAATTCTGGAAATGTCGTTGGAGGAACGAATTCTTGACACACCGATCACTTGGCGGCTCCTCGAGGAGGATTTCCACAAAGCATTTCGTAGCTCTTCGAAAGTTGGCCCAAATCGATCGGCTGTGGTGTTCGGGGAGAATCGAGTGAGAAATTGCGAAATACCAAAACGCATAAAGCTTTAGGGGAACACATCGGTCCTCGTGATTGCAAGACTCGACTGGACCCCAAACGATGAGTCATTGCCCAAAACGGTTGTTCTCAAAATCACCACTTGTGAAAAATTGCGACAAGTTGGCGAGAGCAACTCGCAAATGCAATTCGAGGGTCAAGAAAAGAGAGCTGCTTTGGTGGGAATTTTCGCAACCTAGTTTAAGAAGCACAACAACTAAATGTGTTGAGGGAAAACGTTTCAGATGCACAATGCCGAATGGAATCTTTACGAAAAGGCCCAGAAGTGCCAAGAGTTCTGCGAAACGATGAAGCTTCCGAAATATTATTGTGGACGAAATTTCGATTTTGAGCATCTCAAAGCAGGTAAGGCCTATTCTATGCTAACTTAATCTCGCATTGCCTAAGCTTATGATTTGTAAACTATCCGAGAAGCTGGTGCTAAATCTAACAAAGCAGCACTTTTAAGGGTGACCTTAAATATGCAGCCCGATTCTATCAAAATGCCCGAAAAATGATTGAGCAATCTAGATCACAGTACTTTATGGATAACAGCGGGTGGCAAAGAATTAACGAGGCTAATAAGAGCTAGCAGACATCTATTTAGCGTCATCCAAAAGTATCGCTTAATTCAAAAGAAGCAATTATCAATGAAACTAATAGGCCAATTAAAACCTGAGCCATTCCAGGCTATATAGCGATCGAGCAAATCACCGATTCCATTTGTTTTCCGGCCTACGAAACAACAAGTGATGAAGGAGCCGAGCAAATCGTCAAAATTTTCGCTAAACTGTCCGCTTTCTGTGAGCAAACCCTAAATTTTTAACGTTAAATACCGTAAAGTTGAAAATGCACAAAGAAAGCAAGGTTTCTGCATTGTGATCTCGTTGAGAGCGCAACAAAGCTACTGATTTGTGAATAAACTCCTTTTAGAGGCAAGACTTTTAGACAATTTAGCACTCAAAAACCCCGAAAGCGTCAAATCGATGCATGCAGATGTCATGGATGAAATTCTTAAAATGTTCGTCAGTAAAGAAGTGAGAAACCAATAAAAACTGAAGCTAGATTATCAATATTTTAAACAGCGGCCTATTTTTAGAAAATCGAAGCCGGACTCGACGCGGTTGTTGCGAAATTTCCCGATCGCAGAGCGCAAATTGAAACGCTGAAGAAGTTGCTACCGTTCTACGAGAATTATGAGACGCTGCGTGATCTTATGAATTACGGTTTGTAAGCGGATGAAAAGAAGAAATTAAGTTTTTAGGGGGTCACTAATGGACTTTGCGCCAAATTTTTTGCGCAACTGGATCATTTGCGCAGAGTAAAAAATTTCGCGCAAAGCAAAGGTCTCAATTTTTGCGCTCTCCGGCCTTTTCATAGTGCTGCAATTGCAATATTGTCTGAACTACGGTATTATCCAGGATTTAGAAAACAGCCACCAAGTCACTAATGGAGTTACACATTGTGATTGTGTTTCTGAACTTAGAAATTGAAAATTTGAAGCTTTCAAGGGTTTTCTAATGCTGCAAATGTTCAAGCACTTCCATACATTGTAGTTATAATGTTGCGGCCATACTACGGTACTTGTCCAGCATTTAAAAACCAGTTCCACATCAATTGTGTGTTGTTGCCCATGCTTACTATACAATCATAGTACCCCCCTTTTATTTTTTCAAGGTTTTTGATCCTGTTTTTATTGTTTTTGTAACTTTTCTTCACTGAAACTTTACTTTACAACGTTACTTTACTCCTGAAAACATAAAATTCACACAAAGCGCCCATTTTTCACCAAAAATTCAACTGATTTCAGTTTCAAAAATGAAATAAAACGCAAACTTTTAAAGCTTTATTGAACATTAAAAAAACAAAATACAAAAAATTGTAAACAAATCAATGAGAAACTTTTAAAATCAGCAATAATCAGTTATCGCATTCATTTTCTGAATCCTTGTCACTGAAACCTATGCTAAAACTGTCAAATTCGTGCTCAGCACCCTCGATTACCCCTAGAAAAGTGAGAAAAAATCTAAAATATAGGTGGCCCCCAACCCACAAAGTACGAAAACTTATTTTAAATTTAACAAATAGAGCTAAAACCTACTTTTCCCTTTATATGTCGTTCTGATCGAGCGCTCAAAATTGGGTGCGTATCGTCCTTTCGGGCATTTACACATCTGGTCAGCTTCGGGTCTCTCTATTGAAGGGTTTCCTGAGAGAAAAATAACATTATACCATAAAAAAACAACGATAAAACCGCTTAAAATCGACACGCAACTCCAATATTTTTTGCCGCGGTGTTATTTTTCTAGTTGCCAATGGGTTATTCTATAATTAAAAAATTGAAAACTACTAGTTATTGCATAAAAATATTAAAAACAGCGCTTAAAAATGATTGCAACTTTTATTTGCAATTTGATTGTTTATCTACCTAATTCATGATTATCGGTTTCATCTTTGTTTCATTTCTTGCCTTTACGGAGTTAACTCTTTTATTTACAGGTAATTGTATAATCAACTTGCAACAAGCAACAAAATGGCCAAAACAAACGCTGTTGGAATCGATCTTGGAACGACCTACTCGTGTGTCGGAGTCTTCATACACGGCAAAGTGGAAATCATTGCCAATGATCAAGGTTAACTTTGTATATTCTAATCAAAATGCTTTTGGAGTAAGCTTTAACTGCTTAATTTAATTGTAAACTCTGGTAGAAATTGTCGAAGATTTAATGATTTGCTTTAAATGACTACTTTTTAATTTTAGGAAACCGAACAACCCCTTCGTATGTGGCCTTTGCTGAGTCGGAGCGTCTGGTCGGTGATGCCGCTAAAAATCAAGTGGCAATGAATCCACACAACATTGTTTTTGGTTAGTTTCTATGTCTTAAGTAGTGAATGTGTGAATTTAGATGCAAAACGTCTCATCGGTCGCAAGTTCGACGACCCAGTTGTTCAATCGGATATGAAGCACTGGCCCTTCAAAGTCGTCTCAGGCGAAGGCGGAAAGCCAAGGATTGAGGTCGAGTACAAAGGAGAGAACAAGACGTTCACACCTGAGGAGATCTCGTCAATGGTGCTCAGCAAGATGAAGGAAACCGCCGAAGCCTTCCTGGGACAGACGGTCAAGGATGCCGTCGTCACCGTCCCAGCTTACTTCAATGACTCTCTACGACAGGTAAAGATAAGGTTTCTTTTGTGTATTGAGCAAACTCTTAGGTTACCAAGGATGCCGCTGCCATAGCTGGACTGAAAGTGCTCCGAATCATCAATGAGCCTACTGCGGCCGCTATCGCTTATGGATTGAACGAGAAGAGCGCTGGCCCGCGAAATGTTCTTATTTTTGATCTTGGAGGCGGTACCTTTGATGTGTCCCTCTTTACCATTGAAGACGGAATCTATGAATTGAAGTCTACTGCTGGAGACGCTCATCTTGGAGGAGGGGTGCAGAAGTTCTTGTTGTATATGGTAAACATTTTTATTTTAGGACTTTGACAACCGAATGGTGGATCACTTCATCGGCGAGTTCACGCGGAAACACAAGAAGGACTTGTCATCAAACCCAACAGCTCTCCGTCGTCTCCGAACTGCGTGTGAGCGAGCAAAGAAAACCCTCTCTTCGTCGTCCCAAGCTTCGATCGAGATTGACTCGCTTTTCGAGGGAATTGACTTCTACACCAACATCACTCGTGCCCGCTTTGAAGAGCTCTGCGCTGACCTTTTCCTTTCTACCATGGATTCTGTTGAGAAGGTAATGTTTATTTCTGTTTAAAAGTTAAACGGATAAGATCTTTAACTATTGGAATTACTTTTTTTATTTCGGGCTCTCCGTGATGAGAAGATGGACAAGTCATCTGTTCACGACATTGTCTTGGTTGGAGGATCGACTCGTATTCCAAGGGTTCAGGAGCTGCTCTCCGACTTCTTCTCTGGCAAGGAACTCGAGAAATCGATCAATCCCGATGAGGCTGTTGCTTATGGAGCTGCTGTTCAGGTAAGGAGAAGCTGATTGCCCTGCTTTGGGCACTTCTTAACATATGTTAAAACATTTGGTTTAGGCTGATTATTGGTCTAGCGTTGTTGACATTCCCTATTCGAGATATGGGGACCTGAATGCAGACAAACTGTTGGAGGTAAGAAGGGGATTTTATTCATGCTTTTAATTATGTTATTTTAGATTGGTCGTGCTTACGGAATTGAGCAGTATAGCTCCGGTGTGCTGTTGGGTGAATCCCCCGAAGGTGTGGTCTATGGTGATAATGGATGGAGAAAATATTCAAGTTGACTCTGCAGTATATTTCTATTGTGTGAATTAATAAAAGGTTAAAGAAAGTCTCAATCTTGCTTGATGAACTTGCTTATTGCACAAAAGTTGTTGAAGTTTTTGGTGCGACTAATTGATGCAACTTTTGTATCTCGGGCCAGGGCCTGCCCTAAGGTTTTGGCCTGACTTCTAGACTTTGACTGGCCCAGATTTGCCTGGGTCTGTTTAAGCTAATACTGCATAATCCCAACAATTCCAAGATTGTAACAAGATCGAGATTTGTCGATTTATTATAGATATTTTTATTTATTATTATAGTTTAGTATAGAACTATCTATAATAAACTTAATGTTGCATAAATAGGGCTATCTATACTAAACAATACTGCATTTATTAGGTTGGGTACTAAGTCTTTCACCCAAATTCATTTTCTATTGAATAAGTCTCAAGCTACCAAATGACATACGATTTTTTTATTCTTTACTTTTACTGGGACTCGTATTGGATCATAAAAGGTAAGCAAATTTTATCTTAAGTTCTAATTTTAATGTTAATATCCCCTATCCGACCGAAAATTACGGAAATCTCGACGAATTTTGTGAATTTGAAAAACTGAAAACTGAGAAAACTGAATGTTGTTCAAAATTTTCATATCGAGGGGGTTAGGGCGAGATATTTGAACATAATCTGTAAAGAATTTAGTCACGAATTTAGTCGAAGTCACGGGATCGGCAAAATTCCGATCGGTTGAGGTTCCTTGTGAATTGAATGAGCTTAAAATTGAGTAGTCCTAAAGGAAAGTCCTAGTTTCTAAAGGAAAATTTACGGTAGCTTTCCCAAAATTGCCCAAATCTTTTAGAAGCTTTAATCTTAAGTTTCATTTTTAAAATCGAAATCTACTTTCAGTTAGTTCATCTGAGCAGCCCGGTCGAGGATTTGATCAAATTACCCAGGCTTGGGGTAAAGGTTGAAAGCTGCTCGCCAGTGATTGAATCGTTGTTGTCACAGCTATTCAGCTTTCCAATACAAACAAAAACTATCCAGCTAGTCGACGAGTACGACAAGATGTTCCCGTTGATGGGTCTAATCGCTTTCCCGATCACTCTTCTCTACGAAGAGATCGTCTTCACAAATTATGAAGGTAAATGAGATCTACTACCGTGATTCACCAGCCAGTTTTTCATTTAATTAGCCCAATTTTCGTATCATTGACTGAGCGTTGTGATTCCTTAATCGATACCAAAATCGGGTTAATCGAAAGGAAAACAAGGCTTAGGCTTAGATTATTCATTGTTCTTTTGGTCAACAAGATAGTCGTGGTTATTCTACTGTCGCCAAACTGTCGCTATAGTACAACTACACTGAATTTCCAATACGGCTCCTATTTTGGCCCAAGACGGTTCCAATACGGTTGCACAGAGTGCGGCATATATAAACTTGCGCTTTATAAAAGGATCGTTTTCTCAAAAACCATAAGAGTTGACAGTTTTTTTTTGTTTAGTTATTGAAAAACTAGGGACATTTTTTTTGCACTGGATTGCAGAAGTTTTGACTGAAATACGGTGCCTTTTTTGGAAAATGGATTAGCCGAAAGGTGCTCAAGTGTCAGTGCTTTGGTACATTGACTGGAGATATTTTTTTGAGAACTTTATATTGACTGAAATACGGTGCCTTTTTTGGAAAACGGATTATAGAAAATTGCAGAATATAAAACTCTAAAATTGAATTCAAATTCAGGTCTCAACAAAGAAGAAAGTGTCGAAAATTTTCGTCAAAAGATTCTTGCTAATTTCGATGAAGCCGAGCGCTGTGTGAGGAGATTCTATCTTTGAAAGCCGATATTGTAAATATTATATTAAAAATATTATAGTATAGCAATAAATACTATATTATAGCAATAAATACTTTAACACTTTTACATTCTGTCAATACTTTGTACTTTGTATAAGAGTGTTTGTCATGTTTGTCATGAAAGTATTTTATAAGTTTAAGCATTTAGATTATCCGGTAGATTCATAGAAATGCAATCAAATAGAAAATAGAAAATAGAGAAAACAGAAAGCATCAAACAATTTGAAATTTACGATGAGTGATAGGCTGGAGCAAAGCCGATTTTCACACCACCGATATGGTAGATGTTGCAGAAGGAGCGGATCCACGGATCACCTGAAATATGAGGTTTTTAGATAAGAATCTTACTGTAATCAAATGGAAATGGATACTGTAAAATCTCTATGGATAGAAGTATGTTATTTTGATAGTTTTTTTTTCATCATTACCAAGAATCCATTGGGGTCCAAAGCCGCCAAAAGTGAAACCAAACAATCCGATGACACAATCGCCGTTTAGAGAGACCTGATAAAGTGAAATTTATAGCTGAATATTCCGATAACTGAATATCTATATGACTAGAGAATAGCTGAATATTCACGATATAATCCTTGTAACTGATGTTGAAAGGTTGCCCGGCGATCGTGATCACAATATCGTCCGGGGTGGCGTTGCAGTCGATTGTATACTGTAAGATTGGACAAATATTGTAGACAAAGTTGTTTGTACAATGCTGTAGACTCAATATGGAATCAATCACTTTCTAACTTTCTTTGAAACAATAACTTTTCACTCTCTTTCTTTCTTTCTTTCTTTCTTTCTTTCCTTTGAACTCACGGCTCCATAGAAAGGGCTATAAGTGCCGCCGAGTTGTTTCCCAATTGCATCAACGACAGCTTGAGGAGCGCCGATTAACGAGGTGCCTGTGTCCGAGATCACCTAAAAGACCGGAAACATTTTAATGTTATATTCAAAAATACTGTAGCTGATGGCTTTTAAAAAGCTCGGCCAAAAGCCAAAGAACAAAAGGCCAGTTTACAGTAATTTCCTCACCTGATAGGTCATCTTGCTACTGTAGGCACCTTGAGAGACACTAAATACAAATATGTTTAAAGATACAGTAATCTTTTAGTTCTTGTCTCACTACAATCGTCCCAGACTGATCATAGTAACCGTAATCAGTCCAGAATCCACTACAATAACCCGGCTACAGTAATCCGTCACAGGCCGACTATAGTGGCCGTAATTCTCCGGAATCCAAATCGATTACCGTATCCTTTTCCAGTACAAATTCCATTCTCACCCCTGAATTGCGAATTGCCAATAGGTTTGCGATGTGATCGGCGTGTAGACGATTTTTGATGTGTCACAGTTGACACTGTCCAACGCTCCATAGGTGAACAAGCCGCCCACCACGTCCTGCTGAGTGCCCTTGCTGAAAGGTCGTTGCTTTTTTTGGGCGAAAGGGTTGACTTGTCAAATTTTGAAACTCACCGATCCATCCACACGTTGAAGAGCGGCTGATCGAGAAGCGAGACGACGTTGTTGAGTAATGGCGGCACCTGGTCGACGGACAACGCCGGCCAACCCATTCCGAAGATTCCGTCACACTAAATTTGTGTATTTCAATGCAAAACCGCTACCGTTTCCTCGAGATTTTGGCTCGAGATTTCTTATTGTTGAATGAGTTCATTGGCTACTAGTGCCGATGATAGTATTGCGACGTTGGCTACAGTATTAACTACAATATGTCTACTATATTTCAAGCTCATTGACTATCAGTTAAAGTTTAGTATATATGATTCTTATATTAACTGGTTGATTCTCGAAGAAATCCGCAATCTGAGTGGCCTGACCGAAGAGTTGCTTCGAGTAGCACACATTCGAGTCACCGAGCTGAAAAATTCAATTTCACCGAGCTGAACAAGCAAGCTAAAAGATGGACATGAAAATGGAGATGGTTTAGAAAATGATTAGATTAAAAGCTTACACAAACAACGTCCTGCCCTAGAAATCCTTGCGCTGATCCGGTTCCGTATTGAATCGTGAATTGTTGTCCGTTCTTCTGATAGCTTGAAGAGGCTGAGGAGTTGAAGCGATGTTTCAAATCTAATAGTAACCTTGTTTTTTTAAAACTGTATAGGTGAGGTGTTTTTTTTCCAAAGTTTTAAGTGCTAGTCATATTGCTAGCTTCAAATCTCCCTCACCGCATGGATTCTGATCGAGTTGAATGCCGACACGTGCGTTCAACGGCAGCGTGCTGCTGCCCGGGCAACACATGGCCGGGTCGCAGAATTGCGGGCATTGATCCTGAAATTTTTATGGAATCTGTCTACGTTTTCTAAAAAGTGCTCTAAAAAAATACTTCACAACAATCTAAGGCTGGCTTTTACTTTGATAATACTTAAACTACCTTGGGCAACTTATTGCAATAGTCCGGACATCCAGGGATCCCGCCGCAGCTCGAATCGGGTACCCATAAATCGGAGGAACCTGAGTCCTTTGATGATAAAGGTTTCCTTTAGCTTTTTACTTATAGTTATCATTATTTAAGACAAATGTAAGGCATTTTCTTGTAACCAACCGGTGTCTAGAATCATGTTAAAGCGCTGTGCCGGGGTACCGATTGAGAGTTGACCGATGTAAACGATCTGAAAGGGATACAGTTTTTTAAAGCCCGCTTTACGATAGTAATCTGGGATTAAGTGCGCTAGAAAGGGGGGTGTTTACGAGATTTGTACAGGCATAAAGTAGTAAACTAAAGTGCTCACATCTCCGTAATCGTAGGCGATTTGACTGCCGCTGATGAGCTCGTGCGGCAATCTCTTCCGGTACTCGTCCCGCTTCTTCTGGTAGGTTTCCCATTTCCCCTGCAATTGCTCATTCAAAAGTTTCCTTTATAAATTTATCGTTTAAATGCAAATTTTCATAGATAGCATAAAGCTGATTTGAAGAAAACAAAAATTTTTCAACAAAATAAAAATTAGGTTTCAAATTTTCGCTTAATTTGAGAGCACCTCCAAGGCTCAATTTTCGATTATTGAGCTCGCGTAAAAACAATGGGAAATATAAAAGCTGGCTGAGAATCTAGTTTTATTTACTTTCTTCCTTTTGTCAAACCTCTTCCATCAATTTCTCCATCATCGACTTGACGCGGCGTAGCGGGATTTGTACGTGCGCGGCTAACGCCATCCCGAGCAGGGAAACGAATAGGAGAATGGGCAAAGGCCTCATCTTGAATCAGTTTTTTGAATATTCAAATGCTTTGAAAGTCTCAATAATATCTCAATCAATTTATTTTTTTAATTTAATCAAAAGTTGAAGATGCAAATGGTTAGATTTAGTAAAGAAAAGGAATGAAATGAACACAATGAACACAAAGGATCGATTGTCACTGATGGTGATCAGCAGCAAATTGGGTCAACATTTAAAACATCAATTTAGGTATGAATTTAGTGTAAACTGCATCATTTTATTATATTATTTCAGACTTTTTAAAGCTATTCAATGCTTTTGTTTTTAAAAACAAAAAAAATCAGATTTATTTATGAGCAAAAGAATCGGAATCGTATTTTGAAGAAAGTCATTAACCATTCTCTCATCAAAAATACTTTAAAAACTTTGAAACTCAATCTTTTCAAGACTGTCAAAAAAGGTAAATTTCTTTAGAAAATCATTTAGATTCATTTAAAGCCCATTTCTATCACATAAAGAACTTAAAAAGACGAAGAATTCTCGTAAATTCAAACTCGATTCAAGTTTTTCCCTCAAATTTCCAATTTCCCCTCAATTCTTATCACTTTTTCATACTTAGAGCGGATTTTTCAGCTTTTCGAGCCAAATCTTTTCAGAAATTTCGGAAAAATGAAGTTTAAATTTGAAACTCTCAATTTTTCACCTTGATAACAGTCCTCTTTTGTTATTTTAGTGAAAAAAAAAGTGCACTTTTCACAGCTGAAATTCAAAAATTTGATAAGTTTTACAAATTTAACTGTAAAAAGAGGTTGCCTTTGAAAAAAAAAGAGTAAAAAAAGAACTTCAACTTTTACTGTCTAAAATTATCTTCAACTTTTACTACTGTAAAAGTAGTTTACTTTAGTTTACTCTACTTATAGTTTTACTACTCACTTTTACTGTAAACTTTTATGCAAAGCGTGAGATTTTATGTCGGCAAAAATACCCGTTTTTGTTCTTTGGCAATGGAAAATAATTTAATAATTTCACATTTCATTGCTTTCGCTGACCTACATCGTGCTCCCCGGATTCTTCCGCGCATTAGCCAATATTTTCGGTGACACCGTTGCAACACACAAGAAGCCGCAATGCAATTTCTAACTCCAAATGTTCTACGATCTGTTGCGGTACCAGGAGACATGATTCTTTTCAAACGACTTGCCTACTTTGTGAATTTAACAAAGATTTGAGCAAATAATTGATCTTTTCATCATGTTGGAATCATTAAGCGAAACGACGAAAACGGTTTTGATGTCGTTCATGTTCATGGATCGAAAGTCAACCCGGAACAAGGTTTTTTTAAAGAAAAATTCTTAATTTCTACATCCAATCGAAGCAAATGATCGAGAGCCACAATTGCTGGATCGAATCGGATCGGATCTGGACAATCAAATCGATAATGTTTTGACACCTGCGAATCGTGCTCTCATTATGGAAAGACTCGACAAAGCGGTCAGTCAAATCCCAACTAATAGTAAGTTACTTTGATTCACTAACCTATTCTATCAAATAAGTAAATAGACTAATAAACTCTATCAAAATTTCTTTTAAAGGTTTGAACGATTTTTCCCTACATCGTCGACAATAGTTGTGAGCATTTTGCTTCACTCATCAGATTTGAACGCCTGATTTGCCTCAAACTGAAGCTTCCATCACATAAAGAAGGTTCTCTATGGAATGACACGGGCTCGCAGTTACTTCAGTTACAGTTAAACCTATCTCGAAACTCTTCTCTGGATCATGAAAGCTGTTCATCATTATTTTTGAGTTTAATGCACGCGAGCTAATGATGTCTTTGAACAAGACGAGACTTGTTAACTGTGAACTTGTAAATGAACACGATTTGTGACTTAAAACCAAGAGTTTTGCACGTTTCAATCGCAAACTGCGCAAAAATGAAAACGTTTATTTGTAGTTTTGATTGTTTTTTTAAAAAAAATAATATTGTCTATGATCTTTTTACTAAATTTACTGTTGTTTGTTCTTGATTCCTACATTGTAACTTGATAAATAAAGATCTCGGATACTTAAATAAAATCCTCGAATTGAAATTCTAAAACTCGCTTCCAATTATTCAAACAAACCCGCATCTGCTGGCAATTCCTCTCTTATTCTGTCAATTAATGGAACAGATGAGTGATCTGTTCAAGTTCAAGAACAGATGAGTGACCTCTTCTCCCTCCGATCTCCGATATTTAAATAAAATCTTCGAATTGAAATTTTAAAACTCGCTTCCAAAGTGAATTTATTTAAGGAATAGTAGAGAAAATGATTGATTAAAAGAATAGAGAAAAGTTGGTGTTTCAAATTTGGCGCGCGCGAGGCTCCAATGAAGCCGGTAAGGTGCAAACGGGACAACAGAAGTTGAGAAAAAACAATTGCGAGAGTTTTTTTTTGTGAATAATACCCAATTTTCAGGTGAATACGATCTAACCGAAACGTTCGAATATTCACCAGGGCGGTCAAGTGATCAAGAAGACGGTGGATCGGCGAAGGCGGCGGATCGGCGAAGCTACCAGTTTTACGCATTGCAGATAATTTTTTTCTAAGATTTTTTTCACGTTTTAAACCAATTGCCCACATCAATTTTGACAAGATTTTGGTGAAATTGGTAACAATTAAACACAAGATTACTGTGGTTTTAGAAAATCGACACATTTTAGAGAACAGATTAGCAGAAACAAAAAGGATTCAACATTGATTCAACAGGAATTGGATGTTTCAAGTTTAATTGTAATGAAAATGCTTCTCGAAAACTAGTGCGTGTCAGTTTAAGGCTTTGAAATTATTTGAGTGTAAATATAATAGAGAAAATTTTCTCTTTCATGTTTGTTATTTAGGAAAATCCTTCTGTTTGAGACCATAGCATTGAATTTTTCGGTTAAAAATCAGGAAGAAAAATAGTGTTTCAAGTTTGAAGTGGAGTAAAATGATTTTCAATGGCCAGTCAAGTATTCAGTATGTCAAAAAAAATAGCAGAAATAGAGTCACTTCAAGCATTTTGCGTTGCTAGCTATTATTGAAATTTTACAATTTTCAAAAACAACAAAACATTTATAGCTCTTCGTTTCCATTTTTCTTCTCCGCTCTCGTTTCGGCCAACTTTCGTCCCTCGACAGCTTGTGCTTTGTGCCAAGCCTGGAAAATGGTTTTCAGCGTTGAAATAGCCGTGTTTCAAAGTGATCGGCTACCTATTGAGTGTCAAATGGCTAATCTTTTCCGATTGGACCTACTGGATCTTTTCCTTCTAGACCTATTGGCCCTATTGGATCTTTTCCTTCTGGACCTATTGGATCTCTTGGATCTTTTCCTTCTGGACCTATTGGCCCTATTGGATCTTTTCCTATTGGACCTATTGGCCCTATTGGATCTTTTCCTTCTAGACCTATTGGCCCTATTGGGTCTTTTCCTATTGGACCTATTGGATCTGAAATGGATACAGTTTCACTTGTTGTCAGTTAAAGAAATTCCCATTCAAGAAAAAAACGCTTTTCATCGTTGAAATATTCATGTTTCAAAGTAAAAAGTGACCTATTGAGTCTCAAATGGCTAATCTTTCGTCAGCAATCACTTTTGCTCAAATAATATAAAGAAATTGTCCAGCGAATTTGCATTTCCCATTCACCGTAATCCTGCTAACAGAAAGATTGTTCAGAAAAGTAGTCTATTCTTCTCAAATCGCTCAACGGAGTGGTTAAAGAAAGAGTTTCGTTAGCTAAGCAAAGCTCCGGAGTTTCATTCTATTAGAAGAATTACGGCTTTATCAATTTTCTTTGCACACATTTGCGAACGAGCCAAGTTCAAGTATCAGATCGACATTTTAGTAAATGCAAATTCGGATCTACTACAGTAGAATTACTTTTCTTTCCCAACCTGTGCATCATCTTCCACATCCAACGGATCGATCTCTTGTTCTTCAGGGAAAATCGCATCCCGTCGTCCCACCAATTCTAACTCGTTCAGCGCTGGGATCTGGAAAACCTTTTTGTGTCTTTCATTCACTAGATTTCCCATTAAACACCGTTGATTTAAATTAAGAGCCATTGATTGTGCCTACCGTAAATACTGTAATAGTACCCCACCCCCATAATGACGGTGCGGAGTGTTGTGTAGTCTAGCTTTGAACGCGTTTTTCTCGACACTGGTTTAAGGCTACACTGCACGTTTAGGTATCAAAAAATAGCCCTGAATTTCAGCTATTTTTTGATACCAAAGACGTATTTTTTGGAAGTACGGGTGCTTTGAAAAACAATGAAATACTAGAAAACTTTTGCGACTACGCGACTGTACGAGGGGCGGTGGGGTACTATTACGGTATTTACGGTAATTTGTCTTTTTCTTTCTAAATCAAATGAATAAAAATCGAGAGAAAACGGTAGAAAAGAGAAAAAGGGGCACGTTTTTGGAAATCGAATCAGACAAACATCTCAACCGGATTGTTGAGCTATACGCTAGGCGTTTAGCCGCCTAATTTGTAGCACGACTACTTCTATTGGTCCAATTTTATTTTATCTTTTTTAAACAGCATGCAAATTCGCATTTTCAATTTTTCTATTCCTAGCTAGCATTTTTTTCTGGTGTAAGGTTTTTTATTTAAAATTTTTCACCAAAACTTACCAAATCCGTCCAAAAGGCGACCCCGTCTCGGTGGAAGTCGAAATCCCATTCAGGTCGACCGTCCGCCTAAAAAACAATATTGTTTTCTAATCTTTTTTTAAGTCTAGTTTATCCAAAATTTTTGAAGTTTTTTTGAGTTATTTGCTTATTAAATTTAAAATCCCGACTTTAACCCTCATAAACTTGAAACACAGCTTTTCGAACAGTCAACATTCAACAAAAATTGGTATTCAGCCTTGCCAGCTGAATTTCGAGAGACTGTAACTGGGATACTGTTTCTCGGAATAGTGTAGACGGTTTATTGTAGTCGGGTTACTGTAATTGATTAGGAATTTGATTCGTTTCAAGCAGCTAAGGTTGAAGAAGCAGTTTTGGCTCTAGTCAGTTTTTGATTGAACGATCAGACGATCGGATCAGACGTTTACCTATGCTAAAGCTTGGAGCTGAGCCGATTAGATCAAATTTGTCGAATTTGCCCGACTCTAGCTCTAGTTTTCGCCTTTTTTTTGTCTAATTTCAGGCTGCATTTCAACAAAACTCGTACGTGAATTTTAACGAAATAGTCTCGTTTCGTGGAGCGCATCGCCGGGAAAGTCGGATTTTCTGCCGAACAACTCGGCTCGCTCGGGGCACTGTAATCATTGAAATGTTTAGAGAGATTACATTTCTTTCTTTCGCTTCTTTCTTTTTTTACGTTAGAAAGGAGAAATGCTTTAGAAAAAGAAAAGAAAAGCTGTTTTGCTTTACCCTTTCGTTGCGAATCTCGCATAGTATCCCAATAGTCGCTCGCAAAATGGCTCAATATCCTCCCAACCACCATCCTGAAGGCAATCTGAAAATTGAGAACGATTATTTGACGAGTAGACTCTGGAAATACCACATAGAGTAATAATTTCTGATCGAAAATTGAGGAAACAAAGGAAACAAAGGAAACAAAGGAAACGAACTTCTCGGTGGGTTATCGATTCCATATTGGAACAGCCATACCGAATTCTTTTTCGATTTCGCCAAATGCATCACTAAGCGCTCCATGGGAATGGCGAAATCTCTCTCGAAAAGCATCTTAAAATTTAAGTTTTGAGTTTATTTTGTTTTAAAAAGATAAAACTAAGCATTGACATGACATTAAAACTATTGACAATTAAACTATTGACATTAAAGCTATTAACAACTAAACTATTGACAACCAAACTATTGACAACTGAACTATTGACAACTGAACTATTGACATTAAAACTATTAACAACTAAACTAATGACAACTAAACTAATGACAACTAAACTATTAACAACTAAACTATTGACATTAATGACATTAATGTCATTGTTCATTAACTGACCTTTCTCATGCTCTCAAAAAGAAAATACGTGTCCTTTTTGTTTCCCTTTGTGTGAATGTGATGATGGAGAGATAAACGCCGGAGGAGAGCACCGTTTTTGAAAGCTGAAAAATCGCCGATAGATTACTAAATTTATGGATATCTTTTAGAAAAACTCATAACCACTTTAAACACTGTAAAATCCTCACTTGAATCCGGCAAGAAGCCGGCCAGAAACTTCTTGAAATCGGTGTATGTGAAGTCGGCAGTGAAGTTGTCGATTGATGGATAGCCTGGGAAATATAAGAAGTTGAAAAGTTTGAGTTTCAACTTTTCAATAAAATACCATAGCTCTCCGCGGGTTTATCCTTCCATAATCCATAAATTGTGGGGATTTGTCGATTGGCGACTTTGCGATTCACCGGAACACGAAACGGGTCACCGAATGGGTAAAATGAGTCCTGAATAGTCGATGGATAGAAATTGATAAGAGATTTTCACAAAAAGCCGATGATAGCCGCCAATTTTGTCACAAAACTTTTTTTGCAATCAATTTTGCAGTTTCTTTTCAGTTTTCTAAAACTTCTAAAGTTCTTTGAAGGTTCTTCTAAAGCTCTAAAGCTCTAAAGTTCTAAGTTCTAAAGTTCTAAAGCTCTAAACTCCTAATGTTCTAATGTTCTAAAGCTCTAAAGTTCAAAGTTCTAAAGCTCTAAAGCTCTAAACTTCTAAAGTTCTAAAGTTCTTTGAATAAACGAGAATGAAACCCCTCAAATTTTCTTTACTCGCCAAATTGAATGCATTCAAGGGTTTACCTGAACACTTTTTGTCAATTCCGTAAATTTCTCGATGGGAAGTGCTCGGAGGCAATCGATTGCCTGAAATTAGGGCTGTTTAACGGCTTTTTAACGTTTAACGGCTGTTTGACCCGGCTGTTTGCTTGTTTGACCAAATCAATCTTCTATTTTGCTATAATATTATCAAGAAATCGTTGTTCTAACCAAATCCAACTAAATCCAATTTTTGAAATTTTGCTGTTTCACCTTTAACTGGAACAAAATCAGCCTTTCAAGGCTTTTTCGAGAATCAGCAAAGCCAGAAGCCAAGCCAGAATTGGCAAAGTGCGTATTTTTGAAACAATTCATTTTAAACGGTTTAAATGGTTATCTGACCAATTTTGGTTCTTAGTTTGTGCTGAGGTTGGGTTAGCCTTCAATTTTCTGATGACTCTCGATTGAAACGAAGTATGAAACAAAAAATTCCTGAAAAAGTGATACCTGTGCCTCAGCTGGCAGATCGCATTGCGACAAACGGAGAAGTCTGTTTGCTGCTTTTCTTTGAAATCTGAAAACGATTGCAAATGTTTTTTCAAAAGTTAACATTGAAAAGAAAGATTTCTTTGAGTTTTGATTTTTCAAAATTCCAAACCTCTCTCTGCCAATCGACCTCGTCAATGCATTGCCCGAGAAAAGAATCGCTCGCTTTACATCTGAATCTTTTTTATGCTTTTCACGTTTCAAAGCAAGCAATCCTATTTGGAAATAGGTTTTGCCAAGGACAAGCCAGGCAAAATTGACTCAGACATGACTCAGACAAGGTCGGATCGGTGTCTAGCCTCCTTACGTCTATATCTAGCACACTGCTCTGGTTTGATTTGAATCAAAAGCCAAGCCAGGCCTGTAGAGGCCAACTAGAGCAAAGCTAAGCCCAGCAAGGTCAACTGGAGCAAAGCTAAGCCAAGCAAGGCCAACTGGACCTTGCTTTGCCTGGACCTGTACCTGAATCACCTGGATCTGTGGTTAAGACTCCGAACTGCTAAAAGCTTCTAAACCAAACCTATCTTCTCGACAACCAAGCTGAACGCTTCAGCCAAATGCTCTTCAGCTAAAACAGTGATCTCTCCGATTTTGAAACGATGCTTTTCATTTTGTAAGAAGAGGAAAATGTTCTCGATGTCCGATGAAGAGAAGATCCTTTCATCCAATGAACCTAGACAATTCATCTTTCTAATAGAATGATCATTCTCATTCCTTTTCTAAACCCACCATAAACCCCTTGTCGAGCGTGTGCAACGACGATTGTCAGCTCTTTTGACACCAATCTTTTCAATTTCCTTTCACTCAGCTCCTCGTTTGTTAAGTAGAGAAGGACTGGAGTCTAAATTTTTTTCAAAAAAAAAAAGCTTGTTTCAAGTTTTTGAATTAAGGTCATGAATTTTGAAAAGTAATAAAGTAATGACATAATCGTGTCGATTTCTTACCTCATCTTGTGCATCTTTATGTTTCAAAATCGATAAGTAAAGGCAATCCTCAGAATTTTGAGGTTCTAATTGATTTTTGATACATCGCTTTGGCCATTCATTGTAGGGTTTTCGCTCATCGAAAACACTTAAAAGGCGGGATTGCTGAAAAGAGTTCGATCGATTGATTGGATGGATTGATTGGATGGATTGGTTGGATGGATTGATTGGATGGATTCATTGGGTGGATTCATTGGATGGATTGGTTGGATGGATTGATTGGATGGATTCATTGGGTGGATTCATTGGGTGGATTCATTGGATGGATTCATTGGGTGGATTGATTGGATGGATTGGTTGGATGGATTCGAATCCAATCCTGTTCTATGAAATTGATGCATTTAAGGAAACGAATTAGATGAAAGTCTAATGTTTGAGTATATAGAAGTTTTGCAGTCTTTTTTTTGCATCACCTGAAATCTGGTCTCGAACTTTTCTGCATACGGAATACCCAAAAAGCGCTGAACAAAAGGAGAATCTTCACATTTGACCGAAAAAACAAAAATCGATAATAGAATAAAGAAAGATTGCATAGAAAGTATGAGATTTTTTGACTGAATATTCGAAATTTTTTGAGTGTTCTCTTCAAAATCCTCTCCAAGCTTATCAATCGATTTGGCGGTGGTAAAAAGGTCAGAAAAAGAGTGATAGTGAATCTCACAGGAATCACTGTATTCACTCTTTAACTGCTGTTTTTGTAAAGCTTTCTAAGTCTAATACTTTCAAACCTTTCAAATCTTTATTCAAACCACAAAAATCGATAAAAATTCAAAGTTTCCAAGCTATTTACATTGCACAATTCTCTAAAAATCAAATTTTTGATATTTTTGATATTTTTTTTTTTGGAAACTTAATGTTTCAAAGAAATAAATATAAGCATAGGCAATGCTTGGGTAATTAAAGTTTACATTTTGAGCTTTTTTGTAACTAGTAAAGGATTATTGGAGCTTTTTCGAATAAATCTTTAATCAGATTCTTTATTGAAGACTTGAGTCGCGTATTGGACTCCCTTATCGGCAGCGCCTCCGTGATGAGAGCCTTCCCTGAAAATTTGCATTTCTTTTATTTGTCAATTGAAATTTTCAACTTATAACTGATCGAATTTCTTTATTTTGGTACTTGTCGGTTTAAATCCTCAAAATAAAATTTGCAATTATATTGTCTTAATTGTCTATACGAAAATCGGAATAAAGCAAATCTGTTTTATAGGGGGATTTATACACTCAACTATTTTGCTATTTAGACCTATAACTTTAGACTTTAGATTCTATCTGCTGAAGAGCCTGCTCATCGAATCACTTCTGATCTTAGACCTATAACTTTAGACTTTAGATTCTATCTGCTTATGAGCCTGCTCATCGAAGGAAGTTCGAGATCGAGTTCATAGAAAAGAGTTCGAGATCGAATCACTTCTGATCTCGAACTCCCTTCTAAACACTATTTATTTCAGTCAAAAATTTTTCAAATCTTATATACGAGTACCCTTTTGAGACACCAAGTTTCAAAGAAATATAAGAAAAAGGAAAAATTTACCCTGCTAATCATTCTTTTTTTTGAATCCACTCTTCTCTGTACCTCGAGTTATAAACCATCAAAGTTGATCAAATTCTGCACGCAAGTAGGCCAACTTTGCTACTATTTTTCTCTATCTTCTTACAGGTTAGTGTACAAAACAAATTCAACTTTTCTATAGTCAAATTTGATGAGGATTCTTTTAAAATCAACCGTAAGTTGATCCGTTCCCTCGAAGTCGAGATATAGACACATTCCCTGACTGGCAAGAAGCCTGCCTGTTAGAGAATGACTCCAAACTGGCAAGCTTCTTGCCAGTTAGAGAATTCACAATGGTTAGGGTGAATTGCCTAACTGGCAAGCCTCTGCTCCCAGAGACTGCAGGTAAGTAGGTCAACTTTGACACAATTTTTCTCTATTTTCTTACAGGTTAGTGTTTGAAGTGTGACTTGTTTAAAGTTCAAAAGTAGAGTGCGAATGTTCTTCAAAACAACTCAAACAACTTTCACTCACATAAACGCATTCCCAATTCCCCCGATCGCATGTCGGATTCCCTCGAAGAAACTCTGACGATCGTTATTGCCGGCGAAGTTCAAGTCGGTCACCAAACCGGTGAGGTGATAGCCTCAAATGTTTGCGTTTCAAATTTTGTTTACTTTAGAAAATGAAAGAATCGAGTGCACCAGGAAGGGTGTGTTTTCAACATTTGAACGCAAAGTACACCAAGTGCTTCCGTTCTCAAAGAACTTTTCTCTAACAGTCACAAGGAAGTTTCAAATTTGGCGGCTATTTTGATTGTATGAAGAAAGTAGTTGGACTCTGTTATGTTTTTCTGGTTATTCTTTGTGCATTCTTAAACGAACGCTTATTCACATCATTAAGAATAGTATTTTATGATATTTATGTAAATTTTAGTGATAGATTTACTGAGAGTTTCAATCAAATGAGCCTCACCCATTCCCTCGGGTCCCGGCGGTGTCGACCATGAGGGGCGTCTCTCCCCTCCGCCCTCCCGCGGCACCTCCTGGTCCATCGACGTGCGGCGATCCATTGGCATTGCTAAATTGTATTTTTAGATTCGAAATCAATATGAAATATTGAATTTTCTATAAAATTTCTATAAAATTTTCATAAAAGCTTCAAATTTCAAAGTGACTCACGATCATCGAGCAATTGATCAGCCATTGTGCTTCCAGCTGCGCGCGAACCTTCCATAAAATTCGACTGGTTATCTGAAGGGAAAGAATTTCGTTTAAAAACTAGAACTTCTCTTGAAAACATTAAAATAGGTACTAAAATTTGAAATGAAATTCGAATTTTTCTCAGTTATCTAAATTGAAGGTCGGGATTCTGAACCAATATTAAAAATTTTGAAACTCAACTTTTTTAACTCCAAAAATTTGAAATCAAAAATCGATAAAACTAAAAGAGAAAAAGGAAATTTCAATATTTCATTTGTAATTTTGAATTTTATTAATTTTATTATTGTTACCGTTTTACTAATCAAATAACTTGATAAAAATAGAATGCGATACGGTGATTTCAGAGGTGTTTCAGCTTTTGAAAAAAAAGTCTCGCTCACCAACAGCTGCAATAAGGTCCTGCATTCAAAAATAAGAATTTTGCTTCCAATTTGGTGCCAAGATCGTTTACTTGCTTGCAAATTTGAGCAATTGATCACTTCTAGATTCAGAAATAAGAAAAGAAAAACTAGATTTAAACAGAAGAAAGATAATGCCCCATTTCTCCTTTTTTATCCAATCTATCCACTTTTTATTTGATTCTTTGAGGGTTCAAAAAGGGTATTGAAAGATAGGAAAAGTGGATGGATTGGATAAAAATAGAGACAAGATTATGGTAGAAAGGAGAAAAGGGGCATTGACGGATTAGACGGAGGTGACTAGGAACTGCTTTGCGAAGCGTATTTTCAATTCTAATGCTCTTGCTATTTATAGTCGATCTGATGGGCGGAAAACACGAGGAGTGAGGCTAAAAAATAGAACTCGAAAAACAGCGGCAAGATTCGAAAAAAAACATTGCGAAAAGGACGATCTTTTGGGTCTCTTTTTGGCGCTTCTCGTAAACACAAAGGGCATTTTGAAGAGAGAAATGGAAAAGTGAGAAAAATAAAGAAATCTAATGGAAAACTGATGGAAAACTGAAAAGAAGTGGATCTGGAAAGAGTTAGAAATCTTTAGAAAATTAGAAATCGATTTTAGTGCATAAATTGATCGCAGAATAAGAAAAATTCAGAAATTTTTGAGATTTTGAAGGGAAATTGAGGCGGGAGAGTCAAAATTTCGAGCTTTTTAAGACTCCTCGACTTACAGAGAACTGTAGTATTAAGGATTACTGTAGCACAAGGAGGACTATAGTTTTTCCTCGATTCAACTACAGTACTCCTTGAGCCACAGTTATATAAAGCTGAACTCAGCTATTCAACCAAATAACTGAGGAACTGAGTGAAAAGCTATAGTAACCTAAAAGTTCAGCTTTACCCAATTTAGCTGAACTTCTTGCAAATCGGACTTCGATTTCTCAGAGTTAAAAATGGAAACATTGGCTCTATTCAGTCAATATTTTCTTTTCTGGTCACACTGGTTCAGCTGTTTTTTGTTTTTTTTTGTTTTTCTTTTCCTCTTCACAGAATGCTTCAAAAAATTTCCGCGTCAACACGTTTCGAAATCGCTTTTGGCTCGGCAAAAAAAGAATAACTTGCAGAAAAAGCAAAGTTGTTGATTGGGAAGATTTACTCGGTAAATACTTAGGAACGTTGCCAAGTGGGGTTTTGGTGGAAATTATCTGGAAAACAACGGGCTTTTCTAAAATGTGTCCCCTTTTCTACCATAATCTTGTCTCTATTTTTATCCAATCTAGCCATCTAGCCATTTTTTTTCTGATTCTTTGAGGGTTCAAAAAGGGTATTGAAAGATAGGAAAAGTGGATGGATTGGATAAAAATAAAGATAAGATTACGGTAGAAAGGGGAAGGAGATATGTTTTAGAAAACATTTTGTTTGAAAAGCACGTAGAAAAAGAAGACAAAAGAAAAACACGCAAACACTGTGCACACTGAAACGTCACAATTTTTGGTGGTGCTTTTGGATCTGTGTTTTCAAAAAAATCTCAAAAATTAGATTCATGCATTCGGTCGTCAAAATGACAAATCTCTTTAGAGGTTTGGTTGACTCATTAAAGTCATAAAAGGAACAGAGATTCCCCCAAGATTGAAACAGTTCATTTACAGCTATCAACATTGAACATTTGACACGTTTTAGAGGAACCAACCAACTGACGCAAATCCACAACTCACGAGAGAAAGTCAACTGATTGTGTCGCCCAAATGGCATGAGCCATAGCAGAATTTCACGCTGATTCCGAATCTGTTTTTCGTTTCTGCTAAAGAGCACTCTTTCAAAAGTTATAAGCTTGCAAAGTTTTGTTAGGAATTTCAAAATCACACCCCGAGTTTATAAGCAAATTTCCCAGGGCCTCTAGGAAGCAGTGGTGACTGAGTGGCAGTAGATTAGAATACAAGGCAAAGCCACTCTAGTTCGGATCCGCGGGCCCACTAGGTTCTTTTGTTTTTTTGGATTTGCAAAGTTAATTGTTCTCTGTTTCAAATTCAAGTTTATTTGAAACTACTTCTCATAAAAATGTTTACTTTTAACTATTAACATTAAACAGCTATCATTAAAATCTAAAAAAAACAAGATTACGACATTAATGACAATGAGCGAGTTTCATTCGATGCTTCTAACAATGCTTTTTCAAATTTGATGTTTTGCCTTGTAAGGATACAAATTGTGCGCCTTTGGCTCTTATGTCTTGTGCCTGTCGCAGCTGTAGTCAAACTATGCTTTTCCCTTTTCATCGACGATGTTGTTCGACCTGGTTCACTGCTACTTAAAGTCTCTGAGAGATCTGCTTATAAGCTCAGGGTGTAATTTTGAAATTCCTAACAAAACTTTGCAAGCTTATAACTTTTGAAAGAGTGCTCCTTAGCAGAAACGAAAAACAGATTCGGAATCAGCGTGAAATTCTGCTATGGCTCATGTCATTTGGCCGGCACACCCAGTTGGCCTTCCCTTCAAAAGTCAGAAACCCAGAAGAGCGCAACAATTGATGCCTTGAAAAGGAGCGCTAATACAGATTTCACTTATAGCTCAAGATTAGAATCTGGTTTGCTATTTTGTTGACGAGTTGAAAAACCTGAAACTAGCCTTTGCCTTTTAGAAGTGGATAAAGACTGCTCTATACCCCCACCTTGGCTTGACCCATCTCTGCGGTTTTGCGGCATTTTATAACGCACCCCTTTTGCTCTTTCTTTGCCTCCGCCTCTCACAAAGATTTTATCTCGCTCATTTCCTCCCCTTTTCACGTCGTTGCCACGTTCAAAAAACTTGAACAACTTGTCTCTCGTGTCAAATTTTTCGATCGTTTCTCGAAATTAAATTCTTCCATTTCTTTAGGGAAAATGTCGAGCATAAAAGCCCGACGTGCGACGGACGAAGCAACGCGTAAATTGGTATCATTTTATACCTTTTGAGGTGCTCAGCTAAATAGTTTTTAATTTTGTGAGAAATTTTTAACAAATTCGGCAGCCACGCAAAACCTTGTATCCATTTTCCTGCGTGCTTCCCCATTTCCTTAAATTTCTCCATAAATTGAAAGTTATTCAGGTGCTAGCGCTTCAAAAATATAACATTTTCGGGAGTGGGACAAATGCGACCTTTTTTTGCGCACCCGGCCATTTGCGCACCTTTTTTCCGCACCTGGCCCATTAGCGCACCTTTTTTCGCGTTTTAAAAAAAGCTCTAAAAAGCTAATATTAACCAATTTCTATTCCAAAAGTTGTTTTTCTAGGTAATTTGAGGGTGTAGAATTCAAATTTTGACATAACAGAACGTGTGGAATCAATTTGAAAGACAAAACGGGTAGGTCAAATTACAGAAAATTGTCGATTTTTCTCTTTGTATAACTCCGTCCGTTCGCTTCCACAAGCTCTGATATGTCAAAATTTCGATTCTACACCCTCAAATTACCTAGAAAAACAACTTTTGGAATAGAAATTGGTTAATATTAGCTTTTTAGAGCTTTTTTAAAACGCGAAAAAAGGTGCGCTAATGGGCCAGGTGCGGAAAAAAAGGTGCGCAAATGGCCGGGTGCGCAAAAAAAGGTCGCATTTGTCCCACTCCCACATTTTCACACTTTTTGGGTGCTTTCTCCTCGTTGGAAACGAAAAGCTGTCATTCCCCGTTTTTTGTTGGTTTGATGAAACGTTTTGCGCCTTTTTAACAACGTAAGGTCCGTTTTTGTTTAAATTCTCTAAATCACCACAAGCAAACGATGATTTCACTCGAAGAAACGCTTCTTTTAACCATTTTTGCCCTAATTTATGAGTGCAGAGTCGCCAATCTTTTGTGTATCGACCAGCCCAGCTCTGTCCCTTAACCCATTTTTGTTACTACCTTTTTTGCGATCCTTATGAAAGCTGCTTGCTTTTTTTGTCCATCTATTCCTTCGAAGTTTGCTTTTAAAGCAAATTTTCATGTTAAACATCTTTAACTTTAGGTCGAATCTTCGCAAATGACAGCGCAGACCAACAATGGCCTCAAGTACATGTCGCTTGTGATTTTGATCGCTCAAACGACGGCCATTGTCCTCATCTTGCGGTTTACACGAACACAGGTATTTGAGTTTTTGATTGTAAAATGCACAGTAAAAATAGAGGAAAGTCCAGTTTTAGTGAAAATGACAATTTCAAAATGTTATTTTCATAATTAACGTCCTCGATAACTTAGAAAGGCCCCAACCCGATAATCCCAGCTTTAAAGTTATGGGTATCAATGCATTATTTTTAGAAGTCAGAAGGACCACGATATCTTTCGTCGACAGCAGTCGTTAGTGCAGAAATTGTGAAATTGTTCACCTGTATTTTTGTGCTTTTTGTTAACAGCAGTAAGTGCTTTAACTTTAATCAATGTTTTATTTCTTTGCTTCAGGGTGGCGATGGTCAACATTTGCAAGCGAAATTTATCGGGATTGCTTCGCCGACATTAAAGAAACGCTAAAGGTTTGTTGGTGTTCAACAACAATAATAAAAAGTTTTAGATAGCTGTTCCTGCGGTCCTCTATGTTGTGCAAAACAATCTTCTCTTCCTGGCACTCTCAATGTTGGATGCTGCAACTTACCAGGTTTATTTTTAACATTGGCACTAATTTTTCAAATTATAGGTCACTTATCAACTGAAAATTTTAACGACGGCGTTCTTCTCTGTTTCGATGCTAAGCAAGAAGCTCAACCCGCTGAAATGGATAGCCCTCGTGCTTTTGACTGGTGGAGTGGCTCTTGTGCAGGTAAGCCTTTCTGCAAGTATCTTTTAATTAATTCGATGTTTTAGTTGCCATCCGGGAATGCAACAAATAAAACTGAAACTGGCGGATCGGATAGACTTATTGGTGGGAATTTAGATGTTTTTAAATATCCACGCATTGTTTTAGGACTCTTGGCAGTGTTAGCGGCTTGTTTCTCGTCTGGTTTTGCTGGTGTCTACTTCGAGAAGATCTTAAAGACAAGCAATGTCACATTGTGGATGAGAAATCTGCAACTGGGTGATAAAAATGTTACAGAGGCTTTATTAATCTAAGATGTTTAGCCTTTTTCTCGATCTTTGGCGGTTTCTTCATGTGCTGGCTTTACGATAGCGAAGCCATCGCAACGAATGGCTTCTTCCAAGGCTACAACAATATTATTTGGGTGGTCGTTTTGCTTCAGGTATATTCATTTTGGTTTTATTACGATTAAAATGATTTCAGGCTTACGGCGGTTTAATCATCGCCCTTGTTGTGAAGTATGCCGACAACATATTGAAAGGATTCGCAGTTTCACTCTCAATCATCATCTCATCGTTCATTTCATGGGCTTTCATGGGAGATTTCACTCCTTCTTTGTAAGTTGTTCAAACTAAAACTTTCTCATAGTTTTTCTTTAGAGCGTTTGCTCTCGGTGCTTTCGTTGTGATCCTCTCGACGTTCCTTTATGGATACGAGCCAAAGAAGCCAGCGCTGATGCATCACGCCTAAATGTATTGAGCTTCACCCTATCCTTTTAGCATTTCTTCCTTGCTTTCCGTCTTTGTGTGTTTTGTTGCCATTTTTTATCAGTCATTTTCATTCGTGTGCAATGTGTGATTGTGATTTCATCTATCGACAATTTGCCTTACTGTAAAAGATTTTAAACTGTGATATACGTGTAATAAATGGTTTTCAACTTTTCTTTCAAATATAGCGTGTTATGTTGTTTGCTTTAATGTTACTTGCTGATAAAAGCAAATACCCAATGGGTGTGGGTAGTGTAAGTGCTGTCGTTCCGATGTAACACGACGTCGTGCCGATTTTGTAAGAATCGAGAAAAATGTGCATTTGCCGATTCTGAGGGTTTCACAGCTTTGACCCCTATTAGTGCACAAACATTTTGCTAAACTTTCTTTTTTCCTGGACGATGTGGTCTGCTGCTGTCGATGAAAGACTGAGGTACTCCTTCTCCGGGACCACGGCGTGTTACCTCGGAACGACAGCACTCGGCCAACGATTCGCGCTGGCCATCACATACAAAGGCAAATCCTACGAGGTATTTGTTTGATGACTTATTCGTCAAAATACACTTTAATAGTACGTTATTGAAAGATCTGTTTGCAGCTTTAGTTGAAACGATGTACTCCTTATACCTCGGTTCTTGCAAATTTAGTCCAATAAAGGAAACTAAGTGAGCTGATGAGCACGAATCCAATTTTATGTTTGGTGATTAACTACATATTGTTTCTTTTAGATAAAACTGGTGACCGCAACATCCCGCTTCAGTACATACGAGTTCTCGGAATCAGTCACGGTTTGGAATCAGGTTTTGCGTTTTATATTTTTTTAGGTGATCAGAGACATCAGAGATGAATGTGAAGCCGAAAAATGGGTGAAAAGTGTGAGTCGACGACTTGAAACATGTCCACTTGATAGCCTTGCCAGACAACCAAAGGGGTGCCTTAAATTAGATATTTGATTTATTGTTTTTTTCTAATTCTAGATGGGAAATTCGAATAAGTCGCGAGGCTTTACGACTTGAAAGGGTTCCAAATGACAAGTACGGCAATTTGGACAAAGTTTTGTTACCAGGTATTACAACTTATTCAGCAGAATTCAATTATTTTTTTGTAGGTGATGAACTTTTTGTGGCCTGCAGTCAATTTGGCGTGCGATTTTACCACTCTGGAGTGTACGCGGGAAATGGACTCATATTTCACTTTTTGAGTCAAGCAGGTATTTAGTTTTAGTTTTTTTTGCTTGCAATTCGAATTATTTTAGACGAACGTGCATTTTCAAACTTCGATTATTTGCCCGGTGAAGTGCTCGTGAGCCCGCTAGAAGAATACTTATATTGCTTGGCAGAAGATACAAAGAATGGTATATTTTATCGTTTGAAATCTTCCAAATAATTTTAGGACCTCCCGAGCTCTACAGGATTGTACATCCAATCACAGTTCGAAGTTCTCAGTCGATAATGCAGGAATGCGAAAAGTTGATGAACAATGAGGTTTAGTTTTGTTTGTTTAACTTTAAAAGCCTTTTTAGAAATTCACAAGCTACAACATCACAAGTCGGAATTGTCAACACTTTTCGTCACTTTGTACATATGGCTTGGCGTATTCGTACGATATGAGCTCTTCACTCAAGGTAATTTGTTTTCTTGCTGATTTCTTTACAAGAACTTTCTAGAAATCCGCGTGCAGCTTGATGAAAAGATTCGGGGGAATTTTTTTCGGATCGTATCAACGGCTGAGCTGAGATGCAATATATGGTTCCCATTCATCGTGTATATGTTGTCTTTACTATTTGTCTACCTCTTGTAATTGTTACATGCATGTTAGACGTGTAATTGTTATTTAGTGAATTTTCTAATTACTCTAATCTTTCTTGGGTTAAATCGCCTTTCTCTGTATATTTCACGGGTGTATTTATGTGTGTAAATTAAACGGGTGGCTGTGTTTACAAGTAAATTGTTCTAAAATCCATGACAGTTCAAGAAAGTCTACAGGTAAATTCGCCCAAATGACCATCAAATCCCAATAAATTTGAACTGAACCCAAGACACAATAAGAGCAGACCTGTTGTTGCCGTATGAGTGGCGATGGATGGTTTCCCGCGCTCGGGTCTTCGGCTCGACCATTTCCCCATTCCTTTTCTCCAATCAAAAGACAAGTGCTGCTCTTTTTGCCCTTTTTTCTCATTTTGCTTCACGTTCGCGCCAAAATTTGGGCAACCTCACCCAACCTTCCATGGATTGGAGAGGAAAGGGATAAAAATTGGTAGAACCGATTACCGCCGATATGGCTTGTTACTTTTAAAGTTCTTGGAAAAGCTAAGTTTATGCTACTTATTCATCTTACTTTTCTTATGCATTCGATAGTGAACGGCAAAATTTTGGGTTGTTTGAATGTTTCGTAATTGCCGTTATTATTCCACAAAATTTAAAAGACTTTAAAGATATTCAAGCTAGTCAAGTGCGTATCATTAACTTTCGTGGCACTTGCAAGTTTTTTATGCACTCCTTAAAGTCCGTCAGTTACAAATTAAAAGATATTCAACCATGCAATTGAAAAACTAACTTTCTGAAGCTCAACTTTTTCACTTGCTCAAGGAAAATTTCTTTCATTTCATTCGTCCGTAAAACGAACTTTCCTGAATCCGTGAAGGTTAAAGTTTTTTGAAAAAAAAAACTTTAACCTTCTTTCTCGGTTTTTTTGTTTTACTTTTTCTTAAAAATCTCTACTTTTTTCTTTCCAGACGATCAACCGTCTGTCTTTAAAGCCAAATGTTTCGCTGCAACGAGTTTAGGTAAAGGTTTTCGATCATTTTTTCATAATCTTTATTTAGAGACAAACGGGAACTTGTGTTGCGCAAGTCAAGCCAGCCGGGCTATAGCCACAAGAACAAGGGGCACTTTGGAAAGGTAGGTTTTTGATTCGTTGACTAATCTTGTATTAGGCCTGTTCGTGAGCTTGTATTAGACTTGTCCTTCTTGGGAAGGGCATCGTTTATTTACAGTAACTAATGCGACAAATCGTTCTACTTTTCTGATCATCTTATAATGAATTCCTTAAAGTGCGGGCAAAGTAATGGTTCTAACCGTAATACCTATAATAGGAGCGTCGCGTGGTTGAAGTTTACTCTCAAAGAAACGGTCATATCTCGACGCCAGTACGTTTGCTTCTGCGCGCTTGGATACCAAATTAAAGTAGAGAGGATGGGTGATTTTTTAAAATATAACACGTATTTCTAGCATCAACCAGCCCTTAGAAAAAATGTTTGAAAAGTGGCAAGAAAGCAGATTTTTGAGAGTAAACTTAGACTACGCGACGCTTCTCTAGGCGGCACTGCTATTAGAGGTATTACGGTAGTGAAAGTAGAACGAGTTTTTACTTAACAAGTTCAGAGCTTAAGGGGTCCTCTAATAGCTGTAGACTTATTTTACCTTTTTTTGACTTCTAATAAATCGTTTTCTTTAGGATTTCAACAGAGGCGGGTCAGGATTGCGCGGATCGCCAACGGACTTTCATCAGAAGAGGTTCATCTTTGATTTTGCAACACAAACACGTTGACTCCACATAAATATGGCTTTTTGCAAATTCGGCTGCATCATAGTTGACCCATCGAAATCATGCCCCAAAGTTGTTGAGAAAGTGACTAGGTGATTTCTGATCGTTTCCTTATTGCCAGCTTTGCACTACATCTTTGATCGACTACCAAGAATTGCTTGTTACAAGCTACAGGGCTAAAGTGGTGGCTTGAGGTTTTCACAGTTTTCTTTAATTGCCACCTACTGTCGATCAGCAAAAGGCTGCTTTTTGATGGGTGGTGGCTTCAAATTGGGAGCGGGATTGGCGTTGTTTTGCTTGGAAAAAATGAGCTCATAGTTTCAATAGTTTAGGTGAAGTCTGTTTACTTTCAGTATGTAGCCCTTTGTGAACTATTTTGAGCAACTTTTGACAAACAACTGACACGGGGCACCGAATCAATATTCGGACTGTTGTTGAAGTGCACAGTTGTTATTGTCGTCACTTTTTGAAAAGCAATTTTGCCAGCTTGTGGCGATCGGCTTATTTTTCAAACGTTTCATAGTACTTTTTTGGATTGTAACGTTTGATCGTTCAAATTCAATGGATTTCCATCAGATTAGCTTTTGGTTTTTACGATTTGCTTGTTCCAATCCACCATAGCTGGCTGAACGGCCATTTTTGCTTTGGGAATGAACTTGACTCACTTGAAACGCGATGTCTATAGCATTTGAAATCTCCGTTTATAGCTTATGTTCCTTTGAGATTTTAAGGAAGATTGGCTGGATATTCATTAATCAGGGGATGACATTGATTTACGGCTAGCTAGAAAAGTGTGTTCATAGATTCCATTTGAACAATTGACCGTGACAGCGTTTTCGATTAGAAAGTGATCCACCCGCGAGGAAAATCATCGATAGCCGCCGGCATTTTTGGTTATGCAAACCGATTTCGGAGTTGTTGCTTTGCAGTGTGTTGTGCGTGAAACGGGTGGCTCGAGTTCCTGTTTTTTAGCATGCCCTCGCCACTGTGAGCCGTGCCGCTCGGCGCCTCAACAGAGAGGGAGCATTTGCCGATCCTACTGTGTTGGGGTGGCTAGACCGGTTTTATGTGGACGCACACTTTTGAATTCTGCTTTTGGCATACATATCCATCTCTTTTCTTATTAAAACCCCCCTCACATGTTACGAATTTTTGGAATTTTCAAGTACTAAATGGGGCACGGTTTTTCCCCGATTTTTGCACACACACGCCCAATGATGGGCTATTTTGAAAACAATGCAGCGGTTGTTCGGAGAAAGGGCTTTCTGTTTTTTCGCCCCAATTGCCCTCTAGGATCGAGGTCTATTTTTGTATGCTCAGCTTTGCAATTGTTAGGAAAAGCTTTAGCTCATTTTTGGTTCAGGGGTTTTCCTCGTATTGAGTATTAGGATATTACAAACAAGTGTCATCATTTTGAAATTTTGCTTTCCGCTGACAGCTTGTTTATTTCATGATGGTCATTCATTGAATTCTTAATGTAGTGTCATCTTGCCTTTAGTAGTTGTTATGAATCAGTACAAATTTTTAGCAAGATTGACCTGTTTTTTTAGATTATATCTCACTTGAAAAGGCACTCAGGGCATTTGAGATAAGGTTCCAGGGAAAACAACCCCCGTTTTGGTTTATTGCATTTAGTGATACACTTTTTATTTCAATCTTTGGAAAGCCTTGTTCTAAGAAATTAGTTAACCGAGGAGGATTTGTCGCATGTTGAAGAATTTGAGACGTGATCCCTGATGTCTTCTTTTGCTTATGTGTGCTCTCATCCTTTGCAATTTCTCCCCTCCACACTTCCGCCACTAAATTGGCACCGTGGGCCGACTACAGCGGTCGTCTAATTAACGAGTGCAGCAAACGAGCAACCCCGTCAATTTTCGCTCCTCTAACTCTTCTTTCCGTTGTTGTTTTTGCTTCCATTTGGCTCATTTGAGGAACTAATATTCGCTAATGACCAAATTTGAAGATTCATTGAACAGACTTTACATGTAGTTGCATCTTAGTGCATCAGTTCCGTATCTGTCCTAAATCTTTAAAGCTATCCATATGTAAAATCTTTCAGTAATCTGAAACTTTTATAAATTGTAAAAAGCTGTCGACTATACCTGGCGCTAAACTAAAACTTTCGTTTCAGCTTTTCTCCCTTCTCTCCGCGTCCATCCGCTTTGTTGCCTTCACTTTTGTCCGCGGAAATCGAGCCACCACCACAACAGAAGCAATACAAAGTCTACATTCCACCCGCTGTACCACAAATGTATTCGAGCCGTTCCGTGGGATACTTCGATGCTTCAAATGGACGTGAAGCCACTCAATACGGGCACGTTTCTAGTTTTATAAAAACAAACCGTTGAACTGAAGTTTTTTTTGATAGTTTAACGCTATAAAGTCTAGAATTAGTACATAAAGCTTGAGACTAAAGTCCAGCTGATGGTTTTGTTGTTATCGTACAAGGGGCACCACTAAGTCATACTTTAGGGTTCAACTTAATGATGGTTTGTAAAGTAAAGTAGCCAAAAAATCTAATCTTATTGCTTTATTTAGCTTGTCTCGTGGATCACCAAACTCAAAAAAGTCAACTCGTTCCGACTCCTACAAGACTGTGATGTGCCAATCGTGGTTGGAGAACAACTCGTGTCATTTTGGAGAGAACTGCAGATTTGCACATGGAGAATTTGAGCTTCGCCCAGTTAAGTAAGTGTATTTATTGTTTGCATTTCATAAAACATTTTTAGACTTGAAGCCAAGCAGAACGGAAAGTACAAAACAAAGCTCTGCGACAAGTACACAACTACTGGTGTTTGTCCATATGGTGCCAGGTCATTTTTTGAAGTGTCACTTCTGACTCGTTGGTTTTAGATGCCTGTTCATTCATCCAGAACATGGAGGTGGTGTTGAGGGAAACGATTATATTCGCGCTGATAAGGTATCTGTTCAAAAGTTTTATAAAGCTAATCTCTAAATCTTATAAATTTAGATGGTTGAAATTGCCACTCGTCATGCCGCTGCTGACAAACAACGTATCACCGAAGCCCTCCTCCAAGCACCACTCTACTTGGCCAGCCTCGATCAACTGCAGAATCAGCGCTTCGCGGTGGACGGTGTAGCTCGTCGTGGCAAAGATGAAGACAACGGAGAACATTTGATGGGACGAGCTTTTCCATCGGTTCATCCATCGTGGCCACTTGAGCCGAAGATGTACAAGAATGCCTCTGAGCCTATGCCATTGAGGGAACGTCAGAATTCATTCAGGTATGCAGAAGTTGATGCTAAAATGATTAAATATCGAAGGAGTATTGAATGGACTGCTACATTAATATTTACAAGGATAAAGGAAGAGTCGAAAACGTAAACACTCCTATCTTTTAACTTTTAGTGACATCATTGTGAATTTGGAACAATTCGTGGTGCAGCAATCGGATCCATCGGCTCCTTTGAACATTGCACGACGAACTCCAAGCCCAGTTCCTTCTGAGCGCAGTTAGTTATCGACATTTAAGCATGTCTAAAGTTTACTCTAGTGACAATGGGTACTGCTACGCCAGCTTCTGGATATGTTACCGGAGAATCGTCACCTGCCATCAGATCTTTCCTAGGAGAGCACAAGCCATTCAATTCGGTACGAATGTTGCCTCTTGTCTGGCAGTTTGTTCATTTTTAGCTTGGCATCTCGCCTTTCTCCATGATGGGAATCAGCAGTGACTCGCACTACTCTTCAAATGGATCGATCAGTGGCGAGGATATTGATGGACAGGTACAACTTTTACTTTGGCAACTAATAATCATAGCTGTCCATTGAATTACTGAGATTTTTAAATTTAGGAGATGAACATCGACCTCAACTTTGATTTTCTCAAAGACCAAAGCTTCAATGGAGACGAGAAGACTGTGAAGGGCGGAAAGAAGGCAAGCGTGACTCCAGGTCATTCGACGTATGATCCATTCACCTACACCATCATGAACGATAACTTCTCGCGTGAATGGTGCAAGGATTTGAGCAAGGAGTTCTGGTAAAGCTTTGCCCCTCCTAGATATTTTGTACTCTTTGCGACCCCATTTTTTTGTTAAGTTGTTCAATTTGCAATAGTTATTCGGTCCCCATACTTTTCCTAACTTTCCCAACAAATTTTTCACTAATTTGCTATTATAACATTTACCGGTTAACTCCTTTGCAATATTGTAATGTATGCCACATGTTGCTGTGTTTGCCCACATTGGTATTTTCATCTTTTGATTAATTGATCGTCTTTCCCCGTTAAAGACCTCTTTGTACACTTTAACCATATCTTAATTAATTATTATTTTTTTACTAACGGATGCTTCTTATTACCCTCCCCTCATTTTTTAGTGTCCCAAAATGATAATGTTGTGCGTCAATGTGGCCATGTTTGAAAATTCCTTTTTTTCAAGCACACACTGGTTTAATAAGGAAGATGTGCGTGTAGTCTGGGAATCCCGTTGAATAGTAGTCATTTCAAGCAATGCGTGTGCACGTTTTAGTTGTTTCCCTTTTGTGGATTGCTACTCTCTAGTCATTTGTTTGTAATTGTGTTGTGTTGACTCTATTCCCACCGAAACAAATCACACATTCAACCCGCTTCCTTCTTTTGGCATGTTGTCGTTTATGCATATTCTTTATCCTAAAAATATTTTCTGTGCATTCTTCGATTATTATTTTGGACGTTTATTATTAAATCATACAACCATTACCCTAATGTCTTTGAAATGTTTTTTCTTTTTTCGGTTTGCTGTTTGATAATTTTTCAGTCGTTTCAACTTGACCAGCTGACGAGTAGTAATAAGCCCCTATGTAAGGCGTTTTTTGCTAGAAATGTATGTGCTGTATTTCCTTTCTACGGGGAACATGCTGTGTTCGGTGTTTCGACGAGAAATAAAGGGTTCTAACATGTTTACAAAAGTGGTTTTAGAGAAAATGCAGTACAATTTTTAGGTGAGAGTGGATTTGTGAGACGAAAGGTTCCAGAGTACTTTGTGATGCTTGCTGTTATAACACGAAAATATAATCCATACAAGAAACACTTAAATCGGATCGATTATATATAAAGTTTTATTTTCAAGAAGCTTTTTTGTTTCGAGATCTTTGCCAAGAAATGAAGAAGTTTTGTGGAGTAAAGCTGCTACATCTTGAACAATTGATGGGTAGAATACTAACAAGAATAATCCGAGAAAGAGATTCGGATCGGATCTGCTATGTATAATGACAAGTTACAAGTATAATGCTAACAAAACACGGAAATTTCTGAAATGTTCTCCCGGAATGAATGATATACGAGCAATTGAGTAGAGTTAAAGTTAGGTTCACCAAAATATGCGCGATTTCAGAGGCAGAGCCAGTCTCAACAAATATCTACGAATTTGAATAAAGAAGAGCCAGGTTTTCCGTTACAGATTTTCCGATATATGGAGGATTGAAGATGAGCCGGAAATCGATTCCGCTGAGTGCAAACGACCTTTCCTCGGTAAACAAGCTTAGGATCGTGAGCATTCGAACTCCATTCGAACACAATTTTCAATCTAATCGAACCAGATCTTTTGCCCATGTTACTAGTCAGTGAAATTTGGCCTCGTTCTGGCCTTTTGCCAATCACAACTCCAGTAGTGAAATTTTTTTCTTTGCCCCTCTCATTTATTTGCTCTAGTCCTATCAAAGCCAATCCTATATACTACAGCACCTGTGATTTGCCGACGGAACGGGGTCAAAGTGCGATTTCGGGCGTGTGAAGAAAAAGAGAGCATTGATAAGACGCAAAAATATTGAGACTTTGCCTTTTATAGCAACTGAAAACCCGTGGAAATATTTCGTGACGCATTATAGTTTTTGCGAAATTTTTTTGTACGACCAACGAAATCTTTAGCACTGTTTATTCGTGCTTATTTGAGATGAACTCGTTGGCGAATTTGAGGTCAGTTTTGGAGGGATTTTCTTGGTCTATGATGCTATGAGACTATTGTACGTAGTTCATAAAATACGACTAGTTTAGTGTAAGTAGGAGACGGTAGAAGAGAGCGAATAAAGGAGACAATCAAACTTAAGCCGATTCAAGTCCGATTCAATCGACTTGCGAACGTTTTTTTCCGGCTTGACTAGATGCGTCAAAGTGTCGCCCAGCGAAGAAAACTGTGTAGACTTTACCAAAGATTGATCTTTATCGAAATATCGAACCTATCTCTATGTTCGTAGACTGTCGAGGTAGTCTTTGCGTACTGTAACACAATCGGGTTACTCTCGACGAGCTTAGCTTTTGTTAAACCTTGAATTTGACTTTCGTTTCAATTATCTTCAGTTTTCAGTAAACCTTTCTTTCGCCAACTCTCTTCACCGCGTTTCTTTGCCAGCAAAGGCTCAACGCCAGCACCGAGAATCGTGCGAACACGAGAGGAAACGAAAAATCGGATCCTTCACGTCGAATGGAGTGATGGTCAGTGAAAAGGTCGCAAGTAGAGCGAGAGTTCAATTTGGCAGTCTTTCCGATTCCATCCAAGCAGTCTCGTTGAGTAAAACCCAAAAATTTCTCTTTCAGGCGTTGTCGGGCGATACGCGTTCACGTGGCTCCGCGACTGTTCCCCCGATCCACTCACGTACACTTTCTCGTCGGCGATGACCGCCCGGAATTTGTGGATGCGCGATTTTGATGTTAGTTTGCAAATTTCAAACAACAAAACAACAAGTCTTGGAATAAGCGGAGATCGAATTAAAGTTGAGATTTCCGGTTTCTACCGAAAAACTTTAAAACTTGTTTTCTTTTAAGATTCCAGTGGTTTCTTTTGTTATCCATTTTGGCCTAAAGTACAAAAGCCATCAGTAAAAAAGCTTCGAAATGAAACCAGTTGTACGGGATTGAAAAACTCGAACGAATTGATAAAGCTGATCGAAAAGTGATCACCCAAAAAAGATTGATTTTCAAAAGTTGATCCAATAGTTGCTAAATTTGAAACCTCGAATTCGCCAACGTTTTCCAGAATTTCATTCTTGCATTCTTATTCTTCATATTGCATTATAAAAAGCATCCTTATTGTGTTTTCATCCCAGAAATCGCAAAAATCGATTGTCTGGGGGGATTTTTTTTGCGCGAAAAAAGAATTCCCCCTTTGTCGCCTTCCTATTTGGAACACAAAACGGCTTTGAGATTTTCTTTTTTGGCTGAGCGGCAAGCTTGAAAAGGAGCAAGATCCCAGGAAATGATGTGGAGAAAAAGGGGAGATCAAGAAATGAATGATTTTAGAAAGTTTTGAGCAATTCTGGTCACTGATAATGACTTTCAAAAGTTGATTTTGCAAATATAAGGTTTTCTTTTTTTGAAGCAAGAAGTTTTTGTTTCAAGTTTATGTATTAGAGATCAGATTTTCTTGGAGCAATCCTTACTTTGTTTTTGTTTCAAAGAATTTGTTTTAATCCGTTTTCTATAAGAGATTTAATCTAGATTTAATATAGATTTAATCTAGATTTAATATAGATTTAATATAGATTTAATATAATATAATAGTTCAAAGCTTTGAAAGTATTCTTTTCTTAGACAATAATGGCAATTTTGTTAGGCAAAAGCTCGTTTCAAATTTACTAATAAATGACCGAGTTTTGCTGGAACAATAAAGCCATTTATTGGGGTTTCAAAAATAAACTCAACTCCTGCATTCTCATTGTTCGTTGTGGATTTTCTTTAAAAACAACATTTCCCAGGTCAGGCCAACGATCAAAGAGTTGCAGAATGCGGATGATGGCACGTCGCTGCTCATTGAATGGGATGGCGGGCATTTGAGTCGGTGAGTAAAAGGGGAAAACTCGACATCAACTATTCGGTAATCGGATTTCAGTTTCAACTCCGACTGGTTACGCTTTCGAAATCCGTGCGACGAAGCGGCAAGAAAGCATAGGAGGTACAGAGACGAATTTACAGCTTTGAAAGCTTTGAAACAAGCTTGTATTCACGTTTTAGAAAGTTCTATCTTTTCCCTGAAGACACTTGGGATCGAGAGAGGATCGAGAAGCGATTGAAAACGTTTAACTTTGAGAAAATGATGGGAGATGATAAAGTGAATGGATTTTGTGCTTTTGAATCTTTTAAATATCTAGGTTTTACACGATTTCCTCGAAGCCGTCTGCTTGGATGGGATCGCAAAATTGACGGGTGGACCGGGGAGGGGAGCTGTGGAAATGATCGGGAAAAGAATCCTTCTGATACACAGAACACATTTCGGGTGAGAAAAGCTTTCAAATGACTTTCGAATCACTTCTCTTAAAACCCTTTTAAACCAAATTTGATTTTCCATGGTTTTCTTTTTGAATTAAAAAGCTTTTGTTTCAAGTTTATTCATTATAAATCAAATTTTCTTCTCACTATTGACCGGCAAAGAAAACACGGCTCTAGAAAGCTCTATTTTAAAATACAGGGTGCGGCCAAAATATCCGGCGATGAAAAGACCGACTGGTCTTCAGAAAATTAGCAGAAAAGCTTTATAGAATTTTACTGAAAATAACAACAACAGTCCAAATAACAAAATAAAAACAGTTAAATCTCAAAGTTTCCTCCTTTTTCCTTCATGCAAGCCCTAAGTCGCTTCGGCACATCGTCGACCGCGGCACGGAGAGTCTCAACGGGGATTTTTGCCCATTCCTTGATAAGGGTGGCTTTCAGATCATCCAAATTAGCATGTGGATCTGATGAGACCTTTGCCTTCAAGATTCTCCATATGGCGAAATCCATAGGATTGATGTCAGGTGAATTTGCGGGCCATTCTTCCGGGGTAATGAAATCCACGTTTTGCTTGGCAAACCACTCCATGGTCTTTTTTGCACGATGTGCTGGTGCAGTATCTTGTTGAAAGATCCAAGGTGCTCCAGAAAAGTGATTATCAGCCCAAGGCTTCATATGCCTCATCAAAATTTCTTTTTCGTAGTAATTTTGATCAATTTTCACACCTGGCTGCACAAAAACAAGAGGTGTTTTTCCATCAGCGGTCACCCCGGCCCAAACCATCAACGATTTTGGATGAGCCGATTTTTGGACAACTCTTCCCTGAGAATTTGCCGTGGCAACATCTTTTGTTAAAATCCGATTATTTTGCTTGTTGAATTCCTGCTCAATTGTGAATGGCGCTTCATCCGACCAGAGAACCCTCCGATGCGTGCCACCCTTCAAACGCCGCAACAAAACTTTGCATTTCTTAAGTCTTTGTTTCACTTATTTATCAAAAAAATAATTGAAACATATAAAAAGAATAAAAAAATGCATAAACATAAAAAGAAGCGTGAATAAATGAGTTTTCGCAGTATTATGGCAAAAAGTACGTTCCGCCGGATATTTTGGCCGCACCCTGTAGATTCAAGAATTCGGGTTTCAAATTTGCCCTTTTAGAAAGATCTTCGAAGTTTCGACGAAATCGGACGCTTCAAACATGGCCTACGCGTCGAATGGAGAGCTACCGTTTCACACGGATTTCCCCTCACTCGCCGATCCGCCACAGGTGGTTTTTTTGATACTTTCTACTGGATTTGAAAGCTTTTGAGTACAAGTTCTAAGTAAACAAATGCGATTAGTGTCTAGAAATTGAAAATTTTTCTTGAAAAAGCTCTTTCGCAGCTTCAAATGTTGCACATGATCAGAAGGGCCGAGCTGGGAGGGAACAGCCTCTTCGTCGACGGGTTTCACGTCGCGAAATTGGTTTGGAAAACCAAAAATTGAATTATTTATCATTTTCATTTAATAAATGCGACTAAAAATGGAAAATTTGAAGTCAAGATTGGGTATTTTTAGGGATTTTCATGGATTTTCATGAAAAAGTAATGTTCTGCTTTTGTCAATTCTTGTTTAATGAATAGCTGAATAGCTATTCAGCTAATGAGCTGTTTAATGAGCTGTTTATTGAGCTGTTTAATGAGCTGTTTAATGAGCTGTTTAATGAGCTGTTTATTGAGCTGTTTAATGAGCTATTCAGCCAATGAGCTGTTTAATGAGCTGTTTAATGAGCTATTTATCAATAATTCATCAATAGATCATCAATAAATCATCAATAAATCTAAAGTAAAATAGATTTGGTAACATCTGAGGATAGAGAAACGCAAAAACCTTCAGTTGAAAGCGGAGAAGCCAGAGATTTTCGACACATTGTGCAACTATTCAGCTGAATACATTGAGGACGGTGAGCAAGCTTTAGAACAATATACTTTGTGCTTTCAAATCCCGTAAACACTCCCTTTCTGATACACTTGATTCTTGCCATTTCGCAATTCTTCTATTCAGGCTATGACATACATCTGGACGACACGGGAAATCAAATGAAATTCCCGTTCAAGATGGCTGCAAGGCATTCAACTTTCAAGTAATTAGCATTAGTAAAATTCTTTTTATAGTTACCGTAAATACTGTAATTGGACCCCACCCCTCTAATAGTACTTCTCTAATAGTACTTCTCTAATAGTACTTCTTTAATAGTACTTCTCTAATAGTACTTCTCTAATAGTACTTCTCTAATAGTACTTCTCTAATAGTACTTCTCTAATAGTACCCCACCCCGCCTAACGCGTAATTACAAACAACTCTTTTAAAGCGGAAAATTTTCATGTATTTTCAGAAATCGCTTGTATTTTTAATTTTATCCCATAAATTTGTTGTTTTTAAATTTGGGGTGGCTACTTTGCGCCAAATTTTTTGCGCAGCTTTAATTATTTGAATGTATCCTGATTTGGTAACTTGAACAGTGGTGTAAAATAGTGCCCCACCCTCTAATAGTATCCCACCCTAGAGGGGGAGGGAAAAAATAATACCCCCATGGGGTCCAATTACAGTATTTACGGTAGCACATAGTCGACTTTTCAGGCTCGATCGCGCCGGACGAGTCGTGCAGGTGCAATTTGGAAACGCGATGCGCTCGTGGTTCTACGATTGTGCGCCTGAAGAAGTTCAGAAAATTTACGAGTGAGTTGAATTTGCTGAAATTGTTCATGCTCAAATGTTGCCAAATCTTCAGCGCCTTGAAGATTTTCACTCAGTATTGCTACGACGAACGCAACATGCTCAAATTTCAGCTACAAGATGGTGAGTTGAAAGAAGCTAGTCTGCCAGTCTGCCAGTCTATTTCTTGTCTGCCAGTCTGCCAGTCTACTTGCCAGTCGAATTCTTTAGGAAAATTCTTTAGGTGATACGGTTCTCTGGGCGAACAAGCGAGTCCTCCATACAAGGGATCATTTCAAGAATGTCCCGGGGGAGGTCAGATATCTTTGTGTTAGATTACGGTCTTTGAAATAGGCACGAACGCTTGAGGGTTGCTATTTTGCGTGGGACATCGTGAAATCGAGAGTACGACAGCTGAGATCCGAGCTCAATTTGGATAAAGATCAGCCGGCTGTGTAGAAAAGTCGAAAATTCTACTTGAAATTATGTACGTAATAGATTTTGGGTATTATAATTGTAATAAACTATTTCAATTGCACAGTTTACATGAGAGAAAAGCGCATTCGAAAGGGTTTTTCTTTTCATTTTTTTTTATTTTTACAGAACCTCAAAGCAAAGTTATTTCTAGAAGACAAAATATGAAAAGTTGAAGTTTTTTTTTTGGTTTTTTCAGTTCTTCTTTGCATATATCTAAGCTGATATTATTTTTATTAGAGGGAACCCTTTCAAGTTACACTTGAGGAGCGATCTCATTTGAGGATCTCATTTGAGGATCTGATTCCGAAGTCGTTAAGAACACCGCCTGGTTAAGAACATCCCGAAACTGCTTTCGAATCCGACTTATCATAAGCCAATTTCGAGATATAAGCCTTTAAACTTCACTTTCGCCAAACGGCAAGCCAGCCTACTTAAAGCTTTGACAGCCAGGCTGTCAGTGTGCCTTGGTGTTCTAGTGGGTAGTCTGTTCGCGCCACGCACTAGAATCTGTGTCTAGAATCTAGAATCTAGAATCCAGAATCTAGAATCTAGAATCCAGAATCTAGAATCTATAATCCAGAATCCAGAATCCAGAATCTAGAATCTAGAATCTAGAATCTAGAATCTAGAAATCGATTCCTCTTGCTGGCAAAACCTTTTTTGCTTCTTTATTAAACTGAACGAATGTACGAGTAGCCATACCTTTGCAATACTTTTTTTAATGACCATCCAGGAATTTTTCTCCAATTCCCCCATGAAATTATTTGCAAATTCTTAATAAACTGAAACCTTTTATGTAATTGTTCTTTTCTCTATTAGATATTCAGTCAATTTGAAAACTCAAACCAAACAAAACTGAACGAATGTACGAGTACGACAAGGGTACTATATGGAAAGTTTTGAAATCTCTAATTGGGACATGGTAAAAGTCCTTTAAAACTTTAAAACTATCATTTCGAAACTATCATTACCAAAGAAGTTTTTGCTTTAAAAGCTTTTTGCTTTTTGCTTTTCAGCCTAAAGCTTTCAATCAAATACATTGCTTGAAAAGTTAATGTTTCAAAGTTATTGAACTCATTAAAATTATTTAAAGTTATTGAAAAGCTCTTTGAAAAATTAATGTTTCAAATTTTTGGATTATCCATTCAATTTTTCCGTCTCAATTGATGTTTCATGGCATTTTTTCAACAACAAAAATCCGCTTTCTGATTACATTGTGATAGAAAAATAGTGGAAACATGAAATGACTCGATGGCTTTTCTCAAGTATCTCAAAAGTTATTCAAACTTATTGAAAAGCTCTTTGAAAAGTTAATGTTTCAAATTTTTACATTACCCATTCAATTCTTCCATCTCAATTGATGTTTCTTGGCGTTCTTTCAACAACCGCTTTCCGATCACATTGTGATGGAAAAATAGTGGAAACATGAAATGGATGAGTCATTTCATGTTTCCACTATTTTTCTATCAAATGTCTTTCTGAAGTATCTCAAAATTATAACGTAATTTTTCGAAAATCCTTCAAATTCCCCTAAAATTCTCACCCAAAAAAGGTTTATGAAATTTTCAAAATTTTCTTTTTTTTCGAAAAGCGGAAATTTACGATTCCCACGTTCTTTTTGTGGTGATTTCCGTTTTTGTCGAAAATCCGAAACACAAATTTTTTTCCCCTAAAATTTGTTTATCTATATCAGCCAAATTACTCTATTCTTCATGTTTTTAGCGCTACGTGAGCCCAGGAAGTGAGCATTTGGCTCAATTTGTAGTTTTAAAAGAAAAGGAAACTTTCTATGACCAATTTGCCTTTTTTTGGGGCAATGCGTGAGTATAAATTGAGCTTCAGAGGGGAGAAGCTTACGAGTCCATTAGATTTTTAGGGTTTTTTGTCTAATTTTGATAGAAATTGTTTAACTCTTGCTTTTAGCCCGTTGTCCAGCTCTTGCTGGACTTGCTCTCTTGCTTTTGTCCAGCTGGGATTTTTGATCATTTTATTCATTTCTTTTGTCAATCCTTCATTTATTCGTCTTTTTGGTTACCGTTTTTTTTGTAATAGTAGTGCTGGAATAGCAGTGCTGTAATAGTAGTGCCGCCTGCTCAAATTTGCTCTGTTGCTGCTCACTTTGGATTTTGTTTGTTTTAAAAGCATATAGGTAGCTAAATGTTCTGATTTTACATTACTATTACAGAAAATGCGGGATTTGCTTGAAAAATTGCCGAGTTAAAAGATAGAAATAAGAAATTCGATGAAATTTTGGATTGACGGAACAAGAGATTTTCTTTTTAGCATCTCTCCTTTCAAATAAAACGACTGTTCTTTCAAATTCTCCTAGAAAATCGTGAGCTTTGAGTTCTATAGAAAAATTGTAGAAAAGTCAAATAGCAAAGGCTACGGGCTTTATCGCTTTATTTAAAGTTCAAAGATGAGAAATTGTTTTGAGTCTGGCTTTGCGTCTGGCTTTCCGTCTGTCTTTCCGTCTGGCTTTGCGTCTGTCTTTCAGTCTGGCTTTCCGTCTGGCTTTCCGTCTGTCTTTCCATCTGTCTTTCCGTCTGGCTTTGCGTCTGTCTTTCAGTCTGGCTTTCATTGAGCCTTTCATTGAGCCTTTCCGTCAGCCTCATCCAACATATAGATCTCCGAAAATATACAATTTATTTCAGAAAAGATTTGAATAGAATAAAATGAAAGGGAATTTTTTTTTGGTTGCGCAAAATTAAACGTCATAAAAAAATTTCCAATTTGATTCACTTGAAGCGGAATGATTAAATCCCAAGGAAACAATGCTGAAAGAAAGATCATTGATCATATTTGAAAATTGCCCATAAATTATCCGATCAAATCCATTTTTGGATATGGCCTCAATTTTTGTGAATCAAAAATCTCTTCTTTCCATATTTCATCATCTTTTTAAAGTTAACCAAAAAAAAAATTCTCTCGATTTTCAATCTAATCCTCGAGCTTTCTTATCCTGTTTTTGAAGATCTAGCTTGATCTAGCTGACTAGCTTGATCGTTTCAAAAAGAATGACGTGACAATCCAAAAAGATCAACTCTCCAAAATAGAATATTCTCTCGATCTTTAAACCCCAAAAACGATTTTAACTACGCTTTCTAAAAATTGAAGAAACTCCCGTAATCTTTGCTTTCAATTTTAACCCGCCGTTCTATCAAATTTGCTTTAAAATTTGTTTTTTGCAATGACCTTTTAAGCATCATGAACAATTCTAACCTAAAGTTGATCAACTAACCAGTAATCAACAAATAAACAGTTCTAACCAGTCAACTAATAGTCCGCTAACTTGATCGTTTCAAAAAGAATGACGCGAGAATCGAAAAAGAAGAAGATCTCTCCAAAAAACAGCACTTGAACTTTTCCCTCAATTTGCAAAGTTCATTGAATACATACAAAAAAAAAATTCGTCTCTAAATTCGTGTTTCAAAGTTTTTGAAAGAGAAAATTGGAGAGCTTGCTTTTATGCTCAAATCCAATCCGGAAACGCCCACCTTCACGTCAGAAAGACGATCATCAAGACGGGGTTTTTATAAATTCCGAAATTAGATTTGAAATTCCGAAAAAAATCATCTTTACATTGATGTTTTCGTTTTTAAATTGTTTTTAAAAAAATAAAAAAAAATTAGAAACTCTCCAACTCCTTTGCATTAGAGATTTTGAATTTTACAAATGCTTTGAGAATTTGAAACATTTAATTCTGAATGCAAAGAACAAATGGAAATAGACGTTAAACATTTGCCAAATTAACATAAACTAACCGGGTTTTTTTTTGAATTCATAAAAATAAATGAATTCATTTCAATTCATTCATTCATTAGAACTGATCTCTCTGAGCATCTAGAACTGATCTCTCTGATCTCTCTGAGCATCTAGAACTGATCTCTCTGATCTCTCTGAGCATCTAGAACTGATCTCTCTGATCTCTCTGAGCATCTAGAACTGATCTCTCTGATCTCTCTGAGCATCTAGAACTGATCTCTCTGATCTCTCTGAGCATCTAGAACTGATCTCTCTGATCTCTCTGAGCATCTAGAACTGATCTCTCGATCTCTCTGAGCATCTAGAACTGATCTCTCTGATCTCTATGATCTAGAACTGATCTCTCTGATCTCTCTGATCTAGAACTGATCTCTCTGATCTCTATGATCTAGAACTGATCTCTCTGATCTCTCTGAGCATCTAGAACTGATCTCTCTGATCTCTATGATCTAGAACTGATCTCTCTGAGCAGCATAGCTTGAAATATTTAGATTTTTACATAAATTTGTAATCCCCAATGGATCTCACATTGTAAAATATTTAACGATTTGCTTTTTCAAAAATTTTTCTTTTCCTGTTTTGAAAGATAAAGCCATAACGTGACAAGTGATGGCTTTCTTTTAGAAACAAAACCAATTGTCATATATCTTCTGCAGCAAATCGTTTAGATCTATTAAAAATCCCTTGAGACCCAAGAATTGCAAATCAACTTGAAAAACCCGAATTTCCATTTGAGATTTCTATGCAAAGGAGGCCAAAGTGAAGAATATGCGAAAATATGCGTAAATGATGACGTCAGTTTATTTGCCTTTTTACGAGAGACTTTCTCGTACTTTATGTACCGCCTTTTCTCTAATAGTAGTCACTAACCGCGCCGAGCCGAGTTGATGACTATTTTACGGTTTCGAAGCATTTACAGAAGCTGAACACATAAATCCCCCACAAGATCTGATCGTCAGCTACTTCGTCAGCTACGTCAGCTATCGTCAGCTATCGTCAGCTACGTCAGCTACAAGATCTCATCGTCAGCGTCAGCTACATTTTCCGACCGCACATCGATAGGTTCTGATAAGCGGCTCTCGAGATTTTGAGGAATTTCGGCGACGCTCTCAGTGCCCTACTATTAGAGAAAATTCGGTATATAAAGTACGAGAAAGTCTCTTGTAAAAAGGCAAATAAACTGACGTCATCATTTAGGGATATTCTCCAAAATAACAACAAGGAACTCATCTTTTTTTTTATCTTTTTAGATAATTTTTGATTGCAATTCCCAGTAGAATTCTTGTCTTTTTATATCCGAATGATGTCACTTCCCATCTTTTTAACTTTTCTAAATTCAATTTTTGCTTAACGTCATTTTAGAGTTATTGCTTCTATTTTTAAGAATTTCAAGAAGCCTTTTCAATTAAAAACAAACCAAAGAACATCATTTTGCTCATCTCTATAAGAATTAGACATCCCAATATTCTGAATTATATCTTTAAAGTTGAAACTTTGTTTAAGGTAACCGGGAGGCTTTAAAAGATTAAATAGGCTGGAAAAAGGATACAAATGGGCTAGGAAAACTTGAAATTGACCAGAAAAGACACGAATGTAGCTCGTCAGTGTGTAAGCTACAAATTTTAAAGCAAGTTGAGTACAGTGTAGCGCTTGTCGACCAGACAGGACTACGTTCAACTTTTGTCCGCCACGAAATTTCATGCTTTAGACCTTTTCCGCTTGTTTTACCAACGAATTTATAGGCGTGACTACAAATTTTTCTTTATAAATGAGAGATCTTGATGTTGCCTATTCTTTACTTCTTGCTAACGCCAGGTTGCAGTTACTTGCGTAGAGCACACTTTCTACACTTTATTTCGTTACAGTATGACAAAAGATTGCAAATGATTCAAAATAGAAGCTCAATTGGCTAAATTGGCTGAACGAAAAAAGCAATGTGTCAAGAATGTCAATGAATAAATGCTTTTTCAGCCAATTGAGCTTATATTTTGAATCATTTTGCAGTCTTTTGTCATACTGTAACCAAATAAAGTCCAAAAAGTGTGCTCTAGTCACGCAAATAACTGCAATCTGGCTTTAGCAAGAAGTTTGCAGTCTTTTGTCATACTGTAACCATTTTCAAGTGTATATATCTAATCCAGAAATCAAATAATTGTGCTTTCATGCCGAGATTCATGAGTTTTCCTCAATTTTCGACCGCTTGACCACGTCGAGATTTTGCGTGTTTCAAAAAAAGTCATAATTTTGACGGGGATTTTTTTTTAATAAACATCTCGGAGGACTCTATAAAGCGATTTATTCTAACTAAATCTTTTCGAGTTCTTTCAAGATATAATCTAAAGATTACGGTAACAAAGTTTTGACTGAAATAGGTGCATTTTAGAAAACGAATAAGTTTTACTCGTTTTCCCACACCGCGCGCATAAACGATGCTCCAAATAGAAAAAGTTAGTGAAAAAAAAAAAAATTTGCACCTAAAAATTGGACCTTTGTACGCAAATCTCTCTCGAAACAATCACAACATTCACATTGAATTTTCGCGTGATTTTCGCGTGATTTTTGCGTCAATAAACCAAGAGAATTTCTGGAAATTTCTAGAAAAAAAACCTTCAATTTTCCGCGCTTCACGGATTACTTTTACCCATTGAAATCAATTTTGAAAACACGCTGACTAATCCTTTTTTTTTTGGATGTGACTGTAAATTTGGAAACTCCTACGTAGGCTTTTGAATTTTTAACCTTAGGATTAGTCTGGCTTGTCTGGCTTGTCTGATTTGGAATTTTTTTTCTTAATCTTTAGCTTTCAGAAAGCAAGTTTCAAATTTGACATTAATAAACGAGGATTTTCCGACTCAATTGTTGCATTCAGCAATAGATAATTCACTGGTTTCACAGAGAATTCAAAGCATTTAAGCGACAAATTGCCTTTTTGGTTTAGCCAGACTGCCAGAGCTTACATTTTGAATCATTTGCAGTCTTTGTCCATATTGTCATAAGTGCTAAAAAGTGCTCAATATTGTCATAAACCCTAAAAAGTGCTCAATTCATCAGCTCAAACTCTAAAATTCAAATTCTGCAAATTTTCTTTTGGAAAACTTTCAAGCTAATCTCGTTATGATATTTTTCAAAACGAAGTCTTGAGCTTAAGCTTTCGAGCTAAGCTTTCGGGCTAAGCTTTCGAGCTAAGCTTTCGAAATTGAGTTCAACGAAATCGAAAGAATGATTTTCAAAAGTCAATGGATCCACCATAGTCTGCTCACCTTCCCAGCTCATCTACGCGATCTTTATTTTATTAGATCACTTTCTGAAATGACTTCTCAACTTAAACGGGATCAAAGATGACTTGGCAAAGATCTCGAGCTACAGTATTTTTCAGCTAATTTCCCGGTTTCCTCAAAAATATTATTCTTCATAAATAATTCCAAACCGGAAAACGTGTCTGTCTCTTTTTTGCTTTTTCCTTTTTTTGAAACATCAAATCTTCTTATTTCCTCAGTGATATTAAAAGAAAGAACTTGACCGTGCATTCGTTTTGCGACTACTCTAATTTGTACAGGAAATGGGAAGCATTTCGGGGTATAAATGATTAATAAAAGCTGTCTGCATCGAGTCATTTTTTTTTTTTGAAAAATACGGTATCGTCTTTTTTAAAAGACACCCATTACAGACAAGATTACAGACAAAACTACTGTAATCTGGAATACTGTAATTGAAACGACTTTTTCAAGATTAATTCATTTTTTGAATCACTTTCCGCTTTTCAAAAAAACTCTTTTTCAATTTCAGTGATCAGTTTGATTAAATGTTTTTGTTAATTCTCGTCTTAGACTTCAGTTTTCACGGTTTTCTGTTGTTTTTCGCGGTTTTTTGTTGTTTTTAGCTTACCTTTTAGCCTTTTAGCTTAGCTTTTTTATGAATGAACTCACAAAATCGGCTTTTTTTCGGTAATTTAATTGCCAACGTATTGTTTTCCCTTTTCCAATCTCGAATTCGTCAGCATAAAAGCATCAAAGCTCTACTTTGTTTCCTTTCAAACTGTTTTCTAAAGGGTTTTAGATAGTTAGAACTTCCTTTCAATAAGTAAATTTTGTTTCAACTTTTCCAGTGTTTAGAAATTCAAAGAAATTTTAGTGGAAGAGATGGAACTTGCTTGCCTGCCTTACTTTATGCATTATGTGCAAAAGATTAGTCAAAAAAATTTCGGTTTCAACCTTCTTTAACTACTTTACTTGAAACAACTTTCTAATCACGCTCGATTTCTAGTTTCTATAATCACAGCTTTTCCTCGTTTTCATCCATTTTCATGAAATTTTTCATTTTCCATTTTCCATTCAAATCAAAAAGCCATTTTTCGTTGATGACTCAAATTTTGTACAACCCTCTGAAATTTTTCGAATCAAGAACGTAATAATCGACAAATCAGTGCCCCAATCTCACGTGCTGGATTCTGAATTTTTCTGGATTACTTATTTAAATCAAAAATTTGAAATCGAATCTGGATTACTTAGAAATTCTGGTTTTCAATAAAAAACCCCCTCAAATTGCAATTCTGGCTAAATGGGAATTGGATCTCGATTGAAAAGGTGAACATCGAGGAGATTATCATCATTTCTTTTCAATTTTAATTCGTTCTTCAAGTCGAAGGCCCTTCTTGATTCGGTTCATTCAACCCCTTTCGACTTGAGTTTCCAAATCGGAGATCATTTAGGGATTTCACTCTTTAGTCGCATCTAGACATCTAGAAATTTAGACTTAGGCATCTTTACTTACTCTATTTTGTTTTCTGCTCTCTCAAAATCTTTGTCGTTGAAGTGGCTCTCAAACAAAAACTCTCAAAATCCCTCTCATTGTTGAAGGCAACTCAGATTCTGGCTCTAGCAAGAAGTCGAGTAAAGTAAAGTATAGCAAAAATAACTACAATATCTCATGTGTGCTTTTATTTTGAAAAATATTCAATTAAAAAGTTCTAGATTCTGGAGAAACTTCTGAATGTGTTTTTTTCGGCTAATTTTTTGACGGGATTTTTCTCGAAGACAGTCACAACCATTGATATTTCTAAAGGAAAATTTGTAGTCAGGGCTACAAATTCGTTGATAAAACAAGTGGGAAGGGTCTAAGATCCTATTTTTTATTTCTTTTTTTGCTAGGCGGAAGTCGAACGTAGTCGTGGCTCGTCTACGAGCGATTTTCAATTTGTAAAAAACTTCTGCCTTCTGGCGTACTTTTAATTCTTCCCATTTTCCCCTCAAAGCAACGAGGGGAAATCGAAATTGAAATTGAAGAATTGAGTGCGCCAGAAAGGAGTGTTTTACGGGATTCGAGAGCACAAAGTGCACCGAAAACGCAATTCACATTTTTAGAAGTCCTTGTTTCAAAGTTTTCCCCTTAAAATAAGCTTTTATGGATTTAGTAGGCTTTTGTTTTTCGTTTATAAAATTTAATTTAATTTAATTTAATTTTTTTATCTAGTACATTTTTCATGTCGTTTTCGCACTTTATTTCTTTCTGAATAAAGTATTTATATAATTAATAGGCTTTGTTTTCCGTTTTCCGATTTAATTTCCCTTTCTTTCAGCTAATAAATTGAATAATTTAGTGTCTAAAAGTAATCAAAGAATCTTTCAGGTAATAAATTTTTTTTTTGCTTATCGAAAAGCTCATCAAAACGATGCGGTTATCGTGCGGGAAAATCGTTCAATTCTTGGCCACTTTTTTTACGCTAATGGCGCTCACCGAGGGGATGGCCATATTCTCGGTCGGTTTCGAAAAAGAAAAGAAACAAATTTGCATAAATTTGAAATAAAGAAATTACTCGAAAATTTCATTTTTCTCAAAAGAGACGGCCTATTTCTTGATTCTGAAAGAGATTTCTTGTCGCTTAGATGGAATGGAATGCAATTTCAGTCTCGAGAAGTCTGTCAAAAAGCAAAGAGTTACGAGAAACCATTTTTTTTCTTTCCAGGATTGGCCGAATCGAGCCGATCAGTCGGATTACCCGGCGGCGGGGCGCGTGGCTCGCACCTCTCGCACCTCTCGCGCCAATCCACCATCGTTGAACGTTTATTGCCTCCTGCACATGGAGATTTGCAATCGAGCCGGCATGCACTCCAAAAGATCAATCGATACCATATTTTAATTATTTAATAATATAATCTGGTCAGCCAAAAGAACGAATAAATATTGATTGTATTCTTCACATTTTAATCATTCAATGCATCAGAATGATGAACAAAATTCAAATTCAAATTCAAATTCAATTCAAATTCAAATTCAGAATTCAAACGATAACTGAATTTCAAAGTTTTGTCTATACTTAGACATCTATGTAGCCTAGTGTAGGGTTGATTTTGAGCGTACTGTATGTAACCTGTAGCTGGTTTAGGTGATTGGGTATACTGTAGCTACATGTAGCTAAGCCTGGGCGTACTGTATCTGGTTGCTGCAGTACTGTAGCTTTGTAGACACTGTAGTCAGATTTTGGTGTACTGTAGCTGATTTGGATTCACTGGAATTTCGCTTGGCTTACTGCAGCTGACCCTTCTTTTGGATAACTACAGTAAAATCCATATTCCCTTGTAACTCTCTGAAAATAGACTTTACTTTTGGGATAACCAGAGAGACAAAAAAACAAACGATTTGAAAAATACTATCTCAAATGAGGATGGGAGGAGACGGGGATGAAAACGATTTCGACACGTAATATGTAAAACAAATAATCAAAGGGAAAAGATCTAGATATTTGCTCTATTAGAGCTAAAGTTTCGAGGGGGATTTGGTGAAACTTTTCACACACCACCAAGAAAAAAATGCGAGAGGCAGTAGAGGGAATAGGCAAATCTGTTGCATTACCTGGTACCGTAGCTTTTTTGTTAAAAAACAATTCAAATTTACATTTCTAATTGTAAGAACTTATAGAAGCAGAGTATCTTCTCAACTAATTCTAAAACGCGTCTTCTTTATCAAAACTACCATGTTTTAGAAATTTAAATTCTAAGAAAATTGGTTTCCTAATCTCTTTTTGCATCCAAAACGACCCCTTTACCCTAGAATTTGAAAAATCTAAAATTAACCCTTTTATCTTCGCGTTCAAAGCGAAAAAGCGTACGGCACCTGTGATAGTTGTAAAATCTTCAAACAAAACCAATTGATCACCAAATCGAAACAAATAAACAAACGAATAAACAATACTCAATTGGAATACCCTACCCAAATCGAAAACAACACTTTAGGGGTGAGACAAAAAGGTACTTGTGAATCTGGTAATGCAAAGTTTGCATTTAAGGCTATGCCTAGCAGATTCTAGTGGATGCAAGACTAAAACCTTCATAAGTTTGTAAAGATAGGTGCTAACAGCGCCTAGCTTTAGCTTAGGAGAAACAAATTCGTACAATTATCAGATTCACAAGTACCAAGAGATAAAACAAAACCGGAAATTCGTAGGCCCGACAGAAATTCTCAAAGGACAATGAAACGAGAACGCTTCACAACAAACAAATAAATATGTGTACCCATGTTTTCACATGATGAAGAATAAAGAAATCAGAAGAAAAAGACCAGAGCAGAAAATATTCAGTGGGGAAAACACTTTGAAATGTGCGATCTATCCGTTGAAGGGAAACACGAGAAAACGTCAAAAATGTACATATAAAACTCTGATATAGATGATGGAAAAAAAGAGGTAACACTAAACAAAGCTAAATGAGGAAACGAATACTTGGAACTATTGACTCAACTTCAGTGACGATTCACCACACTTGCGCCTGGATATTCTGATTGTTGCGGCTGAGGATTGAGCGCACGTCGGTCGTGAATCTGGAAAGAAGAGAATATTAAACTCAAACAAAGGGGACATTTTGGTATTTGTTGCTTCAATTACGATTCTTTCTTAAAATGGCACTGTTTGGTGATTTTCATTTAAACTGTGCAAAATTCCAAGTCATAAACGCCTATCACCATTACTCGTATTTAGGCTGGTTTTCTTGAGCGGTAATATCCAGGTACCAAAATTTTACGAAATTATTGTTCCTAAGTCATGATATGGTATCTACTTTAATCCAAAACCCCAAATTTACCTCAACGCATCCAAGAACGGCAACAGTGCCAAAAGAGCAGTGTCCGACGGATCACTGAACCACGATTGAATGGGGATCGCGTTCTCTAAAGAAACGAATGATTATAACATTTCATGATAATAAACTAACGTGGAAAATTTCTATATGCTCCAGGCGAATTGTCTAGAATAAATATCGACGACAAATCTGAGTGAATTGCTGATAGATCCTTTGTGTAACCGCCATAGTCCATTGTACAGTGCTGACGGAAGTACCTGAAGAATAAGTATTTGTAAATGTTTGATAAGCAACATCGAGCTCGATTGATCAGCTTCTCAACTAGCTATAAGCCCTGACTGTTTGAAAATCATCGACTTTCTTGGTTTTAAGCTGTTAATAAGCAGAAATCCATTTGAAATCATTCCCCACCTTCTCTTGAACATCCCACGTCCCTTGTCGAGCCGATCTGAAATTTATTGGGCTAGTAAGCTAAGCAACAAAAATACAAAAAAGAGAAGTAAAAGTGTACCAGCGACATGGCTCCCGTAGACCTCCATTGATGCCGTGAAGACGACCAAGTCGAACCATTGGCTCACAATCTAAAGAAAAAGTACAGCGTCATTTGTTTGTTTTTACCATCAAATCGCGTTATGCTACAACATTTTAGATCAGCAAGTTTATTGTAAATTTATATACTTGATGCATCGGGGGTCATTTATCTACATATTATGACACTTTATTGCGTTTAATCCCAACTATTATTTGGTGTGGTGAAATTTTACCTGCAAAAAGTAGTCAACATGTGGCCGAGCGTGCACAGAAAATCGCACGGGATGTCGATCGATTTCGACGCGAATCGTGAAATCTGGCGGTGTTCCCGGTTTGACCATTGGACGGATTACCCCATCGTGATGCGAGTGGATCAACGTCTCGTCCAAATCGAGCACCAATATTTTGCGACGAACGAGTGCTGAAGAAAAAAAGATCTTAATAAACCAACTATGATTTAAGATACTAACAAGTACAATTACAAGTAATAATGTTCTTGAGTATTCAGTTCTTTTTAGCTTAAAAGCTTAGATTAGAATTGAGCTAAAATATTAAAACCTCAAAACTTACTCAATCGTTGCATCATAAATGGAGACATGGGGGCCTCTTTGTAGCGAACCACCTGGTGTTTAGCATACTAAAAAGAGTTCAGGGAATGAAACTCAAAAGATATAACACCCACCACTCGATGCGTTTTCCTGAAGTTAAAGAGCAAAAATTGAAATAGTCCGAAGATCAAGTCGAAGATTTTGTAGAACCAGGCACATTCGAAGCGTCTCGAGCCGGAGTGCGTCTAAAATTAGAACATAATGAAAACAGATCGTAGCTTTACTTTAACTTGTACGCTTTTTTTAATCATGCAAAACATAAAAACAAAATGTATTTATGTTCCGATCATTCAGGGTCAGTTAATAGCTTTGGTTAAAAGCGTTTTGTGTGCCTAAAACCAAAAGATAGCTATCGAGCTTTTGAAATAGCATTATTGTCAAAGAAAAGCAGAATAAGAAGTCACATTCTGTCTTAATATAACTTGATATAACGCCTGAAGTCTTAATATGCAGCCGTGGGAAAAAAGAGGCTTGAATGGATTCATGGCAATGGGTCAGCACGTGACACTTTCAGCAGACGCATTCTGTGAAACGGCGCGGTTCAAATCCAATGTTTTTGGCGTAGATAGGCTCATTCAGAATCCATTCAAGCCTCTCATTCGGATCGAAAGATTCACGGATAGGTCTAGATATGCTGCAATATTAAAGGATTAAGTGCCTACTTATATTCATACAAATATGAGGCCTAGGCGACTATTCCAGTAGAATAGCGACCCAAAACTTCCAAAGTGAATTGATGATTAAGTGGAAAGTGAAAGTTTTCGAGCACCGTTTTGGGCGTCTTTCCGTGTCTTTTTGCATCAATAAGGCTTTTCTTCAAATACAACCTTTCTCTTTCGTTTATACTTCCATTGAACATTAGGGAACCTATGGAAACCGAGACTTGCTCGCTTATTGCAATTCGCATTTGGGACAAGATTTATCAAAGCTGCAAGTTGTCGCCTGTACCGAAACTTGAGAAATAGGTTGTAAATATGCTGAAAAGACTGCACAAATTCATTAAAGTGCAAGGAGACTCAACAAAATACTAAAAAAGCTTCTTTTCATTATGGTGCAATCTTTATTTTCACCCTCTTTTTTAAGAAAATCCTCTTGTAAAATTCGTGAAGTCTGAGAATAAAGTGTCTCCTATCTTTTCAAAAACACTAGCTCATGAAGAAACTATTGTAACAAACTTTAACCGGCAGTACATGTATTATTGCCAAAATTTTTGCAAAAAAAAACGTTTTTCGAGGGTGCCATTTTTTTCCCACGACTGTAACTCCTCTGCAAAGCAGTTGCTTTTTAAAATACGTTTCCCTAAGCATTCTCTAAAATCAACTCACCATTTTCTTATTTGACTCTAGTTTTCGAGTTGCAAACATCACTCGGCCAAACACGAAACGTCAAAATTTCTTTATTGTCGATTCGTCGGGTACCTAAATAAGAAAAATTGGTAAAAGATGAATGATGTGCTTAAAAGGAAACGATTGAAATTTCGAAAACAACTCGGAAAATATAAAATTTCGAAAACTAATGTGTTAAAACTTTACTGTGTTTTTGCAACAGAACATTCAAAATGTGGATTTTTCAAATTTCAAGGTGAAAAGATGAGATAAAGGGTACTTGTGGGGTTGGGAGGCCACTATTTTTTTTCCAAAACCACTTTTTCTGGGGTATTTTGGAGCCTAGATTCCGAAAAACGCAACGAGAAGTTGCGGTTTTGAATTTTTCATATGAAAATAATATTTGAAAATTTTCCATTCTTAAGAGTTTTTACTAGGTTTAAACTTGTTTAAACTTGTAACACGTAACATTAAACCCCACCCCTAAAGCTCAGACCTTATATAAGCAGGCAAAGGTAAGTCAAAAACATCTTGAAATCGTCAAAAAACGAAAATGGCAAGAACAATAAACGAGCTGCGGGAATTCACATTCAACAATCTTTTCGAGAAGCACTTTCTCGCTGATGATGACTTGATTGGTTCGCCGACATCAGTCTACTTCACAAGAAACGCACATGGCCTGTTTGTCGCAAAGCCGAGATGACCGTCTACAGTTGTCAAGGCCAAGGCCAACGCCAACGATGGGAGTGCAACAAGAGACGTCGTGAGTCTGGTCGCAAACATCGCATCGGCTACTTCGTCGGAGCATTCTTTGAAAGCTGCCTATTCTGGTGTGTCTCTTCTTCGACAACTCTTCCGACACTTGACGGTGAATCATCAAGTGAACTTCGTCAGTCCAATCACCGGTTCCCACACCCAGAACATTGAAGCACAGTGGGAACGGTTTAAGAAGACACACATTGAACGACCAAATGGCATCAGCATCCAGTCGAATCACCGCTACAATGACTTCATCAATGAATCTTCTGGAAACAAAAATTCGGCGATAATTCGTTCTTCCACTTCTAGCCTTAAGCAGCTGAAATATAAGTCTACGAGCGTTGAAATCCGTTGGGTTGGAGAAAAAAGCTCCAACCCAACGACCCTCTTTAAGGCCATAAATTTCCATTTAACAACAAAAGTTTGCATTTAAATCTAGTAAAAACTCTTAAATATAAAAAGATTTTCATATGAAAAATTCAAAACCGCAACTTCTCGTTGCGTTTTTCGGAATCTAGGCTCTAAAATACCCCAGAAAAAGTGGTTTTGGAAAAAAAATAGTGGCCTGCCAACCCCACAAGTACCGAAAAGTTTTGCTACCGGTTTTGCAACAGTTAAGAACAGGCCATATGCGAAACGGAGATTCGCTAACAAAAAGAACCCCTTGGCACCGATTTCCATCAAAATTTCGTTGAAAGGAGTGCAGAGTACTGCGACCTGGCAACGGTGGACCCTTTTAAGTGGCTGATGCATTAAAGATTACTTACCGGTCAAGTTAGTGCAAGATAGAAAATGATTACGGCAAAATATACGAAAAATAACTGCAACTGCGATTCCTAATTTACACTTTGCGAGTTTAAAGTTAAAGCGAAGCATCATATCGCCATGTCAAAAAGTGACAATTTAAAAAAAAAGAAATGTATAATATTGGATAACAACCCGCGTCATTCAACTCATCTTTCGCCTCCAAAACCATTTACTCTCCAACATGAAACAAAATTTCGATAGCGATTAAGATCTAAAAAAAAAATGCCCGACACAATTAGAAACGATCACAGCTCGATTTCAAAACAAAATGATTAAACGAGAAGAAAAACAAAACAACAAAAACAAAATAATGGAAAGTTTGGAGTGATTTTCTCAATAGAGATCAACAACAACACAAAACGAACAAGCTATTGGCAAAACGGGGAAATATTATACAAAGATTTGTATATACAAGATGGTATCATCATGGAGGATTATTATGGGACTTGTTTTTGAGAAATACACCTATTCTAAAGAAAAGTGCAAGTGAGATAATAAATAGGGGCAAAATTGAGGAGAGACTTCCATTAAAGTGCTAGAATTTGGCAACGAAATTCAAAATCTGGATGAGCTATCCGTTTAGGGGTACCTTTAATGACTTACAATCTTACAATAATTTCGACTCTAGTTAATAGAAGTCTCCTACACGGAAAACTTATAATACTTGACTATGTTTATCGTTCTTCCCGTAGTCGTTTCCTTGCCACATAAAAACTCGCCAGTGCACAGCACGCAAAAGTGTAGCCGCCCAAGCAAAGAGTTGCCGTCAAATCATCGATCTCGTGTGTATTAATGGCCATGTTGATAAGACCCAAAAGATTGACCATTGCAAGCTTGATAAGGAGCACTCACCTGTAAAAACGTTCCCGATAAGGAAGAAGAGGAAACCCATTTTGTTGACAGAATCGAGGAGACACGGTTGCACGCCTTCCCAAGGGTTTTCATCTAAATTAACATGTTAATATTTATTATGGGTACTAACATGCATATAACGATCTTTTGCATTTAAGAGTAGATTACACAAATAGTACTAGTACCGTCACAAAAACTAATGTAATTAAATGTCAGTTACCCGTTCCAAAATGAGGCACATTAGCCGCCCATCCAATAAACGCCACCACTTGCACACCGAGACAGATCGCCAACCCGTAAGTGAAGAGGGATAGCTAAAAAACATAAAGTTGAATACAAATTCGACACTAAATTTACGACTAAATCCTTGAATACTAATGCTAATATTCAAAGCCATTTAGAGAGGCAAAAAGTCATACCTGAGCAAAGATGTAGGAGAGATTTGTGATTCGCCTGCTCGGTGCTCCGATCGCCATCTCAGCGCCCTTTTGCAGCACAAAGAAGAAGCCGGCGAGCAGGAAGAGGTACGCACAGCATTGGATCCAGTTACGGAGTCGACAACTAAAAAATAATCCATCAAGATTTCAATTCAAATTCGAATATCAAACCAAACTCTTATATAGCAATTCTGAATCAAAAACTTACCCGGTTGACGTAATGAATTTGCCAATTGAGCTCGCAAAGTAGTACATCGCAATGTAGCCCAGCAACGAGCAAAAACCCTCCCGATTCGCCGAGATGAAATCCGTCCTTGGGGCATCCTCCGACAACGCCCATTCCTGAAAATTAAAATTTACACAGTGATTTGTAGCTAAAGCCGAATTTGCGCTCAAATAATGCAAAATTTGGATTCATCAATCATCTAAAAAGAAGTGCTAGCCTGGCCGAAGCATCTTACTCCTTTCGATTTTCGGAATGGCTCAACTCTTCGCCGACCCAAAGGAAATCGCCCTCGCCTTTTGTTCTTTTATCTGACTTTTAACTTTTCTGTTCAGCTTTACGGCTAGTTGAAGTTAGACTTGCTTTTGCTTTTACACTTTGTAACATCACGTACCACCTAAGTTTTAAACTCAAAGCAACTTTTCCAAATCTTCCTTTTAGGAGGCGCTCAAAAGTTCCGCCTCAGGAATCCACTAAAGGAGAAGTTCATCTATAGCGTAAGTTTTTTATTTATTCATTATGTTTGGTTCAACTTTTTATACTTCCGACCACATCCGGTCCGAAAAACTACTTCTTCAACATTCGACCCTACGATGTAGTGCCGATGGGCGAGAATATCAAATCGAAGACTCGCGTAAGATTAGATCTGTTTTGATTCTAAAAGTAATAGAGCTATGTTCTTAATTTGTAGACATTTTTAAAATTATTCTTGACGTTTCAAGAACCTGTTGGTCTTATAATTGTGATCGTTTTAAGCAGATATCATTCTGTTATCAATCTAATTTTCTCACTGTTCCCACTGTTATCTGAATCATCCAATAGGTTTTTTTAGACTCAATCCATCCGCGCAATCATCCGACATCTATTTATTGTCGTGAGTCTTCAGATATTTGCCTTTTATTTTGTTGTGGCTACGCATACCAAAACCCACCTCATAACCCGAGCTGAGCAAAAGTTGATGTGCCGTGGCAAATAAGATGGCAAGTAGAGCGTGGAATCGTTTTGGCAGAAATTTTGCTACTACCTAAATCAGATACATCATTAAATACTAAACTTATTCTACCTGAACGATGAAAAAAGTGTAAAAGAAATTCCAATGCAGACCATACTCTGAGACGACTTCAGGGTAGCCAAGCCCCTAAAGCTCGGAAGTAAAGACAAAAAGTTGATAGCACCTTTATTAGAAGAGTTCTTCCAATGCCCAAATATATCAAGAAGGCGGTTGAGGATGCAAAAGCTCGACGAAACCTACTAAAAATTGTATGTTGCTGAAACTTTTATCTATGCTATGCGCAAAACTATTTATCTTTGATTTTTACTGTTCACTTACCCTCCACGTTTCTCTTGTCGATCGCGCATTCCTTGTGTCTTCAGTTGTCGGCCAACGGCGAGAATGTAAATAAAAGCTGCCACTCCAACGTCCATAACACTGTGTCCATAGTGCGAAGTCTTTGCGAATCTTAAATGCTTTTGGCTTTAGGACTTTGTAGTTTTGTCCCTATAACCTGTTTCACCAAAATATTGCCTAATTGCAAAACTCGACCATTTTGCGTTTTGTAATGTTCTTACCTGTAATGTCTAAATTCGAGATAATTACCTTCTTGGAAACACGGGAAAATCGACGGCCAATATTGCGATATTTGTAAAAATCAAGACCAAGCTCCTATAAAAATGTTTAATTAGCATTTAAAACAACAATTTACCTTAAATATGTCAAAAATGTCGTTGGATGATGGTGCTCTTCAATGATTTTTTGCAAGAGACCCTAAAGTTTTAAAATAATACTTTCTTTCCTTTCAAACCTTACCTTTATTGGTGGTCGCTCTCTCATGAATAGCGTAAATTCAAGAAAAACGAATAAAAGTAACATCAAGATGCATAACTAAAATTTCAAATTACCTGTCAAAGTGCCAAAAAAACTTACCATTAGAATAAGAAGAATAAATAGAGAGCTGGCAGCAAAGAAACTCAATGCTAGCATAAACGGTAGCACTATCACAGCAAAGTCGAGAAAGAATTTCAACCTAAACGAGTCAAATCTGATAAAGAAAGAGAAAAACAAATCTACTCACCCGAGTCCCCAATCATTGTAGGTAAAACGTCGTCCTAAGAAAATCCATGGAAGAGCCAAATTTCGTAGAAGAATTGCAAAAGGCGCAATCGTAAGCACGGCAAATATCTAAAAAAACACAAAGTTTAGTTGCTTCCTTTCTCTCAGGCTACAGAAATGGGTTCAAAACTATTGACTACATTGAAATTGCATTAAACGTTCGGACCGCGATTCTTTCTGGTTATTTATTTATTTTTTTTATTTATAAGATCTCGCCTCATATTGCTCACATCCAGTCTTTGTACTTACGAATTGTTCGTGACTAGACATCTGATCGTAACCGCCTCTTCCTAAAGGTCAAAAATGAACCACTTTCGTAAAATATTCAACCTTAAGAACAATATAAAAGTGCGAAAGTTTGGCTTTTAATGAAATAGCAAAGGATCCTACATGAGCCTTGCAGTCTTTACAAAAATATTTCTTTTTGTTTTAAAAACCCTTGGAATTTAATCAATTTATCGAATAGCTGAAGGTAGTGTAGTTTTAAAAACATCAATGCTTCAAATGTATTCAACCCATTTAAATATTTATTTACAACAGAAAGAAAACTATGACACACCCGATTTATAAAAAAAAACCCGTAATATAGTACATCGGCAAGCGTTTGTGGCAAATAGCACCTTCATTCACAGATTATGTCAAAATAGATACGAGATCAAAATAACAATCAAGAAATGAGAATAATAACAATGAATACACGTTAAAAATTATTAACAGTAAAACTTTAAATTATGGAATCGTTGAAGAGTTGTCCCGTTTGCAACAATTGCTCGGAATCTCCGACCAGTCGTAAACATAGGATGGACGAACGCGAAACTCTTTTGTGCAGAGAACCTAAAAGAATTGAATAAGTAACTCGTAATACATATAATGATTGCCATGTGTGTTAACCTTTAAGTTTACTTCATAACCGGCACGTCACAGTAATTCATTCAACGTCAATAACGACACATCCGTAAAAGAATTACAATAGTTCAACTGAAAATTACCTTTTTCTCGACGAGATTTTGATAAAGCTCCCGTAGCTGGTCGTTGGATTGCTTGTGCGTGATGATGTACTGATTGTTACAGCCACGAGACCTAAACTTCTAAGTACAGCCAAAGATCGCTTGAACTTACATCCATTCTGTGTCGAACCGAGGATCGTGCAAATATTCTAAAAATTTATTGATTAGTAAAAAGAAAAATGTTAAAGCCCATACTGATGTCCAAACCGGCTAACCACGCCCCAACGCTGACGTCTTCGTTTCTGAAAATTAAAATAAAGAATACGAAATTTTATATCCACAAAAGTTTTGGTAGATTGGAGATATTTTGTAATGAAAGTCCATAAATCATACAAATTTCGTTTTAAACGTACTTGTACAGCTTAAGGAGCCGTGCGTTTGTCGAGAGAAATCGGACCAATTCGTACGAAAGCACGTATCCACCGCCAAGCTAAAAACAAATTCTATCCGTGGATATATTACAATACCAACCTGATACGGCAAATAGCGATCACATAACATCCAGTCGACCTCTTTCCACTTTCCTTTTCGAATCGGTTTCGCTCGGCCGTCCAGAAAGCCCCAATAAAGTCTGCAAAACCAGTTTGATTGATCTTTCTTTACAAGTCCAGATAAAAATTGCCGTCAAAGTTACCTAGGGTGACTGATGTCTTTTAATGATTTCACTACGGCTCCAACACGAACAAACGAATCACTATCCACCTAAAGATTTTATTGTTTTAATCAATAATCCAACTTACTTTCAACAAATAGCTGAACTTGTAGCTCTGATAAGCGTACTCCATCACTTGAAGCGTTTTCCTGGCCAATTGATCTAGACGGATCATTTTAAACATTAAAAGCTTATAATTACCGTAACTCTCTTGTAGATTTTCGATTAACGCCAAATCGCTGTGTTTTTCTTGTTCATCGGCAAGCGAATGTAGAAGTTCATCACTATAAAGAATTTTAAACAATCAAACTTTACCACCAACCTTAAATCTTTTACTCCAATCGGAAACACGTGCCGCACAACGTCTTTGCCTTTTGCAGTCAGTTTGAGCCACGTATCGCGAATAACCTAAACAACTCTTAAATTCTCTTTATGAACATTTAAATTATTTTTCCAATCAATTGCCAACTGTCCAACCTGTCGAGTTGTCGTCTCATTTGGCGCCGACATGATTGCGATGAAGAGAAAAGTTGTAGGTTGTGGAGGCGTGAAGCCAGGAGGTCCATTTGGTTGAGCTAAAAATAAAAAGATCAACATTTTTAAACAATTTTAAAGTGCAAAACAAAAACACAGTTTCGACAATTTATCTTAATCACCAAGACCCTCACTTTTGAATCTTTTGCACGTTTTTAAACTAAAAATTTCATTCGTCAGTAACGTATCAAGAAGCAAAAAGTCTATTTTCTCACATCTTTCCGTTTAAAGCTTTCATTACAAAGTTGTAAAAGTTCAAATAACCAACCGAATTCTCTGCGACTCCTCAAATCACTTTCAAAATCCTCGCAAGAACATTTGTAAACGACGATAAACGTGCATACTGCACAAAGAACGGCCGCCACGCAAAGATATGTCCTCAAAATTTGCGATGTTGAGGGCATCAATCCCTAAAAACGTTTATAATCGATGAGTCGTGAAAAGTTAATTAAAAATGTGTCGAAAATTGAAGCAAAGACTGGTTTTTCTTTTTTCCCCCAAGTATATTTTTGTTTCAAACAACCGCATTTTTCATTTTAAACACAAAATAAGGTTTATTGTAGGAAATTTTCAGGTCCATACACACGTTAAAGTCAACAAAATTTCTCCGACCTACTCATGGAAACAAAAAGATATCACACTATATACACCGGCGACCGATAAAATTAAAGTCAAAGAACGATTTGGCTAAGCCTAGGGTGAAATAAATTTGCAAGCGTTTGGTAAAACGGATTTAGAGAAAAAGTACTCCTCAAAAGCGACTGACTGAACAGATTTAAAGGGGGAAAAAGATGCATTTCCACCAGAAAATTTCTATCACAAAATAATCATAAATCATAAAATATTTCTACTTCAACAATTAAAAACACTCAAAATTAATAGAATTTTGTGCCCACTGGATGGAAAGTTTTATTGGGCTACACAAATAAAAAAAGACCAGAAACGTTGACAATACATACAAAAAAGAAACCAGTAAATGAAAATCGAAGAATGTGAAAACGACCCTAGCGTTCTATCAAAGCAAAATAAGAGCTTTTTATCTCCTCGTAGCCGCATTTAAGATTGGTAATATGGGTCCTGTTCCTGTGCATTTTGGACCACCCATCTAAGAAGATAATGATTTATAAGAACTTGGATAAACTAGTTCTAAAGCTCTGGGGCTTCTTTTATTTACGAAGTACAAATTTTTTTACGTAAAAGCAAAAATCACTCACCTAACTGCAAACGCAAGAACCACGACGCCGGCTATAACAATCAAATTAGAAACTAGCGACGATAGGCCTGAGCTAGGCGTTCGATTTCTAAACGTTTTCACGAGTTTTACAACAAACTAGGTTCGAAAAACACTGGCTCGGACATTTCTCATCAAAAATCCATACCTATTTATTTGTTCCTCCTCTTCGCGGAGTCGTTCCTCTTCTTGCACACTTTGCTTGGACAACTCCTTCTTGTACTCGTCGGTGAGCTCCGAAAAAAGGTCGCAGAAGATTTTGTCCTGGAAAGAAAGCACTATTACAAGAACAAGTTGCTTTTAAACTTTACAACGTTTGTTTGAGCCGTTGTCTTAAACAGAAAATCATTTAAAAAAACTTTAAAACAATCAATGTGTTACCTGAAGATTGAATGCCTTGCTTTTCTTAGCCAGCAGCCGTTTCTCCGCGTCCGAGGTGTTCAAACTTCCGAGTGTTGGGGCAGCCTCGTTCATAAAAGACATCAAGCCTAAATTAGAAAATACAATGTTATAACCTTGATTTTACTAAAAATTAAAACCTCAAAAGCATACCAGTAATGATTGTTCCAACTGTCCACGCCGGGTTCCAAGTGTCGGGATGAAAGTCGGAGATTGAAAGGCAAAGCCTAGATAGCGACTTTATTTACCAATCCAATGAAACTACCGTGTATTTGTTTGAAAGCGTCCATTCGGCGTGATCATGAAAATCGATGGTGGCTTGAAGGGGAAATCCGCCGGGAATAGCAGCTTTCCATGATAAACACCACCTAAATCATGGTCATTTAATAACTCAATAAGATAAAATACCTTCGAAGGGAGTTGCTGGTGCGCCGAAGATTACGTAGTGCCATTCCAAGATATTCGAGTGCAGGGGATGTGCTTGCATCAACGGGACTGGCTCCTAAAATTTGAGATATTGATTAAATTTTGAGCACCCGTTCAAATTTAAGTTTTACACAAATGCCTTTAAGGCTTGAAAAGGTGCAATGCTTGTTTTGTCAATGGTTTGCCAAGATATAAACTGGATAAAAGACATGCATAAAGGTAATGTTGAAAATGTAGCTTTTTTGACTAGTCTACAACTTAAATTTTTCTAGGAACAAACACATTAATTTACTGAAAAATTGTTCGTTTCTTGCCATGTACCAGTTTTACAAGCTACTAATGCATTTAATAACAAAAGCCTCACCTTTAGCAACTTCTGATAGTCCTTTTTTAAACGCTGTGTCGCCGTCGCACTTGCGCCAACCATCTCTTAATGAAGGAGTTAGAAATGATGTTTACAAAAGCCAGTCTAGTTGTTCGACCAAAGATACAAATAAGAGTAAACTTTTCGAAAAATCAGATTTATAAATAATACCTTTATTCTCTACAAATTAGCCACTGGGGTATCACCGGTATTGGAAAGACACGCAGATCAAAAAAGAGAAAACAAATCAAAAAGTACGAACAAAAATAGAGAGCACAACCGTACTTTACAGTAAATCGGACTCTTTATCGCTTCATTTTCAGACGATTGCTTCGTTATGAATTTACTTTTAGTGACTTCGAAGCGAAACGAAAGAACCCTGTGTGTAAATCTTGCATAAACTGTCCTTTACCATTCAAAACCAATCGTTTTGAACGGTTAAGGACAAAAACAAACATAGTAGCTTTAAAGCATTGGCAACAAAATTTTTAAGAAACGTAACTACGAAAAGCTATAAGGCCATCGCAAATTCTCACACAAAAATAGATAAAATTTAAGGTCTAACAAATTTAACTATATATGTATATATACATTAAGGAGGATCGGTTAATCGTCGTCCAAGTCGATCACCTCAATGAGAGCGGGATGAGCTTGGCGAACTTGAGGAGCTAAACATGAAAATAGGTTATCGGTGAAAATGCTAAAAAGTAGACATCATACGTCTAAAAGATATTTATACAAGCAGGTAAGAGCTAAGTATTACCAAGACATAGTTCCAATGTTAAAACTTCAAAAACTTACTTGGCTTTTTTACTTTTTTTACTGGAACGATTTTGGCATCATCCTCAATCACAACGATGTCGTTTTCAATTGGCCGTTTCTTCTAAAACGTTTGGAATACAATACGAATTCAAGTAATTCATAGTCAGTCTAGAAGCTATAAGTACAACAACACTAAATGAATTTGAACAAATCCTAATATAAACATTAGCTTTTTCGGCTTTGCGTTTGTTACCACAAAAACCCACGTTACGCTTTCGGGTAACTTTCGTCGTTGCTGAAGCGGAAGACTCACCGGGTGTGCTGCCGATCATGTCCAATAATTGCGGGAAAAGTCTCCGGAAGGCCTGATCCTAAAAGCTCCAAACGTTACATAATTATTACAAAAACCCACCCGGTTGTTGAATTTATGTGAGTCAAGCGCTAATTTCTCCCTCCCGTTGGTGCTCAGTGCTGGAAAGATGGCGCCTGCAGCGTGCGTCTCCTCGTTCATAAAGCTTTGTAGTCCTAACTAAAATTTAACGATGATTTTTAAAATTACAGCCAGACATAGCTAACATTAAACTCACCAAAATCGCTCCAACCGACCAGCCAGGGTTCCACGACTCGGGATGATAATCAGAGATCGATAGGCAAAGCCTAAAAATATAAATCTCAACGTTTTTGAGTCAAAAACTTGCCTGACTCCAGGTTGAAAGCGTCCATTTGGCGTGTCCATGTAAATAGCAGGCGGCTTCCACGGGAAATCGGCTGGGAAGATTAGCCGGCCATGATAGGCGCCGCCTACGAATATTATTAATGTTTAATGCTCAAAATTTTCTTACCTTGATATGGCGTGTCGGGAGAGCCGAGCAAAACGTAGTGCCAGATCAAAATGTTTTCAGGTAGAGGCGCGACGACGATTCCCTCAATCGGTTCCTAAAAGAAGAATGGTTTTCAAGTAAAAGGACAGTACTTTACCGACTGACAGTCTTGCCAATTTCTTCCAATTAAATCATTTAATCACACCTGTGTAATCTTCATGAGATCCTTTTGTAGTCGTCTTGTTGCTTGCGGCGTTGCAATTGTTTCCGTCATTTGAAATGAAAAAATATATCAAGCTTTGCAAAGCTCCAAAATAGACTGAAAACGAAAAGTACTTCAACTAAAATCAAACTTTTTGGCACGAAAGCGAAAGTTCAACAAGGCTGAGCCAGCCAGTTGACGTTATAACTCAATTTAAAAAGAAATGGTATATCAAAAATTTTAAACATTTGGCATCAGAAACCAAAAATTTAGAAGAAAAATATCCACTAAGAAACTTTATTAAGCCACAACCATATAAATACAGCACTACGGTAATTATCTATAGCACAATAAGTTATAGAGTTATTGGAAAAATTTCAAGAAAAGCCAAAAAAGAGAATACACCTAAAACCAACCATTATGTACAAGCAATTAGAAAATAGGGCTAAATAAATATAGGGAACATTTCAGTAAAGGGGTTTAATACTTTGTGTGTTGACTTTTTAATCGTCCAAATCATTCAGAAGTCTCTTAAAGATTTTCAAATTAGAATGGACTCAAAACAAACTTACAATAGGTTAACGTTACTCGTCGTTTGTGGAGGCACCGGCGAGTTTGAGGTGGGTGTACCTGAAAAAAAAACAAAATTATAAACCTTAATGTTAATCCGTTAGATAACTAGTAAAGTCAGTCCTCATTTGCCGCTAATAGTAAGCATGGCTTGGATTTAACCAAATAAAAACTAACCTCTAGGTTTAGCTGGCTGTCCGGGCCCTGGCGGTGGAGGCAATAAGGGGAATCCACCACCCGAATTTGCAGCAGGCCGTGGTCGTGATGGGCCTCCGTTGTCCTTCTTCTTCTACAACAGAAAATTTTTACAACATCTACGTTAAACGTGTGATAATAATATACTGTATCACAATATAATCCCACTAAAATTTCTGTGCCACAACTAAACTACTCTAACTCCTATTCATTTGCGGAGTGTAAGCCCTAAAGCTTGTAGCATTCGTCCGTCACTTTTGCACAGTTACTAGACGAGAGATCAAAATTTGATTCGAACCCCGTGAAAACTCTGTGCTACTTATCGGCATCAAAATAATGCAGTAATAAAAACTTACCCCAATATTGATCGTAATCGTTTGCCCTTCCTTAAATCCAAGATCCAATTGTGGGGTGGGCTGGGAGCTTTGTTGTTCGAGTTCCGCCGCTTTCTCAAGATACTTGAAGTGGTCCTAAAGAAAATCTGTAGTTAAATGTTTGGATTTAACTAAACAATACAAAAATTAAGATGTTACCTGCAAAGCCACATTGAGATCAAATGAGTCACCGCGATCCGAGAAACCGATGCCCACAAAAGCCGTCTGCCCAGTTTCGTTCATCAATCGAAGCGCAAAGTACCTAAAAACAAACATATCAAAATTACCGTATAATAATTTGTTTATAAAAAGTAATTCTAAAGGTTTCAACTAAACTAACAAGTAAATGAAACAATTCAAACACTCGTACCGTGAAGAATCGGAAACCGGCTCGAGCCCCACACCAGGATACGACTCAATCGGTGCTTTAGCATACAACTGACCTAAAGTTTCCATGTTATTACTTTACCAAAAAACTTGAGAGCTTTTAGGAATTACACTGATTGCATTCACTATGCTACCCACCCGATGCTCTATCCTCAAGTCTCACTTCCAACTTTTTGCCGATCGACACCAATCGCAGTCGACCTGTCCAATCGGGAGTGTCGAGATTCCATTCGGCAGCTCTAAAATAAGAAAAATCATAACAAAACAGAAGTTTACGGTTTTAAAACAATGCTAAAGCCTGATATGCTTTTTTGATACCATTTATGTTCGTTATCTAAATCGATAAACCTATTTTGCTCAAGAAAATTATATTTTGTCAAAAGTCTGCCTTGATAACTTTAACCTTTTGCAGCACCTATAATCCAAGTTCCAGCTTAAAATTTTGATTCAAGATTAGTTCAATGTTTCCTATAGTTTCATTTTCCAATTGACACTAACTTTATCAATAAACAAGTCCATAAAAACTCAATCAATACACCCACTTATATCCGCGATTCGTCGTCAGTGGTGGGATCCGATAAACAAACACTTCGGGCTTGACGAGTGCCACACTCTCGTACTCGGCCATCCTGAAAATGCAAAAAATTATATGTTTCTTTACAAATTAATAAAAGAAATCGTGTTGGAACACGTGCAAGCTATGGGTAAATTAGGGGTCATCAAAGAGAAAAGGGCGGAGAGGGTAGAGGGGATAAAAGGAAGGGAGATAAATGGCAACCGCCGCGCGTATTCTCGCGTACTTTACGCAAGGGTTAGGCGAGGAAAGTCATTAGAAAAAACGGGGATGGGACAAATGCTACCTTTTTTTGCGCACCCGGCCAAAAGCGCACTTTTTTCTTCGCTGGAAAAGGCTTTAGGAAATGCCGTAGAGCTTCAAGAATGTTTCCACATAGGGGAATCGTATGCATAGATTCCAAATTTGACGTGTCAGCGAACTCTGATTTGATTAAAAATTCGGAATCTACGCCTATGATTCCCCAATGTGAAAACATTTTTGAAGCTCTACGACCTTTCTTAAGGCCTTTTCCAGCGAAGAAAAATGTGCGCTTTTGGCCGGGTGCGCAAAAAAGGTAGCATTTGTCCCACTCCCGAAAAAACAGGGCGAAATGAGGAGGTGCTAGCAAAAGCGGCGCGTTTTTTGTGCCAAAATCCTTTGCGCCGAGTACATTTCCGCCAACTTTGCGCTCATGTAAATCACTATGACAAATGACAAACGAGGAAAAACTGAAAAAAATATAAGAAAAGTGTGTTGATGCGCAAATAATTTGGCGTTTTTGCTAGCATCTCAAAACGAATCAAGCATATTGTCCAAGAAATCACAACAATCTGCATAAGAAATAGGATCAAACAAATTGCTATAAGTAAATATTAAATTAGCGACTTTATCTTGTCCAATTTCTTCCTGTTTTGTGCGAGTTCCTCGTGGCAAAGTTCCGCTTTGGATTAGATCAATCTGCGATTTGTCAAATTCGTCTTTCCACAACATCAGCATATCTTTGATACTTGGCAGTCATCTAAAACATAGTTTTACTGTGATTATAGATTTACTAACTCACAAACTGATGCAAATTACAAAAAATTACAAAAAAGACTGACAAGAAACTAACTTACTTATCAATAAGTGCCGGACACGAGTATGATAGCCTTCAAATGTTGGTTCGTGGGCCCAAGTGTCGAACGTGTAGCAAATAAGCTAAAGAGTCATTGTTTACTGCTTTCCTAGAATAAGAAGGTACCACTTTTATCGCCATAAGGTCATGTCCAACTAGCATTTAGTAGTCTTCAAAATAAAGTAAAGCGGCTTTTTCTAGTGCAGTCAATGCAGGATCCTAAACTAAAAATTTAAGAGAAAAAAAGCTTAATAACCTGGATAGCAGCTTCAAACAAGTGGCGATATTGAGTTGGTAACGCGTAAATCACCCCAATTCGACGCAAATAGTCTTGCACTAGCACGTTTTTTAAAGATTTGAGCACATACGGAGTTTTTAGTTGAATTGCGCAATGGAAGTCATATGCGCAGCTATAAATTCGTAGTAACAACAACAACGGAAAAGTAAAAATACCCCTTAGCGGGTAGATTCAAGATTTCTTCCTGTGCCTTGATCGCGGCGATTTCAAAATCAAATACCATATATATTCCAGATTGGCGAAGATTCGGAAGTAGTCCCACATTATCGAAAAGTTTTGCCAAACACCTTAATTCAGTTTATACTAAATAGAATAAAGTTTTATCACCTGGACACTTCTTTAAGTGTTTCTTTCGTCCCATCTGGTATATATGCAAATAAAACAGGAAGAGTATGTCCAGAGGCAAGACTTGCAATGACTCAAAAGAAAGTTGACCGAAAATTTGTGATATACTTTACCTGAATACCATTGCGATTTTTTTCCTTGTCGTAATCGTTTTGGCAACTGCTTGTAGCGACCATCGGCCTAAAAAGTGCTTAAGCTTTTTAATTAAATGTACAGCAAACATGAAGAGTGACAGGTTTCAATTCTGTGAATAGGCGGCGAGCATTTTGAGCAGAACCATATATTATACATTTTCCATCATCGAGTAAACAATAGTGCTCTGCATCAATAAAGGATTCATACAAAAATGGGTACTATAGCAAAGATTACTAAGTTTCACAAAAAATAGACTAACCAAAAAGCCAGGGTCAACTCCAGGACCGGCTTTCTCAGTCGCTCGGGTAAAGAGCCTCCGTCTTGAATTACGATTAATACCATTCACTTCACTCAAAATAGCTTTCTTAGTCGATTCATTTTCATTATCTAAAAAAATAGAATAAGTTGACCGTATCTTTAAGCAAAAATAAAATAAGGCTTACCAAATATACTTTTTATTTTTCGATCACTTTGTTGCGGGCAATAGACGGTTTTGAGACCGGAGCAACCGCTAACTCTGGTTTTACCTGTAAACTAAATGTAAAATAAATGAAAATTTAGAACTTACTTCTCTCAGAACACCTTTAGTGCACCAGTTTGCTTTTTTTAGTGACATGCAATAATGTTTATTGATTGGTGCTTCTGGATCATCCAGCATTCGCTTGGTAAAATTACAAAACTAAAGCCATTATAAATATCTACGCTACACAAAACGTTTTTACCTTGATAGTAGGCAAGGGCGGCAGCTTTTTGTCTTTCTTCTTTTCTTTTGCACAGCCGTGGCAATTGTATGATGAATAATCTCCGTCTTTCTTTGGAAGCTGTTTGTGTGCTCGTATATGTAGCACACCTGTTAAAATGCGCCACAAAAGCATCGGATTTTCAATCAAGAAAAAAGATTCTTTGAAACAATCTACTTTGAACCAACTTGCTGTCCAAAATGTAGGGCATGTATCCAGCCACATAATTCGCCATTAGTTCCGGAACTGAAAAAATTAAGCTTGAATAAGACTGCAAAATTGAAAAAGAAACGCAAAAATGAAAAAAGTCTATTACAGAAAAAATGTATAGCAAAAATGGGTGGGAAATGTTCTATTATCCTAAACATAAAACATAAAACACTTGAATTCCCAGCTTGTGCTTTCCATTTGACACTATCTTTAATCGATAAGCAAGTTTAGGGCAGGTAAGCATATTAAAGAAGTGAACACAAATGGATAAAGCAAAGAAGCTATCGCTTATAACAAGCAAATTTCAGCTGAATTTCTTTAAAGTGTAAAAGTCGACGTGAAAAAAAAGTGCAAAATTAACGAAAATTTTGAAATGCTTGAGTCAAGTTAAACTTTTGAAACGAAAAGTTGGGGTAGGCTAATTTCCGCCAAATTTTATTTGCGCAACTTGCCATAACTTTCTTCTAAGTCGATCAATCTTTATGCTTTTGGTGTTATTTTGTTGCACTTATTGAAATCTACAAAATGAAACCAAAAGCATAAAGATTGGCCCACTTAGAAAAAAGTTATGGCGAGTTGCGCAAAAAAAGTCGCGGAAACTAGCCTGCCCCCTTATTGAGATCTGCAAAATGAAATCAAAAAACATAAATTTTGAAACTTCTTTATAAAATCAAATCGGGCTCAGTCAAGTGAACAATTTTGCGCAGTTGCGTCGTGCAGTCGTGGCAAGTTGCGCAAATAAAATGGCGGAAATTAGCCTATCCCAACTTTGAAACAATCAGTTACATCATCGCTTACTTTGACGTTACAAAAACCTTAGTCCATTTCAACACACGCACTTCTGATATACGTAAACGAAAACACAGTTTTCATTTGAATCAATTAATGAGCTCAAAAAGAGGCAAGCGATAACTAGCAACGAGATTTTCTTTTTCAAGCAGATCAAGTTGAAACCTCGAAATTTTCTTTACCCTAACGGGGGATTTAACTGCAAAATGGGATATACTTTAAGCTAAATAGGACTCTAAATTGATCAACTCATAGCTCATATTTCATTGTCATTTTCAAATCTTGTTTTCATGTACTGTTTCGCGGTTCAAAGGTGTCAAATTTCCGCGACATATGCTCGGCCAAAGGGACACCCTTTCACCCACAACAAACAGCAACTTATCATGCCTTGAAATGCATGACTCCACTTGTAATTTTCATTTCTACATCGATTATACTGGAACTTTTCAATTTTGAAAGTTTCAACTTCAGTGTTATCAATCAGTTAAAGCTGCTGGTGCTTTAATCAAAGTTTGGGGGTGGGACAAATGCGACCTTTTTTTGCGCACCTGGACATTTGCGCACCTTTTTTTTGCTGGAAAAGGCCGTAGAGCTTCAAAAATGTTTTCATAGGAGGGAATCGTATGCGTAGATTCAGAATTTTGACAAATCACACCTCGCTGACACGTCAAATTTGGACTAAAAGGCAAAAACTACGCAACTTAACGCTTTTCCGCAGTTTTTGCCTTTTAGCCCAAATTTGACGTGTCAGCGAGGTCTGATTTGTCGAAATTCGGAATCTACGCATACGATTCCCTTATATGGAAATATTTTCGAAGCTCTACGGCCTTAGGCCTTTTCCAGCAAAAAAAAAGGTCGCATTTGTCCCACCCCCCAAAGTTTGAAATTTTTCCTGTCATAATATTTTCGCTCAATTTTCGCATACACAACAGTTATTTGTTTGAAAAAGGCTAAAAATCAATATCGCTGTAGATTTTCTTAAAAATCAATTGGAGTCAAGGGAGCTAAAGTACCCAAAATATCAAATTTTATGCAAAAATTTATGAATATTTAGCACCAAATTCAATTTTTGAACCCTGCCAATCGTTCTCTAGTCTTACACTGAGCACAAATCCCCGTTCTACACATTTTTGTGCTTTTACGAATCAAGAATCCTGCGAATTTGCGAATCCTGCGCAAGAATCCTCAATTTGGCAGTGTTTCACGAAAATTGGGTTCTTCTTTTTGGCTTTTTCATCTTTTTTCGTCTCTTTTTCGTCCTTTTTCACTCAAACATTAGCCCGATTGGTTGTTCCAAAGACCAAAACAGCACCAATCACTCGTAAAAGTGACTAGAGTCTTTAGAACTACTGAAAAAAAAATAGGTAGTCAACAAAATTTCCCAATTCTAAACCTACTTTTACAGTTATCAAGTTCCACACAAATTGAAACAAAACTTTCAACTCGAATTTCCCATTCTGCGCTCACTAAATCCCCGAGAACTCACTCGAATCACGTCCAAGTTGAAACATTACCATTTCTTAAATCCCCAAAAATCTCCCTATTCAATTTCACCAAAAATTTGCTCACCGGAACACTTCCCCTTTGAACTTCTCAAGAATTCGCCGAATCTCATTCAAAAAAAAAACGTGTTTAAAGAGGGTTTATCGGCGGCCAAATCGCCTCCATTTCTTCCTTGTTAATAAAAGATTTGTGTCCGTCAAGTCAACCTTTCCATTTTGTCAACTCCCAACAAAACAATCACTGCTTTAGTGCCTTTGGATTTTTTGCTTTAGTGATTTGAATTTTTTTGTTTATCTTTATGTTTATAAAAGAAACTATCCGCTCATTTCAAATCTTTAAACCAGCTATTTTCTTAGCCTCAACTTCAACTTTCTTTTCTTTCAATGTAGCCAAAGTTCATGAAACTTTCTTCAATGTAAGAATTCTGTTTTTTTTTGAACAGTAGACAATTTTCAGCATTTTAGTTCATTTGAAAAAACCCGTCAACTACAAACAAAAGCAATTTTACTGAATGGGGAAACGTGGGTGCTCCCAAAAAAAGCCCAAAAACCGAAAAGCATTCAGGCCGAAAAAATCTCGAGCTTTTCGCCTCTTTACCTTAAACGCTTTCAAACGGACATTCACTTTGCGACTTTTAGTAGTCATTTTATTCTCTTTTTATTCTCTTTTTTTTCGTTTTTGGATCGATTAGATCAAAATATCGATCTTTTAATTAAAAAAATAGTGCTTATAACTGAAAAAACTATCCAAGTACTCAACTGTACTATGGTTATAATAGCCACAAGGACTTCAATATGGTTTTCGTAGTTGTTTTCGCATGAAAAGGTTTTCATTTTTAATTCTAAATATTCATTTTCTTTAATAATAATGATAAGTATAACTTGGATTGTTTTTAAAACTTACAAAAACATCAAGTTTCAACTTTTTGAATAACAAGTAAGTATAAATTGAAGCAATCCCCTATTGTTTTGCTTCTTCAAATTAAATCTTTTGATTTTTTGCTTATTTTTGAAGATTGCTGTTTCCAAAAAACTAAATCCGGTTTTGATTAAGATTAAGATTTTGAGGTTTCAACTTTTTCAAGATTCAAGTAGGCTAAAGGATTTCAATTAGATTGAGGCAAATTTGGCCAATAAAGTGCCGTTGACATGCTTTCATATTATCAGATTTATCAAGTTTCGCTTTTCAAATCCATTTTTATCTTTTAGCCTTATTTATTTTGTTTCTTAGCATTCCTAGCATTTAGTTGCCATTTTTTGAAACTCAAATTTTCCAAATTTTCAACTTTTCTAAGAACCTTTACCACTTTTAACCACTAGCTCAGTCTTCAGCGTCTCTTTCCCTCAAATCGAACTCATTTTTGTTCTTTTTTTGTTCTTTTTTGTTTATTTTGAAGTATTTGCATTTTTTGAAACTTCTTTTACTTTTTTCAACTTCAGGAATCTCTGAGCAAAAAACCCGTCAAAAGTGCTCGAGTTCAAGGTTATCTCAGCACCGATTATGACCCTAAACGGCTGCGATTCCTGAAAAAACTTGAAATCTTTGAAAAATTACTCTAAAAAGGATATTCATTTATTCATTTTACTCGAAATTATCCCTTCAACTCGAAAAATTTTAGTCAAAACCGTTAAAAATCGGTTTTCCAATCAACTCCTCTAAAGTTATTCAGCTAAAATTTGGTATTCATTCTTAAAATTTGCATATTCACATAATATTCTTAATATTTATTTATTCAATTCAACAATGGAGCTCAATTTTCTCATATTTTTACTGCTTTTTCTTGAAGTCGTCGAGTCGGTGAGTTTTTGGATGAATTTCAAATTTCAAGTTTCAAATTAAAATAAATGAAAATTAAAGATTGTTGGCGATTTGCCAAAAATGATTTACAGTTAATAGGTAGTTAATAGGTAAGTTAATAATAGTTAATCAGCATTACAAGCACTGTATGAATGCTTTGTTGTGCTTTTCGTGCTTTGTTTTCGATCGTACTATCCGTATGCTAATTTTTAGTGGCTAAATGCAAATTGTCTGCCTAATTAGTGATGAGTTTGCATTAAGAAGATTTTTATTAAAAAGAGTTTGTAAGAATGTAAGAATAGTTCTTCACGTTTTACAATTCTAACAATTCTACAACGTTTTACTAACAGAAAGCCCTCTACGAGTGGAGGAAAGGGGTAAGGATCGATTAAAAAAAGCTTGGTTTCAAAGTTGAAGTGGTAAAAAAGGATGAGTGCTAAGAATTTGTGTACTTTGTGCCCTCTCGTAAACATCCCCTCTCTGGCACACTGCAATTCTTCTATTTTCCCTCAGCACAACGAGGGGAAAATGGAAGAGTTGAGTGTGCCAGAAAGGGGTGTTTACGGGATTCGAGACCACAAAGTACGTGCAGGAAGATGAAGAGGAACTCTCAAGAAAATTCCCCTTTCAGCTTCTCCTTCAAGTGAACAAAGTGTACACAAAACGGTTGCCGCCGAAAGATTCCCTCAAGTTCGACATCAGCCTCTTCCAATCGTGTCCACAGTGGGTTTTATCTTCAAATTGAAATCGTCGAATCCACCATTTTCGTTGACTGTGATTTGTCTTTTTAAAACGATTTTTTTTTTGACTGAATTGGTTCCGGCTTTGTCCTCTCTCCCATTTTTCTTTTCTTTTAACTCATTTCAAGCGTTTCCCCCCATTTTTGGCCTCTTTTTTTGCCACCCCGGTTCCGAAAATCCCAAATGAATTTCTGAGTGTTGGGAAGAAAAGTAAGAAAATTTTTGGGGAAATCCCCGCGATTTCCCCTTGAGACCTCAAAAATGTACAGTTGGAGAGAGAGCTTGTAAAAGGCATTTATTTCATTCAAAACTACCGTAATCCAATCGCTGAAACTAGCGTTTGACTGAGCTATTCAGATGGAAATGAAAACAGAGGAAAAGTTGAAATTTCAAATTTGATGTTTCAAAGTTGATTAGTTAAATGGGTTTTTGGGAAGAACAATTAGAAGCTCGGTTTTTCGGAAATAATCAATTATACTGTCATTCAACTATGATAGTTTCTTGTTATAAGTACCGTAATCCATCTGTCATTTTTCATTCGATCAGCTCAATTTGTTGTATCATTAACTAAGCCTTGTGATTCCCTCATCAAATGATACCAAAATTGGGCTGATCAAATGAATAAATGGCCGGTGGATTACGGTAGTTTTAGCTGAAATTGGTGTCTTTCAGAAAAGGTATTAGCTAAGGGGAAGTCAGCTCAAAACTAGCACTTATCTTTTATTTTCTATTGTTTTTGTATTTACAAATGACAAATCACGAGTAAATAATAGTGTCAATCCAGCCTGGGCAGCCTACTGCATCTTCTAAATCTCTTTAATTACCCTAAAATTTGAAACATTATATTATAACTTTGCTCTTCTCTCCTAACTCATTCTCTAAATTCATGTCTCCTTTACCCTTTCCTTTCCTATTGTCTCTATTTCTATCCAATCAATCGACTTTTATCTAATTCTTCAAGGGTTCACAAAGAATATCAAAAGAGCGAAAGATAAAATTAAACTTGAATTTTTCTTTATGAAGTTGACCAAGTTGAAACTTGTAAATTTTCTTATACAATTCTGGGAAAAATTAGATGTAACTAATAGAAAATTAGGGATCAAAGATCAAATCAATGATATCAAATCAATGATATCAAACCAATGATATCAAATCAACGATCAAATCGAAGCGATCGATTTTCAAAGAAAACTTTTAGAAATAAATGAAAATTTGAACAATTCTACAGATTCACGATGATCCTCACCACGGAAACGTTTGACTCGACAAGGGTTTTGTTCGCCTATTCGGCCGATGCCGCCACGCGGTTACAAGTGCGTTTTTTGCATGTGTTAGAACTCTCAAAATTTTGCCTAGGATTTTAAAATTGCTAGAAATGAAATAGAAATTTTATTTAATTAGTTGAGCGTTAGCGCATTGCATTACGTCAAAGCGTAAAGTTTCTATTAAATTTATCTTGAAACTCAATTTTCCCAACACAAATTTTCGCTTGGTGTTGAAAAATGTTGAAACATTGTTTTTTTTCGCAATTATAAAAAGCTTCCTCATTGTAATCGTGTATTTTTCAATCTATAATACTGAGTTTTTCTTAATCTAAACATCTTAATCTTGTTATTTTAGTCTTGTAACAGAATTTATCCATACAACACTAAAAAAAGTTGAATTCGCTCTATTACTGGACAAGTTGAAACATTGAATTTAAAATATTATCTTTAGCAAAAAAGTTTTGTGTTTTTGTGCTTTTTAAGCAATCAAACAATTAATTATTAACATATTTTTTCAAATAAAAGATCAATAATCAATTCCAGTTACTCCAGTTACAAGATATTTCAACAATTGAATGCTAGTTTAGGTTTAGAGATAGATAAGATAAGATAAGATAAGATAAAAGATATTAAGATAGCCTTTAAGATAAAACGCAATGATTATTATTATTAATTATTGAAAATTTAATATTCAAACGTTTCAACTCATCAAAAAATTGAGCATTTTGTGAAAAACTTTTATTATCAGTGTTTTTGGCTAAGCAAAACCCCCAAAAAATGCCCTGCTTTCCTATTAATCACTTTGAAATTTCGATTTTCTAGGTGAGCGTCGATTCTACACAAATCCTGCCCACCACCGGCCCTCCTCCGGCCACAAAAGACCACGTGGAATGCACGGAGAAACTGAGGAAATCGATATTGATGAAGGTAATTTAAGACGTACTTTGTGCTCCCTAAAATCCTATAAACATCCCCTTTCAAGCGCACTCGATTCTTCTATTTCCCCTCTATATTCTTCTATTTCTTCTATTTCTTCTTCTAGGGGAAAATAGAAGAATTAAGTGCACCAGAAAGGGGCTGTTTACGAGATTTGAGAACAAAATTCCTAATACTATTGTTTTTGTTAACACCTCAAAATTTCATGTTTCAAGTTTTTCAATCACTTTCGCCATTTGGAAATCTAATCGTTAGCGTGTACTTTAAATAGGAAAATAATTAGAGTAATTTTTATAGACGTTTCATTCAATTCAAAAATGATTTTATCAAATTCCCGCTCATTTCCAGGTGGAACGAGCTCAATTCAACTATCGGATCACGATCGATGATCGCACTTTCCTCCGCCAACGACAACCGTTCGACAACGATCTGAAAGTGTTCATCCCGCAACAAACCACGAATTGTTGCTTGATTCGCGCGATCCTTTATGAACCAGGTGGAGAAATGATTGAGAAATGACTCAATTCAATCCTATGTACACGTACAATTTATTAAAGAATGAAGATTGTCCTTTTTGATCCAATGTTTATCCTAGATTCATTAAAATAAACAGCTCCAATCGATAGGCCAACCTCGAAAGTCCTTGGGTACAAGCTGAATATCTTCTTACAGCTGAATATCTTCTTCTACAAGCTGAATATCTTCTTCTACAAGCTGAATATCTTCTTTTTCGTGCCATCTACAAAGCAAAAGTGACCTACAAAAGAGTAAATGAAAAGCTGTGTAAATGGCGGTGTTCTTTGTGCGCCCGCTTAATCACTCGTGATCTGGCAAACTCTCCTGATAGATAGCTCCCTCAAAAGGAATCCGCAAAAGGGAAAGCAATGGTGAGAAAACACCAAATAGCACTTGGAGAGTCGATGAAAGAAATAGGCATTGGGAAAGTATTCATTTATCGAGCTTTTCTGAGTACGGCAATTGAACGATCGACTTTGAAACTAAGCGAAGCCAAGCGAACCCTCATCGTCACTCAAATATATTTCAGAAATCTCCACTGATTCGGTGCTGCAACGGCGAACGAAATTCACGGCCGGGAATCAAGGTTCTATTTTTTTTTCTACCAAAACTGGACCTATTTTAATTGACGCTTGAAAAGAAATGCATTTTAAAAACTACCGTAATCCACCCGCCATTTTTCATTCGATTTTGGTTTCATTGACGAGAAGAGAGCCTTGTGAATCCTCATCGAATCATATTAAAATTGGGCTGATCGAAAGGGGAAACTTTGAAGTAGCTAATTTTTATTGATGTAAAGTTGTAAAGTTTTTATTGATGAAATCTTGAAACTCAATTTTTCCAACCATTCCGAAAGGGAAACTCGACGGTGGATTACGGTAGTTTTAGCTGAAATACGGTGACTTTTAGAAAAAAAAACTAATCAAAGCATCATTGATAGGAGATCGCTTCGGCACTGGCGGAAAAGTGGAGGTGATACAACGAGAAGAGACAACAATCCCCTATGCACACCCGACATTGTCCACATTCGTTTCGGATGACTCAGAGGAGAGCTCGTATTCGCTGTACTCGTGGTTTGTTCTTATAGTATTTATAGTATTTATAACGAAATTTTCCCTTTTTCCTTTCTACCGTAATCTTGTCTTTTTTCTGATTCTGATAGAAAAAAGTGGATAGATTGAATAAAAAGACAAAAAAGACAAGAACGACAAAACGTCCCCTTTCCCCTCTCTACCGTAATCTTGTCTTTTTTCTTTTGTTTTATCCAATCTATCCACTTTTTTCTATCAGAATCAGAAAAAAGACAAGATTATGGTAGATAGAGGAAAGGCGACGCTCAAATTTCAAAGCTCTAGAAAGCTCTAGAAAGCTCAAATCGTTATAGCCAAAAAATTTCTTTTTTATTTATTTATCAAGTTTAGAGTTTTCTCATCGCCTAAACTTTGAAACAAGCAAAAAAAAATTTGCAATCTGGTAAAATGTTCTTTAGGAGTGGCACTAGCACAAAAACTGGAAATTGCTGAAGTTACAAAATTTAAAATCAAAAGCTATGCCGTTAATTTTTTGCTACCAAACTCTTACATCGCAAAATTTGAAACTTAATAAGATTTAAGTGCTGAAACTTTTGAGTTTGATTTGTTTAAAAAAACAGAATGTTTAAGAGTATAATTACCGGATTTCCTGACCATCGAACTCTATGGAACTCCAGTTTTTCAGTTTCAGTCTTTTCAGAACTTAATTTAAAATAATCTTTAAAAATAGCTAACTATAAGCTTGATCTTTCTTGTTGAACCACCAAAAAAAGAAATTGTCTGCCAATTGTCTGCCAAATTGCTTTGATGCCAAATCCAAACACCTTTTAATTAAAGAAAACTTTTATAAACCCTATAAAGCAACTTTGAAACATGAAATTATTTACGAAGAGTTTTTCGATGTTTCGTTTGACATTCAAAAAGAAATTGATCTTTTCGCAATTTTACAGTTAGAATGCGGTGTAAAGTTTCTATTGATGAAATCTTGAAACTCAACTTTTTCCAACCATTTCAGGACCCGAAGAATCAATGAGCGTTGGATCACGACGTTTTTCGTCTTTGGCACCGTTTTCTTTGTGTTTTTGGTGAGTTTTCAAATTTCAAGAAAGCTTTTCGATGTTTCAAATTCAAACAAAACAAGGCAATAAACGGTATTTTAGGCGACTAAATGTAAAAAAACTAACATCTTTATTGTTGCGGTTAAAAAATTGGTGCGGTTGATCCGAGCTTTCCTCTAAACCCTGTAAACATCGAATTCTTGAAATCATTGCTGTGAGGGGGAAATTGCAGAATTTAGTGCGCCAGAAAGAGAGTATTTACAAGATTTGACAGTGAACAAAGCACAGATAAAGCACAGATAAAGTTAGTCGAAAAGTTCATGTTTCAAAGAAATGAATTAGTTGAACGAAATTTATCGGATTAATGAAACCATCCTTTGGTTTGAATAAAATATTCTTTATAATGACAAAATCGAATCCCAGGTCGTTTTCTCGGTGTTCGGCGTGACGATGTTCGTTTGTTTGCAAAAAACCCCGGACGATACGATCGATCAGAGTGTGGTTGGTTCATCGAAAATTACCATTTAAAAACTGTCTCTTGTCTTACTAAAGTAAACCGATAAAGTATCCAACTGATGAACTTCTATTTTTAATTGAAAACTTTAAAAGATATCCAGTCTTGTCGGCTGAATACTCATTTCCGGATAATGTAGCGGACAAGTGACTAAAGCCATCCATTTTGAAACATAAACAAATGCAATTCAGTTGCATCTTTCACAAATGCAATTCAGCAGCAGTTATTCAGTTCACTAGAATTTATTCTCCATTTGAATCTTCAAGTTAAACAGATTTTAAACAGTTTTTACTAAAAGACGAGATTGATTGAAAGTCTCCTTGAAGCCTAGCAGTCTCCTTGAAGCCTAGCACTCTCCTTGAAGCCTAGCACTCTCCTTGAAAGCATATGTGCAGTGTGAGAGAGAATACCGATGGGGGCAATGATTATTAGATATTTATTCCGAATCTAGCACAATACTAATCTAGCGAGAAAATACAAAAGAATAAAAAGATGGTTCAGTATCAATCGTTGGTTCAGTGTTTCATGGCAATACGAAAAAGCAATACGAAAGGAAAGAGAAAAGAATATGAAAAGACAATATAAAGTGGGCTCCGTCCCTTTTATCATAAAAGCGATCTTTTAGAGGCGGGACAAGAGAATCAGATATTCAAATCAAAACATTAAATAAGATTCGACAGAAAAGAGCCACTTTTTTCAAATCTAAACTTTTAAGACTTAAATTTAAACAAAAAGGAAAGACTAAATGAATGAATTTATTCAAACTTTTAAAGGATTTATAAACGTTGAAAAATTCTCTTCACAAAAACAGGTCGAAAAGGTAAGTGAAAGCGCTGAAAGCCTGACAAGCCTGAAAGCTCGAATTAAAGCTCACCTTCAGCACTTAAAGCTTCTTTCTTTGAAACTTGAAGATTTTTCCTTATGCAAATTTGCAAATTCTGCAGATTTTTATGGCTTTTCATAGTAAACTGGCTTTTCATGGCTAAAACTTGATAATTTTCTTGAAATCTAGGGCTTATGCTTCATCGTTGCATCAATTTTTAACCCTTGGACCCAAGTTCTGGCTTCCTTGAAAGAACTTATCGCTCTTTATTCCTAAACCCTTCTCTCTTTCTTCTTTCTACCGTAATCTTGTCTCTTTTTTATCCAATCTATTCACTTTTGTATCTTTCGATGTTCTTTTTGAAGCCTTAAAGAACGAGAAAAAAAAGAGAGATAAGATTACGGTAGAGAGAAGAGAGAGGACATGTTTTACTTGCCAGGAACAAGAATTCCCGTTTTTTTTTTTGAAAAGCACAACCAGTCAGCTTAGCTTTTTAATCATTTTGAAACATAGAATTTCTTTATTCTTTATTTTTTTTTCCAGGTGGCCGCCTCGACGATCAACACTTTCCGGAGCGTTCTCTCGAAACAATCGACCGCGAAAACGACAAACCCACCGCCACCCGATGAAACTATATAAAATTTATATAAATTTCGTTAACATTAATATATTTGATCAGTAAATTCCTATTTTTATGCAGATTTTGTCAAAAAAAATGATTCAAACGCACTTTCACTCCGAAAAGTGATCAACAGAAAAAAAGAAAAAAGAGAAAACGTTCAAAACGGCCCAATTTTTTCTTTGAACCTATTCAAATGTTTTTTTTTCTGAAAAAAGCTTTGTGCTCACTTCAGTCCTTCTTTTTCAGTCCAGCTTTGTGCTCACTTCAAGTCCATAAGGCAATTATGCTAAGAATTCAAAAAACATTTCAGGAAATTTCAGAATTAAATTTAAAAAGTTTTTTATGGTTTAATTTCCAAATGCAGTTTAATAAAAAGTTTCGTGTTTCAAAGTTTTTTAGGTAGAAATGAGAAACAAAGTATCAATATTGATTGGTACTTTGTATGTTTGGGACTGTTTGAATTGTACTGTTTCGTACTGTTTGGGACTGTTTCGATTGTACCAATGTTGATTGATACTTTGTTTTCGCGTTTAAAAGGTCTAAAAGAATTCGAAAAAGGATTTTTGATCATTCCCTCTTCCAGCTACCAATTTTTTATCTGTTTTCCTTTGTACATTTTCCCTCACGCATTAAACTTTGAAACGAAGCTGAAAGATTCAGCACTGCTAATTTGTTGACAAAATTCTTTTGAAATGAATGATGAAAGATGAGCAAAAGCAGACCAAAAATGAATGTCTGGAGGGATATTTATGAGAATTCTTTTAATTTCCATTCTTTTAAACAATTCTTAATACTTTTCTGTTATTAAGAATGATTAAAAGGGTTTTTTTTTGAATATTTCAGGGCAATCCAATCCAATTCCAATTTTCATTCTTAGAATCTTCTCGTTTTCACAATTTTATCGTTTTAATTTAAGCCTGCTAAAAAAAACTTATTTTTTAGTTTCTTGTCAAATTGGTAATATAATTAAGTACTTGAGCCTCAAAAAATCGGGTATTTGGCTGTCAGTTTTTTGTTAAAACTTTTTGAATTTCAATTTGAGCGAAGTAAAAAGCAAGGGTTGCTCCTGAATCACCGCTAAGTTTGGCAGTAGTACTCAAATATATCCTTGAGGCTCAATGTTACAAAAATGGCATTTTAGATAAGGAATGAACAGGTTAGACAGAAATAACACAATTATTGTAATCATTGTTTTTAAATTTTAAATTATTGTGTTTCAATTTGAGGGTTGTAAGGGGTAGGTCTTGCTTTTCAATGGGATTTTGTCAGTTTGTTCAATTCGTTTCCCTGTACGATTTTTTTTCGTTTCAACGTTTATGTTATGGTTCAATTTGAGTGTACATAAAGCATAAGCATAAGCATAAGCATAAACATAAAGCATAAAACTTATCAAATCGGTAACTTAATTAAATCAATTCCATTTTTTGAATTGATTAGTGAAAGGATTCGTGGCTTCTCAATTGCTAACTTGAAACATTGAAATTATTGTGATCACTATTTTCAAAGTTACCATCCAGAAGATCGAAAATCGACAGAAACTCACGACAGCGATATTTCGAGCGTACAGTCGCGTAGTTGTTACTGTTTTATTGATAATTTTGTGTAAATTCAAAGAAAAACTCAATTCTTATAGTGATTTCTCTAGAAAATGATTGCAAACTTTAAACAAAAACTTTCTTGAAAATGAATGACAAGTTAAAATCAAAAATAAACATTAATACGATGAGTGGGATGTGTTTAAAAAACTCATTTGACATTTCAAAACCATCCTTCCATGACATTCCAGCCAAAATCCATCATCAACTCATCATTTTTTGCAGCAAGAACTGCAAATATCCCTGTGTTGAATTGCCGTTTTTTTTTATTTCTATTCACTTCAAAAATGAGCTTAATTATCCTAGATGACATCCAAAAGAAGCAAAAAAGAAAAAACCCAAAAAAATTACCCCTCACTTTCGTACATTTTTGAGTGAGGGGAAATGTCCCACTTACTAGCGCAAATTTTCCTTTTACTCTCTTTTTTTTCCCGTTTTCGTTTTTCTGTTGAGTGTTCCAAAAGTATATTAGTAATGTGGACCAGTTGAGGCCAACCAAATGCATTCGTATTAGTCTCTTTTTATGCTTTTTCTTTTATTGTTTCGAGTTTTTTTTCGAGAAAATTTGAAACTCAATACTTACCTTAAATACTGTAATAGTACCCCACCCCCATAATGACGGTGCGGGTCGTCGTTGTAATCTGACTTTGAACGAGTTTTTCCCGACACTGGTCTATGTCAGTATGCCCGTCAGGTGTCAAAAAATAGACCTGAATTTCAGCCATTTTTGTCCCAAAGACGCATTTTTTTGAAATACGGGCGCTTTGAAAAAAACTGAAATACTTAAAACCTTTTCCCGTCACGCGACTGTCCGGGGGGTGGGCGTATTTTTACAGTCCTTACGGTCCCAGTCTGAAGAAAAAGTAATGTCCGTCCTTGACATTCCCGTTGTCCCGTCCGTTGTCCCGTCCGTTGTCCCGTCGTTGTCCCGTCCTTGTCCCGTCCTTGTCCCATCCTTGTCCCGTCCGTTGTCCCGTCCGTTGTCCCGTCCGTTGTCCCGTCCTTGTCCCATCCTTGTCCCGTCCGTTGTCCCGTCGTTGTCCCGTCATTCATTGATGTGCGTTTGTTGATGTTTTTAGCCAGAAACAGTTTTGTGAAAAAAAACCGACATTACTTTTTCCCCAACCCAATAGATCTTTTAAATGAATTAACCAGAAAATGCTCTACAAAGCACTCGTGCACTCAAAGTCGCCGTTTCATTTTCCCAAGTCGAGTTTAAACTCACAGCAGAGTTGTACGCGGTCAGTTGCATTTTGGGATGCAATCTTTTGGGATTTTGAAATTCTTCGATCGATAACTTACCCAAAAAACCAACTTGATAAACAAGTTTCTTAAAAGAAAATGAAAGTCTCACTTTTTTTTGACTTGCTTGACCTAATACATAGCTGTTAGTCTGTTTTTGATCTTCTTTTTTAAATTATCTAAGTTAAGTCTCAGCTTTGCAATGCTTGAATTGTCGAAAGTGTGCTTTTTGTTTGGAAAATATGCTTAACAGTGAATGCTTAAGAAGTACTAAGTAGTAGTAAGTAGTAGTAAGTAGTAGTTACTAAGTAGAAAAGTAGTAAGTAACTAAGCTACTTACTACGTACTTGTTAGCTTAGTAAGTTACTTGTTAGTGGAAACTAATATGAAAAAATTAGTAATGCTAATTAACATTTTGAAACGAACTGTTATAGAATCGTTTGTTTCTTTGGAAATAGAAGACTCATTTGGAAAATATCGTACGTTCATCGTACTTTGTGCTCAAATCCCGTAAACATCTCTTTCTGGCGCACTTCATTCTTTTATTTCCCTCGTGAAACCAAATTGTTGCTGTGAGGGGGAAATGAAAGATTGGCAGTGCGCCAGAAAGGGACTGTTTACAGGGATTTGCGAGTACACACTCTGAAGTTACAATAACGAAATCAAAACCGGGATTAGCATCTATGGGGATAGAACATAGAATAGAAGATCGACGAATCTTTGGCCAGTTATTGTCCCAGTTATTGTGCCAGTTATCGTCCCAGTTATCGTCCCAGTTATTGTCCCAGTTAGAGCATGTTTCATGATTAGATGTTTAAATGTCGATGATTAGTTGCCAATTTTGAAACGCAAACTTTTTCACTGCAGTTTCAACAGGATCCTCTTTTAAGCCACCTTAAGCCAGCCAGCCACCAAAGTGAATTAGTTCAACGAAAAGATTGTAGACGTTGTTTTTTCTTGCTTTGTATATTGAATTTAGTTTCCTTTTCTTTTTAAACCTTACTTTGAAACTAAGCTATTTTAAAAATCATTAAAACCGATTTTCCTTGAAATTCACTAGATCAATGCTTTTAGAACAAGAGCAAACTTCTTTTTTTGAGCTCAACGTACATTTAGAATCAAACAAAATCATTTCTTTTCATTTCTTCATCTCATTTCATCATTTCTTCTCATCTTTAAGTGAAAAATCAACCAGAAAACCGTCTCTGGATACTCAGAAAGATTACAAAGATTCTTCAAAAGTAATCGACTTAAAATGTCCACCAAGTTCGATAATATTGGCAAGGTGGCAAAGAAAAAGCTTTAGTTTTTATTTTTCTTCAAGAATTTGCAAATGGAAAACTTTTGGAAGTCATAAATCTGCCCGATTTCCCCTTCGATTTCCCCTTCGATTTCCCCTTCCGCAACCAATTTTCTTTAAACTTTTTAATTACAGAAAGTCAAAAAGGAAGTTGTTTCCATAAAATTCCCGAGAAAATCTCAATTTTTGCACTAATTTTTATCGTTTTACTTTATGATTTATAAGTTTTTATTCTTTTTTTTTTCTTTTTTTCTCTTTCTTTTCCTTTTCTTTACAAAATTTATGCATTTTTATTCAGCCAAATCATATTTTTTTTTGGCCAATTCTAATACGGTATTTGTATAGATTGATGAAGAATTATTTTAAAAATGTATTACTATTACTATTACTAATAATCTATTCAATAATCTATTGAATTGATCTCAATTCTCTGGTGGTTTATGATAGTTTTAGCTGAAATAGAATGTCTTTTAGAAAATTGTTTAGCTTTTAAGCGTTATTAAGTGAGCAAAAAGTAGGAAAAATAGTAAAATCTGTGAAATTTTACGAATTTCACCAATTTCACCAATTTTTGCCATAATTTGCGCTTTTTTTCCAGAAATTTTGTCGTTTTTCGTTTTTCCTTTGTCGAGCAGCGAAACAAAGAGAATATTGGCTGCTAGGAATTCAAATTCATCTATTAAATGCTTCAGAGTACGGCAATCTTTGAAACCTTTGAAACTTGCATTCTGTATTTATTGTTTGTACATGAAATTTTGACTAAAGCTCAACTCGAAGTTTTCAAAATAAACTCAAAATCGTCTCTACTTCAAAAGCTGCCCTTTCTCTTCACTTTCTTTCCCCGACATCGTCAAAATCCATTACTCACTTTTTCTCAGCTTCCGTTTTTCATTTCTCTTTCCCCCCTTTTATTACGTAATGCCAGGCGATCCGAAAGATATTCCACTTTTTCATTTTTCTTTTGTGCTTTTCCTTTCATTTTTCGACTTTTTTAATGTCTAAAAGATTTTTTGACGTTTTTAAAGTGATCATTCAACTTCCTTTACTTCCTCAACTTAAAGTGACCTTTCTTCGCATCTTTAAGTCCAAAAAATCAACCAGAAAACCGTCTCTGGATACTCAAAAAAAGATAAAAAGATAGTTCTTCCTTTACTTCCTCAACTTCCTCAACTTCCTTTACTTATTTTCTCTGGATTTTCATTTGAATATTGGAAATTCTAAAATTTTATTTGGAAGTTTAAGAATTTATTTGTTTTTTTCCGAAAATTGTATCCCCCATTGAAAAAAAAAAAGTTGATTTTGCTTTTGAATTGTTTGAAACCGAGTTCTTTTGACTGAGCTTCGAGTTTTTGTTTTTTCGTCTTGTCTTCTTGTCTTGTCTTTTCGATCTGTTGGTAAAGATTGAGTTTAAAAATCAAAACAGAGCATGCAAAGATTGAAGAGATTGGAAACAGAACATGCAAAGATTGCAGGTGGAGAAGGGAATTTCATATCTTCAAATTTGAAACTCTTAACTTTAAACAATTGACTTTCGAATGCGATTAGCTGTAGTTAAACGCATTTTCTCTATTTCTCATTAAAGTTCTGAAAAGGCAGAGCGAACAGTGAACATTTGCTCAATGGTAATCCAATTTGAATCCCTAATTGCTAATTGAAGTTTTTAAATGCTTTCCGAAAAATGATCTACGAATCTTTTAGATCTACGAATCTACGGTCTTTTAGAAAATCGTTTGTTTAAGTTTCTATGCGGAATTCAATTCAAACACTAACCCTTAAAGCCGATAAATTTGAAACTAACCTATTTAATAATCTGTTTCTTGTCGTCCAGATTTAATAATCTGTTTCTTGTCATCCCAATGACATTAAACAAATTTGTCTTTGAACTTTCACTTGCTGTTCTTTCAAATCTCGTAAACACTCCCTTTCTGGCGAACTCAATTCTTCCATTTTCCACCAGTTGCAGCGACGGAAAATGGAAGAACTAAGTGCACCAGAAAGAGGGTGTTTACAGGATTTCAAGGCATAAAATACACCAAAGTTAACCTGAGATCAAAAACTTTGAAACCGCATTTCCAGTGACGTTTTGTTTCTTTGATCGATCAACGACCCGCACTTCCTCATTAAACCCACTAAACCCATTAATATTTTAAAAATTTTGAAACACACAGATTTTTCTTTATCTTGAAGACGTCTTCTCTTTAGAATTTATTACTTTTTCGGTCTCCTATTGCTGTTTTTGTGTCTCAGCCGGAAATGGGATTGGTTATTTCTTTGCTTTTTCTTTTACTTTCAATGTCTCTTCCGGGTTTTCTTGGATGCATATTAAAAGATAAAAATGGGAATCAAAAATGGGATCCGCGTCGATCAAAGAGAATCATTTGAGATATTTTGAAGCTAAAGCTATTTTGAGGCGATTTTGGAGCGATTTTGAAGCGAGCTCTCAATTCACCGATTCACAACAATTTTCTTCAATTTTCTTCAACTTTTTTCGTTGTTTTGTTAGAAATTTTGCTTCTACTTAAATGAAAAATTCGTAAAAATAATACTTTGATACTAGAAATATAAAGAATACTTGCTATTGACTAATGCTATACTATAAATATACATTATTATAGATACATATACCGAGTAAAAACCAATAGACGGCCATGGCCATCGATTTTTCAAACCCTTAAAATCGACCGCCCAAAACACAAGAGATAAGGATCCCCCCAAATGAATTAAAAATTGTTAAAATTTTTAAAAACTATTTTAAACGATAGTTTTTGGTCGAAAATAAACAGAAAACACGTTTAAAAGTGGAAATTTTTTCTCAAAAAAGCCCATAATCTTTCAAAAAAATCCCTGTTTCGAAAAATTATTGCAATTTTTTCAAAAATCTCATTTCTAATTTTTACTGGACCCAAATTGATCAATTTACACAAAAAAGAGATCGGGAAAATTGATTGAAGGGTCAGGGGGTGGCTGTCAAGAAGAGTTTTTATGATATAACCAAATAAAACCATTCGATTAATACCAGACTTTTACTTTATTAATACCTGGCTTTGTTCTTTTATCCATCTAACTTTGAAACATGAGATTCTAAATGAACTTGCTGGTTCTATCCCGAGCTGAAACTTTCGGTATCTTCCCCCTTCCCTATCAAATGAATCTTTTTCCAGAGAAAAGATCGTGTAACCCTTTTCCCAATGGCAGAGAAAAGATCCTATAACAATCTTATTTATCTGTTTTCTATGAATGTCTTTCTGTGTTCTTGTACCGATTCCATTTTGATACTCTGGACTTATAGGACTGGCCCCTTTTGATGAGAACTCGATTAAACTCGATTAGTGCCAAGGATTAGCTGAGATTAGGTGTTCTCTTTCATTTTTAATTGAAATCATTCGCTCGAGTCGCTGTTTCAAAGTGAAATGAAAAGGAAAACGCAAAAGGACTTCAATGACATTTGTTTTGTTCATATTTCATGTTTTTTAAAAGTAAATGACGAAAGTCTATCAGAAAAATACCGTATTTTTCTTGCTAAAGCAATAAAATATTCAATTAACGATAGAATTTTATGAGTATGAGTGGGCAAAATAATGATCGGTACACCAAAGTGTTTAATGAAATTTTTGCACCTGCCTTTTCTTGAATCATGTTATAAAACTTTGAAAAAAATGTCTATGTTTCAAGTTTAGTAAAAAGAAAAACACACAGAAAGATTTAACAGGCCGCCCGGGTTTTCTTTTATTCTTTAAAAGTACTTTCAGGCTCAACACTGGTCATTTGTCTCCTTTAGGTATTTGAGAAAAATTGAAACATAGTATTCCCATCATATTTGATCTTTGATCAATTTGATCTCTAATTCTTTGAAACTTTCTTTGAAATTCTTTGAAACTTCAAACCCGGATTATCATTTTATGACGTTTTTTTTCTTTTAAAGATTTGAAAGACGTTTTTGCTTTTCTTTCCAGGAAATACAAAAATGAGTAACAAAAACTCATTGTTTTCGGGAGATTCTTTAGAAAAATGAGTTCAAAATGGCTAAAAGGGAATCTTTTTGAGGGCTCATCAAAAAATAAACTCCATTTTATTCAAATAAATATCAAATAAGTTCCATTTTATTCAATTCATTTCATTTTTTGATAGAGATTGTATTTTCAAATGCCCAAAAAAAAGTTTGAGTTTCACTTTTTGGTATGTCCTGGAAGGGTTTTCTAATTTAGTATAAGATCTGATGGAAATAAATAAAAATTGTTTGTTCTTTCAAAAAGATCCAATTTTTGCATTATTTAGAATTGAATTGAATTGATTTGAATGCTATTGGATTGAATTGAATCCAATTTTCAATCAAAAATGCTAATACCGTAGTTTTAGCTGAAATGTGATGCTTTTTAAAAAAAATGAACTTGAATCGAACGTCTTACGACAATGGATTTTTTTCTTTAACAAATTCAGCTGTCACTTTTTTCTTTTCTTCATTTACACCTGTTTTCCCTTTCAGAAAATGCTCAATCAGAAGATTTGTTTTCAAAAATATTCCATACTTTCGATATTATCTAGAATTTGGAAAAGATTTTGAAATTTTAATACTCGATATCAATATTAAAATAGCAGAAAACAAAATTGAGGTACCCCCTATTGCTTTGCAATGATTCGGCCGTTTCACTCTTCACTTTTCCTCCTCTCATTCCTCGTTCTCAACATCGAGTCTTGCTGCGATGAGGAGAAACAATTGAAACAAACGCTCGGCAATCGGCTCGATGAATTACGATTTCAGCCAAGCTTCACGAATCAACAACAGATCAGAGTTCGTTTTAATCGTTTTTATAGTTGTTTAATAGTTCTTTAATAGATTAGAATTGATTTTTATAGTTTTTAATTTGTCCAATTAAGTCTAAACACCCAAAATAATAAAGAAAAAGTGAAAATTGCAAGCGAGAAAAATGAAAGTTTCAAAGTTTTCAGGGTTCAACTAAGAAATTGTTAAACAATTCTGCTTTATCTTTCAATTCAAATTCAAACACTTTCATTAGACTGATCTTTTCAAAAATGAGGGAAACTGTAGTGTAGTGTCCTGTAGTGTCCTCTGTAGTCACTCTGTAGTTTCCTTTTCTTGCGAGCTTCCCTTTCTAAGGTGGATAATCTGGAGGAGCTACCGTAATCTCTTCTTCAAATCTTTTCTGAAAGTTTCTCAGCTTGAATTTTCATAATACTATCGATTATTATTTTTTCAGATACCTGAAGATGTGTTGAGGATGTTGGCGCAATACGATAGCATGAGAAATGAGCAACAATCACCGTTGACCAGGATGAGCAGGTAGGGGAAAGGGTTTTGTTAGAAATGTTACATTGTTACAAATGTTACCAATGTTACAAAAAGTAAACATAGAAAGAAAAGCTTTTTTAGAGCCAACGGCAAGCCAACATTCATTCGTTTCGGAAAACGCTCGAAGCCGACTTTTATCCGTTTTGGGAAACGGAGTAGTTTCAAAAATGCGGAAGATCAATGGATCGATGGATCGATGTAAATTAGACTCTCTCTTCTCTCTTTCTTTACTTTTTAAAAATCCAAAAACATCAATAATGATTAAAACTTTATTTTCTTCAATTCAAGATCGCCACTTTGGAAAAAACGTATCAAAAATTAATCAAAAATTCATCAAAAATTAATGAAAAATCGTTTTCTGATAGCTTTGAATCAAATGAAATCTCTCAAGTTTCAAAATTTCTTCAATACAATCAAGGTAACGATTTTTAATCAGCTTTAACCAACTGAACATTGCAAAACGGTGAATTTTCGAAAATTTTGACGAAAAAAAAATTCAATGTTTCAAAGTTTTGTCTATAAATGATCCGAAGAAATTTCTAATCTCTAGTATTTTCAACATTTTCAGCATTTTCCATTTCCCCATTTTTTTCTTTATCAAATTTCTTCATTTTCGTTTTCTTGATCTCAAAAAATTTCTTTTGCTTTCTTTATTTCCTTTCTTTATTTGCATTCGATTTTACCCCGATATGTATCATTTATAGCTGTAAAAATGGAAAAATCGTGGTCGAATAGAGGAATAAAATGTTTCATGCGTTAATGTGAAAGAGAGAAATGTTAAAAGGAAAGAAAAAGAAAGGAAAAAGAAAGGAAAAACTTTCGAGAACGAAAAAAGCTATTTTCTTTTGTTTTCTATTGGGTTGGGGAGAATGAGTCGGCGCCAAACTTTAAAGGGACTTTTTGCACAAAAGCCTTCTTTAAACAACGTTTGGTTTCACAAAGGATCCACTATTTCTCTAAAATGCCTTTGAGAGTTCCAAAAGCTTTTCTTTCGTGGGTTTATGAACTTCGAAACGCGCTGGTTAAAATGGCAAAGAGTCCGACTCATCATTTGAACAGTTTCTTTCACATAAACCTTCTTTGGTGTTTATATAAAAAAGATAGAGCACATTCAATTACTTAAGTTGCCAAATTTGCAGGAGGATCCCACCAATGGTTTTCTAGATGCAGTTTGTAGTTTTTGCGAAAAATGGCTTTTCTTGGCGGAGGCGCTGTTTGAATTCTTTTAATGTCATTTTGTAGGAATTAGTTACCATTCTCTGATATCAAACGCATATTATTTGACGAAGTCGAATAGGTTTTGACATTTTTGTTTTCGGCGCCGACTCATTCCCCCCCATGATAATTTTTTTTTGATTTCAAGTGCAATTTTAAGTGCAAAAGTTAGTAAGCCCGTAAATCCGGTAAGCAAAAGTTACAAAAAGGTTTTCCAGATCCGGTAAGTACTTACCGGATCTGGAAAACCTTTTTGTGTCTTTCATTCTCTAGATTTCCCATTAAACACCATTGATTGCGCCTACCGTAAATACTGTAATAGTACCCCACCCCCATAATGACGGTGCAGAGTGTTGCGTAGTCTAGCTTTAGACGCGTTTTTCTCGACACTGGTTTAGGCTACAATGCGCGCTTAGGTATCAAAAAATAGCTGAAATTCAGGGCTATTTTTTGATACCAAAGACGCATTTTTTGGAGGTACGGGGTGCTTTGAAAAAAGATGAAATACTAAAAAACTTTTGTGACTACCCGACTGTACGAGGGCGGTGGGGTACTATTACAGTATTTACGCTATTACAGCTATTACAGTATTTACGGTAACCGAATAATTGATTTCATCTCGGCTTTCGTCCATTTAAACCGAATCTAGACAAAGTTTTCACTCGTATGCCAAACCTTTTTGAAATCCTAACTCTACATTTTCTTCATCACAACAACACTATCCTTATCAATCAAAAAAACAGACAGACAAATACGTACAAAGATTGACAGACAAGCAAAGCTCACTTCAGACTCCGATTCGGGTTTTGGTCTTGATTATTTCGGTGTTTTCTTTTCACCGTCCTTTATTTTAATGATCTAAAGTGAGAGAAAGATTCAGTGGATCATTCATTCTGAGTTCTGAGTTCTTTTGAATCAAATGTACAACGGCATGTTGCGCTCGAGAGTTCATGCATTCGAAGAACGTTCATGTTCTCAAGATGTTCTCCATTCAAGAGTTAACATGTTCAAAAGTTCGAGACTAGTGACAGCAATAAGTAAGCGGCTCTCGAACATGTCAAATCTTCAACGGAAACCAATTATGAAACAGGTGTTTTGATGAAAAGTTCTTTGAATAACAAATTACAATGTTTTAAGCAATCTTCGTGACCAAAAGATTTACAAGAGTACTCTCTGAAGCAAATCGGTGAATCGGTGAATGAGTTGCGAGCAGTCGATCGATTATATGAAATCCAGGGCTTTATGTACAACTATACAAAACAAAAAGAACAGCAATCGATTTTTAAAAAGATCTTTTAAACAAAAGAAAATAGAAAGAAAAAAATGAAAAGAATTTGATGTGAAGAGGAATTTATGAATGGCTCAGGCTCAGGCTTTATGAATGGCTCAGGCTCAGGCTCAGGCTTTATGAATGGCTCAGGCTCAGGCTCAGGCTTTATGAATGGCTCAGGCTCAGGCTCAGGCTTTATGAATGGCTCAGGCTCAGGCTCAGGCTTTATGAATGGCTCAGGCTCAGGCTCAGGCTTTATGAATGGCTCAGGCTCAAGCTCAGGCTTTATGAATGGCTCAGGCTCAGGCTCAGGCTTTATGAATGGCTCAGGCTCAGGCTTTATGAATGGCTCAGGCTCAGGCTCAGCCTTTATGAATGGCTCAGGCTCAGGCTCAGGCTTTATGAATGGCGTAACAGAGATTCACTCTAGCGGTCAAGAAAAACAATATGATAAATGTGATAAATTAGAGTTGAACACCAGAAATTCTTTACGCTACACATAACGAAAGGAATTTGATGTCAAGAGCAATTTATGGTAGCTTTTTGATCAGCAATTTACGGTAGCATTTTTCAAATCGAATTTTTTCAAAAATTCTTTAATTCTTTAAAAATTTATATCAATAAATCTAGATTCATTTTAAAGCAAAGCTTGTCGGCTTTCGGCGCTTAAACTTGTAGAAAACGTAGTCAAGAATGCGCATCTCGTATGGGGAAATGTGATGGAATGAAATCATCGATGGGGAGAAGTTTTTCACACCCTAAAAACAAGAAATCTTTAGCTTTCTTTTACAATATCTCTCTTCAAATTAAAGCAATTCAAATGTTGTCTGAACGTCAGTTCTAAACGATTAGTTACCTCTAGCTACCTCTAGCTACCTCTAGCTACCTCTAGTTACCTCTAGCTACCTCTAGTTACCTCTAGTTACCTCTAGTTACCTCTAGTTACCTCTAGTTACCTCTAGTTACCTCTAGTTACCTCTAGTTACCTCTAGTTACCTCTAGATTAGTTTCAGAAAAATTAAAGCTCATTGAAAACTTTTCGTAATCAAAATATGTCTTTTTAAAGAGCTTTCAACTTTTCAAAACTTTTCAAAGCATTCCATTCACCTTTAACGGTGTGTAGTAAGCGAAACGCCTCGCGAAAGCGTCGTTGTACATCTCCAACTGTTCAGTGGGATGGAAATGGTGAAAGCGCTCGGAGCCTGAAAGTTTAAACAATGATTAACGTTGACGTTGACGGCTGCTCAATCGCTTTGTCTTTGACAGCTTTGCCAGGCGTTTCCAATAAGCTTGCACCGCTGGTTTTTGTCTTTTAGTGTTTCTAGTTTCAAATCTTATTTGTAAAAACGGGCATTCACTTTGTAAATTTGTATAGAAAGTGGAAAAACGGTGTCATCGATCTCCGACACTTGCCAAATGCGTTGAACTTGAATGCGAATTGTAACAAAGGACACTGGTCGGTAAAGATGTGAAAAAAAGACTCAAGAAATGATTTACTGTAGAAAATGAGCAATTTCTAGTCATACTGATAGCTATTTCCCTACCGTTCTCATCCCGAGTGTCCTCAGGGTAGATCCCGACGGCTGCCAGACATTTTGAGATCTGAAATGATATGATTTGCGATTTGCGATTTGCTTTCCTTGCTACCTCTTGATCCTCTTCAGCTCGATGGAAATCCGGGCACAACTCATTGTTCTTCATCACCTGAATAAACGATTTTGCTAGGAAACTCTACAGTAATCGAGCTAGAAAATTTTGAAGGTTTTCTTGGTAAATTAACATTGTTAACAATTCACAATTAATATTTCTTGTTAAACTCATATTGTTAAGACTAAGTACTAAAGATAGAGCCTGGAAAAAGCAAGGCCTGATTTTTCCATAAAGTTAAAACCTTGTACTGGCATTGTGATGCATAATAAACACTATTAGGATACCAATAAACACTACAAATTTAAACCAGTGTTTCCTTGGAAAAACGGTAAACTTTTTGAAAAAAAAAGGGCAATTTGAAAATCTCTTATGTACGACAGGTTTTCATATAATGTCGATGAAGAAAGTATTTGGCTAAAAATTTTAGTTTATATATAAACTCTAATATGACTCCACGATGCCACTAAAAAGTTTGGCAAAAATCTGATGGTGGTGGTGGCTATGGAATTTCTCTTGCATAGAGAGATCATTTTGGCCACAATGGTGGGTTCTCCGCCGGTCGAAATGGGATCCCAAGTGCCTGTAAAAGGGTGCTGAAGGGGGCCGCTGTGAATTTTTGGATTCATCCCAAGGATTTCGGTCCTCGGGGTGAATCCAAAAGACTCAAGGGTAATGGGATCGTTAAAGAGAGATCGTTAAATGGTAAAAATCATTAAAAAACATCCAAATTTCACACAAAAACCATTTTCGCACCATACCTAACACCTTGAGCCATCAGTAATATTTTTAAAATTTGACCCGAAGTCGATTTTTACTGTAGTGTCGTTTCTTGAGTCTTTTGCTGCCCCTGCGGACCGAAATCCTTGGGATGAATCCAAAAATTCACAGCGGCCCCCTTCAGCACCCTTTTACAGGCACTTGGGATCCCATTTCGACCGGCGGAGAACCCACCATTAGGGTCAAAATGAGCCGGAACTGGGTTTGCCAATTCTACAGCCGAAGTTAAGGTTTGGGAAGCGGTGACCATATGGGGCAGACAACGGGTTGCTTACCGGATGACCCAAAATGGACGCTTCCGTTTTTCCAGATGAAAAAATCACGATATCTGCTAACTCACTATGCCAGATCGAGTGCGATTGGGCTCGCGCACAGGGAACACATCGGGCCCTCTTTTTGGCATTTTAAAGTCCAAAGATCAAATTCCAAATAACATCAAAAAGCAAGGCCTGATCAGAGCAGAGTCTGATCAAAATCAGATCAAAGCCAGGTCCAGATCTGCAGCTAGAACTTGGCTTCTGATTTCCTCAGCTTGCGCATTCAATTTGAGGTATTGTGAGAATGCTTTGGAAAATAAAGTTGAAATAAGAATTGAATGACAAGAAGCCAAAAACAACATTTTTCTATGCCGCTCACCCGATTGAAAGCCTCGACGGTGGGTTTGGATAAAACGTAGGCGCCTCCGTCCGCGTAGCCTTGTTCCTGGAAAAGAATTTTGTTTTTTCAATTTCGTTGTTTCAAATTTACTGATTATTAGACGCGAACCGAGAAATAATTCCAGCGATACCCGAAATAGTGAGGCACATTCGGCGAATGTTTCGACAAAAAAGCTCGCAAATTGTCGACAACTGAAACTTCCAGGGTAAAGCTGTGTCATTTGTCTGTCTGTGTTGTCAATAGGTGTACAACGGAAAAACGAGATTTAACGCACCTCAACAGCGCACTTTTTCAAAGGTTTTTAGATAGAGCTTGAAAACTTCTCCTTTGAAAAAAAGAAAACGTGAAAAAGTAGCTGTTGATGTGGCTAAATCTCGTTTTTCCGCTGTACACCTATAGACAATTAGAGAGACAAATGAGTAGGCAAAGTTAATGTACAGTACTGGACAATGAAATATGATATTTGAAAAACGATCGTCATTTTCGCACGTCTGTAACTCCGTTGTCTTTGAGTTTAAACTATTAGTGTTATACATTTTCTGAAAGCTCTTTTCAACGGCTACACAATGGTAATATTAATATTTACAAATACGGTAAAGACAAGGGAGTTACAGACGCGCGAAAGTGACGATCTTTTTTCAAATATCATATTTAATTGTCCAGTACCGTAAATGGAGAAGATTACGGTAGAAAAGGGAGAAAATGGCGGGTTTTAACCGATTTGAAAGAAAGATAAGCAACGAGTTTCAAGTTAAACGACTTTCTTTTGCGTCTTTTACTAAATAAATTCATAAATAAGCTTGAAAAAATCTTTTTGACAAGTTTAGAACTATTTAAATTATTTAAGTTTCAAGTTATTTAAGGTCAAAAATTATGGCTTAGCTTTAATGAAGGTTGAGGGGTTTTACAATCCTTACAATCCTAACAATCCTAACAATCCTAACAATCCTAAGAATCCTAAGAATCCTAACAATCCTAACAATCCTAACAATCCTAACAATCCTAACAATCCTAACAATCCTAACAATCCTAACAATCCTAACAATCCTAACAATCCTAACAATCCTAACAATCCTAACAATCCTAACAATCCTTACAATCCTAACAATCCTAACAATCCTTACAATCCTTACAATCCTAATGTGTTAAATAACTAACGTTTAGTAACAAGCGTTAAACTGGTGGATTACGGTCATTTTGACTACTTAAATAAAATTTTTCTAGTAATATTAATATTTACAAGGGTTGTAAAGACAAGGGAGTTACAGACGCACGAAAGTGACGATCTTTTTTCAATTATGATATTTCATTGTCCAGTAGTGTATCTTTTAGGCGAGACAAGTTGTTGAAGCAAAGGATTTTTTAAAAACTAGTAACTAGTAACTAGTAAAGCTAGTAAAGCTCATTGTCCAGTAGTGTAATTAAAGTCCTTTCTCATTCCTTTCCATTCATCACATCAAGTTTTAATTGTAACCAATGTATGCATGATCAATGTAAGGTCACCAATGTATGCATCATCGTCAGCGCGGAGATACCAGTCGAATTTTCGTGGATACTTTTCGGCCACATAGCTGCAAAATTGAAGAATTACTTTGGTAAATTGTAAATTTGATAAATGCATTTTATTCTAAATAAACTCTTTTTGAATAAATAAAAAGAAAAAGGTAAAAAGCATTTAGTAGAAAAGAAAAGAATCTTTCTAATGGTACAAGCAGATCTTGATTGTCATCTTTAAATGCTATGTCATCTTTAAAAAAAGATTTTCGTGATTTTAGTGAAAACGCGCATTTATCCTCTAATCTAATAGAAAAATGAATTGCTAAGAATCCAAGTTTTTAACTTCTTCTTTTTTTTTGTTTTGTTTTCTTGCTTCTCTTAAAAATATTCACTTGAAAACTTTACGGATCTTCTCCCAGGAGTGATCTCTCGTGTGCAACTCGGGCCAATAGACGTGCGGAATTTCTGGCGACATTTGAGAGTCTGCAAGAATTGAAATGAAATTTAATTTAATTTAAATGAAACCTTCATCTTTATGTCATTTCAATTCAACTTTCGCATTTCAAATTAAAATATAAAACGCTTTTTTTTTTGATTAAATTATTCAGGTGAAAATCTTTGATTAAACTGAATAATTTAATCAAAGAAAAACTGAATCTTTGATTAAACTCACCGGTGAAAAAGAGAAACTCGTCACAGCGTGGCGCCCATGTGCGCAGAATTGTGTGCGCCTGGGAAATTCGAGTTTTAAATGCAAAAAAACCAGATTCATTAGCATTTCACTGCAAAAAACTTGTAAGATTTTGATTCCTAGACGTCAATATTCTCTTGCGCTATACATTTTTGAGTCTAGAGAAAGATTGGAACTGTTTGGAGAGAAGAGTTAGAAGAGAAGAGTTAGAAGAGAAGAGTTAGAAGAGAAGAGTTTGAAGAGAAGAGTTTGAAGAGAAGAGTTTGAAGAGAAGAGTTTGAAGAGAAGAGTTTGAAGAGAAGAGTTTGAAGAGAAGAGTTAGAAGTAGACTCACCCGTGTCTCGTGGCTCGGAGTGGCTGTGTGAATCAAGCATAAAAGACTCGTGTTTCTATAGGCATCTGCGTTTTTTAGCAAAATGTGAATGAGTAGGAAAAGAATTGCTGAGATTCGCCTCATCATTGTGAGTTTGATCGATGAGCTCTTTTCGATCAAAGCTTTCGATTCCGCATTGCTTTTAATTGAATTCTGTAAAGCAATCAAAATGAAAGGACATCTATTGTCAATTGTAAAATGAAAATTTAAACGTAATTAATGTAAAATTTAATTTAAACGGATTGCGTGTAATAAAATGCCGACCTTATCCCCTTTCCGTGTTGAATTTGAAACTGAACTTTCTTAGATTGTGATCTTTTCCGATTTGCGGCTTTGCGAAGAGGCTTTCAAAGCAAAAAAAAAAAAAAGAGAATTCTTTGCTTCTCAAGACCGCATTTTTAAAAGAACATTCATTTTTCATCTTATAGAAGATTTTTTAGGTGTAAAAGTGAATAAAAAACGGTAAATGATTCGAATTTCTTCGCAATAGGTGATGCTTCGAAAACTCAATTGCTTGTTTTGCCTTTATTTTTCAAGCTCAAGCTCTCAAACTCGATACAGTGTAATAACTCTTGAAATCTTAACGAAAAAAAAACTCGTGTTTCACTTTTCATCGTATTACAGGCTGCTTCAAAAACTCAATTTTTTGGTGGTTTTTTTCAATGTTTAAAAATTCAATAATCAAAATTTTGCTGCATTGCGAATATCCCAAAATTTCACAAATCCAACCCAAATTTTTCTTGCAATTTAGCTAAATTCGCCTTTTTTAAGCACAAACCATCCAATCTTTCAACTAAAAAATGAGGTGCCGACTGAGGCAAAGCGAATAGAAAGATCGCGCAACTCATTCCTATATGTTTAAGGATAAAGGGGAATCAGCCATCGGCATTCCTTCTTGTCCCTTCTTGTCACTTCATAGGAAAGGGACACATCGTCCACCTTTTTTTTTTGATCAAGAGACTCTTGACAATACTTTTACTACCGCTTATTCACACACTTGACTAGAGGGGAAACTTTCGTTTTCAAAAAAACTTTCAACCAAGGTTTTCTTGGTAAATTAAGCTCAGATTGTTTAGACTGAGTACTAGAGATAGAAAAGCAAAAATCTCATGTTTCAACTTTCTCAACTCTCATCAGCAAATAATTCACTAATCATAGCCTAAAATTGTTGAAAATTTTCGTTTTTCTAAATTTAAGCCAGAGTTTCCGAATTCATATGCAAATTATTATTGCAAATTATTTATCTTTCTATCGTAATCACAACTTTCTACAGACTACACACTACACGAGCAAAGAAAGAGATCAAAAAGCGATCAACTTCCCAATTTTTTGGGAAAAATTTAACAAATAAATGAAATGTTTCAAAATCGAACTAATAACAAAAATCTTTAATTTCTCAAAGTTTCAGCGAGTTCTGCACTTCCAACAGCGATTCGGCCGACTTTTGGAGTTGGCTGATCTGCAATTTTTGATTTTTGATCAACTGGATCTGGAACTACAATCTCGGTTATTGATTGAAGCTTCATAAAATTGAAACACAACTTTTTTAGCTTTTTATACACAACAAAAGTTCTGGCTTTTTGGCTCTGTGACTAGAATTTCTCTATCCTTTTTAATCCTATCATTTGAGTTACTGTAAAGCTGTGGACAGTGTGGCAGATGCCATGGAAAGTGCGTACAAAATGGCTACCGCTGGTGGTTTTTGTGCGTTTTCAGAAAAACCAAATTACCGTTTCGAAAACTGAAAAAGGATTTTGATTGGGGGTAAAAAGTTACATAATCTCAGAAATTTTCAGCATTTTTGGTTCATTTATTCAAGAGAAAACGGTCATGAACAATGTTCCATTCAAATTCTTCCATTCAAATTTTTAGGTTTCAATAAAAGTAATGTCCAGATAAGGTTTTGAAATATTTAATAACCCATGAATATTACTGTGTTTGAATTCTTGTTGAGTAAAATCTCTATTACTTTTAGCTTTGAACTAGTTTTTCTAGAACCCTAGTTTGTCCCAAGGTTTACTTTGTGCTCGAAACCCCATAGCAAACAAGAATTGAGTACGCCAGAAAGGGGGTGTTTACGGGAGAGCACAAAGTATACCTTGTCAATCACTGACCTCAGTTTCCGATAGATTTTGCTTGACAATATGAGTGAGTCCATTTGAGCCGAGAACGACGGGCAATGAAAGGAAAACGTCGTCATTTATTCCATGAAAACCCTGAAATGTTAGAATTTAGGATTGGTTTTGATTTTGCTACTAAAAAGAAAATTTTCGTGATGATTGATAGTGAAGAAATACATGTTTCAAGGTAAACGGCATCTAATTGAAAAGCAAGGTTTAATTCCTTTTCATCAGACATGGTTTAATTTTTGAAAACTTGTAATTCTTGTTTTTCTTTCTGCTTTTTTCTATTGTTTTTGTTTCTGTTTTTCTTTTTTACCTTTAAATTCTAGTGTTTTAAAGTATTTGCGCCAGAAAATTCTAATGAAAAGTCTAATTTGAAGATCTTTTCATCAAAAATTCAAAGTTTATGTTTCAAAATATAATATAATAAAAATTATGGAGTGAAATTATCGAGTATTTAGTGTGAAAAGGGTTCACCTTAACATTCGTCGACAAAGCGTAGACATTGCGAGTGTTGCCGACGATTCCGTGCACGATTTTCGCCACCGACAACCCGATTGCCCATGACGTGTAACCCTTGAGTTTGATGATCTCGTAGGCGCTGAAAATTGGGATCTCAGATTTACATTTCATAAGTTTCAAGGAGCTTAACACCAAGAATTCGTTATTCTTTCGCAACAAAGAAATCTGGCACCAAATTCTCTCAAAAAGATTAAGTTCACCTTTATATACTAAAGAAAAGCTTCAGAAAGTTAATGGGCAATGCTCAGTGTGTCAATATATCTTTATATCTTTTTCAGAGCCATTTCTTCACTCATTTCCAAGTCAAAGAGCTTTAGGAAATCGAGGAAATTGATGTTAAGGTGTTTACGGGATTTGAAAGAACAAAAAGTACGCATAAAAATGCTGTGAATAGTTTAGGAAGTGAGTATTTCAAAGTAAGCCTCTCAAAATGCCCAATAGATTTACAATAAATTCAAAAATCTCCTTTATTAGTATCGTGTTTCAAGTTTGGGTTTGAGTTGTTGAAGAGATAAAGGTCAATGTACACCACAATTCTTTCCACCTTTCCACGCACCTATCGATCACTTTCCTATGAACTTCTTGCTCCCAATTGTCAGTGTCTCCTTCTAACCCGATCGGCACGATCTCGTGCAAATTCACTCCGGCCACATTCACTCCTGACCACACAGCCACTGGAAATTCGATCATTACAAGATTGAAAGGATTGGATTGTTGATAAAATGGAAATTTGTGGATCCAGCAGATCCTTTGAATGCCCAGGCCCGATCTGGCCATCCTATGCCAGCTAAGAAACCCAAATTTGCATTGAATGAATATTGAGATTGCTTGCAAACAAGTGCTTTGGGTTAATTATCGAAAATTTCTTATCTAAACCCCGAGAACTTTGAAACCTGAGGAATCCCCGTGCTCGCCGATGATCCACCCGTGACAGCTCGATGGGGCGATATTCAGTCGTTCAGAGAGAAGGAAACGGAATCTAAAAATTGAGTTTCAATGTGGTCAAGCTTAGGAATGAATCGTCTTGACTAATCGATCCCAAACTTTATACTTTATAGACTATTTTTGCTTTAAAATCTATGCTTTAGCAAAAAATGAGTTTCAAAATTCGAGTTTCAAAATAGTATTAATTCTTAAACAAATGAAAAGTTTTTCTTTACCTGGCCGAGTCGAGATTCGTGCCGGATCCGAAGACTTTCTCCCTCGGCAATCCCGACAATTTCCACGTCACATAGGTGAGAATGTCGACTGAAATTGGGCAATTTTGATTAGTTAGATAAAAATAGCAAACCAGGATTTGAAACGACCATGATTAGCGTGTCGGGCGAGTACTGAACGAGCTTTGGCACGATTCCCTGAAGAAATTTTGTTATGTTTTAAAAATCAACAAAATCAACAGCTCGATTTCCATTAAAAATACGGTTTGCTCTTATACCCGCCAAACTTGAAACACTTAAAACAAAAACAGCTTTTCTTGGAAAAGAAAGCCTTATTTGTGCTAAATCAATGTCTATAGCTTTTAAATAAAAAAATTTCCAGACTTTCCAGTTATATTTGGACGTAGTTTTGTCTCTTCGACTTAGTTTCAAGTTTATCCGCTTTTTCCGCATTTCCACAAAACTACTGCTCAGCTTTAAGATCAGAAGATGTTTAATTTGAAACCTTGAAAATCTCAACGTTCCGTTGAACAAGCGACAAACGCGTTTCTCCTTCTCGTTGACGGGCGCCAGCAGTGATCACGCAAAGCTTCGAGCCCGCAGTAATCGAGTAATCTAAACTTCAAAATTTTCTTTTGGAGTTTTAAATTATTAGAAAACTACGGTACTACGGTAAACTACTTTTAGTTTACTTTAATAAGCTGCTTTAATATCTTAAACAGCTTGGCAAACTGTGATTTCAAGTTTTCAAATAACCGACCAGTATCGGCTTTGACTGTGCAATGCTTTGTGAAGGCCAATCCGTGTTGCAAGTCCATCATCTCACCCTTCAACTTATCAGCCACCACGTCGACCAGACAAATCTCGTTTGCAAGATTCTAAAGAATTTTCAATTATTAGTTCGTGGCTTGTACTTTGTGGTGTCTCTTTTCTTGAAACATTGAAAATTTAACTCAAAAGTGATAAATTAATGTGTTTTAGATTGTTTTCTAACAAATGCATTGAGCATTTCGAGATGAAATGTTCACTGATTTAAAGAAAAACACTGTAAAAAGTGAGAAATTGTAGTTAGAAATGAGAAATGATAAAACCTGTTGCAGAATGCTGTACGCGCACGCCATGCCCACTTGACCCACGCCGACGATTGTCACCTAAACATTTTCGAATAGTTTTGAAAAAGCTGTGTTTCAAATTTTTCAATGCTTTATCAGCTGGTCAATCTTTTATGTTTCTATCTATTGGGTTGGTGAAAAAGTCCTTTCCGAATTTTTTGGGAGAGTACCTTAAATTTGTCGAATTTCGACGTTTTATAGCTCATCCTAAAGCTGAATTCAAGACGGATCGATTGGTAAAAACCGTTTTGAGATATCTCTTTTCTAAAAGTTTTTACAGCTATCTTAGTAAAGGGCGGCAGGGCCAAAAAATAGCTGTTTTCACGTTTCGTTAGTTTTCCGTGCAGAAACCTAGGCTAAAAACATGTGTTTCGTGATCGGCGTCAAAAATAACCCCTAGACACGCATTTTCAGAATCTTAGCAAAAAATTTTTGAAAAATATTGTCACCGGTGGAAGTCGAACCAGCGACCCTCAGATCAATAGCCTTTCCGGCAATAGCCAATACTATGAAAATAGTGATCACTTTATATGCTTACTTTGAAACATGACTATTTTCAGGTTGTGCGTTTTCACTTTATAGGCTTGCTCTTAAGCTCAATCCCTTAGTGGCGGAGCCAAAAAATGGCTGTTTTCACGTTTCGTTAGTTTTCCGGTCTAGGGGTTATTTTGGACGCTGATCACGAAACACATGTTTTTAGCCTAGGTTTCTGCACGGAAAACTAACGAAACGTGAAAACAGCCCTTTTTTTGGCCCTGCCGCCCTTTACTAAGATAGCTGTAAAAACTTTTAGAAAAGAGATATCTCAAAACGGTTTTTACCAATCGATCCGTCTTGAATTCAGCTTTAGGATGAGCTATAAAACGTCAAAATTCGACAAATTTAAGGTACTCTCCCAAAAAATCGGAAAGGACTTTTCCACCAACCCAATATTTTGACTACAGATCAATTCTTTTTTCTTAAAAACCCTATTTTCTCCAAAGGCTTTTCAACTGACTTTCCCGTGCTCGGACGAAATCGCCGGGGAGATCTCCTCAAAGAGTGCTTGTCGAGTAAAAGACATCCTGAAAAAAATAGAGTTTCAAATTGAATGATTACTCTGGAAGTTCATCGTTGCTAGTGTTGTCTTTTAATTTTTCGGTTCAGTAAAGTATAAAATAGATGAGTTTAGAGAATCGAAAAAGGTTTTTTGATGGAAAAAAGTGTCTCAGATTTAAGAGCTATGCGAGAAGCTCCCTATTGTTAGTGGCTTATGATTGTTTAGGATTAGAAAGATCAAAATAGACAGTGAAAGGTGCGTTTTGAACTGAAAAGTTTAAAATTCGCAGTTTAAAGAAGAATTCATAATGCTGAAAAGCGTGTTTCAAGTTTAGGTATTAGTCGAGAAATCGCTAGTCTTTAGTTGCGTTTAACCAGCACCCAAAAGTCGATTATCCAACAAAATATAGTTCACTTGTCGATTATACACTCAATTAAAATTTTTGCATGATAAGATGTGCAATTATCCAACAGATTATTCTATTTTTAAAGCATTTCCAGCAAAAAGGTGCCGGAAATCTTAATGCTACGACTCACTAAATTAAAGAGCCTCGAAAAAGAAAGCTTTTTTCAAGTTTAGCTAAAAATTTCCATTGTCAATGAAAAAGGTGTCTTTAAAATTGTGGGTAATAAATTAATTTCTGCAAATTTTATTATAATTGCCTTGTTTAAAGGATTTTATGAAAAGATTTCTTTTGGAAAAATCAAGTTTCAAAATTTTAAAAATTAAAAAATGAGTGATCGATTAATCGGCAAAATTTCAAAGTGAAATCTCATAATTGTGCGTTATCAATGATTTCAAAAAACAAGTTTCAAGTTTTATCTTATTAAAGTAAATAGATCCGTGCTTTAGTAAGCTAAAGTAAAGCTAAAAATTTTCAGTTTTAAATACAAAAATCAAAAGATCAAGATGAGAAAATCAAAAAATAAGAAAATTGGAAAAAATTTTGATGGATAAAGGGCGGAAAAAAGGCGGTAAACAGGTCCGTCTGGGGTTTTTTTATGGAGAAAACAAAAAGAAAAAAGGATAGACATCGAGAAAAAGTGGAAAAAAAGGGTGAAGAGGAAATAGAATTTGGGAGAAATAGCTATGGAAACTGAGAATTTCAGAGAAAACGCCGTTTTTGAGCGATTTCTCTCGTCGATGCCCAACGGCAAAAATAGCCCCAGCTGGGTGTTCTTTCTGCAGAAAAGTGCTCACTAGCCAGACCTCGAGTTAGATTTTCAAGTATCTTTTGAAAATTGAAACATAATTTTTCACAACCTCTATTTCTTTTGCGATCAACTGACTAACAAACCGAATGTACTCGAAGGTTTGGAATAGAAATATATAACCACTTTATTTTATATATAAATACCTTTATAGGTTTGGAATGGAAATATATATATATATATATGCTTTATTCATGGGGCGAATAGAAGCGAATCAGTTAATCATAACTGCATATAACATATTGCTACAATACTCTCACCGAAAAAAGAGAGAAAACTAAAGATAGTACAGTAAGAGTACAGTTAGGAAACACAGATACAAAAAGACTAAATATAGGGCAGATTTGACATGGCAATAAGATCTAATTCGTTCACGTTTGAATTTTCCTACAGACGAGAAGATACCAGACGGGAGCTTATTCCAAACCCTACTAATATAAATACTTTATTTAGAAAGAAATAAAGTGAGAATAGGAAGTAGCGCTAAATATTTCACTTTGTAGGCAAAATGGTTGGATTAAGCAAAAAATCGGAAAAAACTGCCTACGATTGCCCAAGCCTTCATTTGATTCTAATCACTAAAGTTGAAACATTAAAATTTTAACTGTCATTTCTTCAAAAAGACTAATTTGTATACTTTATCTTTAAAGGAAGGTGTTCGTTGGTTTTGCATTGAAAATTTTTAGAGAATAAGCGAAATTTGAGCGATTTCTCTTGCTGCAGAGTGGCCTGGGGCAAAAATAGATCCAACTGAATGTTCTTTTTGCAGAAAAGTGACCACTAACCAGAACTTAGATTAGATTTTAGTGACAAAAATGTTTGAATAAACATTTTGACCGATATTGCGCAAGTGGACTGCCCAGGTATTTATTTAATTAATACCACTAAAGTTGAAACATCTCATTTGTTTGAGGAGGTTTAGACATTTAGTTATGGCTATAGTCATGTGTCAGAGAAACTTGGCATATATTACGTTCGAATTAACGTGAATTCTTTGAAAGGAGTCAAGTTAAAGTGAAACGTGACTTTTTTAAACTAAGAAATGTTTAAATTTTCAAATTTTTTCGAAAACTTACGACATCTTGCAGTAATTCTTCTGGAATTTCAAAAAAAATCAGAAAATTGTTTGAAAATTTTCAGAAAGCTCAGCAAATACGAATTTGATGACGAAATGACGAAATTTTGGTCTTATATGGCCTTTTTTTGGGCCACTTTTCACTCATTCAATTGCATCATTGCCAACAATTTGCATTACGATGGTTTTCGTGATGAAATTCATGAAGAAATTCACGAAAATTATGCTTTAGCTGTTGGTTTTGTTCACGTTCATGACGATCCATCGTCATCGTCGACAATCGATCGATCGATCGTCAATCAAAAGATCGCGATCTTTGCCTCAGGCACGGGTCTATTTGCTTTGATAAGAGAAAACTTGAAACCTGTTTTTTTGAAAACTGTTGAGGTTTGTTCTGTTCTGAAGAAGAATTGAATGCAAATTTGTACATGAACAATATGAACAATTCATTTTAGACAGACAAAATGGGGCTACCCGTTTTAAGGAAAAAATAAAATTAGAATAGACAAAGAAAATGAGATTCAAATTTTTGCACAATTTTTGGAATCAGGTTTATCATTTAGCGTTATTAAGAAGAAAATGAAGAGAGAAAAAAGTTGATGTTTCAAAGTTGATTAATTAGATCGGGTTTTTGGGAGGGCAATCCTTGGAAAACTAACTCAACTATGATAGTATTTTGTTGTGCCGTAGTGCACCTAGTTTCATTTAATCAGCCCAATTTTTGTATGATTGACAAAGCCTTGTGATTTCCTCGTCAAATGTCACCAAAATTGAGCTGATCAAAAGGAAAAATGGCTAGCAGATTACGGTAGTTTTGACGGAAATGGTTGCATTTTAGAAAATGGATTAGACGAGTGGAAAAGATTGAAAACAATGTTAATTATGAAATGAAAAGTTTAAAAGGTATTCAAATAAGAGACTGAGACTTATGAAATATAATGAAATACAAGAAATATAAAACAAAAAACAAAGAATTTCTAAAATTTCTCCCGAAAAGTGTTCGACTACCGGTTTCGACGTCTCGTTTTCGAACAAAAATTGCAAGTTTCAATTTACAGTATTTAGTATTTACAAGTTTCAAGGTAATGATCAAAATTTTTTTAATCATTACCGATCGAAATATTTCTCAATCAATAAATAATAATCAAATAAAACAAAAGTTTTTACAAGTGTACTTTGTGCTCTCAAATCCCGTAAACACCCCCTTTCTGGCGCACTCAATTCTTCCATTTTCCCTCGTTGCTCTGAGGGAAATCGAGGAATTGAGTGCGCCAGAATGGGGATTTTTTTTTACGAGATTTTTGAGATCATAAGGTACAGTACGCTAAATCGCTAAATCTACAGTACACTCTTCCGTCGAATGTGCGCATTCCGCATTCGTTCCAATTGGAAACCCTCGGCGAGCTTCCCGCAAATGTACCTAGAATTTTGTTTTTATAAAAATAAATGATTTTAATTGAATAATTCAGATAAAGCTTTGTTTCAATGTTTAAGGTATAAAACTGGATTCCTGGAAGCTAATGGTTGGTAGCTATTAGGTTGTTGGCAATTTTTGTTAGCTTTGTTAGCTGTTGCTTTTAGCTTTTAGATTTCTTCTTTTTTTGTTAAAGATTAATCTCAAAGGGTTTTTTTTGTTCTGGATTCTTTAGATTAAAACTCGAGCCAGAACAATTAGAAAATTTCGATTCTTCTTACAAAGTTTCAACTTTGAACTTTAGTTGACTGGGATCTAGCTTTTAGTTAATCACTCACTGCTTTTCACAACAAATTATCAAAAGAATTGACTTTTACGCGAAATCTTGAAAACCTAGTTTCAAGTTGAACGTTGAGTGGACGGTATCTCCAATTTTAAGGAGCTGGTGCTTTTCAAACTCACTTAATCAAATTGTTCCACCCGATCACCGCCTCATTCGTTTTTTCCTCGTCGGGCAAATTCTGGAAATCAACAAGTTTTTTTTGAAATTTGCCTTCTCCAGCTAACCTCAACAATGTACTCGATCATGCAATTCTCGAATAGCGGCAAGTATTGTATTCGGAAGCCTTGCTCTTGTCGGTGGAAATGTCGTCGGCCGTACATTACCTGAAGTTTTTTTTGCTAGTTTCAAAATTGAGTTAAGAATTACAAAGGTTTGTTGAGCTAAATCCTTTACAACAATTAAAAACGCGTTTAAATATGAGTCTTTGATCAGTTTCAAAGTTCGCATTTGAATTTGTTCGCATTCAGGCTTTGAAATTGTTAATTGAGGGTTGATTCGAGGTTTTTAATGATTCAAAAGGATTTAAATGTGTTCAAATGTCAATCTTTTTGTCAGTTTCTGTCATTTTTAAGAATTAGAAATGATTATTTGTGAAAGATCGTTTATATGTTGGGTTGTCCAGTTATGAATGCGCGTTTTTTACTATTTTGTAAATTTCTCATGATACCGAAATCGAGAAAAAGATATAAATGAGTATTATTCGAAAGCTGAAGATCTCCTCTACATTTTGATATTAAAAGTTTTTGACTTTGTTCAGCTTTTGGGCAAATTGACTGCACAGAAGAAGGGGTGGCCAAAAAATGGAACGGTGCCTTTGGATCAAGTTTTGGCTCCTCTCAAGTTGAGTTAACCGTTTGATTTTTGGCCAATAGATATATCAATACAACTTTTTTTAAATATAACGATTTCAGAGCATCTTTCCTTTTCTTTTCTTTTCTGGGCGGTTATTTTACACCATAAAACTTGAGGAATAGCTACGCTGGAGTGGGTTTTTTCGAAAACGACCTCTCCCTTTGTGCAGTCAATTTGCCCAAAAGCTGAACAAATTCCAAAGCTTTTTATTCCAAAATATAGAGGAGATGTTCAGCTTTCGAATGATATATAACACTCATATACAGCTGTTCGATATCTTGAGAAATTTACAAAATAGTGCAAACGCGCATTCAGAACTGGACAACCCAATATATGTTGTGTCCGATTTAGATTTCCGTCCGATTTAGATTCAATCTAAATCTTATATAGATTGAACAATAATACGTCTTATACAGATTGAACAATAATATAAACATGCTTAATATATGTTCTTAAGCGTTTTCTATAGTTTTCTGCATTTTTCAAAGGTCTTTTATTGATTACAGTCTATATCGGACGTCCGATATAGACTGTAATCTAAATCGGACGTCCGCGATAAGTTCAATCTAAATCGGACGGAAATCTAAATCAGACAAAACATATATATATAGATACTTTATTCAGGACCTGAGATAAAGTGCGCTAGATTTAAGATTAAAACACATGAATTCATACACATAACACGAAAAGGGCCGATAAAAAGAAACACAATATAATATATGTAAAATGTGGGTAGCACAGATAGCGTCAAGGATCCACTGAGAGCTTCAAGATCAAGATCATCTACAGATAATTTAAAGGCTTCGAGACTATTGGACTCTCTCAAAACTCTGGGGAGTCGATTCCAAATTCTGGCAGTTCTTATTGGAAAAGAGTTATAAACAAACTTATTGGAGGTGACTGGAATTTCAAAAACGAAAGAACCTCTCCTTGAACTAACCGTGGGATTAACTTTGAATAAATCTCGAAAAAGAGGGATAGGTTGAAATGTGTTCAAATGCCAATCTTTTTGTCAGTTTCTGTCATTTTTAAGAATTAGAAATGATTATTTGTGAAGGATCGTTTATAAATAATTTAGAAATTGTCAACCCTAACGCATTGATTATTTTAAAATATAAAATTATTCAAATATCAATCGTTTTTATCATTTGAAAAGTTTAGTTTCAACTTAAGGCATTAGTCGCTCGTTATTCGAGTCTTAATCATTCCTTCTTCTAGCTAAAGTCCTTATCTTCTAGTTTTTTTTAAACATAACAAAAGTCAATAATGATTTTATGATGATATGATTGTGATTGTGATTTATGAAGTTATTGAGCAGGTTTTGCCTCTTTTCTGCGCCTTAAAACCCAATCACTTTGAAACGAGCTTTTTTTCAAACTTGATTATGAGCATTTTCCAACAAAATTCTTGAGTTTCATAAAAGCTTAAGGAAACAGTAATAGAAATTTGCGCATAAACCTTGTCTATTTGAAATTTGAAACTTGAAATTTGAACTTCAGCTTCGACAACTTCAGCTTCAGCTTCTTGTTTGTTCAAAGGAATCGTGAATTTCAAAGACTCACCAAAATCGGTCCCATGTCGGAGTCGAGCGAATGAATGCTCCGCACGCACAAATCGATCACTGACACGAAGAGTTTCCCGGAACGATGGAAATCGGGATATGACTGAAAAGTTTATCTAAGTCATTTCACTCTCGACATTCTTAACATTTAAAAAGTGCTCTTAACATTTAATGCTATTTTTCTTAGATCTGGATGTCACTCTATTGTTTTAGTTTTTAAAAATCACAAAAACAATAGGGAAAATTTCTTCAAAATTTTTTCCGACTCGAATTCGAATTTCACTCTCGACTTTTAGCATTAAAAACTTTTGCAATTCCTTTTTTTTTCTCGATTTTCTTTTATCTGGATGTCACAGAATATTCTTATAATTTTAATTTCATCATTTTTAAATAACGAAAAAAATCTTCTCTTTTCTAGTCAAATCTTCTTAGTCCTATATCTTAGTCGAGAGGTCAAGTGTCAAGAAGTCAAGATTCGATCCCGCTGGTTAGCTTAGTCGTTCTTTTCCTAGATATATGCATTTTCTTCTCTACATTTAGGGCTGCTTGTACATTTTTTGTATCACATTATTCAGGTGAATAAATGTATAGGTTTCAATTTGTAAGATAAGATCAAATTCTTGAGCATAGGCACAACTTTTTCAGCATTCGCATAACAAAGCTTTCTTTATTAGAACATTTTTTAGCGTCGATTTCTTTCTAAATCTCTCCCCAGAATTGAATTCCCTGCTCTAGCTACAGTATGTCTAAATTTTAAAAGCTGGTGTTGTTTATGTTAACCGCTTTTCGATGTCATTAAGATTTTTTGGTCTATATCGAGGATTCTACAATTTCAAGAATTCTACAATGTTTTCATTACTGAATGCTGAATTACGGTAACTCTAAGAATGAGGAATTCACGGGTAAAGATAGATTATCGTTAGTGATTATCGAATTCGTGCTTTCAAACCGAACAACTAGAGTGTTTAGATTAATCGAATAAGAAAATTTTCGAATTTCCTGTAAAGCTTCTGGCTTCAATTTTTCGTTTAAATTTTTACACTATGCAATTTTTTTAGGTTTCAAGTTTTGGCCTATATCGATTATTTCAAGAATTCTACAATGTTTTCATTACTCAATACTGAATTACGATAACTCTAAGAATGAGGGATTCACGGGTAAAGATAGATTATCGAATTTGTGGTTTCAAACCGAACAACTAGAGTGTTTAGATTAATAAGTTAATTGAATGAGAAAATTTTCGCATTTCCTGTAAAGCTGGAACCGTATTGGAACCGTATTAGATCAAAAAAAGAACCGTATCGGAACCGTGGCTTCAATTTTATCTCATCTCAATTTTTCGTTTAAATTTTTACATTACGCAATTTTTTCAAGTTTCAAGTTTCAACTTTAAGTAAGGTTCTCAAAAAAATCAGTTGCGGGCTTGTGATTTCAACCTGAACAATCGGTAATTGAATGAACAGAATGTGAACGTTCTCGTTCTCGAGTGAAATCACTTAAAACAATTCTTTCACCAGCTCCTTTACAATAATTTTGACGTTTTCAGAAACTAAACAATCCACTTACAGTTATCAAAAGCTATTTTTGGCTTTTACACTATTTTTTCCTGCTTACGCAACATTCTGCTATTAATTTTCGTCTATTTTGAGAAGCTGATTAACATGAAAACGCCGAAAATTCACCTGCAAATCGTGCACGTGCTCGGGAACAGAGAAAACGGCCCGGAGATCGGGGGCAGCTTCGAAGATTTTCTGAATGGGAAAGAAATGTTTCAAGTTTGATAAGGATTGGAGGGGATTATGAAGTCTAATTTTGAAGTCCAAAGAAGAAGTCGCTAAAGTTGTTCGGTGAAATGTTCGGTCTTGAATTGATGAATGAAGTTTGCAAATGATGTTTCAAGTTGTTTCAGCTTTTTAAGGGGAATTTTGAATCTAATTTTTTCAACTTATCTAGCTGGCGAAGAAAAAAAACGAATTCGATAAAATTTCCTAGAAAATTCGAGTTTTTATGTGAAACTACTCACCTTTTTGGAATCTATATGTCGTAGCCGATTGAATGAATGAAATTTTTTGGCAAATCTTTCTAGTAGAGCAACCCTTTAATGTATGAGGACAATATTAGAGCATCTTGTAGCGAATTCAATTCTGCCGATGATGAATGAGTGGGTCTAGGAGCGTCCAACCATCAAGTATTTAGTATCATTCAACGCAGAATCATTAATAATTATGTTCAATTTTTTAAATTAGAAAGATTGGATAAAAAGAAAAAAATTATGGGGTAAAAAACTGTTTTCTGTTCAAGAGAAAACTTTGAAACCCCATAATTTCTTTTCTTTTTATCCAATCTTTCTAATTTAAAAAATTGAACATAATTATTAATGATTCTGCGTTGAATGATACTAAATACTTGATGGTTGGACGCTCCTAGACCGACTCATTCATAATCGGCAGAATTGAATTCGCTACAACATGATATAATATTGTCCTCATACATTAAAGGGTTGTTCTACTAGAAAGATTTGCCAAAAAATTTCATTCATTCAATCGGCTACGATATATATAACAAATTTCTACTAAAGCTAAAGCTAACTACATTTTATTATCAAACTTTTCCTTATCATTTCTAGATCTGAAAAGCTATTGCAAAAATATTGAATTTAAAGGAAGTTATTCATTTTTTTCGGTCAAATTTAACATTCAAACCGAGCTTTGTGTTCTTTTCATCTCGTTTATGGAAAAAAAAAATCGCTTCTGACACTTCTGACACACTGCCTGGGTGTCGGCTTCATTATATCGATTTGCACAAAGGAAATCGCTAGTTTTTTTGATTCAATATCAATTCTATTACCGAAATCACCAAGAAACACTATCAAATGCCCAGGAAATGTCTGATCAACATGAGAAAAACCGTTATTTTCTGGGTAAACGGGTGGAGATAGCAGTAGATAAACGGGAAAGTTAATGCAAAATTCTAAACCAGCGCCCGGAAAACCTCTGTTTTCAAATTTTGGAGGTTTTTGCAGACAAAAAAAGGGGTTTAATGACTGAGATTGATTGAAATGAGGGAATAGCTTTTCATTTCATTCAAATAATCAAATTTTTTCTAGTCTAATTGTAAGATTCTCTATAAAATTCAAAAACCTGATAGATGCCCAATCCGATCTGCGTGATATCTCCGCTGAGACTCAGCAAAACGCTCCACGATTGTTGTACGGCTTCCTGAAAATGTTTTCGAACTGAATTTTATCTAAATTTTAGGTTATTTTTGCAAAAACTTTAAATATTGATAGATCGCGCAAGTTTAAAAAAAACCAAGTTTCAAGATAGATAGCGTAAGAAAGGATTGAACGCAATTAGTTTATTGTCTATTTCTACAATTTTAAGTCGTAAAATTTAACGAAAGAAACTTTCTTGACTTAGTTTTTCTTCATTTCTTACTTTATTCGATTCCCTCAACGCAGTTCCCTTTGAGAAACCCGTTAAATCGAGACGATTCCGCCGGATTCGCCCCGCTGATGCGGCTCGACTGATCTGAATTTTGAGCTTAAATTTTTAAGTGAATATTCAAGAATTGAGAGGCTTTGAAATCTTCAAATTTTCCAATTTAATCACTTTTCATGACATTCTAACATATCATTTTTAGTCCCGAATACTTGAAGGCAAAAGCGCATACAACTATTTATTGAATACACATTGAATTCACTTATTCAGCATAACTTGAGAAATAAAGAGTTAGGTTGGTTCTATTTTAGGATTTAGCTTGGCTCCGTTGCATACTTTATGCTATCCAAATCTCGTAAACATCCCCTCTCTGGCCCACTGCAATTCTTCCATTTTTCCCTTCTTACAGCAATCATTTGGTGAGAGAAAAATGGAAAAATTGCATTTTACTAGAAATGGGGTGTTTACGAGATGTGGAGAGCATAAAGAACACCAAAAAAACAAGGTTCTGTCAAAAGTATAAGCTTACTTTTCGTTGCTTTATCGGCGCCACACATCTCTGCGCCACTTGAAGCACATCATGGTCGGCGGAGCTCTGGAAATTCTTATGTTTCAAAGTTTTTCGCCTGAGTTGAGGAAATTTGGCTGTAGTCTTGGGGAAGCGTGGTTACTAGCTTTAAAATAGCGTATCACTCTGAAATCAATGTGCATTACTCGATTCTAACTTTTAAACTTTAGTTTGATGTTTTTAAATCAAAGAACTACGTTCCAAAGAGCCCTTCCAAAGAACCCAAACTCCATTGGACTCGGAAAATCATCAGACATTTCGGAAATTTTCCGAAATTTTTCGAAAAACCCTTGAACCCATGAAATTTCTCATTTCCTCACGAAAATCCTAAAATTTGTGGCGCAAATTTTAGTTAAAGAGAGGCCAAATTTTATTTTTTTTTTCCGAGAATTTCCCGATTTTTTTTTTTTTCAGGAATTTTCAGGAATTCCTTTCAAAATTAACCCCCGAGAATCGAATTTGAAAAGTTTTGATTCAAAAATAAACTTGAACATGTCACTTTTTTAGGTTTTTCTGAGAATTGTAGGGTTTTGTGATTGGTGATCGGTAGGGAAACGCATTTTTAAAGTCTTCAATGAGATTTTGGCCTCTAAAAAGCAAGGCTGCTTTTTGGAGAGATCAAGGTTCGCTTTGATCAAGGTTTTTCAACTTTTACAGACATCGATATTAGTCTGTAAAAGTTGAAAATCGAAGCCTTTTTTATCAAATTATGGAATTTTTAATGCAAATTGAGATAAGAAGACGAAATAGGGGTTCATTTTGTAAATGCAACTGTAAATGCAATTTACGGGCCCATTTTTTATCAACAAATACCAAAAAACTCGAGATTTGATGGAATGAGGAAATCTTCGTTTCAAAATACTTAATATAAAGCCGATTTCGAAACGATTAATTGCTGATTACCTCGAAGAAGCGAATATATTGTTTTACGAGTGAAAAACAGTCGTTTATTTTGGTTTAACAAGGTTTTTAAAGATTTTTGAAAATTTTGAAAATGCTTTGTTTCAAAAATACATAAGATCAAAGTCGTCAGTGTCGGATCAGTTTCAATTCATTGATCATGTTTTGGATCGGGTTTTCTTTTTGAGTTTTTATCGTTAAAAACTATTTCAGTGAGTTTCAAAGGAATCCATCCGCAAATCTACTTTACTGTAAGTAATCCCCATTTTGACCTAAAACTACCGTAATCCACCCGCCACTTTTCCCCTTGATTAGCTCAGTTTTTGTTTTTTTCAAATTTTTGGTCAAATAAAATCGATCACGGAATCCCAAGGCTCAGTCAATTTGGTACGGAAATTAAGCTGATCGAATAATGGGATTACGGTGGTTTACCTGAAATATCTTTGTTAGAAAAAGGATTAGATGAGAACACTCTTTTAATGGCTGGATAAAGTATTCAGTTTCAAAGTTGACTTCAGCTTCAATAAATTCAACCTGACAAAACTAGTCTCTGCAACTCTTTAGATCCCCGAAAAGCTGTTTCCCCTTTGAACAAGCCGTTCACCTATTTCCGAGCTAATGATTCGCCCAAGTGAGAGGTTACATTTTTCACCTTTTCCTGATTTTCCCTTCGAAGCTTTTCCCTAAAAGAAAACGAGCTAAGTAATCCTTTTTTTGAAACAAAAGTTTCTTTAAGGAAGAGCTTTTCCTTTTTCCTCTTTTCGGTCAAAAAACGACGAATAATTTCCGGAATTTTCCGCCTCCTCGGAGACAAATAAAGTCCAAAAAAAGAAAAAAGACAAAAAATTATTGAAAGCTTCACTGAATATTATTTTCCTTTAGTCTTTTTTTCAGTTTTCTCTAGCTTTTCGGCTGTGTTCTGCACTTTTTATTTGACCTGAGAACAAAGGCTGAATGCAGTGAAGTAAATAAGAAATTTGGGGAAATTTTGGTGATGTCATTTAAATGAAGAATTAAAGGCTTTAAAGCTAAAACTTTAAAATCGCAAAATCGCATTTGGTAATTCATGTTTCAAGTTATTTTACATCAATTGCAAAACGGTTTATTCAGTTTGTTAACAGTAATTTCGCAATTTCTTTCTTAGTTTTTGGAAGTTTCTGTTTTTAAAACATTTTAGGCTCAAGCTCAGGCTCAGGCTCAGGCTCAGGCTTAGGCTCAGGCTCAGGCTTAGGCTCAGGCTTAGGCTTAGGCTCGGGCTCAGGCTCAGGCTCGGGCTCAGGCTCAGGCTCATGTATACTAAAATAAGTAATCCCGGATATACTTTGAGCTCAAATCTCGTAAAAATCCCTTTCTGGCGCACTTAATTCTTTTATTTCCCTCGTGAAACCTCGTTCCTGTGAGAGGAAATGATAGAATTGAGTGCGCCAGAAAGAGTGGGTTTACGTGGTTCGGAGAGAACAAGATAAATTTCGAAAAACAATCAAAACCCACGACACTGTTCGATTTCCCGTTGATCGGTTGATTGTTGTTCGGCTCGGAGTCTGTTGAAGAATTCGAAGATGGAAGACGGCAAGCTGTCACCCGGACGCTTTGGCTTCTAGAAAAAAATAATTATCTTTTTGCTGTAGTTAAAGGATTCAATTTTTTATGCTATGTTTAGCTTTTAGTAAAAATGATTGTGCAGAAAAGTCGCTCTTTTCTGTGAAATCTTATTTGATCTGCTTTGATTTTGAATATCTCTGATTCTCTTGTCCTTCCTCTAAAGATCGTTTGTGTGATAAAAAGGGAACGGAGCACACTTTGTATTTTGTTTTCTCGACATTGCTTTTGTTCAAGACATCAAGCCAGACATTGCTTTTGTTTGGCTTTGAAATACTGAGCCAACGATTGGTTCTATTTTATTGTATTTTCTCGATAGATTAGTGATTGTGCTATGCTATATAAATATCTAAATAATGATTGCCTCATCGGTACCCTCTCACGCATTGCACAATGATTTATCTTTAGAAGAAGGACAAGAGAATCAGAGATATTCAAAATATTTTTATTGAAGTATTCTGTTAAAGTTTGAGCTGTTTGAATCAAAAATTTCTTTCAATTTTTCCCTTCCAAACCGAACGAATTCGGTTTTTTTGATTTTTTCTATTGTTTTCGTGATTGTTTTTGGTAATTTTCTTGATTCTATTGCATTGTAAATGTATTTGAATCGTTTAATAAAGAGCTAGTTTCACTTTGAGTTCTCAAAAAGACAAGATCCAGCACTCTCACTGTTTTTTTGAATTTTCAGACTTTCAATTTTTATGGAGAATTGCATTCAATTCAAGAATTAACCATTTTTAAGTTCAGCTATAGGTTTTGCATGGCTTTTTCAGCTCTAAACGATTTTATAGTCCTTGAATTATTAAAAAAAAAAATTGAGTTTCACTTTTTGAGGGTTTCCGATGGAAAAGGTCCCTCTAATATCACGAACAGTTGGGCTTTTTGAAATTTTTAGGATTTCAGATTTCAGATTCCAGAGGGATACATTGGATCAAATTCAATTCAATAATTGACCATTTTTCATAGTTTTCTTAGCTATTAATGAATTGAGTAATCATTTAAATCATTTAAAAAGAGCGAGTTTCAAGTTATACAAGTTTCCAATGGACAACGTTAAGCTAAAAGCACTATTCACAGTTATGCGTCAATTTCTAAACATTTCAAATTACGTCGAAATGAATTGGATGGTTTTTCATTGAATTCAAGAATTTCATTCAAGAAACAAAGAATAGCTCATTTTAAAAAGAGCTAGTTTCAATATTAAACAAGTTCAACCCAAAAACGACATCTTAATTGATTCGTCACAAAAATTGTCTCAAGAATCTTTTTGAAACATCATTTTCTTTTCAATCTTTTAGCATAAGTAAATAAAAAATGAAATTCGGGCTCTCTTTAGCTAAAATTTGGACCGCAAATTTTAGGATTTTCGTGAGGAAATGAGAAATTTCATGGGTTCAATGGGGTTTTTCGAAAAATTTCGGAAATGTCTGATCATTTTCCGAGTTTCCGAGTCCAATCGAGTTTGTGAAGGGTTCTTTGATTTAAAAACATCATAAGTAATTTTTAATATTTGATTTACCAATTTTTTCACTCACCTATACGGAATCGTGGTATTCGATTGCTCGGAGGAGGTGCTTTGTCGGCTGAAGGCACGACTCCGATGACCGTGGGAGTTTCCCATAACTTTTTTTCAAAGAAAGAAGTTAGCTTTATCTAAAAGTCTCCGCAATTGATCATTCTAAGAAGAACACATAAAAAATGGTGAAAAGTGAGAAAATGCAACGACAAAGTGGGAAAAAGAGATTAAGCGAAGAAAATCGGGGTTTATAAAATGAATGTTTCAAAGTTGCAAAGGTTTGAAGTGATGAGGAAACGGGAATGATTGTAAAAAGATTGCAAAATAGAAAAAAAAGCAAACAAGCAAACGAGTTGTGAAGTTTCAGAAAAATATTGTGTTTCAAATATTTAGAAATCACCCTCAAAGCCCTCAAAAATAGATTGTCTTTCAAAAAAGTGTTCTCAGGCTCAGGCAAATTGTTTGAGACTCAAAAACTTTCCTGCAAAACAAAAAGGTCACACCTTGTGCTTTTCTGACTCTAAGACAAAGCAGGTGGCTTTTTTTTGAAGGGAACAACCCTTCAAAAAATAGATTTTTCCCCGCCTTTTGTTTTCGAAGGTTTTTACCCAACTTTTTGTTATTTTTTGAAACCAAAATTTCCACAGAGTCAGAACACAAAAAAGTTCTGAGTGTTCAGTGGAAATTCTAAAAGAATTGGGGTCCAATTTTTGAAAGCTTTACTAGCTTTACTAGCTTTACTAGTTACTAGTTTTTTTAAAAATCCTTTGCTTCAACAACTTGTCTCGCCTTAAAGATACACTACTGGACAATGAAATAACATATTTGAAAAAAGATCGTCACTTTCGCGCTTCTGTAACTTCCTTGTCTTTACCGTATTTGTAAATATTAATATTACCATTGTGTAGCCGTTGAAAAGAGCTTTCAGAAAATGTATAACACTAATAGTTTAAACTCAAAGACAAGGGAGTTACAGACGCGCGAAAGTGATGATCGTTTTTTCAAATATGATATTTCATTGTCCAGTACTGTAGCTGAAAATTATTAGATTTGAAAGAATTTTTGTTTCGAGATCATGCAAATTGAAGGTTTGGCTCTTTGGAAAAGCCTGAGGGTCAGCCAAGTTGAAACAGCAATTTGTGAATTCAAAAACGAGTTTAAGAATCAGAGTGAAGCGGATATTTGATAAAAATTGGTTTAAATCGATTTTCGTTATACCCTGAGAGGTTAGCTCTCAACTACTGCTCACGATATTGATTTGATTTTCATAAATTTGAAACTTTCTTATTTGTAAAAGGCAAACGATGGACAATTTACCGACAATTTAAAGGGACTATAAAGGAATTATAAAGGAGCTATAAAAGAACTTTAAAGGAAATGGCAAAGTAATGGTGAGAGTTAGCAAGTAAAACAGCAAAGAAAACATTAAAAACATTTTAGGAAAAGCCTACATTTTGATCATTGATTATTGTTTAGATGCAAAGTTATCAAAAAATTTGAAACATTTTTCACTTTTTCTTTAAAGTGAAACTATTCAAATCGGAAAGTAGAGCAGGGAAATGAAGCGAAAGGAAAATCAAAGCCATTGGACTTCAAAGCCATTGGATTTCTCGGAGAGACGTGAAAATTCAAGAAACTAATGGATCTTATAATACGTCTACTTTGAAATTAATGATTTAGTTGACGGAGTGAAATGATTTAGTTAAAGGAGGATCTATTGCTTGTGGAAAATCAACTGGAGGAGTGGAAATTGAAAGGCTTAAGGATTAAGGAAATTGATATGAAGAAATAAATCGTCTTTGAAACCGATCGACTGTTAAATGGTTAATTTCGCAGTTGATTATTGAAAAGCGAATGATTCAGGGATCCACACACGATATTGATCTGAGCTTCATAGATTTCAAAAATGAAAATTTGAAACTTGCTTATTTGTCAAAGGCAAACGATGAACGATTTACAGATCATGGCAAAGCAAAGGTGAGGGTTAGCAAATAAAACAGCAAATAAAACATTCAAAACATCGATCAAGACCACAGTTTAACTCCCATTGATAATAAACAAAGATTGTTGAAAAATTTGGAACTTCTTTTGTCAAATAAGAATCGATCTTTATATAGTTTCAAGGATTTTGGATAGTTCAAAAAGTGCATAGTTGAACAGCATTGAACAACGCCTCGATACGATAATCCCGATTAAATTGAAACACTACTTTTTTTTTGAAGAATATGCCAATCTTTAAACAAATTTGTAGTGTGCTTCCTTTTTGTGTCAAATTTTTGCAAAAAAATCAACATCTTAATCACAAATTTTCCCCTATTTTAAGTATTTGATTTTAGGTTTTTAATGGGGCCTATTGCCTATTCATTAACCCATTAAAAACTTGTCTAAAGGCTGGTCACTTAAAAAGTAACCGGCTTCAGCTGAAGAAATCTCTTCTTTTTTTATCAAAAACTTTTTGAAATATAGTCAAGTTTATGAAAAAATCTGGGGAAGGATGGCTTGGTTTTTGGCTTGGTTTTTGAGCTTAGGCTTAGGCTTCTTTAAGGCCGATTGAGCTGAAAATCACCGTGCAAACTTTTTCCGAAAACTTTCTTTCTAACCTTATAACCTGAAACATCAGCTGAAATTCAGTAATTCTTTTAGGTTGATTGGGCTAAGGGTTTTCTAAGGGTTGTAGGGGTTTTCTAACGTGCTGAATCCAAATTCGGCATCACATTTTGACGAAAAGTCAAAGCTAGTTAGATTTGTACAGGGTACAGCTAGATTTGTACCTTTTAAACCCAGAAAAAGCTTTGGTGCAAAATTTGATCCATATTTCGCGCACCATTTCGCTAACAGACAAGAAAAAGGTAGATTTCAAGACTAGAAAACTCTTCAAATTCTTCAAGCTCAGACAAAAATCACCATAAAGACTATGTCTAGAGTTTTTGGACCAAAAAAAAAGGCAAGAAACTAGAGGAAATTCTCCTTGAGTCTCAAATTTCCGGAAATGGAGCTTGACCCTTGGCATTGATCAGTTTCAAGAGCAAATTTTCGGCAAATCCACGCCATCATTTTGTGGTAGGAATTTGAATAGAATCTTCAATATTCAAACAATCGCAATTCCTCAAGTAAAAAAGGGGAAATTTGAGACGAAAACGCTGACTATTTGGGGCTAAATTTGGTCAGAAATTTTTCTCGAAAAGCGAAATTCAAAAGCATTTTGCTCAGTGAACACAAAAAAGGACAGAAATCGAAAGCAGAAATTGCCACGAAGCTATTTTGGTCATTTTTCAATTCATCGCCTATTTAATGACTCGAAGAAAGTTCGAGAATTCAAGGTGAACCTTTAGAAATCGAGATTTTTGTTTTCAAAAGTTTCTCAGACTCAAATTCTAAGCTAATTGAAAGCTATTAAAAGAGCTTTAAAGGAGCTTTCAAGGAGCTATTAAAAGAGCTTTAAAGGAGCTAAATAGGAACGAGATTTAGAATCAAAAACAACAACATTAACTAAACAAATTGCGAGCTCAACTTGAACTTGAAACTTGATAACTTGAAACAAAAAACTTTTTCATTGAATTAAATCTTTGCAATGTTTAAAGTTTAAAGAAATCGGAGGAAATCTAGTTTATTCAAAGCTATTCCATCATCATTGAGATTGATTAAGACTAATTAAGACTGATTAGACTGATTTAAACAATTTGATTATGTTTTTTGAAGAAATAACGATGTAATTGATAAAGAAAGAACAGAAAAAACAGAAAAAAACAGAAAAAAACAACATTATTTCATTGATTTCAAACTTAAAATTGAGATAAAGTAGAAGAAAAACAATAGAAATTGTTCTCAAAAGACATAAATTTCCGATCTCACATCCTTGATGAGTAGTCAACTAGAAAAAGTGGCAGAAAAGGCTAAAAAACGCAAAAAAAGAGAGTGGGCGTGTCCTCCATCAAATAATCAGGGCAATTTTCGGGAAAAGAAGAGAAAATTTTGTTTGCACAAAGTGGTGACGATTTAGGGCAAATTGAGCTTTCTCTAGAGAGATTTTCCCACTTACCTTTCATTCATCAAAAGAAATTAGTGGGAAACGATTAGAGGGACTTGGGAATTCTTCAAAAATCGTACATTCTTGGAGGAAATAGAACACTTCTCTACTTGTACTTGTACATTGTGCTCAAATCCCGTGAAAACAGCACTAACAGCTTACTTCCTGCGTAACATTATTTTGAGAAAGCAACGTTTCACATTGTTAAAGTTGAAACTCAAAAAAGCTAACACCAAAGCTAATGATAATCAACATTAAAATGGTATTGGTTTAAAAAAAAATAGAAAAAGCAGATAGATTGGATCAAAAATCGAGAAAAGATTACGGTAGAAAGGGGAAAAGGGACAAGTTTTAGAAAACAGATTGAAGGAGAGCCGATAATGATGTACTTTGGATCAAAAAGATGTAAACACAACGAAAGCAATCTTTTTAAATCTTTGACCACACTACTGCCTCCGGGATTGCCCGAAATAAAACAAATTTCATATAAGAAAATTTGAAACATTGAAATTTTCGAAAAAATTTCTGAAAGATTTCTCAAGTAAAGTTTTAGAAAACGGATTGAAGGAGAGCTGCTAGTGAGTTTTCAAAAAGAAAAACTTCACCTTCAACGAACCAAAGTTAAACTAACTTTCAAATAAATCTTCACTCTTTAAAAAATTTGAAACACAAACTTTTTGACGTCTTTCAGTGAATATTCCCGCTAATCATTTCCTCTCATGTCCGCTCTCAATTTAGCTCAAAAGTGGGGCTATTTTTATGCAAAAATTTACATTTCTTAAAAAAGAACTCTGATCCGACCAAGAATGATCCCAAAACTCCAAAAAATTGATGTTCAAATGTGAAATATGACTCCCATTGACGTCACCAAGTTTGTGATTTGCATAAAAGTTGAGTTAGTCATTGAATTTTTCTACATTTGAACATGGCTAGGGTTTAGGATCTTGCTGAAATAATTGATCTTTGAAAATTTGAGTGATAAAGTGATAGAAAAAGGGAAATGGTTTTGGGAAAATTTTATGAAAGTTTCAAATTTGTCAACTAAAAATTAGATAGTTTGTCAGTGATTTGGGATGAAATACCGCAATCGAACTAATGTAGACTGAATACCTTAATCTAGACTAAATACCGAATCTACACCGAATACCGTAATCCAGCTAATGCAGACTGAATACTGAATTCCTTTCAAAAAAAATTAAAATTAAAATTCTGCTTTAAAATCTGCATGCAAATTCCAAGACAGCTAAAATTTTCAATAACAATTCCCGAAAGTGTGCTTTGTGCTTTCAAATTCGTAAACACGCCCTTCCTGGCGAACTGCAACTCTTCCATTTTCTCCTCACAGTAACGATTTGGTTTCACGAGGGGAAATGAAAGACTTGAGTGCGCCAGAAAAGGAGTGTTTACAGGATTTGAGGGAACACAAAGATAAAGTACATTCTGGAATGATTGACAGGAAATTAAAAGCTTCTAACTTGAACAGATGGTCTTATTTGTCTCCAGGCCGATTTAATGCTGCTCAAAGTTTTCCTTTGTCGACTTGTAAGCTTCAAAGAGTTTCACTAATGATTTAAGTTTGAGTAAAAATTAAAGTTAAAGCAAAAAATAGCGATTTCAATTAAAAGAGAAATAAAAATGATTGACTCTTTGCAGGCATTCTACCGTAATCTTGTGTCCCCTTTCCCTTTTCTACCGTAATCTTCTCTCCATGCTGTTAAAATTGAAATTAGATTTATAAAATCAAAAACAAGATCCTGATTTTAGGATTTTAAAAAGGGATACAGGATTTGCTTAAGATTAATAACTAATTAATAGGTTGATGCATAAGTGTTTTTGTTCCTTTTCGTCTGCCGTTTCAAGCCAACAAATGCACGAATTAAACTACGGTTGATTTCATTAGAAAAAGCAATTATTTTTCTGCAAAATAACATTAAAACGGGTTTAAAAATATTGAATGCCTGGATTTTCTTGAGAGTATGAAGTCGGGTAGTCAAAAAGGGCTAACTCGATGATGCGGTTTAGACACCTTAGCTAAAGAAAACCTATCTTCGTGTCAATAGATAAAAGATAGAGAAAAAAAACGTTTGATATTTCGCCAAAATTTCAGAGAAATTCATTCAGCCAATTTTTCCGTCGAGTTTTTTATAGATTTTTACGAAAAAGGCGTTTTTCACTCTCGAATTTGCTTGAAAGTCAACCGAAATTCATTTAAAAAGATGCAAATTGAACAAAAAAACACTTTTTTTTATAGAGCAAACTATAGATTAATTCGTGAATTTGTTACTTTTTAACAGAAGTACGAAACAAAACGAAAAGACTTATGCATCAACCTATTATTTGACTAATTACTAGTTTAATCTAGTTTCAATTTTAACAGCATGGAGACAAGATTACGGTAGAATGTCTGCAAAGAGTCAATCATTTTTATTTCTCTTTTATTTCTACAGATTAATTACTAATTAACATCGCCGATTTGAAATGGAGCTTTTAAAGTTTATCGCTTTTGATCGTAAGTAGAGTAGTAGGTAAGTGTGCTGTGTTTTCTGTGCTGTGCTTGTGTTTTCTAAAGCGTGTCCCCTTTCCCTTTGTTTACCGTAATCTTGTCTCCATTTTTGTCCAATGACTCCACTTTTTTTCTGATTCTCTAAGGGTTCAAAAAGGATATCGAAAAATCGAAAAAGTAGATAGATTGGATAAAAAAATAGAGAAAAGATTACGGTAGAAAGGGAAAAAGAGACACGTTTTAGGAAACGGATTGAAGGAGAGCCGCTAGTGATGTACTTTGGATCAAAAAGATGTAAACACACCCTTTCCACCCCACTGGAAGGCAATCGTTTTTAAATCTTTGGCCCTGCGACATTGCTAGAAATAAAACAAATTTCATCTCAGAAAATTTGAAACATTGAAATTTCGAAAAAATTTCTGAAAGACTTCTCAAGTAAAATTTTCAAGAGTTACTCAAAATCAAAAAAATTTCTTTTTTGCCAACTTTTCCCCACTTGTTTGTGTGATCTTTAAAGAACTCTTCCCTTCTTGAAAGCGTTCCTTGGGGAATTTTGGCGATAAAAACAGCAAATGCAAAAAAAAAGGACCCAAATTTTATCCTCTTGGTGACGAGTTTTCTTTTTTTTTGCTTATTTTGCATCGAAAAATAAAGAAAACAAGTTTCAAATTGGTCTTCATCCGGCAAGTTATTTGCCCCACTTTCTTTTGCTTGATTGAGCCCGGCCATTTCAAAGTAGGAATAGCACGTGTGCCCCGTAGAATGGGTAAATAAGTTTGCGAAGGGTAATTGAGAAAAAAATGACTTGTCTTTCAAGAAGTTTCATTACTTGTTTGCGGAGAAATGTCAGCCTACTTTGTGCTTTCCGAATTCCGTAAACACTCCCTTTCTAGTGCACTTAGTTCTTCCATTTCCCTCTCACAGTCACATTTTGGTGTCACGAGGGGAAATGGAAGGATTGAGTGCGCCAGAAAGTGGGTGTTTACGGGATTTGAGAGAACAAAATCAAAGTTAAAGCACAAAAGCTAAGTCGGCAAGAATATTAGAGCCAACTATGTAGCCTTTCAATCAAAGGCTTTTTCAGGTTAAGGCTTCAATCATTAAAATAAATTGATTGAGCTAATGCTCAATCTATTTATTCCACTTTGAAACTTGATCTCCAAAAATGAAATTTCTGAAGTCTGAAGCTTGTTTTTTAAGCTTTTTAAGCTCTAAATTTTGAGCTTGTTTCAAGTTTAGCATTGCATTGATAAGGTTATAACTTCCAATTGTATTCGAGTCTTTGGATGATTAGTGCAACAAGTTAAAAATTTCATTTAAGTTTAAGTTAATTTTAAGTTATTTCACTAGAAAAACATCCAAAAGAAATTCCGGAATTTCACGAGTAAACTAGCGCCAACAAAGTGAATGAAAAGAGTTTCAACTTAAACGATTCTAGAAGAAAGCCTTTCCCCTTAATGAGGTGTCGTTTAAAGCCAACTTCAAACTTTATCAGAAAACTATTTCGATTAAAGTTATAAGAAACAAGAAACGATTAAAGTTTGAGTGTAAACTCTAAAAGACATCGATTCCATTAAAAACTACCGTAATCCATCATCAATTTTTGATTCGATGAGGGGAACAAGGCTCAGTCAATGTGATTGAGATCAAAATTGAGTTGATCGAACTGAATGGAGAATCTGATCTGAAAAAAAAACTGATTGGTGGATTACGGTAGTTTTAATTAAAATCGGGCTTGAAAATGGATTAGGAAAAGAGCTTATAAAGTTTTAAAATCCATTAATCTATGGCTATTTAGAAATATCCAAAACGGTGTTCCGGGGAACTTTCAGGAGCAAATGACGGTGCCAAAAAGCGTTCCCCGGGGAGTGCTTGAAAGGAGCTAATCTCGTTTTTCCCCAAAAAGAAAGCGAAGACATTTTTTTTTGCTGTAAAGGTTTCAAATCTATTTGCTAGCAGTCTTCGGGAAATAAATTTGCACTTAAAAATTGCACAATTGCACTTAAAATAGAGGAAACGAGCGTTTTTTTATGGGTTTTTCATGGATTTTTCATGGATTTTTCATGTAATTTCATGTCATTTCATTGAGATCAAGTTTCAATCTCCGGTTTTAGGGAAATTAAATCAGAAATGGCAATGCTAGATCGAATTTGAAGCTAAACTATAATGTGAGATATTAGTACCGTTAAAATTTACAGATTTTAAAGTTTCGGTTTCAATTTTAACCCTAATAAGCATGCAGATGAAGGCGCAATCGTTCATTCGCCTACCTTGCATTATATTATAGATGCAAAATTTTATAAATACCCCCTTTCTAGCGCACTAAATGCGATTTTATTTTAAAGTTTTTAAATAACTAAGAATAAGAGATTCTGAAGCTCAAGTTTCTCGCTAGCTGCTTAATTTGAAACCTATTTTTTTTTAAACACTTTGATTGTTTTTTTTAAAATGAAATTCTAGATCCAATTCTAGATCCATTCTAGATCCAATTTTGTAAGGTTTCTCCATCTCTTATCTCTTCTTTTTCTTGATTTCTGTCTTTTTCCAATATTGATCCATTTTGCACAAATGTCTAAACTCGAAAAGATTCTCTACATTTCGACTGGTGGTGGGGTTTTTAATGAAGTTGTATTAAAGTGTAAGGCTTTCTTCTAGAGTCGTTTAAGTTGAAACGCATTTCATTGACTTTGTTGGCGCTAGTTTACTCGTGAAATTCCGGAGTTTCGTTTGGATGTTCTTCTAGTGAAATAACTTAAAAATGAAATTTTTAACTTGTTGCACTAATCATCCAAAGACTCCTTAGAATTCAATTGGAAGTTGTATCCTTATCAATGCCATGCTAAACTTGAAACAAGCTCAAAATTTAGAGCTTAAAAGGCTTAAAAAACAAGCTTCAGACTTCAGAAATTTCATTTTTGGAGATCAAGTTTCAAAGTGGAATAAATTGATTGAGCATTAGCTCAATCAATTTATTCCACTGCTTTAAATCTTTTACATTAAATATATTGAAACTTGAAATTTTTTAGGCAAGCGAAAATTTTTATAAAATGTCAAAGCCCAGTAACAGTCTAAACTCGAATAACTCGAATCAAAAGGCACAATCCAGGCATAATTCAGGCACAATCGACAAGGGATATCCAAGAAATATTCGTGGTTACGCTTTTGAGTTTCAAGATCCACCGGCGGCTCTTCAGATCTTCCAGAGAGCGAAAATTGGACCCTTTATTGAGGTTTCCTTTATAGATAGAACTTGTTGAGATTTGAATTAACTAACTCTAACTAACTACCTTGATCTAACTTACCTTGGCACTGTGAAAACTTTGAAATGTGATAGAAATAACTAAACTCAAGAATCATTTTATTGAAAGATCATTTTATATTAAGCTGAAACTTTGGTGGAAGTTGACATTGTTTTAAATTTATTTAATATTTATTCAGATTCTCCATGTGAAAGCCTTTGCAAAAGACTCGCAAGAGATTACAGAGGAAGATCGGTTCGTTTTTTGAAAAAAAAACGAAGTTTCAAATTAATCAAATTTAAAGGAGAATTGGTGTGGCGTAGAAAAGTAAAAAGCTAAACTTGAAACTGATAATGATGTTTCAATTTTAGCGACTCTGGTAGATAAAATGAATCGCAATTAACTAACCAACAAAAAAATGGCAAATTTGTAAAATAACCCAGCCGAATCCCAAAGTGACGTTGATTTTTCATTTGACGCAAATGATACGCGGGGCAAATAATTTGACGCTTTTGCTAGCGCCTCTTTTCGTCATAGTGTTCTTAGATTTGTGCCTATTCGTCAAAATTCGGGGTTTCAATCGTTTTTCCTTAGCCTAGATGCTTTTTTTGCTTTTTTCAAAATAAATGGACCTTAGTTTTTCCTTTCCTTCCGTTCATTTCACTCATATTTTCTTCATTTACGAGCGGCTATTTAGTCGGGGACACTAATGGGACACGTCATTCACATCGCACGTGTCATTTCGCCTATCCTAAAAGCTTTTTCGAAATGAATTCGAAATGAATTTCTATAGCGAATTTGCTTTTAGTCTAAAAATTCAAAATTCAATCAAAAAAAATGAAAACTTAGAGAATTCGAGAATTCAATTTGCATAAGCCTAAGCCATTAGCAGCTCTTTCAAATGATTTCAAATAAATTTCCGAAATGGGATTTACGAATGATCGAAACTAAACTATTTCCCGATTTTTTAGCTTTAAATGCAATCTTTTGAAACATCAAAAATCAGAAAAATCAGAAAAAAGGAAAGTCTCTCTTTTAAGATCTAAAGACTGAACATCCTATTCTAGCTTGAATACCGTAATCCAGACAGTCTAGACTGAATACTCTAATCTAGACTGAATACTCTATCTAGACTCTAAAGAAAGATCTAAAGAAAAGCTATTTCTTTTAAAAATCGATTTAACAATTGAATTTAGAGCTGTGATCGAAAAAATCGTCTCCGAAAATCCGGTATCAAGAGTTTTACTCACCCACGGGACGGACACAATTTTGGAGACGGCCACTTTCCTCCAAAAGCACTTCCCGGATAGAATTTTTGTGTTAACAGGTGCAAATTTAACACAATTTATAGCCAAAAGTTGAGATAAGCAAGATGAAAATGTAAAAATTTGATTGAAAAAAATGAGTTTCAATTTAGTTAATGAGCAAAGAGTTTTGGGAAAATTGATCAAAACTTTTACGAAACCCCAGTTTCAACTTTAAGGTTATCTTTTGACGGAAAACCGAGTCAATGATTGTAGTGATAACCGTCTACACCTGCTTACTAGCTGTTAAAGAGATGGTCCCTATTACTATAAATGTGCCATGTTATAAGATTCAATAAAATGTGTTACTGTGGCTTAATCCGTTTCCTAAAACGTGTCCCTTTCCCCCCTTTCTACCGTAATCTTGTCTCTATTTTTTTCTTCAATCCATCCACTTTTTGTCTGTTTCTGTGAGAGTTGACAAAAGATGTCGAAAGATAAAAAAAGAGAATAGCTTCGATAAAAATAGAGAAAAGATTACGGTAGAAAGGGAAACTGATTGGAAGAGAGAAACAAAATCCTTCATAAATTCCTTAGGCTCATTTCTGCCAGCGGTTTTTCGTGATTCGGATGCCGAGTTCAACTTGGGAATGGCCCTAGGCGCTGTGCAAAGCATTCGGGTAAGGCTTGAGATTTGAAAATCAACTAAAGACCATTTAACAACAAAATTTTGAACCAAAAAAATAAAGCAATAAACTCTTGAAGGTTTACTAATCAAAAAGTAGCCATTTAATTTGAAACATTAACTTTTTTAGGAACCTGGCGCCTACGTAGCACTACAAGGACTCACAGAACGATGTGATCGATTGAAAAGAAATCTCGAGAACGGGGATTTCGAAAGAATTCAATGAGTTGTTGATTAAATGAATGGAAGATCGATAAATTTTTGAGATTGGAGATATGAGAAGAAGATTGGACTTTTTATCTTAACTCAAATCTCAAGCACTTTGAAACACGCTTTTTTTCACTAAGTTAGCAGACTGAAATTTGGCTAAAACAAGTTGAAGTGAAAGACAGAGCTGTGAATGTACTCTAAGTTGACACTCAAAGCAACAATTATAAGTTTTCAACGAATCCGGAGATCAAAAAGGTCAAAAAAAGGTTTGTTCAATGATCAAGGCCAAGAATGCTAATCTAGATGCTAAATCCTTATTTCCAAGCTTATCGGAGTGAACGTTTCTCGAGAAAATCTAATACTACCAAAGATGAAGAGTTCTAATAGCCAAAGGCAAAAAATCTTAATCAGATTAGATTTATTGGGATGTAAATTGTTCAAAAATAAACCCGTTTTAACAAAAATAACAAAATCCTTACGTAATAGGGCAAAAAATTCCCTAAGAAATGTGATTTTCCAAACAAAACCTTTGAAAATCTCCTCTTTAGAAAAGTTTTCAAAGAAATCGCGAAAAATTTACAAAGCAAGCAAATTTGCAAAGCATTTTCGGGTCATCCGATCTTCTCTGAAAAGACCGGAAGCCTCAATTTCCTCGGCATTCGTCTTTTCTTTTCAAAAAAAACTTTGTCCTTTTCAGCTTTCCTTTCCTTTGAAAAAGTTCAAGTCATCTGATTGGAGCAAAGTTCGGAAAGGGATTGAAAAAAAGGACTTGCTTGAAACACGGTGCGATCTCCAGATCAATTGAAAATATAAAACGAGATCCATTCGAAAGCCTAAAGTATCTTCTATCTTCAAATTATGCAAAAAGTTAAAGTCTAGCAGTACAGACAAAGTTATGGACTTTCAAATGTCTTTTACTCATTCAGATTTGCGGATTGAATCCAACGCTTTCCCCCAGCATCATCACCGGTTTCCCCAGAATGTCCGCCACTGTCCGCCACTCTAGAAGATCTCATCTTCATCATCATCTTTGTCATTATCTTCTTGTCTAGAGCCAATAGCCCCATCTAATAATGAGTCGTCTGTGTGTGTTTTTTTCCTGAAAATGAGTGGATAAAACGAGTCGTCTTTGCCGTTTTTTTTTGGTAAAAGAGCCTGTGCTCGCTTTATTCTATTGGGCAATCACTTTTCTTTCAGCGACACAACCATTTTTCGAATCTCCACTTTCAAGCTCAAGCTTTCCAATTTTTTAATCCTACTGCAAAACTTATCCATTGCCTCTTTACAGTAATTCCTTTGTCTTTAGCTACACTACTCTCCCTACACCAACCCCTAGTCAAATTCGAGATTTCTACGGTAACTTTACTCCCTAGTAACACCTTTACAGTAATCCTTACCACAAATTGATCATCCTTAGTGCAAAGAGCGCAATCCTTAGTGCAAAGAGAAGAGTCGCTTGGCTTGAAGCAAAAGCTTTTGATTCTTTAGATCTTTAGACTAAGAGTCTTTTTTAGAATTTCAAAAAGAGCCTGATTGGATAAGTTTTTGAATAGCTCGCTGAATAGCCAATTGTTCTCATTGTCAGTTGATTTACTCCTTTATTATCAGAATCTGAACTAAGTTTCAAATTAAATAAGGTTTTGGAAGCTAGTCTAACCATAAACAAGACAAAAATGAACCAATACTAAAATCTGTTCCCCTCGCCCAGTCCTTTTTCTAAAAGTCACCTATTTTCAATCAAAACTATCGTAATCTAGCTTTCAGTTTTCATTCGATGAGCCCAATTTTGATGTTATTGACTGAGGAATCGATTTGGTATCAGTTAATGATTCAAATTAAATAGTTAAAATCAGTTAATGATACCAAATCGATTCTTCAGTCAATAACATCAAAATTGCGCTGATAAGAAGAAGAAAATGGCCGGTGAATTACGGTAGTTTGTTTGAAATACGATGCCTTTTAGAAAATGGAATGTACTCAATGAATTATTCCTTTTTCCGTTTTACATTCTTCTTCGCCAAAAAATACAATGCTTTGTTGAGCTAAATACTAGCAAAAACATCTTGTTTTCATTTTCAGATCATTTTCTTTTTTGATAAGGCTAAAACTTTCGATAAAGAGCTAAAGCTGAAATCTTGAACCTCGAAAAATCGTTGACATTTTCAGAAATGGCAAGGAGTTGGAGAAATTTCTCAATCGCGCACCGAATCCTTCTATTGGCTGTATTTTCAGAGCAGATTCTCGCCATTCCGATAGGTTTATATCAAAATATCAAAATTTTAAACTTTAAAGTAAAGCAAAACAAAAGAAAAAGTTGATTTTAAAAGTCTTAAAGCATTTTTAAGATTAGGCTTAGAAAGTCGAGTTGCAATTTTAGCGGTTTCTGTGGAGAATTCGAATTTTAATCAAGAATCAAGATTTCAAGAAGAAACAATCTTTTAAATTCTTCAATTAAAACTAATGATATTCAAGCTGAAGCTACAGTACTGTAGCAAATTGAAGCAAATGAAGCATTCCTAGGGTACTGTAGTGAAACATGAATCAAATTTTAGTACTGTAGCAGTACTGTAGCAAATTTCCAGACAACGGCGTTGAGGGTGACCCGGAAATCGAGTGTGGACCTACCTCAGTCCTTGTCAATTTCAACACGAGAAATGTTTTTGATGGACATGTTTATGTGAAGGGTTTTTATGAGCAAGATGGATGCAGGAATGATGAAAATGGAAGACAGGTTTGGATTGGAAATTCTTAGTTTCAAGATCTAGTATAAGATATCAACTTCAGTCAAAGCTGACTTGGGTCAACGTCTAATTCCCTTTCTTGTACTTTGTGCTCTCCAAATCTTGTAAACACCACATTTCTAGCGCACTCAATTCTTCTATCCCCCCCGCAATGGACGTGCCATCGACGGAAATGGAAGAATTGAGTGCGCCAGAAAATGGGATCAACCGTCGTCGACCATTAGCTGTCCAAGTAGTCAAGTCATTCTAACCAAGTTGAAACTTGAACTTCAGAATGTCTTTATTTTAAGCGAATCTTTTCTTATCTGATCTTGAAAATAAGCTTTAGCTTTGTTTAGCTGTTAGCTGTTTAGCTGTTATTATTTCGCGCCTGTTATTAGTTAAAGGCTGAACAGTTTCTAACTCAGAACTTTGAAACTCTGATTTTTTTTGCTTGAATCTGAATTCTTTTTTTGCAAATTGTAATCTCATTTCAAACTTTCAGGTAGCCGGCATCGAGCTCCCGTTCGATGCGTGCAACGTTGCCCGAACTCGATCACTCAATCCAAAGGGGATTTTTGTCGCCACCACCATTGTCATCTCTTTCCATCCGCAATTCGTCACAAAGGTTCAAAATTCATTTATTCTAAGTTCAGAGAACTCAAAATTTTGACTAAAACTTGCAGGCTCTTTACCAATTGCAAATTCTCATTCAAACGAGTCAGAGTTTCAACTTTGACAACACGAATTCTTTGCTCGAAACGTCCAACTCTAAACAATTGTTTCCAAATCTTAGCCAACAAAACAAAAATACTTAAGCCACTAAAACCAAGTTTCAAAATGTTTGGGATCCCTTTCGTTAACTCAATTTTAATTTACGTGTGATTCCTACTCTTAAAAAGACAAATATTGGGTTGTCCAGTTATGAATGCGCGTTTTTTACTATTTTGTAAATTTCTCAAGATACCGAAATCAAGAAAAAGATATAAATGAGTATTATTCGAAAGCTGAAGATCTCCTCTACATTTTGATATTAAAAGTTTTTGAATTTGTTCAGCTTTTGGGCAAATTGACTGCACAGAAGAAGAGGTGGCCAAAAAATGGAAGGGTGCCTTTGGATCAAGTTTTGGCTCCGCTCAAATTGAGTTAACCGTTTGATGTTTGGCCAATAGATATATTAATACAACTTTTTTTTAAAATATAACAATTTCAGAGCATCTTTACTTTTCTGGGCGGTTATTTTGCACCATAAAACTTGAGGAATAGCTAAGCTGGAATCGGTTTTTTCGAAAATGACCTCTCCCTTTGAGGCAGTCGATTTCCCAAAAAGTTGAATGAATTCAAAAACTTTTTTTTATTCCAAAATGTAGAGGAGATCTTCAGCTTTCGAATGATATATAACACTCATATACATCTGTTCGATATCTTGAGAAATTTACAAAATAGTAAAAACGCGCATTCATAACTGGACAACCCAAAAAAAAATTTGATTTTACTTATTTGATCTTGATTTTCACCTAATAGATTCACTACTTCAAGATCTTTATCAAAAACTTTTCCTTATCACAAGCGTTTCGATTTACCTACAAGTACTCACCAAAACTAAACCGATGCTTCAAAGAATTCCGGATCAGTTTCTCGCTCGAAATTTTAACATAAGAAATTGACATAAGAAAATACTTGCTTCAATAATTGCCTTTAATGATAAAAGCTTTTCTTTTTCAATTTTTCTGAATTCCAGGTGGATCGTGCGTATCGGATTCAGTGCTTTTACATGGAAGCCGACAAAACTGTTTCCACTCAATTGGAGGTTTCCGAGATGACGACCGCTTTTCAAACGCAGGTTTCTTCAAATTTTATGATTAGAATGCTAAAAATTTCTTTTTTTAGCTTGTCCCGATGCCAATTTGTAAATACGAGATTCTGGATGGTGGGCCAGCTGGGGAGCCGATTCAATTCGCAAATATCGGGCAACAGGTCAGCCGATTGTCATTCATTTAGATTCAAACGATACAACTCCAAAAAAAAACTTGGGTATTGACAAATTGACAAATTTGCAGTCCAATTTAAATCGGACTCTAAATTTGTCAATTTGTCAATCTCAACTATCATTCTTTCAGGTCTACCACAAATGGACGTGCGACTCAGAAACGACGGACACTTTCTGCGCGATCGTTCACTCGTGTACAGTTGATGATGGCAATGGGGACACTATTCAGGTAAAGGGAATTCATCTAGGGCTTCAAATTTTGAAATAATTCTTTGAATTAGAATCTATTTACATTTCCGACTCAGTTTCTGTACATTTAAATGTTTTGACTCCGGAAAAAAACTAAAGTTTCAAACTAGATGATATGACAGTCAGATAGAACGGGCCAATCCGGCCATTGCCTTCGCTGAGTTTATCACCGAATTGCTTAATTTTATCAAAATTTCAAATAATTCATCCTTTTCAGTTTTTAAAAGTAGATTTATAGATACCGTAAATACTGTAATAGTACCCTACCCCCATAATGACGGGGCGGAGCGTTGCGTAGTCTAGTTTTGAACGCGTTTTTCTCGACACTGGTTTATGGTACAATGTGCGCTTAGGTATCAAAAATAGCTGAAATTCAGGGCTATTTTTTGATACCGAAGACGCATTTTTTGAAAGTACGGGCGCTTTGAAAAAAATGAAATACTAAAAAACTTTTGCGACTACGCGACTGTACGAGGGGGATGGGGTACTATTACAGTATTTACGGTAGGTTCTAACGCTGTAGCATAGTAAAATCTAGGCATTTTAAAAGCTACTGAATGCTTTAATTAATAGATTTAAACTAAGAAAAGCTTAATGACGTCAGAAGCGGATAAAACACTGTTTTTAAGTTCTATAGAAATTTGAGGATAGCTAGAGCTAGCTCAAATATAATAAATAATTTAAATAACAAAGACTAAAAATGAGATGTTTCAATCTAAACGAGGAGTAAACGATTGAAAATCGTCAATATTTCAGGAAAGAGGACGGACTAAAAAGGACGTAAAAGACTGAAAACCTCTTTGCAATTTCAGCATTTTTAGTTACAATTATTTTCGGCAGATCTAGAACCTTGAACCTAAGTAGAAAAGGACTTTTGAAGCTTCAAGAGCACTCTTTTTTGTAACGAAAAATGGATGTTGCAATTTAGATGGGGTAATAGCCAAAAATTACTAACTAAGGGACGCATTTTTGACCCTGTTCCACTTTGCCGAAATCCCAATTCCAGCAATTCCCATTTCCAATGAAGTCACAGTCAAATAGATCTAGCCAATGCGTATGACCCATCACTTTGCCGAAATGCCAATTCCAGCCCATTTCCTATTTCCAATTTCCCATTTGAGATTCTCAACGAGGAGGGCTGTGCTTTGGATAAATTCCTGTTGAACAATTTGGAGTATCCGACCGATTTGATGGCCGGACAAGAGGCTCACGTTTACAAGTATGCGGACAGGAGTCAGCTCTTCTATCAGTGTCAGGTAAAATCACAGGAAAAGAGTTTTGAAAGCAAAATTTGGATGCTTTTTATAAGAGCAGAATTCACTCTTCGAAATGGGTTTTTGTTTTGCGAGTTTCAAAGTATATGGTTCAAAGTCTCTTGAGTAGGCTTGTTCTTAATTGGTTTCAATTAATCAGCTAGTTAACTTGCTGATCAAATAGTAAAGTGTTTTAAAGTCGAAAACTGAAGTTGCTCACCAAAAAGCTGCACGTGTAAGCCCAGGATCATAATTCGATTTCACTATTTTCAAAGGACAGCCCACTTTTGAATGGTTTTAGCATAGTAGAATTGATTTTATCATAAATACGTAGCAATATCTTAAAGTGGCACAATGTTAAAACTACCGCTTTACAAAATAAAAGCAGACTAAAACTATAGCTATAACATTGTGATCAAATATAAATTATTTGAGCATTGATTTCATTTCAATTTTTCAACACATGACTGGTGGTTTAGTAGGTAAAATTATCGTATTTTCTCTAATAATCGTGCACCCTGAGCGTCGCCTAAATTGCTCGAAATCTCGAGAACCGCTTATCAGAACCTATCGATGTGGGGTCGGAAAATGTAGCTGACGATCAGATCTAGTGGGGGATTTGCGTGTTGAGCTTTTGTGAAAGCTTGGAAACTGTAAAATAGTCACCAACTCGGCTCGCCGGCGTGCACTACTATTAGAGAAAGTAAGATAATTAAAAAAGATTTGAAAATAATCTACCTTCCTTTAACTTTGAATATCATTGTAAAGATTAGATTAGAAAAGATTAGAATCTTAATAATAATGATCAATTCAATTTAAGCCAGATTACAGGAGAAATTTTGAATTTTCAAAGGAAAGGAATTCCTTAATGGAGAGTTTTATTAGTAGAATGCTAGCTGGTTGATAAATACAATCAAAAGGATTTCACTATCATTTAGCAATTCAAAGATGGTGAAATAATAAAGAGAGTTTCCTAAGGATTTTGTAAATCTTTCAGATAACGATCACAATCAAGGAACCAAATGCAGAATGCCAAAGACCTGAGTGCCAGGAGCCACAGGTGAGCTTGAAAGAGAAAAAGATTTCAAGATTTCAAAGTTCTCGGGGTCTATTTGGATAAAAACACATCAAATAATTAGATTTGCATTTAGGGCTTTGGAGCCTTGGCCAAAGAAGAACCACCGGAGACACCGATTGGGGCAAAACCGCCAGCCGCTCAACCAACGCTTAGCACCACCACCCCAAAGGGAATTCGATTGTTGAGGAGAAAGAGGTAAATCTAGAACAAACATGTTAGTGTACTTTGTGTACCGAATCTCGTAAATACCCTTCTTCTGGCGAACTGCAATTCTTCCATTTTCCCCTCATAGTCACGATTTGGGGTCACGAGAGGAAATGAAAGAATTGAGTGTGCCAGAAAGGGGGCGTTTATTTGAACACAAAGTACAAAAGCTGAAGGAGAGGAACTGCCTTGAATGAAATGGATACCTTGAATCTTGAAACTAAAGATTCCCCAAAAATATTTTTCCGTGTTAGAAAGTGAAGTTTCAACTTTAACGAGTCTAATTTAATGGATTGTTAACTAATGGCTGGGTGTTGGGTAAGTGAGATATACTCTTTATTAAAAGTAGATAGATAAAAGTAGATATTAAAAGTAAATTTCTCATTCAGGACACTCATTCAAGAGAAATTCCTACGAAAAATTTCAAATTCTAAAGTTTTCAAGTTAGAGTTAAAGTTAAAGGTAAAGCTGAGTTAAAAAAAGCTGTGTTTCAAAATTCAAAGGTTCCAAGTCGGTTATATTGAAGCCAATCGGCTCGACTTCTTTAGCTCTGGCATACAATTTTTGACATCTCATCAACAAACTAATCATTTTCTCGTTCAGAAATCGTTATTGTTACCATTTTCATTAAATTCTCCTTAGAAAAGCGATTTCAGATCGATTTCAGATCGATTTTCAACGACGAGAACACGATGGACGTGAGGGCCGAGTTGACGACGATCGACATTTCTGAGGTTTCCGAAATTTTTACATTTCTACATCAATTTTGATTTTACAATGTCAATAACAAGCTACCATTGAAAAAGATTCAACTTTCAATTCAAATTTCAACTTTCAATCTCAATTTCAACTTTCAATTCAAATTTCCAGAACTTTTCCCAATTCAGCAAGGCTTTTGAGCGAGAGGACTTGGCATGGAGGCTAGAGGTAAAGGATAAAACTGATGCTTGAGTTCAAAATTTCCTAGTCAGTAACCATTTCCACCAAGGCTTACCTATAATCATTCCAAAATTGTTATGGAGTTTCAAATTGGAATTGCTTTGTACAAAAAGAAGAGATTTAGCTGTGAAGTTGAAGGATTTTCAGGGTCGGCGAATCGATTTCAGCTATTCATTTTGTTGAGTCTATTGAAACTTTTGGCAAAACCATAAAGTAAATCCGCATTCTAGAAAAGCCTCGATTTGTGCGTCTCGCCGGCGCTCGTCTTGATGTTTTTCCTGGCGATTTCCACGATTTCCGTGTTCCTTTTCATCTTCGGAGTCGCCTGTTATCGTCGAGTCAAGAAGTCGGAACGGCTATTTTAACAGAAAAACTGAATATTTAGATTACATGTTTACTTTTTTCCTGTTTAATTTTAGACAATGATTTTGTATTCGTGCAATAAATGTGAAATTTGATTTTTGAAAATTGATATATCTGAAGATAGAATTATCTAAACTAGAATTATTCTTATTATGTAAACTTTGAAACTAGAAGTTTTTTATCTCAAATGTATCTATCAATTGTGTCTTTTAGAAAAAGATGCTGATACAAAGAAGCTTTCAAATCGAATTCAGCAAATAAATACTTTATGGCGTCAGATTGCACACCAAAAATTGAAAAATATTTCAAAAATCAATAAATAAATAAGCAAAATCATGTTAAACCTAAAAAAAGTACCCTGAAAACGGGAGAAAAACGGAAATCGGGGAAAATGTCATGTTTCAAAATATCATGTTTCAAAATGGTCAAATTCAAATTCTGTCAAATTCATCAATTGAGTCTAAAGATATTTTGTTAGGCTGGCTGGATATTTTGGGATACTGTGGTGAGACGAGAGACTGGATTACGGTATCTTTGAATCTACGGAAGATATCTACGGTATCTTCAAATTCTCTTCATCGGTTTCACTAACAGCACGATGATCGCCGAGGTCATTGCCACGACGGCCGCTGAAAGCGAGAGGAAAAGCGAGAAAGCGATTGGAGACATGCACACGCCTTGTGGCTGAAAGGTGCAAATGTAAAGCTTCAAGTTTAACGGCTGACGTTATAATTTGATAAATACCTAGAAATATTGATTTAAAATGGAAAATTCTTGTTTCAAGGAATTTTTTTAACAAAGTTTCAAGTTTTACAAGTACTTTTCCAGTATTCTAGTTATAATTTAACACTAGAGAGATTGAAAAGTTTAACTGGTTTTGTTTAAAAGAGAAAAGCTGGTTTTGCAAGCGATTTTGCGTTTTATCTTTTTAAAGTTTAGATAATTCTAGTTTACCATCCAATGAATCCACTGATTAATCAGTTAAAAAAACAAAGTTTCAAAGTTTTAAAAAACAAAGTTTCAAACTGTAGGCAATCAATTCCGCAAGTAAGGTCAATCGACTGTTGAAAGGTTTCAATAAATTTTCTGCAATATTTCCTTTGTTCATCTAAAGCTACAGCTGGAGAAGAGCTTTCTTACGATTTTAAATTTTATTTGTGCAAAAATTTGATGTTAGATTCATTTTGTTAACCTTTTGAAAAACAACTTCTGAAAGCAAGTTTCAAAATGAAGTGTATTAAGTTGACGCCCACAAAGTCAATCAAACCAACCGGCATGTCCTATTTAAATATTTATATTTATTTTCCTACAAATTCAACCTCAATGAATTAGAATTTAATTTTATTGCTACAAGGTTTTTCGGTATTTTGCGAAAAACTCACCAATCGTTTCAAATAGGGTCCCTCTTGAGTTGAAGTTGAGTTCCGGAGGCCACCAGGAAGAGATGAATCCTAAAATTGAATTCTCAATCATATGACATGAAATAGAATCATTGATCAAATTGAATCTTGGATTTGTGCGTTCAATAAAAGTATTCAATAAAAGTAAATTCAGTTTTGAAGCTTTAAAACACTTTACTAATTGATTAGAAAGTTCTAGATAACTAGAAACTTCATTGTGCCAAAATTTTATTTGAACTTTCTTTTGAACATCACTAATTTCAAAAAAGCATTTCATAAGTCGTTTACCTTGAAACATATTACCTTGAAGCCAACTTTTGCAAGCAAAAAACCAATTGGGCCATCAGTAAAGGAAACAAAGCTCAACAAGTTTTAGTAAAATCAATTTTTTTGGCTCCAATTTAGCTGTAGCTGTTGGCCTTTTTTTCTACAAATTCTACATCCTTTCGAAGCAAAAAAAGACACACAAAAAGGTTGAAATTGGCCTCAAAGCGGACACATCATTGATAAATAGGGTAATAGGGATAATAGGGGTAACGGCCGCAGTGCCATAAAAATTGTGTATTTAGACCGTTATGTCTTATTATGTATCCTTTGTTTGTATCACATTATTGGCTTTCAATAAATGTATTTTTTTTTTTAAACACATCATTGATAGCCAATAAATCATTAATAAACCGATTTACTTTAGACATTTCTATATAAAAAATGGCATTACTACACTCAAATGGCGATAATTTCGTTTTAGCGAGAATCACTTCTGATCCGGATTCCTCCTTTAATCTTCCCTTTAACTCTGTGCCTGATAGTTTCAACTTTTTCAGCGACTCATCCCCCTCACCTCATTCGACATGAGCTCAATCGCGTTCAACTCGGCCCTCACATCCATCGTGTTCTCGTAGAACTCAGCCGAACGTTTTTTGAGCACTCTGAACTGGTGAATGAATTCGATTTCCTTTTTTGTCTTTCTTAAACTTGAAACTTAATGCATTGGACTAGCATAGCATCATCAAATTTGGTCATTTCATTTCGACAGCTCGTCCCAAGAGTTGTTTTAAAAAAAAGTCTACAGTGAAACCTTTAGCTTAATCGTATTCTGCTCATTTTCAGAATTTCATTAGTACTATTGGAACTAGTGCACTAGAACTATCATATTTACTCCGTTTTCTAAACAATGTCCCCTTTCCCCCTTCTAACGTAATCTTGTCTCTATTTTTATCCAATCCATCCACTTTTTGATTTTATGAGGTTCACAAAGGATATCAAAAGATAAAATTTGATTCAATAAAAAATAGAGGCAAGATTACGGTAGAAAGGGGAGTTTAGAAAATGAATTTTGCACAACCTGAAGAAGATGGGATTCTCTGGTCGACTGGTTGCTGGAGTGATCGGCGTTTGTTTCTTCGCGTTGAAGCCGGTCGGCTCGGGGCATTGAGGTCGTGGGCATTCCGAGTTCGGCTCTTTGATCGTGATCGAGATCTGGATACTTGTTGGTTTCAATTTTTTTTTAACTATGGGAAATGCATTGACTTCACAGTTGTTCGGTGAAAACATTCAAAAAGTGGTTGAGTACTTTGAAACTAGAAAAATCGAATCATTGATTGAATCGAATCCTGGATTTGTGCGTTCAATAAAAGTAAATTCAGTTTTCAAGTAAGTCGCTGATTAAAATTAGACTAGAAAATCACCGTAAAGCTAATTAAGGGCCAGTATACTCAAGAGACACCATATACTTTGAAAAATCAAATAGTAAAGTGTTCAACCCATTTAGAAAGGTGAATTTTGCTTAAAACTCATCAAAAAGCTCCAGATTTACTTTCAAAACCTCTTTTCCTGTGATTTTACCTGACACTGATAGAAGAGCTGACTCCTGTCCGCATACTTGTAAACGTGAGCCTCTTGTCCGGCCATCAAATCGGTCGGATACTCCAAATTGTTCAACAGGAATTTATCCAAGGCACAGCCCTCCTCGTTAAGAATCTCAAATGGGAAATTGGAAATAGGAAATGGGCTGGAATTGGCAAAGATCAGGAGGACCAACGCATTGGCTAGATCTATTTGACTGTGACTTGTGTTAAATTGAAACACTGCTTTTCACAAATTTAAATGTACAGAAACTGAATCGGAAATGAAAATAGATATTAATTCAAACAATTCAAACAATATCGAACAAATCGTTATATCGAGAGTCAACTGTATATGGTGGAAAATCAATAATATATTTGAATATCAATGCACAAATCTATAGTAGATTGAATCGAGGCTATTCAAGCTAATTGCAATGAACTGCAAGAATTTCGCAAAACCTCAATGATGTTTACTCATTAGCTAGATTTATTTGACTATTACTTAATCTAAATTGAAACACTACTTTTTTTAAAACTCATAAACATAAGACTAAAGCCCTGAAAAGTTAGCACTCAAAAATGGACAAAGGAAAGGTTTTATTTGAAAAAAAATACTGCTTTTCACCTGAACAGTGTCCCCATTCCCATCATCAACTGTACACGAGTGAACGACCGCGCAAAAAGTGTCCGTCGTCTCCGAGTCGCACGTCCATTTGTGGTAGACCTGAAAAAAATTGAAAATTCGTTGAAATGTTGTCCCGGTTTGATTACCCAGGTTCTTCTCGATCTAAGGCATACAAACTTATTACAAACTTATTGCATCATTGCCCGATTTTCCAGGGCTCAGAATTTCAAGACCGAGAAACTCGTGGCTAATCATTTTCATTGTCATAAAGTCGATGTTTCAACTTATTGAAAGACAAATATGAAATTGACAACGCAATCCATGGCCGATTTCACAGTCCTCTTTGAATAAGTTGAAACATTGACTTTCAGACATTAAAAATGATTTGCCAATAATTTTACTAATGTTTTTCCAAAGGATTATTCAAAAGTTAAGTGTTGCAGACGTTAAAAACAAACTTGTTGCCCAATCGTGGCAAACTGGACTGGTTCTCCCGTCGGCCCTCCATCCAGAATCTCGTACTTGCAAATGGGCATCGGAACGACCTAGAAAAGGAGATTTTAACCAAAGAAATTGTTCCAAAGGTTTCAATCCTAGATCTGACAGTGTTTTGAAGATTTCGCAGCTTTGAAGAATTACCTAAGTTCCAAATGCTAAATGCTAAAAACTATCTAAGTTCCAAAAATTTCTTGACAAGACCAAAAGTGTCTACTAACACCTTTCATTCACTTTCACCACGTCAACTTTGAAACACCTTTTTTTTGCATAGGAAAGACCTAGGAAAGGTTTTCCAGTTGAACAAATTGTTCTAATTGCTTCGATGTAAGAAAAAAAGTAAGTAAATTCTAGAAAATGCCAACTGCTTGCGGGCTAAACCGTAAAAACACAAATTGTAGTAAATTGAGTTGAAACAGAAACACAAGTCTAAAGTCATCGATTTCAGTTAAACCAACCTGTGTCTGCAGCGCCGTTGTCATCTCGGAAACCTCCAATTGGGTTGAAACGGTTTTGTCGGCTTCCATGTAAAAGCACTGAATCCGATAAGCACGATCCACCTGGAATTGAGGAGAATTTGAAATAAGATGCCAAACTAAAGAGATATTAAGGCTAGCAGAGCTTAGAATCAAAAGTCCTTCAGAAAAGTTGAAACTCTGATACCGAAGACCGTCGTCAAAGTTTGTTCATCGGATTTTTAAAATGGTAAGCAATTGGGTGCAAGTAGAAAGATACTGGAACTGGATTTGCATTAAAATTTTTGCAACGAAAGTCTTATCAAGCACTTTGAAACTCGGAACTGGATGTCAGAAGCGAAAAACACGTAAACTTATCTTTACTCTTGTCTTTTTATTGAGTTCATTTTAAGCTTTTTTATGTGTATTTGGTGAAAAGTGAAAAGGCAATGAAATGTCGGTGTAACTCGTTGGTAGAGCGCTGCCGGTAAGCGAGAGATCGGTGGTTCAAATCTCCATTTTTATCAAAGCAATGCACTTTATCTTCAAACCTACACTAGCATACAATTGTTTCTTGTAACTGGACTTGGTTGTTGGTTTTTTTTTGATTGGTTTTCTGTTTTTTTTGCTTAAAACAAAACTTTCCGCCGAATTCAAAATTGAATGTTTCAACTTGTTCAGTATTAACGTGAATTGGATTTTTCTAATCACCTTTGGTTACGTTCTAAAAAGATAAAGATGCATTTTAAAAAGATAAAGATTAAAAATTGTATAAAACTGAAAGTTTAACTGAAAGTTCTCTTGGAAATCGAACCTTTGTGATGAATTGCGGATGGAAAGAGATGACGACGGTTGTTGTCACAAAAATCCCCTTTGGATTGAGTGATCGAGTCCGGGCCACGTTGCACGTATCGAACGGGAGCTCGATGCCGGCTACCTGCAAATGTAAGATTCAATTTTAAGATTTAGAATTACAGTTTTAATGTGTTTGAGTGAAAATTCAGCAATTTTTCTAAATTTTCCTATTAAAGTAAAAAAACCAAAAAAAGCAAAAAAAATTTCCTAGTTTCAAAGTTTTCGTTATTCAGCTGCTCAGCTTTTACCTAATCCAACCAGGTCTGTGAATGCAATTGATTCTTTTCCGGAAAATTAGAGAATTGAAAAATAGCTGAAGTTTTCAAATTTCAAAAGTGATACAGACATTTCTCGAATCAGAATCACTATTAGAATCATTTAAATTAACCAAAGAATCTAGGAGTTTTTGAAATTTCTCAATTTCCCACTCAAAAAACAGCTTATGTGACTTTAATTTTTCACATTAATAAAAAATTTCAGCTAAAAATGTTTGAGTTTCAAAATATTTGAGATAAAATTTGGCAGGATACGATTAATCCGGGCTCAAAGTTGAAGATGAAAGCTGAGTTTCATGTTTAGTAGAAAGTAAAGTTCAGAGTTCAAGTTCACCAACCTGTCTTCCACCTTCTGTATTCTTGCATTCATCTTTGTCGTGGAGTCCTTTCACATAGACCTGAACAAGGTTTTTTTGTGGAGATCCCGATTTTATTGGTTTTTCTAATTCTTTTTATTTGAATAGGCATTTAATATTGCATTTTTGAAGGATTTACAATCTGCGCTAATCGTAAAAAGCTGGACTAAAAGATCAGGACATTATTTTCCGAAAGCACCGAATGAGCAGGCTATTTTTGAAACCTGTCCTTCGAATTTGTTCCTCGTGTTGAAATTGATGATCACCGAAGTGGGACCGCACTCGATTTCCGGGTCACCCTCGACTCCATTGTCTGAAAAGGAAGGTTAGCGATAAAAATTGGAGTACTGTACAAGAGTACTGTATATTCAAAAGGTATTTCACTTTAAAATTCGAACTTTAATCTATAGAAATGATTCAAATTCAAATTCCAAATGAATTCTAATAGAAATGATTCTAATTCTAATTCTAATTCCAACTGATTTCAAGAAAAGTTCGGTCCTTCTTGGAAATCCTTCTTGGAAAGTTTTTTCATTCTGAAAAGCTATCATATGTAAAACCTAAAGCTAAGCTAAACCTTTGGAATCAACTTTTTTGCCTCCTCTGCCTTGGCTGTATCTTGGTACAAATTCCACCGATAGATTAGCTTAACAAAAAGTTTTTCAATTTCCCCCCGCAGCTGGAGAATATGAATCGAATTGATCTTTCCTTTTGCATATAATGCTTTTCACAATGAAAAGACCCTGATAATCGACAATTCACGAGCAAAACGAGCCAACAACTTGCATCAATCTGATTCTCGTTGAAACCTCATATTTCCAAAACCTCTAGTCATTATAGCAAAAAAACGTTTGAACTCACAAACTTGACAACTAAATTGCACAACAACCAACAACAACCCATACCAGTTGTTCTACAGCTCTTGTTCTACAGCTCTACAGCTCTTCATTTGCTAGCCTTAGTTTCAAATCCATGCGAAACTTTAAAATGAACCTATTGGAATTGCCATGACCGCTGTCGCGTAGAGGAGGAAAACGACGAGAAATCGTCCCATCGCTTTTTTTTCAAAATTTACTAAAAAGACATTTTGCAAAAGATGGATATTCAATAAAACATTTCAATATTTAATGCAACAAAGAAAAAAGAACAGTAATTTTGAGGTCAAGTTTCAAAATAAAGTACATACAAGTCATTCCACTCTTACCAGTTAGCAGTTTTGCGTTACTTAGCTCAGCTTCCTGTGGATGAGCGTTAGTGAAACTTTGGCAGTAGATACTAGATTGTAGACCAATTCGTTTGTCAGTCTGTTTGTCAATAGGAATTTAACGGAAAAACGGGATTTGGTCACTTTAACGTTTGCTTTTTGAGAGGTTTTTAGACCAAAAAATAGAGCTTGAAAAATTCAACCTTCGTGTAACAAGGAATCCCGAAAAAGTAGCCGTTGAAGTCCTTAAATCTTGTTTTTCCGTTGTACACCTATTGACAAACATCGAAAAATGAGACAGACCTATTGTAGTGAGACAAGGACTATGAAATTTTTAACAAGAAAAGTCAAGTTTCAAAAAGACCCTTGAGTAAATAGTTTCATTTTTGGTAATGTTTGAAAAAAAGTTTGAACTCACAAACTTGACAACTAAATTGCACAACAACCAACAACAACCCATACCAGTTGTTCCACAGCTCTTGTTCTACAGCTCTACAGCTCTTCATTTGCTAGCCTTAGTTTCAAATCCATGCGAGACTTTAAAATGAACCTACTGAAATTGCCATGCTTTAATGGCATTTTACAGTTTCAAATTTGAAAAAAGATTTTCAAGCTACACAAAAAACAATCCAAAATGAAACACGAAATCAGCTTCAGCTTCAGCTTCAAAAAACAGCTTCAGAAGAAAAGAAATGGGTGAAATTCCTTTGCCCATCTTCGATATAGATCGAATCTTTGAAGATATTCAATCGAAAAGACTTTAGCTCAATCTCTTAGCTGAATATCTTTTCCCTTTTCCCCCACAAATCCCACCCCGAAAATTTTCACTTTTTCCCCCAAAATTGGCATATCTAAACGCCAGAAATTTTTGTTTTTTCGTAGAATTTCCCCCAAAAAAACAAAAATTTAGATAACAATCATAGGCAAATTTTCGCCTTTTTTTCACCTTGATTTCTTTTTTTGAAACACAGACATTTTTGGTGAGCTTTTCGGCAAAACCGGTCCTTTTCTTTTTGAATAGATTACGCAATACGCAATACGCAAATGAGCCAGTCGTTTCTCAGCTTTTCTCCTTTCTTTTCGGGGGTAATAACGAGAAAAATGAGAAAGAGGCGTTTTTGGGGAGAAATCGGCATAAATTTTGAGCAGATCTAATAGATATCCATCATTTTTTCGCCTGGAATCCGAGATCGATTTGATGGGGATTTTTTTTATCGTCTATTCTCGATAAAACAATAAAATTTGCAAAAAAGACAAAAAAAAATTAATGTTTCAACATATTTAAAGTATAATACGAAAGCCAAAAATCAATTTACAAAAAAAGTTCATTTTTTTCTTAATTTTTTGCTAAAACAAAAAATTAGACACAGTTTTTGTTTGTTCTAAACGAGGTTTTTGAGAGCTTTCGCGAGATTTCCTTGCGTTTAACCTTTTGTTTTGTCGCTATTCAACTGAATAAAGCATATATATTTAACCTTAAAAAACAATTTATGCTCAAAAGGATTCTGAGTTTGCAAAAAGAATTTGATTTTTAAGAACTACCCGAGAAAGAAGACCCAAATACAGCGCAATTTTTCTGCCACCAATAATTTTCTTGATCTGCATTGCTTGGAAGATCATCGAATGATTCGATCCTAATATCCAAATTAAAACTTGCTTCAAAAAAAAAATAAATAAATGATCGTAGCTATTTTGTTTAACAACCTTTCAAAAATCATTTAAGAATTCAATTTTCGATTAAGTATCAAAAGCAAATACCGTATTTTCTGTAATAGTAGTGCGCACTACTATTTTTTCAATCCCCCCTCCAGCCTGCACTACTATTACAGAAAATAGTAGTGCAGGCTGGAGGGGGGATTGAAAAAATAGTAGTGCGCACGACTATTACAGAAAATACGGTAGATGTTTCAGATTGAACGGGGTCACTGCTGTCTTCAATTGATTTCATCCAATTTGATCTTGGCAGCTTACTAAAATACTCTTTTTTTTGACAAAAAGCCAACTAATTTTTAAACATTGACTAAAAATTTATGTAGAGTTTAAAAAACGAAAAGTTTTTCCATTTTCTAAACGAATCTGAAGAACTTTGTTTGTCATTTTTTCATTTCTAGCTGTGTCATTTTTTTTGTTTTACAATACTTTCTGAGCATTTAACAATAAGTAATCTAATATAAGAATTGACTCAGCTCAAAAAATGATGACAAAAAAACTGAACCGACAACAACTCAATCATCATTTTTTGAGCTGAGTCAATTCTTATATTAGATTACTTATTGTTAAATGCTCAGAAAGTATTGTAAAACAAAAAATGTACACAGCTAGAATTGAAACAGAGTTCTTCAGATTGAAACATCTCAATCGTTCGTTGTTGGCAATTCATGTTTCAATGTTTGAAAATGTTTAGATTTGTCTTGTGTATTTTGTGCTCTCCGAGTCTCGTAAACACTCCCTTTCTGGCGCACACAATTCTTTTATTTTCTCCTCACAGCAGCGAGGAAAAATGTAAGAAGTGAGTGCGCTAGAAAGGGGGTGTCTACGCTGGTGTTTTCTTGTGCTGGTCGTTTGTAAAAGTTCATGTTTCAATATAAGCAACTAAACATAATCAATAGTTAGTGTAATGAAAATATAACTTTAATGAATTACAAAGTTTAATTTTATTCATTAAAGTTTTAAGCATCACGAATTAAAGAAAAATATATAGAAAATCTCTTATATATCAAAAAAAAAGCACAAAAAGAAATGCATACAATGGCCCGTAATGTTTTCAAAGTGATTGGGAATTGTTGGAGAAATTCTCGAAGTTAAAATGAAAAAGATTGAGGTAAATGCTTGCAAAAGAAACTAGTTTTAATTGTGTTTTTTTTTCTATAGAGAAAGAGGAAACGCTTTATGGAATCGATTGCGAGCTTCGGATCGACGTTTTCGGCTCTCGCCATAGGACCTCAACTTCCTGGAAATTGGATTTGTACTTTGGTGTACTTTGGTGTACTTTGTGCTCTCCAATTCAAATTAAACACACTTTGTTCTAGAGTTTCAATTAGATTCAACAGGTAGATTCAACAAAATGAATAGCGCCAATCGATTGCGGCTTCCCTTCCCCAAATTTGCCTCTATTTTTTGCTCAAAATTGTGCATCTTGTACAAACGAAAGTACAAATCCCAACAACGCCTTGAAAACTCACTCTATTCTTTTGTTTCTTCGCCTTTCGCAAATATTTCCAACTCCGGTAGACGATCTCCAAGACGACGATGCCTGCAAATCATTTTCATATCAAGTATTTTGTTTTACAATATTTTCTGAGCATTTAGCAATAAGTAATCTAATATAAGAATTGACTAAGATCAAAAAACGATAATTCATGTTTCAACTTAAACAGCCTGCGTTTCAATAATTTGATTTCAACTTTTAAGTCATTCGTAAGCGTAAAAGAAATGTAAAAAGCTTTAGAGTCGCTCATTTTGTCTTTTAGTACACTTTTCTTTAAAATAATTTCGATTTTCGAATGCAAGCGACTTGAATTTGAACAATTGCATTTTATTCTTTGCGAATTACTAGTGGAGTTGAAAGTTTATCAATGAAAAATTGCAATCTTAAGCATTTTCTTTCTTTTTGTAACACAATTTTTCAAAGTAAGCCGCTTGAAAATGACAATTTAGAGTTTTATCTGATCGGAGCTGATCTCGAGTGTAAATTGCAGCCTCCTTGAGGTGATAAAAGTCTTCTTTCAAAGCAAGTTCACTAGTAAAATAGAATTTCTGAATTTTATATCAATTACAACTGTATTTTGTAACCTTCTAGAGGAATTCATTGTTTAAAAAATGGGTTTCAAAACGCATTTTTAATCATAAACCTAGTTTCAACCTGGATTTAAAGCTTTCAAAGTAAATTTTCACCGCTTGTCACCTTCATAATGGGAAAAGAATGCAAAAGAAAGTTTCCAAACTTGTATTCTGTCATTTTTCTTTAAAAGCTAGTCTCATCTTTCAAAGTTAACGGCTTGAATTTGAAAAATCGAGCCTAAATGAAAGTGAGAACTGATCGAATGTTGAGCAAGTCGAAAGAAAGTTATTTCACTTCTATTGTAATTATTAGGTTGATGCAAAACCCTTTTTTTTTCCGTTAAAAAGTAACAAATGCACGAATTGAACAACGGTTTTTGCATCGAAGCATCCAGATACAAGAGTTTAAAATGTCTGTCTGGTTTTTTGGCCGGAGGCACAAAAAGCCATGATGCGACCTAAGAGGCCAAAAGTCGATATTTTTGATTTTCAGAGAAATTGTTCAGCCAATTTCTTTTAGAGGTTTATAGATTTTTGAAAACCCGTTTTCCCTCGGAATTTGCTTGAAAGTGAACCCAAATTGACTTAAAAGGGGGGAATTGAACAATAAACACTTTTCTTTAGAGCAAACCATAGGTTAATTGTGACTTTGTTTTTTTCAAAAGAAGTGAAAAAAAAAGACTTTTGCCCCTATTTAGAGATCTGCAAAGCCAATTGAGCCAATCTTTTTAAATTTATTGTTGCATTAGTGTTTTTCTAGAGTTTCTAATGGTATTTTAGCATTCTATTTGTTTTTGAACCTATGTTTCAAAGTTGTTGACTTTAACTTGACAAGCTTGATTGTTGAAGCTTGATTGAATAAAAGTGTTGAAGGTAAATAACAAAAAACGACTGCTCTGACAAAAACAGCTGTGCAACGCATTACTCAAACGAAAGCTATATTTTTTTTGGTTTTATTTTAAGGATTTTGTATTCAGTTTACCGTATTTTCTCTAATAGTAGTCACCAACACGGCTCACCGAGTTGGTGACGATTTTACCTATCAAATCCTATAGCCTCAAACCAGCTTATCAAGCTTCAAGATATCAAGAATACCGTATTTTCTCTAATAGTAGTGCACCCAGAGCACCGAAATTCCTCGAAATCTCGAGAACCGCTTATCAGAACCTATCGATGTGGGGTCGGAAAATGTAGCTAATGATGAGATCTAGTGGGGGATTTGAGTGTTGAGCTTCTGCAAAAGCTTCGAAACCGTAAAATACCACCAACGCCGCGGTGCACTACTATTAGAGAAAATACGGTATATATATATTTTGATTTGCTTCAGCTAAAACACTCGATGATACGATATCTTGTTTCAAATTAAACAACGTCAAAGACGAATAAGAAAATTTTTGACTTTGTAATCCCAATTAAAGGTTAACTTTTTAAACTTATCGCCTAAACTTTTAAAGTAGCGAATTGCATTGGATTTTTGGATCTAGAGCCGAGTTTTCTATTAACTTTATTGGTTAAGTTTAACATTTAAAGTCTTGCTCTCATACTTGGTGCAATCATCAAGGTTTCCAGGATCTCAAAAGTTTTAGATTTTAGAACTTTAGTGATTTATATCACTTACCGGCTAAACTCTCGAAAGCGGCGTACAGCGAGACGTAGAAATACCATTTCCGTCGCTCGTTATCAATGCAAATGTAGATGGCGACTGGAAAGTTTCAAATTTTTAAAGATTTTAAAACTTTTAAGTAAAAGCAATACTTGATAAAGTTTAAACTTTTTATTTTTAAAAATAAATAAATTTTTAAAAAGTATATACCGACGCGAGACTGATCAAAAATAGCTCATCTTTACTTTCGTAAATTTGAAACTTGCTTTAAAATTTAAAGATTTAAAACTTCAAAAACCGTTTTTGCAATTCTTTTCAAGCTAATAGTAAGCTTAAAATAGAAGTTGATATTAATAAACTTTGAAATAATTAAAAAAAACACTCACCAATCATCAGCACGCATATTCGAATCGCTTTTGTGACGAAGAATGGGAGCAAGTACATCTGAAAGGGTGCAATTTAGAGAATTCATATTGCATTGTGTTCTGCACAAGTTAAACAGCTGAAGCCCTAAGGATAACTGACAAGTACAAAGGATTGATACCTGTTGCAGCTTGGCCAGTGCCCGACTGTGAATACACCACAGCCCGATCACCGAGCTCAACGCGGTGACGAAGAAAAACCCGAAAGCGAAGCCGAAGAGAATTTTTTCTGAAATTCAATTGAAATTTAAATGAATTTTAAATGAATTTTAAATTGATTTTCACTTAAAAATCAAGCAATAAAAGCAATTTTAACTTTAAAAACAAAGCGATTTTTCTCGTCATTAAGTGCAATGCAAAAAACAAGATCAAAATTCTTTTTTTACGGTGAAATTTTATTAGTTTCAAAGTTCAGCTTCTATTTTAGTAGTTTGTTTAAAATTAGAGCACATTTTTCTTTGTTTTTGACTCGATCGATTAGTTAAAATCGAAAATTCGACTCAAAAACGACTATTTAAAAGAATTGTGTTTCAAATAAGAGGAAGTGCAAAAGAGATTGATTTTGAGAATCCAGCCGAAACCCAAACGAAATAGGAAATGAAATTTTTGACTAAATTTCCCGATATCCATCAACCTTGACCAATATCCCGCAAAAACGAGTGCAACAAGACGTTTAGAGAGATGATCAACGGCGCACAGATCCACGCAGCTTCCTGAAATCGGTCGAAAATTCGGCGAGCATAAAGTACAATCCAAATAAAGCCAAGAATGCCAAATAAAGGACTGTATGCAAAAAGAGCATGAATCCAATCCATTTCCCTATTTTCTCTACCTGCAAATAAACGATGACAAAAACGGTGGACAAGCTTGTGGCCAGCTCGCGGCCGGCTTCATTCTTCAAATCATTCTGAAAGTTTACAACAGTTTACTCAAAATGAAACATTTGTAATGATTTGTAAGCTAACTCCAAGTTGATAGTTTTGAAAGAAAACAAAACAAGCTCTATATTTAAAGCTCAGCTATATTTAAAAGTTTTAGCTTTTACAACACTTAAGTACAGATTTCGAGTAATGTCGTGTATTTTCTTTAGTAAAAATCAAATCTGGTACTATTGGGTTATGCCATTTAATGCACTCAAGTACACTACTGGACAATGAAATATCATATTTGAAAAAACGATCGTCACTTTCGCGCGTCTGTAACTCCATTGTCTTTACCGTATTTGTAAATATTAATATTACCATTGTGTAGCCCTTGAAAAGAGCTTTCATAAAATGTATAACACTAATAGTTTAAACTCAAAGACAAGGGAGTTACAGACGCGCGAAAGTGATGATCGTTTTTTCAAATATGAAATTTCATTGTCCAGTACTGTAGGTAATCGTTTTCGAGAACCTTTTGTTTAAAGGTATGTTTCAAAATATTGGGTCTAAAAAATTGCTTTTGGAATTTAATGATGCATTTTTGGGTGGCTGTTATTTTGGTTAAGTTTCGAAAAATTGTGCTTAGTTTCTCAATTGAAAAAGATCCGTTTGCGTTTTGATTCTTTTTCATCCTTTTTAGCTGATTTCTTTACTGGCTTATAGGTTTTTAATAGTTTTAATAGTTAGTTTTTGTTAATAGTTTTGAAACAAAATGCCAAACTTCCATTTTTACCCAAATTTTCAACTTATTTGCGCACCCAAGAGCTAGTTTGAAAGCAATGAACAACTAGCTATTCAAAAAAGCAAAAGAAACTCAGTTTCAAAACTGTTTTGGCATTTGAACATCGTAATTTTGACTTTAAACCTAGAAATCTTAGAAATCCCATATTAACATTTGCAAGTGATCTCATTAGTTTATTATGTTGAAACACAAACTATTCAAACGTAGAAAAGTGTGCATTCAGCTGTTTCTAAAGGTTTCAACTTATTTAGCGCCTAAGTATTCAATTCTGGAGTAATAAGGAATCTATTTGAGCTTAACGAAATAAAATATGGCTTTAGCGAAGATAAAAAACAGAAAAAAATGAAAAAATGACGAAGAAGCTTACATTAGCTTTTGTCAACAGTATTCAAATCTAATTATTTTGAAACACGAACCTTTCTGCTCTGATCTCTGATCCCTTTACTCGATTCTCCGCCATTCCCCGTCCCACCGTCAAGCGATAGACGATTCGTCGAGAGAATCGATCGCTGAATCGACGTTTGAATTGATGGGGCCATCACCGCATTTTAGAGAGTGCAATCAATGAGTTCGAGCTCTGGAAAGCAAGAATTTTATTATTTGCAGCTCTGAAATGACTGAGATTTAAAAAAAAGGAAAAACTGAAGCTCTGAAGCCAGGATTTTAGTGAGTTGAAGTTGTCTTTAAAGGATGAGAGGAATTAAAGAGAAATAAGTTGTTTTTTTTGCATTGAACTCGTTAAAGATGAAACAGGGTTTTTAAAGAGAAAATAAACAGAAAATGTAAATCTTTTACGCAAGAAATTGGAATTGCTTTCTACAGCTAGAGCCCGTTTAAAATGAAACAAGCTGCTACATTTGGCTTAATTTGGGAAATAAGAATCTGAGCAAAAAACAAACTAGGTATCGGATCAAATAAGTGATCAAACTTTCGAGTTTTGGTTTATGAATAAGAAGCAGGAAGCAGGGTTGGTCTAAAAGCTAAAAGACATGGCTTTAGGCCAAGCCTGGTCAAGCCTGCTCAAGCCTAACGCTTCACATGACTCAGAAATGTGAAAGGCAAGTCAGATTAGGCTAAAGCTCTGGCTTCAGTCCAGTCTTTTGTAGCCAGATCTGCAGGAAAGCCAAATGAGGTAATGTCAGATGCTTGGTCAAACCAGATCAGGCCAACTTTGGGCTTACTTTTAGGTCTCGCAATATGAACAAACAACAAATTTGATCCAAATCAAAATTAAGAATTACAATAAGGAATAATCAAAAGATAACAAAGAAAAAATTGTATTTTTCTATGAGAAAACCTTTTGTTTTTCATTTCCTTTCTTAACCTAGGTCAAATTTTTTTCTTTTTTTTTTTTTGCTATTCTCTACGAGACGTAATAAATACGGCTGAGGGATGGATCCTTCTGAAAAAGAAAAGAATAAGAAGAAAAGAAGAAAATGAGGCTTTTTCACAATGCAAAAAGATGAGAGAAAACACGGGTTGCATTGGAGAAAATCTAGAATTCGTTTCGTCAATCCGTTTGCTAAAAGACATCCATTTTTCGACAAATTACTGTAATCTGGCCTCCATTTTTCATTTGATCAGATCAATTTTGGTATCATTGACTGAAGATTGTGATTTCTCGTCGAATTTGACCAAAATTGGGCTGATCGAAAGGGAAAAATCATGGGTTACGGTAGTTTTAGCTGAAATGGGCATAGCTGAAATTTTAGGAAACGGATTGGTGGAGAGGATGGAGAGGATTTAATGGTATTACCAAAAAAAAAAGTGAGTTTCAAAGTTGACGGCTAGCTATTGATCTGTAAAATTGGACAGATGCCACCCAGAAAGGTTACTTTTTGAGTCAAGATCTCAATGGTTCTTCTTGAACCTTTTGCATTTGATATTCACTAGCCATTTTATATTTGTTACTCTACAACCGATGAGCTTTTCGAGTCACTTTTGAGGAAGAAATTAAATCCATCGTTTAAATAGGAGAGGGAACTGATTTTGTGGATTGATTATCTTCTTTAGATCTTTCTTGTCGACAATTCTCGACTGCTCACGTATTTCCATAATTAGATCGACTTTAAAATTAAGCTTAATTAAGCTTAACTTTTAAAAATACATTATAAATACTGAAGTTTCAAATTTTCTTGAGTGAAACCTTGAGCAAAATGGTTAATTGGAAGGAAAACATTCGCAGAAATCTTGGACAATTAAAGAATGTTTTTTAAAAATTAGAGAATAGGAGAGATTAGTAAAACTTGTTCTCGATGCCCAATCCATTAATTTTGGTAAGAAACAGAGCAACTGTTTGCCAAGCAAAAGAAAAAAAAATCATGTTTCAAAGTGTTCGACTCGAGAAAATGATACCAACAGTCAATTACCGAATTTGTTTATTTAAAGATTTGAGATTTGTCCGGATTGCTTAACTGGAACAAATAGTTTGTTCTACAAATTCAATTTTCAACTTTTTCAAGAGTTACAAGTTAAGCCATTCTTCTCATACTGCCTTACACAAATAATAATTATAGATTTTTGAAAATTTGCTGAAAAATTGAAAATTCACATACGGTTTGTCAGTTTGACACTTGGAAAACGGAAAAATTCTTTGTTTTAAAGTTGGAAACAATTGTTTTTTGTTTTTTGTTTTTTTTTTTTTTTTTTTTTTTTTTTTTTTTTTTTTTTTTTCTTTCTTTTTTCTTTTTTTTTTTTTTTTTTTTTTTTTTTTTTTTTTTTTTTTTTTTTGGGTGGTTGTTTTGGTGTTTTTTTGGTTTTTTTTTTTTTTTTTTTATTATTTTTTTTTTTTTTTTTTTTTTTTTTTTTTTTTTTTTTTTTTTTTTTTTTTTTTTTTTTGTTTGGGGGTGGGGGGGGGTTTTTTTTTTGTGGGGGTTATTTTTTTTTTTTTTTTTTTTTTTTTTTTTTTTTTTTTTTTTTTTTTTTTTTTTTTTTTTATTTATTTTTTCCCCCCTTGGAGCCCCAATTTGTTTTTTTTTAATAGCCTACAAGATACTACAAGCTTGAAAAAGAACTACTAGAAACTACTCAAATTGTGAATGGAATTCAAAAACTTCAATGGATTTCTGTAAAGAAACTTGAAAAGTGAAACATTTTCTAATAATATATTCTCAAAAGGTTCAAAAATCGACTTGAAATTGGATTGATGAAGAAAAATTGCCAAAAAGCAACATTTCTTTGTCGAAAAATGACAAGTTTCAAAAAATTGGCCACCTTTTTTGCTTTTTTTTCTCAATGAACACGAAAATTGATGTTGCTATGGTGTTCGGTTGGAGGGGGAAAAGGAACGGAAGTTTTTAGGCGATCTTTTTGAGGAGATTTTGAGTTGTTTCGCAGATTCGAAACCTATTTCCCTATGTGTAGTTTGTGCTCACAAATCCCGTAAAAATCCCCTTTCACCTGCACTCAATTCTTCCCATTTTGCAAATTTCAATGTCAAAACCGAAGCTTTGGTGATTGACCTGGCCTACAATAGCCTACAAGATACTACAAGCTTGAAAAAGAACTACTAGAACTACTCAAATTGTGAATGGAATTCAAAAACAAGCAAATAATTTGCAAATAATTCATTATTCTATCAAAGGTAAGCTTAAAGGCGTTTAATTTGAAACATGAGTTTGTAACTAGAGCAATTTTTAAAGTTTCTCATCAAATTCCCAAATCTCTGTTCTGTTCTGTTCTCTTGAGTTCAGCGAATTAGAATGAAATTTTGATATTAGAAACCAAAATGAGAATATGGAAATGGTATGCCAGAAAGGGTGTTTTTACATAAAAAGTGGCCATTCCCAGACCTGGTTTTGAAGAAAAACAAAGCCAAAATAGAGAAAGTCTTTAAAAAGTATGATGATGATCCATTTCCAAAGTACGCTTATTGCTGTAGTTTTCTATTGGTGTAGTACTCACAATGCTGTAGTACTGTAGTACGCTGTAGTACTTACAATAAAGCCATATAATTTTCACGAAAAAAACCCAAGAATCTTTTAAATTGAAACTAAAATCTTTTAGCGCTTCCAAGTTGATTTCTTTTTGAATTTTGATGTAGTGGTGAATAATGTAATGCTCCGGGTATGCATTTTTGAGATTTGAGATTGAGAAACTAGGATTTTCAACATTTTTGGAGACTTTACGGAAATGAGACTCAAAGAAATCAATGAAACGATAATCAACTGATAATCGTCTAAAATAGTAAAGAGCTGTAAGTCTAAAGTAAAAAGAGCTGATAAAGAATGATCGAAATTGGTTGAAAAGCCTAAAGTAGGCGTGTGGTTTGAATTTCTGCCCAGAAATGACATACTAGTTTCTCCCAAGAGACCAATGCTTGCGAAAAATTTGAGCTGAGCTTCGAGCCATTCCCTTTTGAGACACCTTTGTTTTGAAGAAGATTTACATTATAACAGATTTACAGAAGAAGATCTACAGAAGAAGATTTACATAAGAAGATTTACAGGAGAAGATTTACAGAAGAAGATCTAGAGAAGAAGATCTACAGAAGAAGATTTACAGAAGAAGATTTACTTTATAACAGATTCACAGAAGAAGATTTACATTATAACACACAAATAATTGAAAAAGAAAAGAAAAAAGAAAGAAGAAAACAAAAATTCACATTGTAAAACCGATTAAAACCAAAAAAAAGAAAACCGGAAGGGCGTTGCCTGAAATGCACAATTTTTTGAACTAAAAGAGAATACAAAATTTGATACAAAAATTTTCTTTCTTTTTTGTTTCTTTGTCAAATACTGTAAAAAAGATTTTGATTTGAATGGGGGAGGCCCTGATTTGAATCGAGGAGGCGCCCCGGAATTAGCCTCAATTTGAAACCAAGAAAAAGAAATTTTGGAGAAATCGGAAATTTTTGTTTGATCACAAGATTTTTAAGAAAAAAAGGGATTGGCTATTTCAATGGTATTACAATTTTGCTGAAAATTCACTCTAATACGACTTTTTTATTTTACAAATTATTAGGTTGATGAATTGAAAACTTTGAACTTACAGGCAATTTTACAGGCAATTTGCGGATCCCTCTTTCGTAGTAGGATTTTGGTTTGTGTGTGAGACAAGTGTGAGACTCAAAAATGGAGGACTGGAGACTTTGAACTAAAATTTATTCAAAATAAAACCATGAATTCATTTCAAATAATGTCCATTATTATTGACGACTTCTGCCTATTTTACAATCAATACAATTTTTCTGTCCAAAAATTTGAAGTTTTTGAACTTTAAAAGAAAAAGAAGCAAAGCTTGTCCCTTGAGCGAGCACAATCCCGTCTGCCGCCTGCGGATATACTTCCTTTCCCCCCAAATCGGAAGCGTCCATTTTGGGCCGTAACCAATCCGTTGTCTGCCCCTCTGGTCACCGCTTCCCAAACCTTAACTTCGGCTGGAGGGCTGGTCAACCCAGCTCCGGCTCATTTTGACCATTATGGCGGGTTCTCTGTCGGTCGAAATGGGATCCCAAGTGCCTGTAAAAGGGCGCTGTAGGGAGCCGCTGTGAATTTTTGGATTCATCCCAAGGATTTCGGTCCGTAGGGGCAGCAAGAAACTCATGAAACAAAACGAGTAAACGGGCTATACTAGAATACTAGAGATGATGTTGGCCTAAAATCGCCGTTTGTGACCTGAAATGGCCTAAAATAAAGCTTTTTTGAAAAACAGAAGCTCTTGAAGCTTAGTGGCTGGAAGGTAATTCTTATATTAGTTTGGGGAGAAAGTTCGTAGAAAAAGTTTGCACGATGATTTCTCAAGGCTTTTTACTCGAACAGTTTGCTCTTTAATTACACTAAATACACTTTCGACTACATGATCTTCAGCTTCATCGTGTCGGCTTTTGTGATGGACACGATTACAGCTGTTAAGATTCGGTTTACGGTGGGAAGAGATGTCAACGGCGGTTTCCTCTTTCATAGTAGGATTTTGGTTTGTGTGTGAGAGAAGTGTGAGACTCAAAAATGGAGGAATGTTCCAGTTTGAGCACTTTCTTCAAAAGAAACCCATTTTGGTGTCAATGGAAAAGTTGTAGAGAATCAAAAATGAGGCTTATAGCCAAATTTCCAAAAAGATACACTTAGTAGTTTCGCTTAAAATGCAAGTTTTGTGAAAATTCGTAAATTTCGCATTTCTTGAAAACCAGTTTTTGAATCGTTCTGAAAATTTGGATATAAGCTTGATTTTTGATTCTCTACAGCTTTTCCATTGACACCAAAATGGGTTTCTTTTGAAGAAAGTGCTCAAACTGTCACATATGACAATAGCCCGCAGTTTTCAACTCACCAACCCAATATAAATATTTTTTTAAACCCCAACTAAGCTTAGAAGCTAATTAAGCTAATTTCTAGAATCTTTCGATAATCTAGAGCATTGTAAAGATGTTGAATTTCAAATTGCAATCATTCCAAACACATGCAATCATGCATGTGTTTTCAGCGATTTGCTTCTTGAGTGCAGTCGGTGTTGAAGAGTTCAATGAAGAGCTCATCTTAAGAATCAATCATTTCCCAGGTAACCACCACGCTGATCGTGATCATCATCTCGACGCCACTCTTCGCGGCAGTCATTTTACCGCTCGGTGACATTTATATTTGGTTTCAATTCACCAACCCAATAGAATTTAAAATTGTTTTTCTTGCCATAATGTCTGCTAAACTGATTTCCGAGATTTTACTTAGACTCTATTTTAATTGAAACTTCTTTTTTTTAAATTTCTCTAATCATTTATTCAAATATGGAAACTTTACTTGCAAAATTAGACTACAAAATCCTTTTATCGAGTGCGCTAGAAAGCGTGGGTTTACGAGATTCAGAGAGCATAAAGTACAGAAAGAAAAGTACAGAAAGAAAAGTACAGAAAGAAAAGTACGGAAAGAAAAGTACGCAAAGAAAAGTACGCAAAGAAGAAAGGATAATTTGAGAACTGTGTTTCAAAGTTTGATTGCTTTTATTTCTAACAAAGCTTTCTTAATGGTGCTTTGAGTTTTTCAAAAATTTATTCCAAATCAATAACGAAAACAAATGAAAAGAGGCACCGAAAAGAAGGAAATATTCAAATTTCAACGCACAAAATATTCTTGTGAAAAGTGATCTTGTTTTTCAAGCCAAAAAGTTAGTTTCAATGAAGAAACTGACAATAAAATGGATTGCATTAATGCAAAACAATCATTACCCAAAAAGAAATCATCATCGAAATGAATAAGCTCAAATTGGAGACCCCTTTATCTCGATTGTATTCCGTTGTCCACGAGGCGGTCGAAGTCGTCAATGGAAATGGAGCGCTCTGACAAAGCGTGTCACAGAAATTTGTGGAGTTGCACGAGTTGAAGACGAATGTTGTCGAGCCGATGTTACTGAACAAGATCACAATTATTTTCCCAAATCTCCTAACAAGGGATTTCCAAGCCGACTCCTCATCCCGTCCATCTCTGCAGGCTTTAGTTAAAACAACACTTTGAATCTTTTGAGTTTTAAAGCATTATCGTCTTGTTAACCGATGGGTTTGGTGGATGTAAACAACTAGTAACCAAACTATAGACTGCTTGGAAGAAAAGTAGCCGTCAGTGGACTCAGCAACAGACTGACAACCGCTGTTTGCGTGAATTTTCTTGTAGCTCTTCCACCCGAGATAGCTTTGAGAAATTCGAACCCAAGAGCATAAGATACTGAGGAGCGCTCACCCATAATCACATTGCCCATATCCTTGACTCATTTTCCCGTTCGGCAACAATCTCGACTCTTGATCGGAACAGCCACGATGCACGAAATTCCCATTGATCGAGTCGAATTCACGGTCTGAAAAGCCCAATAAAATTGATTTCCATTTGATCAGCTGAATTTTGATGTCATTGAATGAGCCTTCTGATTCCTCATCGAATCACACCAAAATTCTGGCTGATCAAAAGGAAAACTGGCGGATGGTTTACAGTAGTTTTGGCTGAGATTGAGTTTTTAGAAAGCGTGATCAAACTCACAGTAATAGCAGTATTTCCCGGCGCACGGCGATCCCTGACAGCTCGTCCCTTGCGATTGACAATTCGTGCAAACGACCTGAATTTTTCATGGTCGACTGGCTAAAGGCTTTGCATCTTAGTCGAGCGGTCAAGGGCTCAATCCCACCGGCTTGATTATTGGTTCTATACTATATTTTTCTTTCCTACATTTAGAACTGCTTTTGTATTGTTTGTACAACATTATTCGTGTGAATAAATGTATTTTTTAAAAGTTGGGACAAGATCTTGTCAATGTTTATCAATCCTCACCTCTCTTGTCAACGTGGCCGCCAATTGGGTGCACCCCGAGTCGCAATGATTCATCGAGTTGCACGTGTTCGCCAGAATGATTCGATCCCCTTGAGCCCTGAAAATCTTTAGCTGAACACTTGCCGGAATATCACTGATACAATATTCTATCAACTTACAACTGTTTGCAACTTCCATACGCGTCGATGGCTTGGTCGTCCAACTCGAGTTCCCGTTGCGCCGAGCATCCGCGCTGTGAACGCGCCTGACCGCTTGTCCGATCGTAGACGAGAACTAAAATTGGAAGAACATTGGAAGAACTGAGTTTCAAAGTTTTGCTAAACGTTTTTCCAACAGCACACAATAGTCCTGGTTTCGCCATCATCGTCCAAACAAGAATTTTGTCATTACTTTAATGACAAAATTCTTGCTTGGACGATAAAATCGCATTTCTTTTCAGTTTTTTTGATCTGAACGAGACATTGGAATAATCGTGTTTCAACGTTCTTAGGGTCAAGCTTGACTAACGGCAGATAATGGAGTCGATTCGGATTTTTGCGTCGATGTCGGATGTCGATGCGGCCAGGTCTTTTAGGTATTGTTCAAAATTCCCCCCAATCCACACTTTTTTGATTTTAAAATCTCTACAATGAACATTTTCAAAAGATTAATATTGTTTTAAACTATTAGTTAGAAAGCAAGTCTCGTTGGCGTGGTCAACACTAGAAAGTGTTAGGTAATTTTTGAATTGAGGCCACTCCTATCATCAATCGCTATCATAATAACTAATAGTATCAACTCACAATAATAACAATAGTTCCCCCGGCACTCTCCTGAGTAGCAATCAGCGCCGCTCGACGAGCACATGTAGCAGGTGACCTTGAAATTTGACCTGTGACCTGGATTTAGAGAGAGCCAGCTCAGGCCAGGCCTCCCCTTTCTGCAGTCCTGATTCCTAGTTGTACAAATTATTTTTAAAAAACTCGTGTTTCAGCTTTGTTCATTACTCCAAAGCTATTCCTCCGACCTGTGGATCGTTGTAGGGCCGAGTGGTCAGAACCGGCTGCTGAACGCACAGATTTGCGCAATTGTTGCCCGTATTGCACACCTCGACCAAATAGTTCACGTCGCGAATCGTTCTGAAATTTGATCATTTGAATTTAATGCTTAAAAATTAAAGTTTCAAGTTGCACTGAATCAAAGTCCGCTATTTTCCGTTTAATAAAGAGACAAGAAGTTATTAAATTGAATAAAAATAGAGGCAAGATTACGGTGGTAAGGAGGACACGTTTTAGGAAATAGATTAGAAATAGAGGAATACACAAATATTACTATGCTTTTTACCTGCTCTCACAATCATTGATCGTTCTCGTTCTCGTGTAGTCGGGGAACTCCCAGCTCCCCTCGTTGCTGCAGGTTCGCCTCACAGAAATTGAATTTGGCGTTTCTTCGCGGACTAAACTTTGTTTTTTTTATAAATCCATTTGTTTTCACGATTTTCTGAATCATTTAGGGTTCCAAAAGATATTTCTTTCGTTTTCAGTTTCTTTTTCAAAGAGCTAGTTTCAAGTTAAGCGTTGTCTGCTTCATAAAACAGTCAATAGTTTCCCATCGTTGTACAATGTTTCTGTCGTGACGATCTCGTGATGGAAATGGCCATTTCCACGTATGGAAATGGCCAGCTAGACACCTATGTGAACGAACGCCTATTGTGCGAGATTTAATATGCGTCGCTATCCGTTTAACTCCATTGTGTTTAACTCCATTGTGTGCAAGACGAGACCAACGCCTGAGTTCCGTATAAAAGCAATGTGAACGAGCTGCCGACGTGTGCCGTGGAGTGCCTCTTACTCTCCCAATCTCAAACCACTGAACCAACTATTATCGCTGTAATAAAGATTATATCTAAACCAACAATAATCACTACAGTTTCCAATCTTCAAATCAAAATCAAAAATTCGAATTGTCATAGAGTTTTTCCGATGCTTAAAGTCAGAATTGGCTTGAGCTTTCAATCCATTTTGCAAAAATTTCTAAAGTTTCAAGTTTATCGGCAATTAAATGCCATCTGTTGCGGAGTTTTAATTGAATTTTTCACAAAATCTCTGCAAAGCTACAGTATTCTGTTTACTATTTATAAACTACTGTAACACTCACCAAAGACACAATACTTTCCGGTGCACATGTGCCCAGAGTTACAGTCCAACGCGTTGTCCGCTTGGCATTCACTGCATTGAAGAGCTGAAAAGTTGATGTTTCGGAACTTTAACCAAAAAAATATGAGAAATTCATTTTAATAAGATAAGCGGGATGTACTTTGTGCTCCAAAAATCTCGTAAATCCATCTGGTGCACTCAATTTTTTTTTCATTTTCCCCTTACAGCAATGATTTGATGTCACAAGGGAAGTGGAAGAAGTTGAGAATGATTGTGTTTACAAGAGAAGCTCAAAAGAAGTTAAAACGAACTCTTCTCGTCTGGATTTATCGGGTTAACGCATTGCCCATTACAGTAGTCCCCATTGTCGCAAAGCTTTCCGACAAAAAGTCCGTTTTGGTGGTAGGAGCTGGAAATGTATTGGGATGAAAGAAAAGTTGAGTTTCAAGATTAGTTGTAGTAAAGCACACTAATGAATCACAATCACGATGGGACTTAGACTTGAAAGTTTTGACAATTAAAGTGAAACTGAAGTGTGCTAACGAATTTTCAAAGTTCTAAAAGCAAGGATGAAAATTTTCACCGCGTTTCACAAGTGTTCAAGTCGGTGAGCCGATTTCCGTCTGGAAGCATCAAAAAAGTCTCATTCGTGCATCCTTTTTCAATCCGAAGCAACCCATTCTCCAGACGTCTTTCTGAAAAAAAGTGAGTTTCAAAGTTTGAGGGATTTAGCGATGACTGTTTACCGTTTTATATCAGCAACAAGATTTCACCAATTTACTGATTAATTCTTGATCTAATCGTTAAATAATTTCCATTTAAGGTTGCTTTTTCAATGCTCAGATTGCACTTTGTTAAAAAGGCTTGACAAAAACCGATATTTAACTTTAAACCCGAATCTTTTTCATACCGTATGTGCAAAATCGACCGAAACACGTGCTCCCAGTGCAATCGTTCACATTTTGGGCCAAACAGTTGTGACAACGTCCTGAAATTTTAGTGATCTTACGGATTTCGACTAATCCTTTTTGCTAAAATGCACCTATTTCAAAGAAAACTATCGTAATCCAGGTAAAATGGCCGGTGGATTACGGTAGTTTGTCTGAAATGGGCGCATTGAAACGTACTCAACGAAATGCCAGGCGCCTGCTCGCATTGATCGTTGCAGTAATCCGCATCATTGCAAATCCTAATCTCATAGTTGTGCGTGGCCGTTTTTCTAAACCAAATTGATAAAGTTCTGTGAAAATATTATTCACAAAACTAGCAACAAGTTATTTGTTTGTCTAACTAGCAATTGTTTGAAAAAAAAACATGTTTCAAAGCTTTTACAGACAATGACGGATGATTTTGGTCAATTCCATTCCATTTATGCAACTTTTCCCGCTGAAAAATAGTACCAAATTAAAGCATTAATGCAAGATTTCAACCTTCTGCAACTTTTGATGGCTTAACTACAGTATTTCCAAGTTATCCCCTATTCGAGCCGTTAGTTTAGATCAATTCCGTTCTGGTTTTTAGAGATTAAGTGATAATTGTCCTAGCAAATTTTGTAGCTTCAAAAATTTCAAGAAAAAAAAGACAAGTTTCAAGTTGCCAAGAAAGGACTCCCCGAATAAATAGCTAGTACAAGAAGAAATAATGCATGGTGCTAGACTTCGGAAAACAAAACTTAACCAAAAACAAAACCACCAAAACCAAAACCATAACCAAACCAAAACCAAACCAAAACCAAAACCAAAACTAACCAAAACTCGCCAATATCTCGCGATTGGGAGAAGCTAGCGAAAATCTGTTTGCAGATTTGAAATCAGCGTCCAAAAATCTATCCCATAGGCTATTTTTTGTTTCGAAATTTCGAGGTCGTGTTTTGGTCCTTTTTTCGGCCGCGAGATTTTGGGGAGTGAGAAAAAGTGAAAAGGAAATTTGCATTTTACAATTTTAAATTTACATGTTAATTTATATGCAAAATTGAGTTTTGGTTTGTTTTGGTGTTTTGGTTTTGGTTTTGGTCTGTTTTGGTTTCGGTTTTGTTTGCCGAACTCTACATGGTGCACAAAGATTAAATGACTGAAATTGGCTTTGGCTTTGAATTTCGTCTTTCACTTTCAAATGCAATTCACTTTCTCACGCATCGATTCAAAACGTCGATCACCGATCCATCGTCGAATTTGTATTGAATGCCCGCCTGGCACGAGCGTCTCACGATGCTCATCTGATTCGAGGTGATGTGCTCTGGAAAAAGCTAGTTTCAACTTATCCACATTAGCTTGCAAGTTAATTTGGATCAAATATCGACCAAAAGTTAGAGCTCACGCTAGAGCTAGAGCTAAAGCTCGATTTGTTTTACTCAAAAAGACTGTTTCAAAGTACTCAGTTTTATGAAACTCAGCTTGATCTATCGCTTGACCGCTTTACTTAAAATTAATCACTTTTTTAGGAAGCTCAGCTTTCATTAGTCACTGGTAAAGTTTCACTAACACTGTAAGTTAAATACTAGTAGATATTTCTTACACTTAGCGCATGGAAAAACGAGTTTCAACTTACAATTAGATCAACTTACAATTCAAATTACGATTAAACCATCGTCTAAGCCCTGAATTTTGTTTGATTTCAGTATTTAAAGAATAAATACCGTTTTGATATAGCAAAAAATTGAAGTTCTGAAAATGTCTTGACAAATTTCCTTACCATAGACACAATAGCTATTCCCGCAATCCTCGAACGCCACACAGCCACCATTCGACACCTCGACACAGGTTCGACAGCGAACTGCTTCTAAAAATGGATACCGTAAATACTGCAATTGGACCCCACCCCTCTAATAGTCACCCCACCCCACCCCTCCCTAGAGGGGAACGGAAAAAATAGTACCCCATTAGTATATAGTACCAGGGGTCCAATTACAGTATTTACGCTAAGTACTTGGTGATCCCGTTTGATGAAATTTTTATACTTTTTTACTTATCCTTTATGTCTTTAACTTACTACGAAAACGGAAACTTTTATTAATTATTCACTGCAGGTGGGCATTTTACTAATCAATCTTGAAACATGGACTTTTTTTTCTGAATAAACTGTGAATTAATCACTTTTGATTTATTAGATTATTAGCAAAACCGAGAATTTTATCAGCTTCTGAACCAAAATCGCATTTTTTGGCCTCAAAGAACTAAGGTAAATTTGCTATTTGATTAAGCCTTTCAAAACTCAAGCCATTCGGTTAAATGTTAATTTGGGGAAGGCGTTAAATGCAAATTAAATGCAAATGAGCTGGTTCACTCAATTTTCTCAAATAATCACTTACCACAAATTCTCAAAGCAATAATTAGACCAAAAAGTATTGAAATCAAATTTTGAAACATCATGTGGTGTTTACTTCAGTTTTTCGAGAGTTTTTCCATGCAAATTCTGGTTTTTTGCGGACGAGAAAGTGAACTGCCCACAAAATCTTCTTCAAAGTCACAAGAAAGAGATAAACCATCGAGAAATACGACAACTCAAGGCCATTTGCATAGGGATTTCGACATTTTTGCTATTTTCCTAGCAAAAATATCAGAAAAATATGATCTGCCCACCTGATTTCGAGAAAAGTGCGAAAAACGGGAGAATCACGGAGAAAATCATCGCCAAATTTGAAACTTTCACTTTCAATAGAAGAATTGCGACAATAATTGTAGCAGGTGGGACTTCTGTGTCTAGAAAAAGTCTCTTTTTAAATCGTACAACTATTTCTAAAACTTTAAGAAAGTCTACCATTAATTTGAAACTAAGAAAATTCCAAAAAAAAAATTCAAAAAATAGACGAATTCGTCAAAAGTGACCCATTTTTTATGTACTGTGTATCTGTGATTGGGCATCTCTGAAGTGGTTTGAAAGTTCACAATCACATCAAAATTCACACTTGGAAACTTGTTAGTCATTGTGACACAGCTTTTTCCTTTTCCCCTTCCCCAATCTTTTTCCTTTTGTCCATTTTTGGAGCCAATCCCCACTTCGTTTATTCAACGGATCAACCAACATATCCAGAAGAACTTCGCAGGAATGATGATTCAAGAAAAGGAAAGAAATAAGCTGATATCAGAATTTGACGAGAATCACTATTTTCTGGACAGCGCTCGACGATTCGTCAGTGGTTTTAAAAAAAAAATGTGCTCGGTGGATTCTGAGAAGTAACTCTAATATTAAATATGTTTCAAACTCTTTAATTGAGGCTTATCTTATCTGTAAATACTGAATTGTTCGATTGATTGTTGAAAAAAAAGCTTTGTGTTTCAACTTTAACCGCCTCTAAGTGTCTTGACCTTTTTAATCCATCTGTCGCTTTGTTTTTCGAAAAGTCAATAAAAGTCACTACAATAAGCTCTAGGAATTAAATTTGAGTCTAATTTCTTTGAAACTAGTGCATTTTTATATATAACACTTCCTAACTAAGCCGTATTTTGCCAATTGTTCCCTTTTTAAATTGAATCGTTGTTATGTAAAAGTTAGTTTCAATTTTTTCATCTTTTAAGTTTATTTTGCATCAGTAATTTCTTGTAATCGCATTCATTTTATAAAAATTTATCAATTCAATCAATAATCCAATTTTCTGACTAGAATCAAGACATTTAATAAATGAACAATAAAAAAAAAGAATAAATTGCGAAAATGTATCACTGGTGAGGCGACGAAAGTGACAACCATTGAAAAAAAACACGGAAATTTTACCGGTATTCGCTATAGAAAATGGCTATTCAAGTGAAAAATTGAAGAAGAAAGCTCAAAATGGCAAAAGAAAATTTGGTTTTGTTTCAGCTAGCTAATTGATTTCCTAAAAGGCATTTCCATTCCAGACGAAACTACCGTAATCCACCAGCCAGTTGCCGTCAGTTTTCCTTTCGATCAGCCCAATTTTGGTATCATTGACTAAGCCTTATGATTCCTTGATCGAATGATACCAAAATTGGGCTGATCGAAAGGAAAACTGACGGCGGGATTACGGTAGTTTGTCTGGAATCATTTCCTTTTAGAAAACAGTCTAATAAAAGCGAGAAAAGCAAAAAGTTGTAACTTGAAAAATTAGTGTTTCAAAGAATTGGGTTTCACAAGTTAGAGTTCTTGTTTAACCCTTTTTGATTTCTGAATTCGCAAAGTTACAAATTTCTACACGAAATCCCATGGGTAAGCTATTCAGCAGAAACAGAAAAAAGAGATAAAACTTTTGATATCAAGAGAAATATTGCGTCAAATCTTTTTTTTTAAATCTTTTTGAAAGCTAAGGTGACCCAAATGAAAGAAAATAAAATAAAATGCGAAGTTTCAAGAATTTAAATCAAAAATTAGAATTGAATTTCGAGAAGTTAAGAATTTACAAGAAAATATTTGCGTTTTTGCAAATTTACAGGGAAGTTCTTAAAGTTGAAACTGAAATTTTGTTGATTTTTCAAAAATTGGGATTTTGAATTGTTGGAGAATTTCAAGTTTCAATTTTAAGCCTTAATTGAATGGGTTTTGATGGCTTAATTGAATGGGAATTTAACTGCAAGATAAATGATGTTTCAAAAAAGAGAAAACCCATGTTTTGCTAATGTTAATACTGAAATTTTGAGTGCTAGACTTCATGGGCGAAAATCGGCGGATTTTTGGAGAGATCGATGCGCAAAACGGTGGAGCCATTCGGGATGACCTCGTGGGTTAAAACGGACGAGCGGCCGCCATCGGAGTCATCGTATCGAGAACTGGAATTGGAATTGGAGATTTTGTTCAGATTTTCTCCAAAGTTCATGAGAATTCATTTTTTGGCGTCTTGAGTCTAAGCAATTAGCTTGAAACACACAAAAATGACACTAAACGAGTCGATTTTCTTTCGAAAATCTATTGTCGACGGCGCTCTTTTTGAAACGGCAATTTTTCAACTATGGAAAGTGATTGATATTGATTGAGCTAGCTGTTTTCATTTTGAATTGTTTAAAATTTTGTTAAGGACAAGATTTCATCTCTAGAATTAAACAGAGAAGGAAAATGCCATAAAAAAGGATTCATGAGGAAGCTTTGCGATCGGCTAAACTAAAGGTTTGCTTTAATCGTTCAACTATCCAATCTCTCCTAATTTTGCGGCGAATCCCCGCGAGAGGGAAGTGTTGTCAACGGACAAACAATTGCACACGTTGAAGTCCGTCCTGTTTTTACCCGATTATATTGGTGCGTTTTCTTGAAATCTTCCACTCACTTGTCTTTTTAGTGCCAAAGCTCATGTGTCGTTACATGAAACAGAAGTGAACGACGAATCGTGGAATTAAGGCAAACAGGGCTCGGGTTTGTTTAATTGTTTGTTTTTTTTTCGGTTTCCAGAGCTAAAAAGTACAATCTACCATTTGGACCTGAAAGCGTTTCAGTGTTGGAGTACTATACTACAAAAATCCTCAAATGCCAGCCCTGAAAACTTGAAAATTCTCTGATCTGGAAGGCAGCTCAGAGACCGAGATCAGAGATCAGATCTAATTCGTTTCCAGAGCATGAGGATGACGAATCTCTAGAATTTCATGAGGGAAAAAAGAAACATTGACCCAGGTAAACTCTTTAGCAAGTCTCATAGATTGAATTGGCATAGAACAAATTGGCTCTCTCGAGTCTCATAGATTGAAACTCACTCTTTAAAGATTAAGTAAAGTCCCCAATCTCTTCTCACTACACTATCCCAATAAAGTAACAGCCTGACTGAATATCTTTAGCGTCAATTGAGGAATTTGAAAGAAATTCAACAACTTGGGATACTGTAATGAGACAAAAAAGCTTCTGGAAGACAATATTAGGATCCGACTTTCCAATTCACAGCCCATCGCTTTTGAAACATTCACATTTTTCTGATTCATTTCATATTCTCCATTTCTTTCGTTTTGAGATTACTCCTAGAGCTCTACTAACATTATTTTGTTTCTCATTGATTCTTGTAAAGCATTTTTGACTGCATTGAGCCTGAGACTGGTGCCAGAAGTGAGCAATCTTTAAACAAGTTTCGATTTCAGTGGTCAGAAAGAGCGTTTTCTTCATTTAGTGGCGATTTTTTTAAAAGCGTTAAGTGCACCAATTGATTATCATTCATTTATTTTGATTTACCTTGGTGATTTTGAAAATATTTAATTTTAACATTTAAAATTCTTACCTCGGAAATGGGTGCTCCGAGTAGGCGGAATCGTCGCTGGCTTTGCTCGACGGGGGACGTCGATTCATGGCGACAACGCCTGAAATACAATGATATTAGTTGTGCTTTAAATCTTGATCTTTCTTATTCTTCATGCTGATTTTTTAAAGTCATAGATAAATCTAGAGTTAGTCACACCGGCTGAAGTGGTTCCGATGAGGTGCTGTTGCGCTGCGGCTGCCAAATTTCTCGGCACTTCTGCGGGTGGCGGTGGAGGGCTGAAAATGGGGAATGAGTTTTGAATCAATGCAATTCTCAATTCATTTTCCAATTTCTACCAAAACATGCTTTATTTCTTGTTTTTAGCAAAATTTTGCTTAAATTCTGCAGTTGAAAATTTTCATGTTTCAAAATATTTGAGATGAAAACAAAATTTGTGACGTAACAATTTTCAGATGACCTAACAATTTTTTTTAGTTGAGTTTTAAACGCAATGAGCTCTTAAATGTACCTGAATTCGGGTGGTGGTCGATGAAAATGCGGTTGGTGGAGATCTGGAGCTGTTGGGCCAGGATACCCAGGGTAACCCAGTCGAAAATCTTGTGGAGAACCTCGGTGGGAGTCCTGTAATTGTAGAATTGTAAAGAGTTTGATTTAACAACAATTTTCAATGAATAAACCTGTTGATATGGGCTCCTTTGCAAAGTTCTCGAGACAAAAGGCGGTGGTGAGCGAAAAATTTGCCCATTCGGCAACATGTCTCCATAGGAAATTGTATCATACTCGTAGATTGGCGCTGAAAAGTATTTTATAGTGTGCCAGAAAGGGTTTTTCTGAGATTTGTAAGACACAAAGTGCACTCACCATGTATTTGCGTGTGATACGGATGTTGTTGTTGATGGTGCACAAGGCGGGGATGGTTGGGCGGTAAATGTTGATATTGGTAGACGGGATGGCCGTGCACATCGGCGCCATAGATGGCTTGGGGTTGGTAGGGATTGGGCGGGAAAGCGCGCCCGTCACTCTCTAGAATCACCGCGCGCCCATTCAGCCCGTATTTAATCACCTCGCCCGCCGTGGAGGGGTACTAGAAAATGATTATTATAAGGTTATAATAGGTATTCAGCCTACGGAATTCAAAAGCTGTTTAAAGGCATCGTGAAGCTTAAAAGAAGCTTTACTAAAGCCTTAAAACTAAAGTGTCTAAAAACTGAAGCGCTTTCCTTTTAGAAAACGGATTAAATGAGATCTCGAGGTTTCGAATTCCGTATTCCGATTTGTTTTGGCTTGGTTAAACTCGGGAATCTTGAGTTATTATCAATTGAATTGAAACATGCTTTTTTTGAGCAAGAGATAGAAAAGATTAAACTATTTTGAAAGAATTGAAGTTATTTTGGTCCTAATTTCAGGAGATTAAACCAAAAAAAAGAACCCTGCTCAAGTCAATGATAAACAAAATTTCGACATAATCTGTCTAATCGCCAATGAACTGATCCACAAGCTTTATTCAATATAGATGATACTTTGAAACTAGATTTTTAAAATAAATCAGCTGCCTAATGGGAACCTTACCTAAACGTAAATTCTTTAATAAAATTGTCAAATTTTATCTATAAAACTTTAATCTACTTATTTTTTTGATTCTAACATTGATTAACGAGCATTTCAAGGTACGGTTTGTTGAGTAATCACGGCAAAGACAATTAAGGATAAAGCTGAGCTTTGTGACAGATTCGAGAAGCTGAGGAAACGTTGAAGAAGTTGAAATTTGGTTAGTATCTGATCTGATAATGGTTTAGCAGAAGTCTGATAGAAAAGACAAGCCATTCCAGGGAAAATCTCGGGGTGATCGAACCGCAAAGGGCATCTCCTCCAAACCGCGTTGTTGTTGTTGTGGCTCTTCGATTCCTCTTCCCTTTTTCCCAGTTCTCGGCTGGCGACCGTTTGGCAATAAGGAAATAGCTGCAGCCCCACCACCAACACCACGCTACACCACAGGAATATTGTACAAGAATTTAATTGTGTACTTTGAGCTCAAAAGTACACTAAAACAAGTTAAAAGTCTAGAGAAATGAAATTTAAGCAATTTCTAGAATGTTTGATTGTAATTCTAATTGTAGAACTAATTTTTCATCAATTTTTCATCAAAAACCGACAGAAAAGCTCAATATAAACCAGTTTTTTTAAAAACAAAACATCAATTCTCTTTGTTTTTAAATTTCCTACTTGTTCAACAAGATTTTCTTTTGTTTTAGGTTATTAATTACAATCTCATCAAGTTAATGAAGCCTTATTATAAAGAAAAAAGTTCAATTTAGGTGCCCCATTTTGAAAGACTCACCAAGAATTCGCTACCCGTCCCGCTGGCGCTACCATTCGGAGATTGGCGCTCGTTTCCGCGCTTCGAATCGCTTTCCGAAGAAACACAACCACGTCGGGAGAACCATTTTCTAGCGTCTCTCCTCATCTGAAAATAGATTTTTAGAAAATTCGACCTGTGAATTATGTTTCCAATGACCCTACCAGGTTGCTTAAGTTGAAACATCCGATTTTTTTTTTTTCTACTAGCTCTTTATTTTCTTGGAATTCCGATATTAAAGTGATTTCGGAAACGATTTTTGCGTAGAGTACTAAACAAGATTCAATTTTTCAATGAGAAACTAATAGTTGAAAGATTTATTTTTACTTGTTCGAGTAATGGTTTAGAAGTTTAAAAACTTCTCTCGGGTGCTAAAGCCCGGAATTTTATAAAACAAAACATTGCATTGTCCTCTACAAACTCAATAACATCTTTGAAATTTTGAAACTTTGAATTAAAATCTTTGACTTTGCACAACTAACACTTTTCCAGCACAACTAACAGCCAAACCTTGAGACTTTGAAACAACAAACCTTTTCCGAAAAAGCGACATGGAAAAGAAAGATGAACAATCCTTGTAGAGAGTTGAAAATGGTGAATGTGTATGCGGCGACGATACTCTTCCCGTCGTCCACCCACAACAACCCGAAAGTCCACGTGACACCGAGCAAGCAAGAGACGCCCATCGCGCCTTTCACCCAGGTTCTGCAAATGGAATTTTTATAAAACCCAAGTCGTAACACTAGGCCTATTTCCTAAGCCTGTTCAATTTTGTTTTCAAGGAATCATTAATGCTACCTACGGCTTTACCTACGGCTTTTGAGCCGAGTAAATTGAAACTGACTAATTTCAGCCTGTCAAATCAAGATGTTAGAGTCATTTTATTATATAAATTGCCACGTAACATCATCTTGCTAAACTTTAGACCTCAACAAGAGACTGGCGAAGTAATTGTTTAGTTTTAAGCGCGAGTTATTTTATAAATTGCCTTTAACTTCGGCTTTTAGCTAAGGAAATTGAAACTAGCAAATCTGATCGAATCTGAATGATCGTTTTTAATCTGCTTTTGCTTCCATTTTTTATTTGCTTTCGATCAACGAGGCCAGATTGAAAATTATTGAAACTTTCTTCTTGGCTTAGTAGCTACGAAGATTGAAACTCACTCCTGCCGATAAATCCAGCAAAATTGTGGTTAATCTGTGAGGAATGGTTTCAATTTAACCCTCGATTTCATTATTTCTTTTCTTTTCCATAGCTAATGGTAAGCCATAGCTTTTCCATAGCTATCAAATTTTACAAGTGAAAAACAGGATCCGGAATAACCGTAATTACTTGATTTTTTTTAAATTTTAAAAACAATACTCACCTAACACTCCTCCCACCATCCTCCTCGCGTTTACATGGCAAATAACCGCCATTCGAGTGCCGACAAACGATGCACAAAGTCATCACCAAGAAGCCGGTGTTCGCGCAGAGAATGATCCCCGCCGGCACGATGAACCATAGAGTGAACAAACTGTCGCTGCGAAGCCTGGGAAAGTTTTTAGACTCAAGTTTTTATATGGATTAGCTAGCCAGCTCTCGCCAATTGCTATTTATCTTTTATTTTTTTAGCCGAGTAAATTAAAACTAGAGTTTTTTGTATAAAATGAGTGTAATCTGAAGATGGATCAATTACGCAACTTTGGAGAGAATGGAATCGAAGAATTAAACTTTTTCTATCGCTTTTGTAGCCGAGTACGGGCTTTCTGTATTTTTCTGTATTCGTATTCGAGTAAAACTTTGATAGAGTAGTAATTAGACTCTTTCTTTTGGCTTTCTAGCCGGTTAAATTGAAACTTTAGCTTATCGAACTTCGATTTTTATCTAATAGGCACTAACGATCGAAAAAAACTGAATAATTAATTCTAAACACTTATGAATTTGTAAACTAGACAAATCCGTATTTGCTCCTGAAACTCACCAGCAATGTTTCTGTGTGCCGAAGCCGTTCGTGTCGTGGAAGCACGCGCCGATCACCGAAAATAGTGGTAGTCCGTAACCAACGACGAAAAGCCGAATTTTCTTCGATCCCTTTGGGAAAACCTGGAATTCGAGTATTTTTGGGTTTTAAATTTGAATTTAAATCTTAAAATTAAATAAATTTGCATGTGCTTGGGGCTTTATTTCATATGATTACATAAGCAAAAGCTTAACTGAAGGGGGATTAGTTTGAAAAGTGAAAAAGAAGTTTAAGTTCAACCTTCTTTAGGTCAACTCCAGGCCTACGCTCAAGCCATTTTGATAGAAAAATATAAAAATGAGAGATTTACAGATCTTTTAGCTTTGGAGACAAGGAGCTACGCCTTTTGTTGAAAAAATTGTTGCAACTTTCACTGCCAAAAGTTGGGTTTCAAAATAATCACCTAATGGTGACGTAAAAAAGTTTCAATCTCTGTAGGATTTATCTCCAGCTAGCTTCAAGTTAAAACTTAGTGTACTTTGTGCCCTCAATCCCTTAAACACCCTCTTTCTGGCGCACTCAATTCTTCTATTTTCTCCTCACAGCAACGAGCAAGCCTTTTTTCCCACCTCAACAAGCATATGATACAGCTGGAAACCCTCCAACAGCATCCACGTCAATGCCGCCAAAAAGAGGTACATCAAGACGCCGGCGATGATCGAGCACTCCAACTGGAAAGGAATTCATTATATGCCGTTTGCTCTCTCATCTGATGATAAGCCCAACGGAGATCAAAAAGCTGAAGAAGGCTTTAATAGTTGATTTAGCCTATAAGCAAAGCCTATAAATAAAGTTTTAGAACCTTTTTTAATCGATTATTAACATAAAAGTCCATCTTTTTATGTTAGCAAATTTGAAACACAGTTTTTTTTAGCTAAAACTCACCCTCTTATCTGTTTGCCAGATTCCAAAAAGGAAAACCATTTCGGCCAACACTAGCGAGAGACACAAATTCTTGTGGATGAACACGCGATCGCCTGGAATTGATGCAGTTGAATACTTTTTCAATGGGTTAATTAGATCATCGACCAAATTAGATAAATGAAAAGCCGTTTTAAGCACTTTGAAAAATCATTTTGAATCTGAATTGAAAGTTTCTTTTTTGCTTGTCTTTGTTGATTACTTTGAGAAATGATTCACTTTTAACTTTTAAGCGAATTTTTTGATCTTTTTTGGTTGAATACTTTGAAACTAGACGCTTAAAATTGTGCAGTTACCAGATTTTTCTTATTTTGCTTTACAAATAGCCAACTTTTCAAGTCATTTAAACCAAAAATGATGTTTTTTGTTTTGTTTTTAAATTTTTGCTTTGTTTTGTTGGTTTAAATGACTTGAAAATGTTTTGTTTTTAAATTTTAATGATTTGATTAGCAAACAAGGCAATAATTGAGTGCCGAAGTCCTCATTTTGGATTGTTTATTTTGAAACTGAGAATTTGAAAAGGTTCATTTGAAAGTTGAAAATAGCTATAAATCATCAAAAAAGAGATTTAAAAGTGGCTTTTAAATTTGATTATTTATTTAGATTTAAAATCTACAAGATTTTACGGGATTACATTTGATTGATTTGAGAATTAAAGCAATTATTTGATTGATTTAAGAATCTAAAACTTACCCCCTCCTTGGCTGAAACATTGGAAAGCGACAAAGGTGAAGAGAAGGCAAAAAATGGAGACCGTGCACCCGGCATACGTGATAAAGGTCAACATTTGCTCGTCGAACGTCGAGAGCTGAACATTTTTGAAATTTCGATTTACCTGCTGATAATCTTCGCGTATTAGTGAGCTTAGCTAAGCTTAAAGCAGCTTATTTTGAAACTAGGCTTTCGCTATCAAGATTTATCGAAACCACAACCAAAATCTCTATTAAAACCAAAGCCAGACCCAAAATGAATCAAAATCAAAACCAAAACCTTATCAAAACTTTGGTTTTGCTAACGTTTTGATAGGCGAAGTCTACTCGAAACTGATCAGTGCAGCCATTACTTAAGTTAACATTAAATCAGTGCAGCCATTAGTGCCTGATCAGTGCAGCCATTACATTACATTAACATTAAATTCAAGCCGATTACTTCAAATACTTTGAAACTTATTTCCTTGAAAGTATAATACATTTTACCTTTTAGTTTTGATTTTGTAGCATATTTTGTTTTCTTAAACCTTTAACAAAAAAATTGTTAAAAACTCAAAGAAATTGCCCTTTTTATTAGATGATTTCCCAATGATCCAGCACTTTGACATTTTGAAACTTAACTTTTGAAAAAGATAATGGCTTTTAAGGTTTTTTGTCTTTTAACTTTTTTTTATTTATAACTTGTTTACTCTTTTTGATACCTCATGTCCCTGAAAGTCCATTAACACGGCGAAATGGGTCAAATGATCGCAAAGGCACACGGTGAGCGACTCGTTGTGCGAGTTGAGTCGGCACCCGGTGTTGTCCCACTGAAAATAGATAGATTAAAATTTCGATTTCAATTTGTATTACAATTTGTATTTCAATTTCAATTTGAGCTCTTTGAGCGTAATTTTAAATCATAATCCTATAAATAAACGAAAGTCTCAAACTTTGAGCACTTTAGAAAAACTCTGTTTCAAATTTGATAGAGTCACCCTTGAATTGACCACTTTAATGGCTTTTTGAGATTTATTGGACACAAAAGACATTATTTAAATAACCTTTATTTTCTGCTTGTTCCAGAAGACACACTCCGCATTGGCAAGTCCACGAAGCGCTTCGGGCGAGTGATGGAATGAGAGAACCACCTGGAAATTTGGCAATTTTAAGGCAATTTCTTAAATCTTACAAGTTAAATTCGCTATATTTTATCAGAAATTGAAAAAAATTGGGTTTTTTAGATTCAAAAGCAGCTCCAAGTTTGAAATTTGAGTATAGAACATGTTTTTAAAAGCTAATTGCCATTTTGTACGATAAAATAAAGTTTACTTTTCAAGTACTGTAGTTAAACGTTAAGAGTTAGGTTAAGTTAAGTTAAACTGTAGCTAAGTTAAACTGTAGTACAGTTAAACTTTGCCCTCCTAACAGGAACAGTAACAGTAAGACTAAATTTCGCAAATGCAAATTGCTAATTGATAAGAAATCTCACCGGTTTCCCAAGCGATCCGACGTTTTTCGCTTTACCGTCGGCGAGAATCGAGGCGCCGATGATTCGGGAAACGATTTTGCGCACTCGCTCTCCCTCCCTGCAAAAAACGTTTGAAATTTTTCGGTTTTATCAATCACTTTCCTAAAACCTGCCCCCTTTTCCCTTTCTACCGTAATCTTGTCTCTATTTTTATTCAATCTATTCACTTTTTCTCTGATTCTATGAGGGTTCAAAAAGGATATCGAAAGATATAAAAAGTGGATAGATTGGATAAAACATAGAGACAAGATTACGGTAGAAAGGGGACATGTTTTAGAAAGCCGAAATATCAACTTACTTAAAGACACCCTTCTTGCCGGCCACCTCGCGAACGATTTGTTGCGGTGGAGGCTCCATGAAGTCTCCCAATGATTCCCACTGAGAGTAGTAGACTTCAGAAGTGTCTAAAAAGTCGTGTTTCAATCTATTTAACTACTAATTTGTCTCATTTGGATTAATTTATCGCTTCAATCTGTACCGCTTCAATCTGTACCGCTTCAATCTGTACTTTGTGCTCTTTCAAACCCTGTTACTGTAAGGGAAAATGGAAGGATTGCAGTGTGCCAGAAAGAGAGTGTTTATGAGATTAGGAGAGCACAAAGTAGGCTATTTCAAATTGCTAACCTTTTTGTTGAAGTTGAACAAAAGCCTCTTTCGGGATGTCCACCGTGTCCACCCGATTGCTGTCCCACATGGCCATCGACGGCACCACAAAATAGTTCTCCTTTTCGGAGTGTGAGAGCTGAAAGTGGACAAGTGAGCAAGTTGAATAAGTTGAATCACCTTAATCTTCGCCAACTCGGTTCGAATCAACGGCTGAACGTAGCTCTCAGTGCTCTCCCCTTTGCCTAAACCGGCCGAAATGGTCAACTGCTCGACGGTGTCCATCAAACGGCTACCATAATCTCTGAAAGGTATTTGAATTGGAGTTTAGGAAAATGTTAATACATATTACTTTTATTTAAAGCTTGAATCTTATGAAGAAACCTCTTCTCCTCACCGCTCGACCACTGCCAAATTTCCTTGTTTTTGTTCACATTTTGACCAATCTCGATGACAAGCTAAAAATTTCAAAATAAGATATAAAAGCAAAGAAATGATCCAATCGATGAGCTCAATTTTGATATCATTGACTAAGCCCTGTGATTCCTTTATCCAATCATACCAAAATTGGACTGATCAAAAGCAAAATGGCGCACAGATTACGGTGGTTTTGGCTGAAATTGTTTGAAACAAACCGATGTGATCTGCTTCCGAACTGGTCGACTTTCTGGCGTGGCCACGATCCTCTCGGTGGCACTCTCCAAGAGGTTCACGATTTTGCGCAAATCCCCGCCCGCCATCGGACGCTTTGAGTCGGCTCGTAGCTGACTGAAAATTGAAAATGTAGCAAAAATGATTTCGAAAAGATGTATCAATTGATTTTGTGAATTAACACAGAGTATTAATTAACTTGAAACAGTGATTTTTATACCCAAAAACCCAATAACTTGAATAGTCTTAATGAAGTTAAATTTGAACTTGAATAATTCTGATTAGATCTTCGTCACCCCACGTCACGGATTAGCTTCTCCAGCGTGGTTAGGACTTAATTTATATTGAAACTTGATCAATAAAAAAGCCTGAACCCTGCGAAAAACGATGCTGAATCCACAAGGATAAGTATGGCTTATTTATCCTTATTTCACGATAATTTTCTGATAATTTCAAATGACACCAACCGGATCACATCGGCGATCCCCGTATAATCATCTTTTCCAGCCGCCTCGTTCATCTGATTCCTTCTCGTCTCCGTCCACTCACTCCAACAACCGTTCGTGTTCGGTCCCCGGGCTGCCCATTCTCCAGTCTTCTCGCAATTCCACTCCATTTCACCTAAAAAAAAATGAAATACATTCATGAATTCAGTTTCCCAATAAAGTCAATCCTTTGGATCGCTTTTCACTTTGAAATCGAAATTTGAAAAGATTTAGTTTCAAAAAAGCGGTCTATTCTTGCTGATTGCAAAGTCCAATGCAAGTCTCTGTCTTGGTCCGCTTGAATTGCTATTTAATTCGAAAATTGAGTTGATTCAATTGTTTTTCTTGTATTTCCAACGAGTTTTCAGTAAGCAGCTGCATTTTTTAAAAGAATGCGTTTCAAATTAAATGACGATTCGAGGTGCTAGGGCCAAGTAATATTTGGTTTTTGATTTCTTGAATTGCAAAAAAATAGACAATGGCAAGTTGAATTGGCATTGTTTTTACCAAATTTCTGTAAAATTTGTCAAAATTACCCCACCATGTCGCTCATCTGTGCACTTGGTGTGATGGGTGTGCCCGGCGGCGGTCGTCGGCCAATCGAAGCCCTCTTTCCGCGTTGATAAGCACTTTTTCTTTGAGAAAGCCTCGGAGTCGATTCTGAATCTCATTTTATATTTTTGACAGTGAATACATTGGGTTAATAAGTCTGAAAATGATTATTTAGGTTATAACAAGGTGGATCAGTCGATCAACTGGGACTATAGCGAGTTTAGCAAGTCTTAAAAAGGTTCGACTGATTAATTGAGCAATCTCAATTTTTCTTAACTAATTTTGAAACTAAATTTTTTTTCTTTACAAATCTTTCTTTTCTTTTTTTCCTTGGATTGTACTGTTACATTAAATACATAATGCTACATAAATCCACTATTTTTCACTCACTCTTTGCCAATTTCGTCCGATTTCTCGCCGGAATCGACATCTTTTCCCTCCAATGTTGTCGTTGAAGGAGTTGTCGTCGTAGTTGTCGTTGTTTCTAGAAAATTTGAATTTAAAACTAAAACTGAAAGAGGCGAGAACGTTTTGACATGCTTTTCACAAATGTACAATCACCATCACATTTTTGAAATATTCAAATATCTAGAAAATTTGGCATACGACAGAAACAAACCCGGTAGACAATCCCAATTGACTTCCAGATATTTCGACGTTCCCGGACACGTGTCCCCGAATTTCTCGTTGTTCACCTCCACTTCACACAAACGAACACCATTGCAACTGAAAGAGGTACAACAAAGTTACGACATACAAAATTTTAAATACTGTAGTTTAAATCAATATTGAAAAATATTCAGCCTAACAGAATATCTTTAATTTGATTGAAGAATTTGAAAGACATTCAGTCTTGTAGCTTTTATTGGGGAATTTTTGGTATTTACAGTGAGTTTCAAACTTTTAAACATGACCCTAGAGGACGTAAAGACAATAATTTAGAATCAAAAATACCTTACAGTTTAATATTTAGCTATTACTGATGGATTTCTTGTTCTGGTTAGAATTCGAGTCTTTGAAAAGTTGTAGTTTCAAGTTGATTGAGCTTAAAGGCTGCCCCGGTTTGTCAATGACCAAAATGCTTGCTGTCAGGGGAAAATGGAAGAATTGCAGTGCGCTAGAGAAGCAGTGTCTACAAGATTTGATGGCACAAAGTACACGACATTTCACGACACTCCGATTACACGACTTGATCTCCCCTCACCTTCCTCACACGTGTATGAGGCCTCCAAATATTTGGAAGTGCCCGGACATGGGTCATTGAATAGATATTTATCCACTTTGAAGATACACGTTTTCTTCCCGGAACAACTGAAAGAAAGTGGGGGTGCTTTATTGTTAGAAATTTAACTTTTCGTCTTTTAATTTGTTTTGTTCTTTTGTTTAGAAATATTACTTCCTTTTACTCAACGGGTTAATTGAGTTAAACTTCTGAAATTTTATCTTTTAAAGTCTATTGTATATCCAAATCTTTCTACAGTATCCCGGAATAAAAAGTATTCACCTTGACTGAATATCTTTCAAATTCTTCAAGGTATTCAGTTAGGCTTAATGCTTTTTATTCTGGGATAGTGTAGTGAGACAAGAGACTGCGTTCTTTACGCTTTCAAACGCTATCAAACGGCTTAAACTTTGGTAGTTTCAAAGAAATGGGTTGTAAAAGTGGAGCCACGAAATTAACGATACAACCAACATCGGAAAAATACTAATTTTAAGGCTTTAAAGTATGTTAAAATCATAAATCTCTCGTTTAAAGTTTGTGTTTCAACTTTGACCACCTTAGCAAATTTTTTCTTTTCTAATTAAATGCAATAATTTTTCGATTCATTTTATTGACCGCATTTAGATTAAATTAATTTTATAGCATATTTAGATAAATTTTTGACCATTCCTTCCCCATTTTCTCAAGAGTTCATTTCAGATCTCAACTCTGATGGATTTACGAAGCATTTTAGCTTTTTATGATGCCGACTGTTTGGCTTATTTTATGTTCGCTTTACGGTTTTGTATTTGTCAAAAGTGATCAGTCAAGTGGAAGAAATGAGTCGTGGATAAAGATACAAAAAGACTTGTCACTCTCAAGAAAAGCGAAAGAGGAACGCCTCTTTGGGGAGTCGAACCAGCGATGTCACGCTTCAATGAGCCCGACACCTGCCACTGAGCCAGACGAGCTAAGGGAAGTGCTGCCAAATGAAGGACTAGTTACAAAAAGTGAATACAGTAGTGAAAGCTTATTGTAAGTGTTAATGTTGGATGAAAAGTTTGAAAAGAAAATGTTAGAGGTTGCTTTTAAGGTTACTATAAGTTTTTGAGACTAAATAATATTGTTTTCATTGAATCTAGAAAGAGAATCAGTACAAGATGAAAGATTAAGTTTCAAGAAAGTTCAGATTTACGTCGTATTCGGTTGGTCAATGGTCCCATCATCCATAAATCGCAACACTTGTTTCAATGTACAAAGCCTATTACAACTTCTAACACATTCACGTACGTCTCACGTCTCACGATCCGTCTCACCGGTGGGCCGTACTAATGGCAAATGTTTTTGGTGTCACCTCAAGTTTTTAAGGACTTTTGTTATTTATTTTGTAGAAAGTTCTCGATAACTTTGTACTAGTTTTCAAGAGGAGATTCAGGGCTTTCGAATGACTATAATAGCTTAGTTCATCCTTGAATCTTCACCAAATTATCAGTAAAACAGTTGACGACTACGCGACTGTACGCTCAAAATATCGTCGTCGCGAATGTGTTAATCTACTTTTCGAATCCTATGTCTAAACTAGCAATAAATAATATGCATTTCAAACTCTTCAAACCCATAAACGAATCTCAACTAACAAAAGGCAAATTTCTTTTATGCAAAGACATTTTGATCGTTTCGAATTGTTAAGCATTGAACTGAGATCTGATTTCAATTAGTAAAAGACAAATTTCTGGTCGATTCGTTGCGCCAAAGATCAAGTTTCAAAATTTCCCCAATTCAATCCCTTCACTCAGCATTAATGGAAGAAACTCAAACAAAAATAAACCTATAATCAACAATCCTAACTTCTAAACCGACTAGATTAACGAATCTCAACAAATGAAAGTCAAAATTCGTTTATGTAAAGAAATTTTGGTCGTTTCAAAAGCCAAGTTTCAAAGGGTTCAGTACTGAGCTGAGATCTGGTTCGACAGTGATCGGGCGACGGTTTTTGATTCCTGACAGAATCAGTAAAACTTAAAATCTACCTCTGAACTTCAAAATCTTCTAATTTCCTAAAAACCCCAAACTTCCAAATCCCAAAGCCAAAACTCGAGCTCTTCAACCAATTCTTTGCCCACCTCGAGAAACCCTATAATTTTTCGCGCACCCTTGCAAAATCCATGTCCAAAAAGATGTAGAAAGGGTACAAAAAGCATCCAGTCAATCCAAGGAACCATCTGTCCCAATTTTTGGCCTTTTCTCTACCATTTTTTGACTTTGGTAGACCACAGAAGGTCCATTTTTGCCTAAAACCAACCCCTTGCTATTATCGAGATTAGTTAATTTGAGGGTAATCAAATGGAAAGAGTTAATAATTGTTATAATGCATTCTCATTGACTCTTTGGTAAGTTTTAATTGAATTTAGAATCAAAAAGTACACTTTACACAGTCAAATCGAGACATTTACAACCAAAAATCGTAATTCAAACAGTCGAGTTTCAAATTAAGTCCAAATTAAGTTCATATTTGATACTTAATCAATGTGCGGTAAGTTTTAAATTTACAAGTTTCAAATTAAGCCTTATTTATTGAGAGGCGGTTGTGTTAATTGTTGACGCATCTGTGGTTTGTTCAATAAAATGATTTTGTAAACATTACTACTTATTTTAGATAATCCCTGTATTTGATTCTAAGGGAAGCCAAAAGATGAAGACACGCGAGTGTCACATTTCACACGGTCCATTCACTTCTTCACATATCCACAAAGACTCTCCCGAAGTCTCAAAAGGACTCCCTTTTGTCGTTTTTTTTCTTTGAAGGCAATTCTTTTTTAGGTTTCTTTGTCTTTTTGGCATTAGCAGACCTTTTTTTCAGTCTTCAGGCGGCAACAGGTAATGAGAGACAAGAACAAAGGGCAAGAGGAGGCCAATTTTTTGGAAGAAATCGATCAAGAACGGTTTTTGTTCTGAAAAGGATACTACCTCGTGAATCCACACAGTTAAGCTGAATGTATTGAAACTCAAGTTCTTTTTTGGTGGTAAAACTTTGGAATACTAGTTGGTTTTAAAAGCTTTGAAATATTATACAAGCTACTGTGATTGTGGTGCAAAGCTTGTCAATAAATTTGAAAAAGTCATGGTTTTTTTGTGATATTGAATTTTTTGAAAAATATCAAAATCAAAATTATCAAAATTGATTTCAAGTTTCAAAATTTTGTAGGTATAACGCTGGCAGTTGGGATTAATGTCGAGAATGAAGATGTCTTTCTTATGTTAATGAAGATGTCTTTCTCCCCTTGTTCAAAGTCTTCGTTGCCTTCTTTGGGCTTTTAACATTATCAGTTTGGGGCTTAGTTTGGCGGTTTTTAACATTGTCAATCAACGAATCGTTGAGTTTTACTTGGTATTTTATTAAAACGTTTTAGCCGACACGATTGCTTGTTTCAAGCTGTTCAACTTCTCTGCTAGGAGCTTTGAATCAATAAATTCACGATTTCTGCGCAAAACTTGATTATTTTTGTGTGCCTCATTGAATTTTCGACAAGTCCCCGTTTACACAACTTAAACAAGTTCAAATGTAACCCAAAGAATTCTTGTCCAAAAATTCTCCTTTTAAAAAAAGTGGCGCCAGTCTCACCGAAAAAACCCACAAGACAACCCGTCATTTAGCTTTTTTAAAGCCAACAATTTGACCCTGGAACCCTGGAATTCTTGGAAAAGATAAAATTCTGGAAAAACTGACTAAAGACCTAGAAAACCTTGCCATTTACGGTGTCGGTCAAGAGATTTCTCAGCTGAAATGGTAAAATGACCTTGTCTTGAGAAAGTAAAGACAAACAGTTCAACATTTTCTTTGCTTTTTTTGAGACTAAAGCCTTTGAAGTGGTTTTTGGAAAGAATTTGTCTCATCTTCAAGGGTCAATGACTTCGGAAATGAATATTTTGGTAATTCCTTTAACGAAAGCCGGAGGATTAGAATAAACGATTGCATAAGGTGATTTGATATTTTGAAACTTACACTTCCAGTAATAGGTTTTTTTTTACTTGCGTGCACTTCTTTCAACTATTGCGTTTTCTAAGACAAAACTACGGTAATCCATCGGCCATTTTTCGTTCGATCAGCCCAATTTTGGTATCCATTGACTGAGCTTTTCGATTCCTTATCGAATCATACCAAAATTGAGCTGATCGAATGAAAAATGGCGGCTGAACTAGATTTTTAGAAAACGTAGCTTTTTATGTGTCTCAACTTGGATGAGCATTAATTGCCAACAGAGAAGCTGAGCTTTAGATAACTTGAAACACGTTTGTTGTTTGTTTGTCGTTTGTTTGTCGTTTGTTTTTCAAATTTAGCTACTTTTAGTGTTGATTCAGTTTTTTTGTAGTTCAATAGTTTTTCTTGAATATGATGTTGCCAAATTTGAAACAAGAACTTTCAAATAAGATTTCGAACTGAACAAAATGCATTTCCACATCCCTAAACCATTACCAAAAAGTACCCCAATTGAAATTTGATCCAAGGATATTTCAGAATTCTCGTGGCTCCAAAATAATGGAAAAACCATCAATTTCCTGCTAGGAGAAGACCCCAAATTATTGGTTAGACTCCCACATTGGTTATTGGAAAAAAAAAGATCGTTCTAATTGGTGCCTAGTATCCTAAGCTAAGCCTATATTGACTCCCACAAAAACTATAATGGATCATATTTTGTGGGTCATCGTTATGTCATCGATTGATGGGTTTTCTGAAAAGGTGTCCCATTCCCATTTCTGCCGTAATCTTGTCTCCATTTCTATCCAATCACCAATCCTAGAGTACTGAACAGTACTGCTTACGGACTATACTATTCATGACGGACCACCCTTCCAAGAATTAAAAGAAAGCATACACATTTCATTCGTTCTAGTTTGAAACTTGCAATTTTCAAAAGAAAATGAAAACTTTTCAAAGCTGTTAAAAACTAAAGTAAACCTCTGACTACTTTTTTCAACTACCTAACTGTACTTTGTGCTCACAAATTTGATAAACACCCCTTTTTGGTGCACTCAATTCTTCCATTTTCCCGCGTTGCTGGGTGAGGGAAATGGAAGAACTGAGTGCGTCTGAAGGAGTGTGTTTACGGGATTTTTGGGCCCAAAGTACACCATATAGATTTCCTACAAAGTGCTCAAGTCGGCCAATCTTTGTCTTTGTCTTTGCATTTCCTTTTCCGGGCCGCTAATGGATTCGAGTGCTAATTGATTTACTTATAGTAGACGAAGTTAATGCACGATAATTGGGGGGGGTTTATTGGTGTAGTTGGAATTGTTTTTTTTCACGAAAAGATACATTGTCGGTCTCAAGTCGCTACATTAAACGTGCTTAAATTTTCCTGAGACTGATGAAATTGAAACAGTGATTTTTTTTTCATTACACTTAAAAGCTAATAGCTTAGTTTTAAGTCTTAATCACAACAACATTGGATTCAAAAGTTGATCCAGTACTTGCACTTGATTATAAAAAGTTTCTGAACTTATATTGTAACTTATTGAAGGATTTGGATTCAAAAGCAACGATTGTCATCTCCGGCCGGACTACTATGCATGGTTGTAAAAGTTACACATCCCCAAGCTTGAAACTTTCATTTTTTTAAATCTGAAGTCAACTTTTTTAACATCAATTTCTTTATAAGCACTCTTGTAATTGTTATTCTTAAAGGTATTCAGTTATTCAGCGAAGTGTCATAGGGAGAATGGACAAATGACCATTGGGAAAGGCTCAAATTTGTTCATTCGAATGAGTGACCACGAGTTGTCACCTTTAGTGAAAGGTAGCAAGAGGACAATGGAGTAAGGTGATGAAAAATTCATCATCCCAACGGTCACTCAAAACTTTGTCCTGCGTTCCCATCTAATTCGTTTTCTAAAAGGCAACAAGCTAAAACTACCATAATCCACTCTCCATTTTTCATTTGATCAACTCAATTTTGGTATCATTGATTAAGCCTTATGATTCCCTTATCGAATGATACCAAAATTGGACTAATCAAAAGCAAATGGCGGTCAGATTACGGTAGTTTGACTAAAATGAATGCCTTTTAGAAAACGGATTAGATGAGAGGAAGAGACTCCATTAAAGTAGTCAGTTCAAAGTGTCGACTCTAGCGGTAAGCGAAATTAAATCCTTGGATAGCTTTTAGATACCCAGCATTTTGAAACTTTGATTGTTGATGTGCAATATTTTAAACTTTGCAACTCACAGCTTCTCCAGGATCTCCTTTGTAGCCGGGTTCGCGCAGTCAACGCGCAACTCGGTGTCCCCGGCTGGGTTACACTCTTGCATCGAGAAACGACCATAGTTTGCCAGCGTCACCGAGATCACCTAAACGAGGACATTGCCTTGAAAATATAAGTCATTTAACACATTCACGACGATCCAGCTCACCAATGGACCGTACTAATGACTATTTTTAATGTCACCTCGGTTTTTAAGGATTTTTCTTATTTATTTTTGCAAAAAGTTTCCGCTAACTTTGTATTAGCTTTCAAGAAGAGATTCAGGTCTATCGAATGGCTATAATAGTTTAGTTTGTCTTTCAATTTACACCAAATTATCAGTGAAACAGTTAACGAATACGCGAGTGTACGTCCGAAATCCCGAGGTCGCGAATGTGCCGTCAAATTGGTACCTTATTGCAATCTTCACCAGTTTGATTATTGGATCGGTAACTTATTATTAAATATTGCTTTGGTTCACTAATTATCAGTTCAATGTGAGTTATCAGCTAAAGTCCTAGCTCATTGTTGGATAATCATTCGATTCTAGCGACCTAAGACTCCAAAACATACAAAACTTGGCCCATTAATTGTCAATGCTGATTCATAGTGAATCAGTTGCATCCTACAGGAATAGTTTGAAACAATAACGTTTCCTCAACTTTTTTGAGCTCAACTCAACAAAAATTCTGAATCAAAATCAACACCAAAACACACTCCGACCCACTGGTTACTAGAGCATTTACTTTATAAAGAAAAAATTTGAAACTCAATTATTTGAATGTCCTAAATTTCTTTATTACCGATCATCTACTAGCATTAAGGTGACGAGGGTGACGAGACGAGGGCCAGCAGCTCGGCGGAGGAGGACGTCTCGTCGGACGAGGAATGATTTCTTGCTTTTTTATGTTAATGTTTGTATGTCTTTTGTAATTAGGGTGGGAGGGTGGGCTTACCGAAAACTTTGAAACTCACTGTTCCCAACGGGCACACCAACTCCGCTTCTCTATCTTCGCAGATTGGTCGTGTGTGGACTGAAAATTCAGATTATTACAAAGATTGAATTGATTGAGAACACTTTTTAGGGTGTTAATCTTTTTTGAAACCATCCTTTTTTCAGTGACTTTTTGAAGATTTTGTTATCTCTTTCAAAATTCTCGAATTAAAGAAACATTTATTTTTTCTTATCTATTCAATTTGAAACTCGAATATTTATTATGCTTTACTTTTGAACTTTTAAATGAAAACATCTCCATAGGTCGATGCAAACAACTTTACTTAACTTATCCATTACATCTTTACTCCCATTCATCCCCAAATATTCAAAGTAAGTTTTGGGTAAAGTTTTAAAGCCAAACCAAAGAGCGAAAGATTCAAGAGATAGGGTCCTTTTGGGGAATTTCCCTCTCGATTTCTCTGGCTTGTTTCAATTCAGAAAATGTCAAAGAGTAAAAGAGGAAAATACGAATATTTGCACCCATGCACCATTCTTTCGACCCTTTACCCTTTCCCGGCCGTGATTCGATTCGTTTCTCCTTTGCTGAGTACACAAAGAAATTCACCCCGTTTCACTTGGATACATCTCTTCCGATGGGAAATTGAGGTGGTGACCTCTCTCTTTCCTTTACTTGGGGAAAAGTTTGAGTTGAAAAATGTAGATCACGTAAAAGATAGTGTAGTAAAGTAGGAAAGATTGGAAAGATTCAAAAGATTGGAACACAGTTTGAGGTTAAAAGCTTGAGTTTAAAGTTTTTAACAAAAAAAACCAAGTTTCAAAGTTCTTGAGGTTGTGTATGGGAATTTGAAAGTAATGACCATCGAAAACCTGGAGTCTGCTGAGTCTGCTGAAACTTTTTTAAACCCCAGTTTTAAACACATTGAATCAAAATTTTTAACTTTAAGAAATTCTCGGCATATTTAAATGTCATGTAACTTTTTGAGGTTTTGACTAAAAAACATCAGGTTTCAAGTTGACTCACATAGATTTCGATAGCGTTGCGGCTAATGTGAAGCTCGACATTGCGTTATCTAACTTGTTTCCCCTTATTTTTTCACACAATTCCAAAGAATGCTCTCCAAAAATCCAGAACAATTCGCTAATAAGCTCCCAATTCTCACAAAAGCCGATGAATATCTGAGAGAAAGACGGGAGAATGACAGGAAATTTGTCAATGTTACTCCTTTTCTGTGTCCTTTTTACTCGTTTCCTCCTTTTTCTTTCTTTCTTGCCTAAGTGGCTACCAGAAGGGCCGTCAACAACAAACAACAAGCCATTCTATTCATTCATCCATTCAAAACGTCCCACTGTTGATTAGGTGAAAGATTGAGACATGTTTTCCATTCTTTTCCTTGATGGGCTATAATTTGGCTAAATTTTGTGTAAGTGAACCCATTGAAAACGGGAAATTCGATTCTAGAACACTGGAATGCCAATTTTTAGCACATATGTTGTGGGAAAAGGTTTCGAGACTCAACTTATCCAGTAGGATTGCTTCAAATTCAACATTTTCATACCTAACCAAGCTAGAGCGGTTTAAAAAAGGTTTAGGAAAAGCAAGGTTTCAAAGTTCACAGCTTTCAGCGGAGTTTTGAGATATTAGATGATGAAGGGACCGCTTTTGATGAAAAAAAAAGCTAAATGTTAATGATTCTGAAATCCATGTTTCAAAAAGCTTAAAGTTAAAGGGTAGGCAAGGCTTTTAGTTCTTTGGATTTATTTTCGAAATTCCTTTCTGCAACTTTTCTCATTTTGCCCCTTTCCCCTAAAGATATCGAGTCAACAGTCAACAAGACGTTCTCTTTGCACGCCAAATGGTCAAGTGGGCTTTCCAGCTGTGATATGGCAAAAAGACACAAGACAATCGAGAAGTTTACTTAACTTCTGAAAGATTTGCAAACAATATTTAGGTTTTTGTTTATAGGAATTGAAATACTTGCTTAATTTGAGCCAAAATTGAAAAGATGAGTTTCAATGTGAACAAGGTTCATTTTGAATCGTTATTTACAGATGATTGACCTAATAATGCTTGAAAACTTTGTGTTTTATCTTTGTTTAATTGCCTAACTCAATTTAACGAGTCTCAACTCAATTTAACGACAGTTACTCGTGTTTCCTAATAAAAATATTTAAAAGTCAGCGATGGAAAGCATTCTAATGCATTTCATTTTACCCTCAATATATGTAAATTCAAAATGATTCAATCTTCATTTAGAAAATCGATGTTTTATACCAGAAAGAAAGGAAAAAGATCTAATATTTAGCTATTGTATAATATCTTTTGTATAATATCTATTAGATATATCTTTTGTACAATATCTATTAGATATATCTTTCCAAATGCAACCAATCAAGCTGATGACCCCACAAGTCGGACAGATAAAAGCAAAACCCTCAAAAAAAGCGGGCCACAAGTTGTACTCTCACTATTGGCCTTGATGAGCAGATGCGGTGCTCTATGAAAGAAATGAACAAAGAAAGATCATCATCTCATTGATCCAAAGATCTTAAGAGCTCAGCCAACTCTTTTGGCTCTCTTGGATCAAATACCAAATCTTGTCGTTTTCTTTCCCTTTTGCTCAAAGGGTGGCACTCATTTGTGCATCGGAACCACCCTCTGGGTAAGCTTTTGCGCAAACTTTGAGAGTCGGCAAGTTTTTTAAGAGTTTCTTGGGCAACTTTTGATTGGATCAGGTCAAAGTTCGGCTGGGAAAGGGTTTATGCTAATTTTTCAGCTCATTTAACTAATTTTTTTTTACTTTAGTTAGCATTATGTCATTAGCTAGATCTTTAAAAGCTAATAGTTACGTTTTTTTGAAACATTTCTTTCAAAATTGGATAGTTTTAATATTTTTTAAGATCAGGTTGATAGAAAAAAACGAGATTTATATTATTTCAATTAAAATTTTGCTTTAAAAAGAATTGGATAAGATTCATTAACTCGCATTGATTAGCTCGCAGTCCAAAGGATATTACTAGCTTTGAAACATGAACTTTTCAAATCTTGCTTTTGGCAAGCTATTGGCATTTTCAAACTTGAGTAAAGTTGAAACAAGCTTTTTTTCAATAAGATATTGCTTTTAGTTTTATGCTGAGTTAGCTGAACAACTGAATAACTTGTTAGCTGAACAGTGATTAGCTAAACAACTTGTTCTATTTGTTGTTGTCTTGTCTTTGTTGTCTTGTTGCTGTTGTCTAAAATGTTGTCTTGTCAATTTTCCAATTTCTCAATAAACAACTTGTCCCTGTGCTCCAAAAACGAGCAATTCTAGATGACCCCAGGCTAAATCCCTGTCCCCAACCCCAATCAACATCACTAATTGCCACAGATCGGCAAAATTTCTCCCTTTGAACCGATGAAAACATCAAAGCAACACTGGGCACTAATTATCGACTTAAAGTGTTCGAATTTCGGGAAAAAAATGATTTATTTGAAGATTGAGCATCGTCACTTTAAATTTTGAAAGAATTGAGAAAATAATGAAAGAATTTCTTTTGCTTTTTGCAACCAAGATCAAAGTTTTTTCTAAAATTAGCCGTCACTAAGATTATCCGTCACTTTGGGTTTTGTTTGCTGCTTTCAGTACTAAAATTTCACCAATGAACCCAATTATCGACTTACTTTGAAACACAGAAATCCCGCTAAAACATCGCAAACACCGCAAAATGAACCGACAAAGGATTTCAGCCGAGTTTTTCCCTTTTTCCCCCATTTAGGGTCACTTCACCCATTTGAGGACCACCAGATTTAGGCAATAAATCCCTCAAAAGGGATAAATTGGGTAAAGAAAAGGGGACAAAGGGGCCAAAAAATTGAGTGCCACTTGAGCAAATTTGTGGACAAAATACGAGTCTTTTGGCGGCTAGCCGGTGGCATTTTCGTGCGAAATGCGATAATTGCTTGATTTCAAAAAGGAGTATCAGAGAAATTGAAAGAAAAACCTTAAAAAAAAAGTAGAAATAATGAAATTTATTAAAGTCGAACGTTTTCTTCTCGTTAACTTTATATTGTAGAAGACGGTTGATCAAAAAATTCGACTGATTAGCTTAAAACTTAACAATTTTCCTTCAAGCCCTACTTTTATGTTTTGGTGTGCGATAAGGGAATGGAATTGCCCAAATGCTTTCCCACTTTTAACCCCTCAACTTGAAACTTAAACATTTTACCGATCCTCATTCCATTTTGGTGCCCAATTTTTTCAGTTATTTTGAATCAAGTTGATTCAAGTTTAGTTGCGACTTGAATTCTTAGCCGATCCTCATTTGGCCCCTCAAGTGATCATACAAATCCCTGGGTGCCCTGGTTGGGTCAAAGCTTTTTGAAGGGGGTGACGGGTGATTAAAAGCCTACTGCTTCAGGAAAAGCGGGTTTCAAAAAGGATTTCAAAAAGGGAAAACCCTTTTTGAAACCCATCCTTTTATGTCTTTTTTAGCTTTTTCTCTTTTCCCTCAAGTCTCAAAGGATTAAGAATTTCCCCCGATTCTTAAACGGCAACAGGCAATGATTTTTGCGGTTCTTTTTGGCTCGTTTTGTCTTTGCCGAAATGAATTCACTGGGGAATTGCGGGAAGATACTAAACTGAGCGGGTGCCTTTAAATGAAACTGCAGAATTTTATCGTTTTGAGCAAGTAATTGGAATTTTTTGAAGAGAAGAAAGGACTGGTACTTATTTAGAGCTAAAATGATTTGATTTTGATTCAAATTAGCAGTAAACTATAAATTTTAACTTTTAAAGTAAAATTTACAGTAAGAGTAAGAGAAGGTTTCAAATGAAAGGTTTAATTGGTCGAGTTTTAAAGCATTATGGTTTAGCAAAATGAGTGAAGAATAGCGTCATTGAAGCTTTTGGTGAAAGGAGTCAATTTTATGCAGATTTGTAACTTGGCAAAGAAGTTTTCAAGAAGTTTGAAAAAGTTTGTTTCAAGTTTTGCAATGTATGAATGACAAATGGAATCTTAATATACGTGCCGGACTTCACCTATTTAAGTAAATGACAGAAAAAGCTTATTTTAATTGGTCAGCGGGATGAATGGGATCTAATAAAGGCGGAAGAATTCGAGACAAAACCAAAAATCTTCTTATTTTGTCGTTTGTACCTACTTGTACTGAATAAATGATCATTTTAAGTGCATTTTCTCGTTTCTGATTGCGAAAAAAAAAACGTGTGTTTCAATAGACTCAAAGTGAAGTGAGATTTTCTATTATTAATCGACTGCAGAAAGTTGTCGGTAAAATCTAATGTACATCTTAATTTGAGGCGCTCTTTTTTACACTCTAAAGTCGAGTAATCTGGAGCTACGTAATCTATCATTAT